ACCGGTTATAAGGAGACGCTACTTCTTTATATAACTTTTTACGATTATATTAAACTACGCCCCTATATCGATTACCGTAAATACGAGAGCTTCGTTTTCGTTAAGTCCTACGTTAATTATTAGCTTAGGGAGAAGCCGGATATAGTTTTTAATATCCTTTACGATAACGGAATTTACCGTTATTTTACTTAAAGGGTTAATAAACGAGGCGGTAGTTTACGGTACGTTAGGTATTTTAACGTTTTCTTCCCGATCCTTTTATACCTATTCCTTTATAATTTTAATAACCTTAAACTAACTTTCGTTAATCTCTATAGCGCGTATCGTAAGGTACTTAATTACTTATTCCGAAAACCCGGGTATAAACTTAATTAAATCGTCCTACGAAACTTCGAAGCGTTTCCTATTATTCTTATTAATTTTATTTAATTAAAACTCTCTTAATAATTCGTTAATAGTCTTCGCTTTCCTAACTAGGTCGTTCGTATTCGAAGTAATATTCTTATTAGCTTTAGTCGGTTTACGCTTAGGTTATAACGATAGGACTTCTATATCCTCTTAATCGGGTACTTCTCTTTCGATATATTCGCCGTTAAAACCTCTAGCTCGCTTAACTACGTTAACTTCGACTAGGTCCGTTTTAATAATACTCTTATAATAATAAATATCTTCGTCGTCGATAAAATCCTTAGTTTAATTATAACCTAAGATTTCCGTTTCGTATAATTCGTAATTATATTTACGTTCGATTATTTAAATAACGTTAATCTCCGATATAGCTCTAGGTATTTCTTCTTACTTCGGTACTATATCCTCGCTCTTAAAGTATCGTAGGTCGAGGGATATAAGCTTTAGCTTTCTAGCTAGATAGTAATATATTATCCTACGTACTTACTTTAGAAATTCCTTACTTTAATATACGTAAAATAAAATATAATAAGCGATCGGTTTTCCTTTACGCTTAGCTTAGGTAATAATCGATCCTAGGATTAGTATTAACTCCGGCTTATCCGGGTTTCCGTTCTCGAGGTAGTATAATCGCTTATTATTTCTATAATAAAACCGATTCTAGGTTATATTTATTAATAACGGGTAGCGGTTATAATTATAAAGCCGATCGAAAGTATTATAAAACTAGCATTCGAATTCCTTATAATTATTCGTTTAGGTTAATAAAATCCTATTACGTATGCTTCGGTAGTTTAATATGGTATTACGTCTAGAGCTTATTAAGGTCCTTCCGTTAATTTATAGGTTATAAAGACTTAAGTTCCGAACCGCGTTTACTAGGAACGGGTTTTCCTATTGATATTATTAATCGGCGTCGTACGTATCCTTAAGGCCATAAGAGTTATTATTTTAACGGTAGTTTTACGAAGTTATCTTTATCTTTAAAGCGTTAAATCGATCGTAAAGGACCTATATACTAGCTTCCTAACTAATACTTAGGTAGCCGTAAGAGGGTTTAAGCTATAAGGAAGGCGGTAGTAAAGGTATTTAAAAGCTAGGAGTTATTAATCGTTAAATTATTTATATTATAAGCTTCTCGGGTTCTTCGAAAGTTACCGTTTTTTACTATCGTCGTTCTTCGGCTTAGGCCCTATCGGTAATTTATACTATTATACGACGTTCCGCCTACTTATAAAGCTAGGTATAAAGAATCCGGTAGTCGATATCTCCGATCTTATTATAGTTATAATTTCCCGTTTTATAGAACTTTATAATTAGGAATATCCGGAGTTTATCGGTTAGGTATCTTACTTTCTAAGAAAGCTTTTCGTTATCGTTTACGAGCTTAGAAAGACGTTTATAATTTATAAAATACGTAAAGATCGCCTTAGGATTATTAATTACGTTACTTCGTTTTAGTTATACGAATTTACGTTTAACGTTAGCTTAACCTAGTTTATCGGTAATCTTAAAACGGTACTTTAAGGCTATAACGATAACTCTTTAAATCGTTTAATCCTTCGTAACGTCGTTAATACGCTTCCTAATGGTTTTAGTCGTAATTTATTCGCCGATCTCCTTAATCTTATCGTCGTTACTTATACGGTAGCGGTTAAATAATCGATCTACCTTTTCTAGTTATTAAGTTATATTATATTTATTAAACTTAAGTCTAGGGTAATCGGTAGGGTTAGGGAATTTAATGGCTAATATTACGATAATCGGGGTAGCTACCGGTATATTTTAATTATTAAAGGTCCCGTTATTATTATTTTAAAATAATGCCATAGGGATTAGCGGGATAAGTATAGAGCGGCGGGTAAGGGATAGTTAAGTAGGAGTTTTATCGTCGTCCTCCTTTTCTTCGGGCGGATATAAGGGCGGAAAGTTAATATCGACTCTTAAGGTCTTTATTAGTAGTTTAGTCTTTATTACTTCGGGTCTTAACGGCGATTTATTCCGTTTCCTAGCTACGGATTCCGTTTAGTTTATCGGTACGAGGTATAAAATGGAAAGGGAAGTAGTAAGGGTTTTATTATCTAACATAAGGATAAAGGTATAATAACTATTATTTATATCTTAATACTTTTTCTTTAGTATAAGTATATTATTATTTATTATATTATCCCGATCGATAGGGTTTAGATATTATACGAGCTTTTCTAATCGGCTAACGCTTAATTAAAGTACGATACGTATTCCTTAGATTAATAATTTAATTATTATAAATAAGTCGACGATAATTCCTTTTATTAAGGTTTAGAACTCCTAACGTATAACCTTCGTTAAGGTAATACGTATAAGGAATAAATCCCGAGTAAAGAATCGCGTTAGATACGATATCGATTATAACTATAAGCCGGTTTCGATTTAACGGGGGCTATTTAATAATATTAACGGTATTACCGCTAGGCGTCGTTTTACGCCTATATTAATACTTCTCGCTATACTAGCTATTAATTAGTAATATAAGACTAGCTTATATATAAGTATACCTATTAATTCGACTTTAATTCCGTTTCCCTAATCCTTTATATTTACGTAATCTTATTAATATTAATTCCTAGTTCTCTTTAAAACTATCGGTTACTAGTAGTTATTAGTTTATTAATTTTTATTTATATTATTAATATAAATATCTATGTTATATCGTATACTATATCGTCGAATCGCTACGCTTAGGTATCCTAAAATGCCTTTAATATAATAAGTTATTAATATTTATATATTTAATTTATATCGATTAATAGATTTAAAAGAAAAAAGAAGCTATCGTAAGGTCGGCTAAGGTATAATTACTATTAGCCTTTATCCGCCCTTAGTATTAATAAGGAAGTAACGGATCGTATAAGTTATCATAATTTATATTAAGGCGTTCGTACGTCCTTTATATAATAAATAAATAACTATAAGGGGCTATCTTAATCGCTATAAGCTTTATTTATTCGTACGAGATATACTATATTATTAGCGGTTCGAGGAAGCGGTTAATATTAAGGGCTAAGTATTATCCTTAGTAGCGGTAGTATTACGACGAAAGTTCTCCCGGGTTTTACGGGTTCCTCCGTATGGTAAATAAATAACTATACGAGGGATATCCTAATCGGTATAAACGCGGTTTAGTCGTCGTATTATATCGTAGTATCGATAGCTTATTAGCGTTATAAGTATTAAGGGCTAAGCGTTATCTTAATAGCTACGGTATCGTTATAAAAGTTCCCGGGCTTATACGTACCTTCCTATAGTAAATAAATAACCATAAGGCGGGATACTTTATTTAACGTAAAACGCGGGCTACTTCGCGGGTTAAATAGCGGCGCCGACGGCGATCGGTATTCTTTAAATCCTAATAGCGTAATAAAAACTCCGTAAACTAAAGGTTAAGGGGTCGAAAAAGTTATAAGGTAGTCGCTACTAAGAAGGAGTAAAGCGTACGCGATACTAAAGACCCGGATAGGTTTACTCGAAAGTATACTCTATCGAAGACTATAATACGTACGATAGTTTAAGATAAATAAAACTAATATCGCTATACTAATCGAAAGGCAAGGAATTTAATATAGTTATCGTATTTTAGCTATACCCCTTAGTCGTAAAGATATAATAGTCGCTAGCCTAAAGGCATAAGAGGTAAGGAAAGAAAAGAGGCAAGACGTAAAAGTTACTTATTCGGCTATAGCGGTACGACGAAGTAATTTAAGCGCTTATAATTAAAATAGATATATTAATCGGAAAACGACGAATCTAATAATAAAAACGAATCTTTAATTAAGGTAAAAATAGCAAAGATAATAATCTAACTAAGTAATAATCTAGATAATAAATATAATATATCCCGTACTTACGGGAACTATAGTTACTCTATATAGGCATAAGGCCTATCGTAGCGTATTACGTAATGCATCAAGAGGGTATGTCTTACCGCACCACTACAATATATACGATAGGGAGCTGCGAGCTATATCATATAAGCGAGCTAGGAGCTAGGTATATTAAATAAGCAGGTAACCAGTAAAGAAGTAGAAAGCTAGGCATAGGTAGCTTTCCACGTAACAATCTTCGATTTGCTGTTTTAAATTAATGTAATGCGTGGTTTATATTTAAATCTATACGAGATATTAAATCGAGAGTATAAACCCACACCTCTATTACCCCCTGTTTCTTAGCATCCGATCTATATTACTTTCACTACCTACAATATATATAAGTATGCATGTTTCATGGAATCCGAATGGCAACTCTAGTCTCTAAAATGGTAAGATTCCCCATGTGTGTCTTTAGCCTAGCTGATATCAGTTACTTTGTTTCAGGATTTATTGTTTTCACAAGTCCCTAGAAAGGAAAACAAGTCTACGATCAGGGTTGCCAGAAAAGAAGTTTCAGTTTCAAAGTTAATATTAAGTTTTCAACCATTGAGGCTAACTTAAGTTCAAGTCAAGTTAAGTTTCAACGACCTTTTTTGTAACCCTGTCTACGATGGAGGTAAAATATGGTAACGACTATTATCAAAGGCAAATCTAACGCTATAGGTACGTGGGAGGTTAGAAACCCGTGTACCTGATTCGAGCCTCTCCTAACATCTCCGGCGAGCTATTAAATCCATCAGGCCTCGCGAAACCTCGCATCTTGCCCTTACCGTAGGCCCAAGGGTCGACTAAAGGGACCGGAGTGACCCAGTCACCAATGTTTCCCGCCCGTAACCGGGGCCGGGAACGGGATACACTCTATCCTCTAGTTTTAAAGTCCCCATATCATACCTCTGTTCCAGTCCCTGCCGTGGTCTTGCCTTCTGCCTCGGTTTCTGCCTCTTTTCTCCTCACCATTGGTGCTTACACTGTCGCCCCTTCGGTTGCTGCCGCTATTACTCGAATCTCTACTCCCGTTTTGACCCGAATGGGTACTACTCTGGATACTGGCATCCCTGCCCCTATCTGCCTGGCTCTTGTCATGACGTTTTGACCGCTTTCCGTGGTGGGACTTGCCTCTCTGCTCGCATTCGCGAAGACAGTCGATAATCTCTTGGTCCGGCTTCACGCGTCTACTGTCGCAGATATCTGCTGCTGTTCTTCCGCTATTATCCTTGGCACCCGCATCCGCGCCGAGCCTAATGAGCATCTGAATGGTCTCGAGAAGTAACACCTGGCTTCTTGTAAACTTGGTACAGATGTGATGTAGCAGGGTTGAACCATTGTGATCTGCATGGTCAACGCGAGCACCGGATTGGACGAACCGAGCCCAGACTCTGGTGCTGCTCGGGGGGAAAGCCGCGAACTCAAAGAGTGGCGTTCGACCGTGGTCATCTTCAACATTGGCGTCCATCCCTGAGTTAACGAGGTAGTCGATTACATCCTCGTAACGTTCGCTCCGGGTGCACACGATGTGTAATAACGAAGTGCCCCCAAACCTCGTATTGAAGCAGGCCCCGTGTTTCTTCAATATGGAGAAATATCGGATTGCGTATGGTGAGATGACCGTCTTGTACTGCGTCTCGATCGATCGTTTTGGCGCAAATCCCTCACAGAAGGGAAGCGATGCCTGAAAGTCGACCAAGGATAATGCAAGATGGAACAAGGGCGGTAATCGCGTTTCGTCGTCGGGAAGCGTGACGCTAGCGCCGTGCCTTAGCATAATATTTGCCATTACGGAGCGGTCGTAGAGAAGCTTCCTATAGTCATCGTAGAAATCGTTGACCGCAATGTTGAAGGACTGCTCCTGGGTATATTGAGGTGGGCTAAAACTCATCATATAGAGGAGCGGTGCCCTGTCTCGGGAGCTATATGGGAAATTGCCCACGTTATTGACACCTCTCAGGGCATCCACATAGTCATGGATCCCACCAATTGGAGGCCGTAGCTGATAGCCATTATCCGAGGCCTCCCCGTCCTTACACGGTGCCGTGTTGACGTCTGCATGGAACCGACGGAGGAGATAAAGGAGTCTGTTTAGCTGACGTGGACTGGTAGCTAGACACACGGCGTGGTTGATGGGGGACCATAGTCTTGTGTTTCCAGGAATCCGGTGCTCGTCGGGCAGGTTAGCGTCGGCCCCAAGCCGTAACAGGTACTTGGCGATATGGTAATGGCCGCACGTAATAGACACGGAAAGCGGACTTAAGCCTCTGCTCCAACCCACACCTTCTGAGGTGTGAGGAGAAAGGGTATGGGATTGTTGAAATCGATGATTGACCAAAGCTGGATTTAGCTCTAAGATGTACTTGAAGGTGTTTAGAGTACCGGTTGCGGATGCCCACCAGAGAGCGTGATTATCATGATCCGCTTCCTCCTGGTACAAGGCCAAGATAACGGCGGGTGAAAGGGTTCGGCACGTCTGAGCAAGGTTATACTTGTCAAAAGTACCAAGGTTACGGGCTATCTGGGCGATGAGCTCATTTGAGAGGGACACTATAGAGGCTGCCGTCTTGCGCTGATTTGCTTTGTCCAGTGTGGTGTCGGTATCCATGGCGAAGCTGGAAGTGGCCACAGCCGCGGAAGACGTATAAACCTCGGAGATCACGGCACTCTGTAACGCTAGTTTGTGGTTAAGCCAGCATGAAGAAGGGAGAGGGAAGACAGCAAACGGACATGTTATCTTCTAGTTCCCTAGGTTAACAGAGAGATGGGGAGGAGTTTGGAGGAACAGGCAGAGCGAATCGACGATGAGGGAAAATGCTGACGGAGGGAGATAGAGAAGCGGGATGGGAAGAGGGAAAGAAAAATAACGTCAAGGGAAGCAGCTGCAAGACGCCGGGTAATGAAGAGGACAGCAGGACGCTATTCTACTGCGTAGGTCTCTCGATGAAGGGGGGAATCGGGGTCGGGGGTGGGAATCATGAGAATCAGAGAGAAAAGAAGGAGAGCAACGAGGAGACGAGGAGACGAGAGGAGACGAGACGGGAGGACAGAGTGGACGGGGATCGGAGACTTGTTCCTCTTAGTAGAGTTTTTTCTTAAAGAAAAGAAAAAAGAGAAAAAAAAAGAGGAGGAGGAGAGCTGCAGAGGAAGGCACGCAACAACAGCAGTCACGCTGGACAGACAGCAGGTGATACGCAATGTGTCCGTAGGAGGTGAGTTGTAATACCTGCTAGCTAACCTGCCTTAGTACCTGTTACCTCAAGAAGTAACATCACCGGAAGGCAGAAAGGGGTTTGACGGTCCACCACCGTACCTACCTACCTACCTACCTCCTTCCCTACCTCCTACCAACGAGATAGGTAGGTAGATATACCTTAGATACCTAGCTACCTGTACCTACGCTCTTCAGGTGCCTATCTCTGAGGCGCGAAGCACAACTCCCTCCTATATGAGTAGGTAAGTAGTGGGTAGGTCGAGGTTATCCCACTCGTTAGCCACAACCTTCCTTGCTACCCACCAGCCACAAACACATACCTAGGTACTCAAGGTACCTACCATACTACCTTAGGTACCTACCTAGAGGTACTGGACTGAGAGGGAGGGAGGTACCTACCTCCTGTAGGCTAGGCCGGGTTACGTAGGTAGGTACATCTGGCGCATGGAAGTGGGGACAAAACGTCACTTCCTTATGTACCGACCCTGACGTAGCGGGAGGAGAGAGCCAAAAAAAAAACGTTGGGACGGAGACCTACCTACCTCGACACACCTCCATACATGCATGCCTTGACGTCTCAGCCTACGATACCGAGCGAGCTGCGAATATCCCAAGCTTTCTTCTTCTTCTGCGTCTGCCTCGGCACGTTTCAGCTCCGTTGGGAACATTCTCCTGCTAGCCTCTAGCCTATCAGGAAAACCCCTTGCTTCTCTGCTGTCGACAGGCACTTCCTCCTTTAGCGTACTGGGCGAACCCGGCGCCGCGCCTACTGTTGGATTCCCTGGTCCGGGCGGGTGGGGTGATGATCTCTGCCTGAGCATCTGTTGGTGTGTTGGCACATTCGACTCTCCTCGTGGTTATCTAGAATATCTCGCCCGCGTGTGTTTACGACAATTTCTCAACGCGTCTCTCATCATCATCATTTTTTGGTCGAAAAAGAGGCCTCCGCCAATCCAGACATCCAAGCTGTCTGAAGAGGATATATATATATGCGTGTCACATACATATGCAAAAGAGACAGACAGATAGAGATATAGTGATAGGCAGACATAACCCGATTATTTACCTGCCCTACGCCGTATTCGCCACCGAGGTACGCGTGACGCGCGGCCCTGAAGCTCGGGGTAACCAGACATAGATCGAGAGAGAGAACCAAAGGGCGGACGGCTGCGAAAGAAGATGCTCGGCACGTCGACGCCGGAGTACATCTTCATACGCGTGTGCATATTCCTCGTCCAGTACACGACGCCGGTATGCCTCGCCCTCCTCGCCCTCCTCGCGGCCCTCCGCAACCGTAGCGCCGCCACGCCCCCATCGTTGCTGCTATCGCCCTCCAACCCCCTCGACGCGGCGCTGGTCGCGTACGTCATCGCCGACCTGCTGTACGCCGCGTTCGTCTTCGCCCCTCGCGCGCGGCGGCTGGGGGACTCGGCGGCGGCGGCGGCGGCTGCGAACCTGTCGCCGCGTCAGCGTGAGGAGCGCCGCGCCCTGTTCCACCGCTGTCTCGCCCACGTGCCCGACATCCGGCGCTACATGCAGATGTGGTTTCTCGGCGCCGACGAGGCCGAGATTCGCCGCGATAACGTCCGCGACTTTCTCCTCTGGGCCTTCTTCGATCGCGCGCCCTCGGGCCGCGCCGGCGGCGGTGGCCGCGAAGAAGACGAGGATGAGGACGAGCTCGGCGAGTATATCGCCGCCCTCGAGCAGCGCCTGGGACGCAAATTCGGGCCCGGGAGGGGCCAAGCCGAGGGCCTCCGCCTGACGCTGGACAAGGTGGAGACCCGGTACAGGAGCGTCGGGTGGTATCTGGTGGTGGGCTTGGTAGATCTGGTGACGCATTGCCGGCTGGCGTGGAGCGGGTTCCATTACTACGCTCAGCCGGGGTCCAGGGTGCTGTCCGTCGTCCCACCGCGCTTACAGGACGTGTGCGCCCGCAGACGTTCCGTGGCAGCCGGGCTCACCTACTGGTACCGCCCGCACACCGCGACCGACAAGCTGCCCGTCGTGTTCCTACACGGCATCGGAATCGGCCTTTACACGTACGTGCCATTCCTCTCGCGGCTGAACAGCTCCGGGGCGGCAGGAGAGGCAGCAGTGGAAGGAGGAGAAGGCACCGAGGGCCAAATCGGCATCATCGCGATCGAGATGCTCCCGATCTCCTTCCGACTCACAGACGTGCCACTGGCCAAGCCAGAGTTCCTGCGGCAGGTGGCTACGATCTTGGAGGCACATGGGTGGGACCGGTTCGTGTTGGTTTCCCATTCGTACGGCACCGTCTTGGCAACCCACATGCTACGCGCCGAAGGCCTAGCCGGCCGCATCGCCTCGGTAGTGCTGATCGACCCGGTGACCATCCTGCTGCATCTGCCGGACGTGGCGTACAATTTCACGAGGCGCAAGCCGAAGAGGGCTAACGAGTGGCAGCTGTGGTATTTTGCGAGCATGGATCCGGGGGTAGCGCGCTGTCTCGGCCGGCATTTCCTCTGGAAGGATAACATCGTATGGAAAGAGGAGCTAGTGGGGTCGGCGAGGGGTTTGCAGTCTGTAGACGATGCTGGTGGTGGGGTGGGCGTGGATGATAGAGGGACCCGGGCTACGGGCCAACGCCCACGAAAGGTTGCGGTTTGTCTCGCCGAGCGAGACTTGATTGTCGATACACTGACGGTCGTCCAATACTTGGCAGCCAATGATGATGGATGGCTGACCCCCGGCCCTGCAGATGAGGAGGGAAGCACAGGTTCTGTGGGCAGGCCGGAGGAGCGGGATGGATGGGCTAGTGGTAATCATCTCACATGCGAGGGCATTGAACTCCTGTGGTTCTGGGGGCTGGATCACGCCCAGGTATTCGACTCCAAGCAGAACCGGGATCGACTCTGTAGAGTTGTACGCCGCTACTGCACAAAATAGACGAATGCCCTTCCCTTCGATGGTTTGTTGATTGTGTACGATGCCGGGTGCTAGGATCGACTGCTGCCACCCCGGCAGTAGCTGACCCTCATGCATCGCGAGCGAGCCGAACCCGCTGCAGAGGCATCTCGAGCCGTTGATAGCAGATCGAGCATTCTAGTCTGCCTTCGCCTCGTCTCCTCCCCAGCCAGTCAGCCATACGACTACGGGTTCCGGGCCGCTCCGGATTAGGACCCAGACGACGTCTTCGTCGGTCTCGTTAATTTCCTGATGCTCCGTCCACGGTGGGACGAAGGCGAAATCGCCTGCCGAGAGCTCGTGCTGCTTGAGCTCGTCATCAGTACCGGCACTAGTCACCAATCTACTACTTGTCAGCTCTCCAACAGCAAATGGCTAGGGTTCGTAACTGGGCATCGCAAGAGATAGAGCAGCGTGGGAGGAGGGGGGAAGAGAGTGAGGAACCACTGGAGGGTACCGTAACGTACTGCGGACATGTCAGCCTGTGTAGAATGTGACGGATAAGACATTACGAGATGCACGTACCATTCCCTTGCCCCTCGCAGCAAATATGATGGTTTCTTGTTTTCAACGACTGTTAGAGACACGAGGACTGCGGCCGACTCGCAACAGGATCTTAGAAACTACTAACCTTGCTCGCCGTGGTGATGCACTGCCGAGGAGCAATGAGGCTTGGCGATCATGACTATCCACGCCGTTACTACTGATTTCATATTGATGGGGAAACCCGGTGGCTAGATCTCGCGCGGTGCGAATGTGCACTTCGGTAGCAGGAACTTCATATGGATCCCTCTCGCCGGCCATGGGGAGTGGCATGGCACTCGGCATCTTCACTCCACTACCACTACGTGCAGCAGGATGGGTTCTCGGGGCCTCTACGGTGGGTGGCTTGGCTTGGTTACCTACCTGTGGCACACATTCTATCGCTTTTGCCGATCACGGCGCCCTGCCGGATCATGGCCGCATCCTTCCCACTCCTTTGCGCCTCCAGGTCGGAGGCTTTTGTGATGTGCACTTCAGAGGGCATTATCATGGGAAGCAAGTCCGGCAGCAGAGAGAAGAGCGACGACATGATGCCTATGAGGGTTGGGATGTACGGAGTAACCATAAGAGTGTTGCACCGCGGGATAGGATGGCTCGGATACGGTAGGTAGGCTGAACAAAGGATGGTGGGGAGACAAGAAGCGCGAGCTAGGCCATGGATGCGGAGAGCGAGCTCGGAGAATCAGCCTAGTCGAAGTCTCTGGTGTAGTTAAACTGGCAAGACGGAGGGTTGATGCGAGAGGTGCTTTACGCTATCTCTTGCGATGCTTGTGCGTTGTGTCAAGTGTGAGAGGGTAGATGGGCTTCTGCGGTCATGTCTCCGAGACGATGGATGTAAACACAAGACGCAGCCGCCGTGGTCCGTGCGTCACTACAAAGGAATATCCCATCGGTGCCGGCCAGTCTTGGTGACTCGCTCCGCTTGGCCACCTTCAGGCCGTGCCGCCGTCATCTGTACTAGCGTTATCTCAGCGCAGCCGCAGCCACCAAGTCGAGGCGTCGTTCGTGCCGGGTTGGCCCTGTGAAGCATTCGAGCAATACCCAGCGAAATTAGCGTACGTAAGTCGCCCGTGTGCCTCGGTTCACTTCTTCCTTTTTTTTTATTAGAGAGAGAGAGGGGGGGGGGGTGTGTTAATTTAGCTCGGTACGCCATTTTCTCAAGAACCCCCCAGGGCGAGCATCAGACACGTAAATACAGCTCATTCGTAGTTATAGCGAGGACCGGCCGGCTCGTCCACTCCAGCACGGGCATCCTGTCTCCTTCTCATGAATGGGTGGAGTCTTTTGGAACCTTCTCGCGTGGAGACCACTTGTGGCGAGCGCGGGAATTCCGCCGGGATCGGGGCTTCAAAGGGATGTTCAGAAATACTGGTCGAGAACAGGCAAGAATAGAAGCACAGTAGGGTGTGGTCTCGCGTAGCCAGTTCTTGACGGATCCTTATCTAGCTTCAATGGGGATGATGTGATATCTGCGCCTGAAGACGCCGCCTTCCCCCTTCACGTACTGTCTTACCCTAAGAGCCGCCCATTTGAGAGAAGAGGTATCCTTCCTATCGCAGCACTCAGAACTAGTAAGAACGCAACATCGGACTCAGTACCGAATAGGGCTAGATTTGACTCTTGGGGTCGTGAACGGACTCGCGGGTCTAGGATCAAACCTATCAAGGTGCTAAAAAGACATGCCAGGCAACTGGAGGAAAGGCTGTAGGTATCACAGCAAGATTCATTGGGTAAACCATCTCGTGACACAACTTCCTCGGCGCTTGGCATAGTTGGGAGTATCGGGTCCGTCAAGCGGTGGGGGGATAGCGGAACGGCGGAGCGGTCTCGGTACGCCCGATTCGCAAAGTCAAGGAAGATAGACACGATCCCAACCATTGTAGGTCGTCCGGTCGTCCTAGTAATCAGGGAAGCTCGAAGAGGAAGTTCAAACGGCCGTGACAGGAATAGGACCGGGCGTTCTCTGTCCTGCACTCCAACCAAATTCTCATCCTCGCAGACGCTGGCTAGCTACCTATGGCACCACGGGAACGGATTCTCGTTGGCGGATCGTCGTTCTGACCTTTATCGGCATTGCTGATAGCGTACGGAGTCGCATTTGCGTCTGTGCCCAGGGGGGAGGGGCAGGGGTTCTGAAGCTCCGAGATGCGCAGATGACCAGTCCTATTACTGGCGAACGCCAAGGACAGGGCACACGGATAGCATTCAACTATGCCACGGAACCCAGCAAACTCCGCCGCTCTATCCCGCATGCGGGTTGGGGAGGCGCTCAGGATACCTGGTCAGGAAAGGCTTCAACGTCGTCACCGACAGCACCTGTCTCATGAATGCAGTCCCTATGGAAATGAAGAGTAAGTTGGATGTCAGCACAGAGGCGCCAAGAGAGGATCAGCTACCGTGGCCGAAGCTACGTCTATAAAAAGAACGGCGAACAGCCGCAGCCCCGAATCTTGAGCGTTACTCGAGTTAGGCAATACATTTGGAAACGCACCGTTTAGAGCCTCGTAGCCCGGGACCTGCATCGTAACGTCGAGAAATATAGACGGATAAATCTGCGGGCGAAAGTAATACCCGAACGGGAAAAATCAGTGGCTAACCAGAACGGAAGGCGGCTTTCGAGGGAAGGTCATCCATCCTCTAGCCGTGCGAGGCCCAGCGACTGATGATTGGCACGGCGATAACCAGCCAAGCACCCGTACCTATGGCCGCTCCTCGGCTCTTCTCTTCTCCAAACATGGCGCTGACGCTGGGGCGAAAGGGGAGGAAGGCTACACTAGTTGGACATCGCGGTGCTGTTATCGGCCTTGGTTACGGCTCCCTTGGAACTGACCGTCTCGGATACCGTTACATCTCGAAGGGAAGCCCAGCACCGAGCTGGATCTCCGATCCGAGCATGGCAGCTGTGTTGGTGTAGCATTCACCTTCATGCCACCCCCTTCGTCTGCCCGCGAGCGGGCCCGAGGGGTAGGGGGGATGCTGCAAAGTCAGATAGATGGATACGGGGCCAGAGGAGGAGACATTGGCGGGAGGACATTCGGCGCCAGGGTGTAGACATCTCGTCGGAGTTGCACCGGAGGAGAGGTTACGAACTAGCATGTGGTGCGGTAGGGTAGTGCGTGGTGTGCGCGGTGGTCGGCTGTGATACGCTGCTGCACAGGGGATCAATTCATCGTCACCAGGCTTGTCCGCCTCGATTTGAGGTGGCTGATGGCGTGTCTATGCACGCGAACGTGGGTTTTCTTAATGGACCGCCGAAAGTCACACATGGATACGACACTTCATCTCTTGGCCGGATTGCACGTCTGCGGCGCCAAAGTGTGCGAATAGAGAGCATCTACCGTTTAATTGGCTATGCAGCGATGGCGATAGACAGACGGATGCGGTGCTGGATGGGCACGGTCAAAGTAAGGATAGGAGGTGTGTAGGAGGTAGGTAGTAAATAGAAGTCGAGAGCGGAGGGGAGGCTTGGTGGTTTTGGAAGATGGAACGATGTTGTGTAAGAAGTCGGATTAACATACCTACACAGGCACCTATCGCTCCCTCGGGTAAAGCAAGCCCGCCTAAGCACGGGGACCTAGCCCTCTCTAACGCACCGAACAGCGCGGTCGGGGTCAATTAATGTGGTGCAAATCGTGCGTACCTGTCTGTATCTGGGGGCTGTTGCCTGGCGCTCCTATTTGCTGGCTGCGTTTTGCTTTTAGGTAGGTACCTACACCTGCCCACGGCTTCGGTCCCCGAAGTACCTACCTCCTTAGGAAGAGGTACCTGCGTAGGTATCTCCTCTACAGTTCTAGTACGGGATCATGCAGGCAGACAGGGTAAGAGGATGATGGGTGGATGACTCCCCATACTGATATGAAGGGCCTGGGGAGTAGGTACCTACCTATGTCAGGCAGGTACCTAAGGAGGTACCCAGGATCAGGTTAGGTAGGTACCTACAGCTCCGTCCCACAATTTCCCCCTTCGCCAGTTGCAGGTAATGCCCACATGTGATACCTACAGAATGTTCCTATACGGGTAGGTACTAGGTATCATGTAACCCAGTAACCTGCTATCTGAGCCACCAGCGCCGACCTGCAATCACGGGTCCATCTACGTGAGCGGTCTAGATAGAGACAAGAGCAAGGAGGTACAGATGGTTTAGGTAAGATATTTATAAACAGCCAATCTAGGTGGCACATATAGGCCGAGGTACCTGGCGTGTTTTTGGGTACCTCGTACCTCCTAAGGGGGAGGAGGGGAGGGATGGTCCGTAAAAATCGACGCTGTTTCTCCCCGCCAGACGACTACATAATTACTCCACCGCCAACCCTCTCCCCTACCCAATCCACGATGGATGAAGACAATAATCCCATCCCCCGGAAACCATCAATCAGATCGACGATTTCGCCAAATCCGAATTCCGCCATTGGCCAGCGCTCGCACGGCGAAAACGCAGTCCGTATTGTCCGCACTAGCCTCGACGGGTTGGTCGAAGGGCCGATCACTGCTCGACAGCGCGCTCGTTGGGTCGGAAAGCCGCTGTGTCTACGATGACGGAGGTACTGTCATCATCATGATAAAGGGATATGCATCTCTCGCTCTCTCGGCTCCTGTTCGTACGTTCGTTCGTACCCTACCCAAAGACCCGACAACCGCCCGACCTATCCAGCTCCGGCCCCCGTACTACGCAACCCTCGCCGTGACCATCGCCAGCATCGAACGTCCACCACGCGAGGATCCCTGTGACGAGGCCACCCACCTCCTTGACGGAGCTGCTAGATCTCATTTATTAATTCTCCCTTCCTGTCCTCTCACTATCGATCTTGGGCTCCCCTCTTTTACCACGTGGCTAACATCCTTGTCATTTCGATCCTTCGAGGCCCCTCCCCCCATCCTGTCGCTTGCGTGACTTTGTCCTAGGTCCCGCCCTGGGAGGTTGTGGGAGAAAAAAATGGCTAGCGAAGAGTGTGTCTGGCGGCCTAGATCCCCGTCATCTGGCGAATCCAGCACCAGTGGTACCGTTGCCGACGACGCCGCACGGGCTAGCGATGTATCCGAGTCGGGCTCAGAACCGGAACCAAAATCAATAGGGACCGTGAATATTCACAACCCTGCAGTCACTTACGGGAGACTAAATCCTGAAATCGAGGAGAATATCTTGATCCTCGACTCTGTGTCCGACGATGGCCTGCGTTGCGATGCCACGAATCGCCTAAAGATGCTCTGGCCCGACGTGGACGAGAACGACCGTGCCTCTGACACTATCGGCCGAGAGGCCGCAGATACCAATAGACCGAGCCGAGGTACGTGGGAAAAAAATCAATTGATTCTTACAAGCCATCGCCGACCCTGTCCACCGCTTTCCGCGTCCTCGCCCCCCCTCCCTCTCCGACTAGTTTAAAAAAGCTAGATTCGGGTTGTAAAGCTCCGGCTTCTCTGATAACATTGACCGTTGAGTTATAGGCGAATGCCCCGACGGCTCGTCTCCGGAAACCTATTCTGGTGCGATATCCCTCCTGGACCTCCCCTCCGAACTCATCGATGCTATATTATCATGGCTACCCCCCTTGGAGCTCGCCGCTGTCTCGCTCGTCTGCCGCGTGATACGTAAACTAGCGAACTCGGACTCGCAATGGAGGCGGCATGTGATGTCGAATCTGCCGGGACGCAGGATCACTACTCCGTACCCCTGCCAGAGTTGGCGCGAGCTTTACGTATCTCACGACCCGTACTGGTTCCTGACAAAGCATAAGCTGTGGTTTTGCGATCGCGAGCTGACAGGCCAGCTTATCATTATCCGCTATGACGAACGACGAGGCTGCATCGAAGGCTACCAGCTGCTTGCGACGCGCAACCGAGACGGGAGCGAGCCGTGGATTGCCGACCAGGACGTCCATATCCACTACTTCGAACCCACCGTGAAGCTTCACCTCGACAAGGCCATTTTACAGCTCAACATCGACAGCCTCGAGAACATCATCCGCAACAAGTCGGTCTCCCCGCCGGTCCGGCACTTTTTTTCGGAGCAGCCGATGCCTCTTAACAAGGGGGCGGATCCGCGGTTTAGCAACTTTCTCCTCGCGAAGCCGCTCGGCAAAAAGACCCTAGGGGGTCGGATGTCGAATAAATTTCCTCATGGTTACATTTGGCCCCCGCCCGCGATTCCGGCTCATCATCGTGTGTCAGGTCAGCCCGCGGGTGTCCACCCGTTAGCGACGTCGGTCAACTATACGTCGGCTTCTACGTCGATTTTTCAACCGCGTAACCGCTCGGAGGCGTCCGATCAGATATTCCGCATTCGGCAGTGGATGGAGATGGGGCCGCCAGCCCTCGGGGTGCACGTCGCCGAGGAAGTGGTAACTTACTCGACCCTCGACCCTATCCTATATACCCCGACCCCAGAGAAACCTTGGAGGGGGATCTGGGTGGGCGACTATAGCGGCCACGGCTGCGAGTTCCTGCTGGTTAATCAGCCCGAACACGAAGAGGAAAGGGATAAGGCGCCGCTGGTACGCTTAGAGGGCGAAACGGAGGCGGAATTCCACGAGCGGTTCTTGTACGAGCGTGTTCATCGCGGCCGGTTGGAAGCGATCAAACTGACCGGCGACGCGAACGTACCCAGGGGTGAGTATACGTTCGTCGCGGATGATCTCGGCGACGACGGATTCATCGGCGTGGCCCGGGAGCCGCCGTTTCAGGGCGCTCGAGTTGTCAAGAGCAAAGGCCACATCGCACACATGGGATTTTATAATGGTAAGGCCCCTAACATTTCCAGGGTCATGGAAGGGAGACACGGCTGATTTCTTAACGGCAGACAAATATATCGAGTCTCAACTCCTGTTACTCTCCCATAACCGCTTGGCACAATACTGGGTCGGCTTTGGCCATATCAGTTTCTTTGAGAGGGTCGATATTGATCAGTTCCTCGTGCCTAAATAAGGCCCCCATGGTGTCGTTCCCGTGTACATAGCACTTTTGGTGGATAAATTCCCGACAGCAGAGCCTACGTTAATTAAGATTGTCCCGAAGATGGTCCCAAGTCGACTTGACTTCCCTTCACTATATTCCTGTCCGATACTTTTTTTTTATTCTATTCCTGGGGACCGACTATCCCTTGCTATCCAGAGCGGCCTGTCCCAAATCGTACTTGTATGCTAGCTAATACAGGATATTGCGCCCCGCCACCCTGTAGTTCGTAGTCCCGAGGTGTTATTTCTGCGGTAGAAACTATAGGTGGGGTGTTAAAAGAAGATCAGAAAGCCACTCTCTACTAGCAACAACGCAAATAATGGGACGGAGTAGACTCAAGTTGGTGTTGACGAAGCCGTCACAACCTAGGCATGTTCGTTTTTTGAAAAGGATACTAGCCATAGGTATATCGTATATTTGATTGGATATCCCGCCGCCCTTTATGCTCTGATGCTAGTCTTCCAGTCGCATTTTCTTGGTAAGTCGTTTCCTCGTCTTAATTCCAAGTAACGGTGGTGTAGATTTCATGACACAATGATCTTCGCCTTAGCTGAGGTTGACCGATAACCTCACCATTTCCTGTCGAGGAGCCTCTATCTTGTGTCCTCGTTATGCCGTGCTCCCCGGATAAGGGATACGGTGTGTATATGTGGGTCCCAGGACACCCTGAAAGGAGCCCTGTGATTGGCTGATTCGCAACTGTATTTAAAGCTGTTCAATCGCCGTTTTGGCACCTAGATTTACTCCTTTTCAATCAATAATAAGTCGGGTTCGGCTTTCAACGTTTTGTATGCCTTATAAATAAGGCAGCGAAGCAACGAGAGCGAACCCTCCACAACGCACATATATGGGTACAATCTGCATATACATAGGTACCTAGGTAATATTTCTTATATGTCCTCGCAGTGAGGTTATATATTCCAACTGGATGCTGACGTCATTTATAGGCAAATATCGGATTTGTATGCACCTATTGCGTAGTTTAAGGTATATGTAGGTACCTGTAGGTACCTGCGTTTTCAACCTTCCCACACAGTCTCGTACAATTATCTCTTCGGTACCTACATTAGGTACATCGGTACCATCCGCAGGTACTATACGTACATCTACCTAGGTACCTTCCTTTCCGGCGACGGGCACAATAGCAAAGTGCAAAGAAACCGGAAAGTGTCTCAATAACCTTCTTGCATCTATATACATCCAGTGGCTTTGATTCCCTTGTACATATACACATGCATAAATACCTCTGACTGTACATAATTATTATATAGGTAGGTACCTATGCTCATCGCACGATTGGACACTGTGCTCATACGAACATTCTGCTCTCTTCATAATCTCGCGAGTCTACAGATCAGCCCAACTAATCCCCTGAACCTCACCCTAAAGCGGGTCGCGGCTTCCTAAAGATTCTATTGGCTCTTTCCTACGACCTTACTCCACTAGTTGGTTAGGGTAAGATCCTTCTGATTACTTAAGCCTCTACTACCGCCACCACTGCCACCACCAAGTCAACTGTACCACCAAGTTAACTAGCACCACCAAACCACCACCACAACCACCACCACCACCACCACCGATTAGTTAATTATTTATTGAATGCTCCTAGGGCAACTTTTAATCGCGAAAAAGAATAAATCAAATGTACGTTCGTACGGTGGTTAGAAAGGAGAATTTAGCGACCCTTGTACGAAATAGGGATAAAGTTTGGTTGACAGGGAAAAAGCTCGGCAAAATCGCCTAATCCGGTTAGAGGTTGGGGTGAGGTACAGGGGACTAGTTGGGCTGATCTGAGACCTCTAATCTCGCCAAAACTCACCCGCCATCCCAGTCAAAGGCTCGACCCTTTCTCCGTGCAGGTAAATAGGGAACGCCTCGACGTCCGCGTCGGGGGTCCTTTTCGACCCCGATTCCGACGCGATAGCACCATCCATCGAGGTCGCGAAGCCGGCTAAGGCCCCGCGACGGTATCAGCGCATGGTAACAGCGCGCTAGACCTTCGAAAACCTCAGCACTGGGCTGACACCGTATAGATACATAATACCCCCCTGGCATGGCGGAGAAATACATCATTCGAGTAACTGCCGGATCAGACTACGATCTAGACCAGCATGTCGTAGTGCCCGTTAATTCGCACGAGCCGGTTAGGATCGATACCGAGTTGATCGACGCGGAGCTCAACGTCCGCGTGCGGAATTACAGCGGCCTGCCTAGAGGCTCGCCCGTCACCTCTCCTTATTTTACGTGCGAGCCTCATACCGCCAATGATGACTGGTACAGTATAGCAATCCGTTTCACGCCCAAGAGGCCTGCCGCCCGTCCCGACTCGATGTCGGTCTCGAAAGACCCGTCCGGAGCCCCGCCGAGACTGGAGCGGTGCTCTGGATCTTCGCAGTCATCATCCTGTGCTGATAGCGACGAGGACACCGATGAGCAAGCTGCTAGCGGCATTTCGGGGACAGACCTCCAATTCGGCAACGATTTTGACCACCCCATTCGAGACCGCCTCCCGCCCGGCTTCGGTTATGCCATGAACATCGTGAAGTGGTGGATCGACCCCGGCCTCGAAGGCGACGCGTACGCCGATCAGCCTTACCTATACGGGCCTGCCTTGTCGTCTTTCAACACCATTCACGTAGGACCGGGCGAGATCTGCCCAGAGAAGGGTGGGCTGTGCTTCGGAGAAGGCGGTGATGAAGATGGCCTCAGGGACCGACACGCCATCGGCACACCAGAAGCCGCCAAGGACCGCATGAAGTGGGCCTTGAAGTCTGACAACCGGAGCCGGTGGCTATTCCATTACGGCAAAACATACTGTCTCGATTTCTACAACCCCTACATTGACTTTAACGAGTTCAGCCTTCGCCTACCAGGCTTCACTCTACCAATTATGAAATACTGGGACGGCCAGAGCCTGAGGTAAGCCGAGCTCGGTCGTTAACGACGCGCGGATATATTGCCCCTTCTCCCACAACAGTTGAAATTGCATTCTCATTGTGCCCATTTGCGTGCATTTAGGCCTAGACCGAAGCGCTCACACACCCTCAGATACGTACTGCGTAACCGCGCGTCCAACGCCACGTACTTGGTAGTCGTGTTCACGCTTTACCTTAAGGAAGATGTCAACGAGGACGGGTCGCTCAAGCCAACTCCGTTAACGGCAGCCAGACAGCAGCAGCAGCATGATGATGGGGAGGCGACCGATGACCTCGGAGGTGCGGCCGAGGTGGATAGCGGCGCGAGCCCGGACAAAGACAATTATGAAACCCGTCGACGCTTTGAGAAGATAGATATTGGTAGGGCAGCTAGGAACCAGGAGACTTTCGACGACGGTGTCGACTAATCCAAATAATAATAGATGCCAGGTCCGTGCCTTATAGCACATCTCTCACTATCAAAGGAGAAATCAACTGAAAACGGATTATGTTTTTACTTTTTTCAATGAACAACCGTATTAATTGACATTGACCTCTGGGTGGAGTTGAAATCGATAACGCCACAACACACGGCCACTCTCACCCTCAGTCCCACCATTTCTCGTAGGTTCGGCTAGTCGATATTATATCAACCTCCATTATCGATCTTCCCCAACCGACAAGTAGTAGTTGGGCGATAGAGAGGGATGAGAAACATAGGGGAACAGCGTCGGCTTCTGGAATTAATGCCTTAAAATGCCTAAAGTTTGCCCCTGGAGTCGTAATATAAACAGGCTGGACGAGGCGCTGAGAATGCAACCCCTCCTCCTCCTCCCCAGCCCCCTTTCGCCTCCTACTCGTAAGATATAAGTAAAATATTCGTCTTCCCGTCTAGGTTGGGCGCAACGTTAGTGCCGAACCAGCCTGATTTCTAGCACAAGTGCTGTCTAAAGTAGTTGTTAAGATCGATCTCAACACTCCGAATTGATGGAATATCACCCTGAGGGACGTTTACGCCAGTATCACCATACGCGAAATTTACAGAAGCCGAGTGCCCCCAGCTGGAACTTTTCCTGTCAGGTTTAGGCGTGCTATCATCGCGCGTATAATGCTACACCCGCCCGTTCTCCTCGAGGACGAGAACCTCGAAGTTCCCGTGGTCCTGCCTATCGTCATACTTGGTTGAGTTCTAAACGATCGAGCCTCCGGAAAGCGCCTTCGGAGAAATAAAATCAGGCACCGTAAGAAACGCTGAGATATATATTCTAACGAGACTAGACCTCGCTGAAGGGTGGATGGGCAACAGCCCGGGCGTGGTAACGTGGAGACGGGGTTGTCGGCTGGGAGAGTAGGATAGGAAGAAGTGCGCCAGACGGACTCGGGGATTCATTGTATATGTAGTCACATTGCCTGAGGGGACTCTCCGAAGCATTAATGGACCTCTCAAGACATCAGCATCCATGCCCAAGGAAACAATAATAACCACAGCGTTCCGTCCTATTCGCTCGTCTCCGAGCTAAACTCTTAACCACGCCTTAATATTAATCCATTCGCCAGGCGACTTTCCTACGCCAATGTCGTAGTACCAACACCACCCAGATCGTATAGATCGCTTCGTTTAGGTGGTGTGACATCGAGAATGTAACCATGTGCTGAGCACGGGGAAGTTGTTGGGCCCCCTCTTAGACTCCCTAGGAATCGGAGTACCCAGGTTATTAACACTAATGTTATAAGAGCGCCGCTCTCGTCACTGCTTTCACTGTCCCTGTAGCTACATAAACCGTAGCCGGCAAGACTGGAGTGTGATTTTCGGATCCCATTCATTGTTATCATGCGTTTAAGGGTATTCTATGTGCTGGAGAATAAATGGCATCGATCATTGGATGGCCTACGCTCAAACGAGACCAACGTCGAGACAGCGAGATCTGGATCTCAGCGCGTTGACGCGCGGTACTAAGCTACCATTATCACCCCGTCTTATCCTATCTACCGGGGCGGATCGCGCCGCTCAGCCGCTCCAGACGGCAGGTCCAGGGGGCACGTAGGCCTCGCCGACGGTGCCGAGGTTGACGAGGATTCCCGGGTCGCTGCTGCCGTAGGCGCCGGGGAACGCGACGAGCGGGCCGGGAGTGCCGCTGCCGCCGCCCGTGATCTTGACCTGCGTACACGCGAGGTAGATCTGCGCACCGCCTTGCCGCATCGCCATGTGCAGCGCGATCTGCTCGACACGCAGCAGGTACTCTCCGTCGGGCGTCGACGCCGGGATCGTCGCGTTGGTCAGGACGTACTCGTCTGGGGAGAGGGAGCAGGAGAAGAAGGTCGGGTTAGTAGTCTCCACGTTTGGGTGCATGTTTGAGAGAATGCGGATCTAAGAGGAGGTGGAAAGAGGGGAAGGAGAATGTTTTGTACTCTGAGCAGGCCAGGTGAGCTGCTTGTTGCGGTCCATCGTGGGTGTCGTCGTATGGAACTTGAACCAGACATTCCCGGACCCGTCCCAAGTTGCGGCGCTCTGACCGGCAGGGACCTTGGCTAAGTAGTATTGGGTCGGTCCTGGGTGGTTGACCTGCTGGGTCGAGATGTAGTGGATGGTGGCGCCGGCAGGGACGGTCAGGATGTTGGCCGCGGTCTGGGACGAGTAGCAACGGAGGTCGGGGCTAGCCACGTTCTCGATGCCCTGCTTGCTGTCGGCGTTCTTCGTCTTACGGGTCGCGAACCAGTCCGTGCTCTCGGCCTTGCCGTTGACGACGAGACGCGGGAACGTGTCTGACGGGGACGGTTAGTCGGGCGAATACGAGGGTTTCCGGGAAGGCTTACAGTGGGCTTGCACCGCCGTAGTGGCGATCAATACGCTGGCGAGAAACTTCATTGCTATTTTCCTGTCGTCGGCGAGGATAGAGGAGGCGGAGGCGAGTGGACAGCAAGACCCGTGGCCACAGTTGCTGGTCTTATGTGCGTGTAACCGACGGCCAAGCAAGCCCCCTTCGCGGGTGACGTGGATGGCCAACATAGAGTGGTGTCATTAATTTATTGTTCCCAGAAAGCCAGGTTCCGCATCGCTCTATTCTTCTCGGTCCGCATTGCGCACCCCACCTGATTGATGCTGCGGGCTTCTTCCACCCTATGGACTGCGAGGGACTGCCTCGCGGCTAATATCGAAGCCAAGCCGGAGGATGGCTACTTTGCACATCTACGGACGGTCTCGGCAATGCAGATAACTGTGGCATTCGGCCGCTTGGAGAACGCCGAGAACCCTTCCATCCGGTTGCCAAGTCGGATGCGCACGCCACAAGTGCCCCTGGGAGTCTTATGTCAGGGACATCGTCACCGAGAGTTGTTGTCTTATACCTACGCTTCCTCGCTCACTTGTTCGGTTCGGGAATGCCCGTACCTATAGGATCCGACTTGCGTGGGCGGTGGGCGGCAGAGGGAACGAAACAGAAGAAGAGCGGAGGGGACGGGACAGGAATGGATGGGAGAAGGAGAGGAATTCGGAATATGATGCCTAAATGAAAAGGTGTTGGAGTACTTCAGTATACCTACTGCCAGGTAAGTCTATAGTCGGATGATTGGGTTGGTGTCAGGTGGGGTTAGTTAGGTAATTACCCCTATTACCTAAGAGACCTAGCATCCAATCAGCATCAACTACGTACCGCAGGAGGTAATAGGCTTATAGACTTGAATAGTTCGCGATTGTTCAAATTAGATTGGTTGAAGTTCAACTTGACATAACTGCATAACCTCTTAAGCATAATACCGAGAGGTGGCCCTCCTCTCAGGCAATGAGAACGTAGGAAACCTGAATCGGAACTGGCCCGTCTTTTCTTTTCTTTTTCCGTCCCAATTCCTCCCTCTCACGAAAAGGTCAGAACATACTGTAAACACTAGGTACGTCCATTGGAACACACGCTGCTTCGATACCGCACATACGCAGTCGCCTCCAATTCCTGAACGCAAGGCGGAGGGTCGGCAGTTATCGCAATGGAAAAAAGGGCCGTCCCCACGAGAAGGTTGAAATACCCAAGTTCTCAGGTCTGTGATCGTGGTAGACAGGCATCGGCAGCTGGGCAGCGAGCACCGCTCTCGTCTACGAGACTTCACGGCATCCTTAGTCACCGTTGGAATATTGTAGCTATAGTCGGAACTGACGGACTACTGATAATGGTAGTAGGAACCGGCGCCCAGCCTCGCAGATCCCTTACTTCTGTACCCAGGCCGCGGACAGCTCGTAGCAGCGGGGCCTGATCGGTATGGCCAAGCTAATAGTTATCTCGAAGCGTTACGACGCTACCGTCGCTGTCAAATAACGACTACAATCGACAACGACGGGGCAGCCTGCAGAGCTGCGGCTTGCTAGCTAGCTAACGCATCTACGGTAGCGTGCTTGGCAACATGCTTGGCATCACCACTCCCCTTGCACCGATCTTGCAAGCTAGGTATTAGACGGCATCCGGTAGGTAACTAGGCAGTGGGGTCTCCTTTTCCGAAAGCCAAGTGATGGCATAACGGGTTGGAAGGCGTGGGAAGGCGTACCAGCTTTTCAGCACTGTGTTGAAAGAAGTATCAACCTATATTGGGGGAAGTGAGCAGAAGCGGTTGGAGGGTGTAATATCGACGATAACTATGGTTCTTTGCGATTACCGGCTAAAGTCTCCATGTCACCTCAGGAGAGGCCTGGCCCCCCCGACTCCCGCGAGATCCTTAGAAAAGGTCTTTCTCGGTCTTAATCCCAGTTCTGCCACGAGCAGGTTTCTCCTCAGTCACGTTGAAGTGGATCGTTTCTACAAAGCAGATGCTCGGTTGCAAAGAGCCGCGAGAGGGGCGCTGGCTGCGACCAGGGTTGAAAGTTGGACGCGGAAAGATAAAAGATAACCCGATCGTCCCCACGAGCCGCGCTTCGTCATTTACCAGCGGCCTCGAGGGCCTGTACGCATTGAATAGCCACATTTCCAAAAATATCCTACTCGTCCTCTCGGGGTAGCGGGAGTGTCGATGAAGGCAAGGAAGCCCAGGCTCCGGGACCGACCGATGTTACCACTTCTGCATGCTACGGGTGGTGAAGACGAGGAATATAATAATATCTGAATTCCTTCTTACAGTTCGGATCAAAACCATGGGTGTTTTTGACCCCATATCCTTCATCCAGACCTACTCGTGCGTCGTGCCTTGACCAACGACTCTCGCCCAGCATGCCGTACTCTAAGTCCGCCGCCTTCATCGGCACTGTGGCCCTCGCCTGGTTAGGGGCGGCAATTCCAGCACCGTCTAGCACGGCAGCGGCCGCAGCGCGATTGGCAGAATGCGCACCGGTCCCCTCGGCAGGCAAGTATCCCACGTGGCAGCAGCTCCCAAAGCAGACGACGCTCCCGGACCCTTGGCTTCCGTTAGCCTACACGACGACGGACAGCGAGGGCGGCGACTCGCCCTCATTCGCCTCCGACGTAATGAACGGAAATGGGAAGAACAGGATCCAGACGCCTGAGGAATGGTACCGATGCCGGCAGCCTGAGATCGTCCAGTTACTCCAGGAATACCAGTGAGTCGGCCTCTGAGACTCGAATGAATCCTGCACACATCTACGAAGTTGTGCGAGTCTCGTTAATTTTGAGCACGTCCTGACAAACGTGCGCGCTCTCACCTAGATACGGCTACTACCCGGACCACTCTCAGGAGACTGTCAAGGCCACCCGTAGCGGTAGTACGGTTAACATCGAAGTAACGGCAGGCGGCAAGACGGGTAGATTCAGCGCTACGCTCGCGCTGCCATCCGCCTCGCCGGCTCCCGTTGTCATTAACATCGGCGGCATGACCAACCAGCCTTACCTACAGGCCGGCATCGCCGTCGTTGGTTTCGACTATACTCGCGTCTCGCCTGATAGCAACGCTAAGACCGGCGCATTCTGGGATCTCTATAAGGGGCGGGACATCGGTATGTCCTATCACAGCTATTTTGTCTATCGTCCTCTGTGTTCCACGCTCCCCATAGATGAATTCCTTTCGTACCAAGAGAGTAGATGAGAGCAGGTTTACCGACTAACCCGCGACCGTCCTCGGAAACAAAACAGGCGTCCTCACGGCATGGGCCTGGGGCTTCCACCGGGTCCTCGACGCGCTCAACGCGACAGTGCCCGAGATTGACAGCAGCCGGGTGGGCGTGACGGGGTGCTCGCGACTGGGAAAGGCGGCGCTCGCGGCGGGGCTGCTCGACCCGCGGATCACGCTGACGATGCCGATGAGCAGCGGGGTGCAGGGCCTAGGGCCCTACCGGTACCACGGGCTCAGCGGGCAGGACGAGACGCTCGAGAACAGCAAGAGCGGCGCCGGCTGGTGGACCGACAGCACGCTCGGCACCTTCGTCAACCACGCCGAGAACCTGCCCTACGACGCCCACACCATCGCCGCCGCCATCGCCCCCCGCGCCCTTGTCATCGACCAGGGCACTGGCGACCAGTTCACCAACTCCAAGGGCACCTCCATCATCGTTTACCCTGCTGCCAAGCAGGTCTACGACTGGCTTGGCGTCAGCGACCAAATCGCCATGTCCGTCCGCGGCGGCGGCCATTGCGACATGAGCGGGTTGTAAGTGTCGAGACTACACTCCCCTTCCCCCCATCCCTCACCACCTCAACCCATTTCTAGAACCTCTTGCTTAGTAAATTTCGAGTCTAACCCCCGCAAAGCAACAGTGTCCTCCCCTTCGTGACGAAAGTGCTCCAGAACAAGACGATCACCAAAGACTACAACGACCTGGGTAGCTACGGCTCGCCGATGACGACGACCTACCCGTGGGCTAGCGCGGTGCCTAAGGCCGCCTAATACCGAACACCTGGCTAGAATTTCATAGCGACTTGGGAGGCACCAGTGTATGAGGAAAAGGAAACAGGGTGTGTCAACGCACATTGAAAATCATTTCGAAGAGGTTTTATTTTTTATTACATGTGACCGAAACGCCTGAACCAAGCAACGTAGCTACGCATCGGCCCTCCTGAGTGCAAGAAACAGCCGCGGCCAACCATGTCTATAAAGTATCGTTACCACCTCCCGAATGTCCCCTTCCAAGAACGCCTATACCCATAGAGCTCTAGAATCACGCCTCGGTTGGACTAATTAAGCAGTGAATGGGTGGTAAGTAGGGAAGCAAAGGAACGCCCTTCTCTCGTCGAAAGATGGCCGAAAAGCAACCTAAAAATTTTAAGGGAGAGAAAGAAATCACGCAAAGGCGCCGACGAGGGCCATGAGCGTGGCTCCGGCAAAGACGGCAAACCCGGCGTTCCGGCGCTTCCGGCCGTGGAGCGACTTGTAGCTCTTCTCGGTGAGGAAGTCCTCGGCGAGGAGCTGGACGAGGCCAGCGAAGAGCAGGAGGCCGCTCGAGATGGCGTTCATGAAGCCGACCATGAGTAGGCCGGTCTGGCTGAGGGGATCGTACATGCGGTGGACGGCGAGGCCGATGGCCTGGCCGATGGGGGTGGTGAGGCCGTAGGCGAGCACCATGAGCCACGGCCGCAGCGACGACCGCGGGAACTGGATCGCGGCGATGCGAGACCCTAGCGCGAGGCCCTCAAACGTCTGGTGGAAGGCGATGGCGACGAGGAAGACGACGAACGGCGGGCCTGTCGCCACCGACACGGCCATTCCGATGAACACGCTATGGAACAGGATGCCGGCCTCGAGCAGGATGCACTGGAACATCAGGCGCTTCTGCTCCTCGGGCGACGGCGGGGCCTGGAGGGCCGCGGACTCGGCGTACCGTGCTGCGAGTCTAGCGTCCCCGTTGGAGCGGGCCAGGGGCAGTTCGTCATCTTCTGGGGTCGGATCGAGTTCGTTTAGATCCAGATGGAGGTCGTCATCATCGCCGTCGCTGTTTTCGTCGTTGTCATCGTCATTCTTGCTCGGAAGAGGAGATTTGTGGCTGTTCGGCGCCGCCGTAGTGATGGGCATAGAGCCGGGCAGTGGCGAGACGTCGGCCATTAGACCTCGACTAGCTCCTAGATCGTCGAGTGCGATATCTGTCGCCCGGTGGCTGCTAGCCCTCCCTGCGGCTAAGCCGCCATTCGTTTGCGCGTTTTTCCTATTCTCATCTAATTCTTCGTCGTCCGAGTCCCACGTGTGCGCATGTGCGTGAGAGTGGCCGGCGCCCCGGGTAGTCAAGTACGATTCCAACGATACGACGGCTAGGACCGACACCATGGCTACTAAACCAGCCATGGGTGGATATCCCTCGTTGAATATGTACGGAAGACAGGGGTCGGTAAGGGATATGAAGGCGGTGGGAAGCAGGTGGACGAAGGCGGTCGCGATTAGGACGCCGGTTCCGAAATGTTGGCTAAGGAAGACTATATTGTGGGCGCGGCGGCTCTTGGAGCTTCGGCGAGAGAAGAGAGGGAATCCGCATGCTACCATGTTTTTTTTGGCCCGTAGTTAGCCAGCTAGTCCGGTGCACGAGCGGAGCCACAAGGCTTGTAGGTACAGGCACTCACCCAGCGTGCTCAGAGTTAAGATCAGGAACAGGGCGAAGACGTGGAGCGGCGTATCGTAGGCGCCTCTGTCGCCGGACCCGCAGGCGGGCTTCTCGGCATTGTTGTTGTCGGCCTGACCGTCCTGTCTTCTCTCGAGTTCGGCAAGCAGCAGATGGGTTGGGATGGAGGACCAGGACGAGTCTACGGTGGGGAGATGGAAGTTAGCAGGCCGAGGCGCAACCTATTGCGAGGGCCATGTCGCGTACGGATATGCGCCGACGTGCATGCACACATACGTACCTCCCTGGGTTAGCAGCTCCATCGTAAAGGAACAGCTATGGGTGCGGATGCGGCAACCGAGGCGCGGGGATAGGTCATCTACAGGCGGCGGTATGATTCGGGACGGGACGCTGTCGGCATCGTCACTGCGATTCCTGATTACGGAGGGAAAAGGGTGATGCCGGCGTCGCTATGTTGTTGTGGTGGTGACGGTAGAGAAGGGCATGTTGTCGTCGACGCCGCCGACAAGGTGTCTTGTTCTGTTCGGTACCTAACGGAGGCGAGATCGGATGTATATAACAATAGCTACACACATAATAGGAGGTACATTCTCTAAGGCAGGGAGGTACTCCGGAGGCATGTCATGGATGGATACCTTCTATCAATAGAAGCTGCGCCATTGCCAGAAGCGGCGACGGATGGAAGAAAATTGATTCTTTGGACATTCTTTTAGTACCTAGGTACCTACCTGGTACAGAGAACCACCTGAGAGGCGAGTCGGCAGCAGAGGTGATCCAGGTACCAGGGTAGGTACCTCCTAGCCTCCTAAGTGCCCGGGTAGGTACCTAGGTACCTGCCCGTGGCTGGACTAGCTGACTCAGCCTGTCGGGTGGGTCCAGGCCGGACTCCAGCCTGCCCGATGTCTCGGAGCGTTCGCCGCCCTCATCTTTTGCTTCAGCCATCACCACATCGCTCGGGAATCTCTCATTCTGCAACCAGGGTCTATCTTCAGGGCGTAGTGCGTCGATTTCTCTGTATCGAGTGGGATTTCGGCGACATGTAATACCATGTTCTTGCAGTCATCCAACCTCAGACCACTTACCTACCTACCTACCTACCGGAGCCATGTTTTCGAATCCTAGGCCAGACGGAAGAAAAAATGAGCTGGTGAGAGTCCGACCGTCAAACAGAGACCGGTACAGCCTCCCGCTATCTAGACGGGGATTCTCCTCCCGACAAAGGAGGGCGAGATATTGAAATCTTCAAGTTAACCCGGACCACTAACCGGGGCCTCTTGTCACGTCGACTTTCGGTTTCCTATTCATCGCACTCTAATATTCTGCTTTAGGGACAGTAGGTATAGCCCGGGAAGAGAGCGATCGAGTGACAGCGCCTAACAGGGCGTCTCCTTTTCAATATCATCCATACATGCTTCGTCAAGCCAGAATGTCTATCAGAAGTAGCCTCCAGGTTGTAAATCAAATACCCACGTTATCTCGTCGCATTGTTACCCTTCCGAGTCAAGCTCGCCCTTCCGTGCAATGCATGTACACTGTCATGTTAAGCTCATAGGAGCGCAACGGATTTGTGCTCTCTTATATGACACGCGCTCCATTTTATCTCTGCGAGATAGTTCACAGACGGATATTAGGTAATATGTCAAAGGACTAAACACCCAAACACCGTCTAAGGTTCAAAGTAAAGAGGACCGAGCGAGGGAGTTAAGACAGTACGCGAGCGTGATATTCTTGTTATTAGCATTAGTAGACGGAGGCAGGAAGAATTGATTCTTTTCGCCCGATCGTTCTCAGGTAGGGGCACACTATAGGCACCAATAGGTATTGCCCGTAATACCCACGTCGCGAAAGCCATTCCTTCTAGGCCATACGAAAACCCAGTTTACGGCACGATCTATCTATCCAACTTGAATGTCCGGACCCGGTTACAGAACTCTTACCGTACGCTCGTTTCAATTTGGACTCGTGACCGCCGGGTCTTGTTGCTTTCCGAGATACTTGGAGTATGGAGGCTCTTTAAAGCTCCTAGATCCTGATAGCAACTGTTGCCACTTTCTACAGGAGCCTGGGCTCCGGTACTTTGTTATTTAGTAGGACGAGGTTTCGCCAAAAGCCATAACCGAGCGATATTATGCTTGGAGTGCACTACAGTGAACTATGTAGGTACTTTCTCGCGACATCATATATGACAAATTTCTCTACGTCTTGATTTCCATCTCGTCGGATTCTGACTCTGGCGTTAGCGGCCTCTCCGGGAGATCTCCGTCTCGGCCAACATGGTCTACCAACACTATCAGCTGTTGCACTCCTTCGGGATGCAGGTATGATGCCATCCTAGGTTTACCATCGATAACGGAGTTTCTCAAATGCCTGAGACAGTATTAAAGACACGAGCTAAGATAAAGTCATACGGAGCTGGTTCTGGAGTCCTACATGCGAACAAGGCGGGGAAGAATACGGCACACAACTGCTAGGCTATGTATTCCCCCAGTCTATGGTGTTTCCATTACCTAACGATGTCATTACCATCTGCTATGTAAATATTGACGCGAGACTAGTCAGCACGACTACGGTTCCCCCTCTTCTCTTCAGCCCCTTGCCGCCCCCCTGTTATGGCTCCTTCTACGCGTCTATGTAAGACCGCGGGGGCTCTTCCTCATGTAGGTACACGCCGCATTCCCAAACCCCAGCTTGTACGTACTCCTGGTTGAATACAGGAATCGAATTGCAGCTGATTCATCACAAGCTCTTTTTTTTTTTCTTCAAGTCGCCTGTCCTGAAAACTTGCCCGCTCTCCTCACCTCCTCCCTGCCTGCATTTCTCCATCTCGTCTTCTCCCCTCGTTACATTCTCCACGGACAGGTGCTCGGCAAGCGATGGAGGCTGAGACGCACCCGATGCGAGCATGCGGTATATACTTAGACAGGAAAGTCTGCACGCCCGCACGCCATAGCGCATTGACGTCGAATGATAGACGCACACCGTCGTATTGTACTTGGTGCGTGTCGTGCCCGAGTGGGCAGATAGCCCAAGGCGGGTACTACATCACGATGTAATACGGCGCCCAGCCCGAATGGTTAGCAGTACCTATATGCAGACCTGCCTATAATGTCCCCGGTCCCGCCGACGCCCATAGCAGATTACCGGGCGACGTTACCACATGCAGGCAAGTTGCAAGCGAGTAACAGTGTAACGTCGTTCGGGGCCATGACTAAGTTTACCTAAGCTAAGCCAGTACGAACGGCGGAGGGGTCAATTCTTCTCAAACTCCCTCCCTCGCCATCCGCGTGCCCCGTTTGGCTCACCTGCCAGATTATACCTACTCCGTAAATGCATATGGTAGGTACATGGGTAATCAGATGGGATGCGGCGTAGGTGCCTCTAACTTGCCCTTTTACTACCTCCTAAAAAGAGACAGTCTTTTCGACAGAAATAGGAGCTTAAGGGGCTAGGTACCTGATCTACGGCATCACATGTAGGTACCTAGGTGACAAGGATGGCAGAGGTACCTAGGGGGTAATGGAGGTAGGTAGGTAGCCAACGTTACTCATCTCCTCTGTTACCTGATGTACCTGAGCGTGAAGGCTGAAGAGATACCCATGCCGGAATTGAATTATCGAATTATCTAACATCGGATAACTAGGTACCAACACGCCCCTAACATCGGGTTAGTGCATATAGCACCTTCCCACATTAGGTACCCTGCCTAGGTACCTGCCTTATTCCAATAGGCGGCTCCGTGCAGTACACAGGTACCTATCAGGCAACATATTAGATCCCCTCCTCTTCGTCCTCCTCCCTCTGCTGCCACCATCGTGCCCCTTGCCCCCCCCCCCAAGACCATATCCATTCCCTCGCGTCGTCCCTCGCGTCTTGCCGAGTCGGCCATCACGAACACCCCTCCCCCCGCACACCCTCTCGCAGACACTACGTAGTATGCAGCCTACGGCGTTACCCTCCTTACCTCCAGCAGCCTCCAGTCATTCTCGTCAGGTCACGCGTGTCCTATCCCGTATCGTTGGGGATCCTTATATTATCACCACTCCATGGCAGAGCACCGTTTAATCAATGTAAAGAGCTTTACTCAGCAAAGCTTCCCGAGGTAGGCAGGCCGTCACCGTGGTCTTATGCCGCTCTTCCCGAGGACGGAGGGATGGATGGCCGGGCTTATCGACCACAGCACGTCGATGACATACCTACCTACCTCACCGGTGACAAAGCAATGTGGCATCGCATCGGCATCGCGAACCTTGATGACCCAGGCCACGGATCCAGAGTAAGGGTATGGGTCCACGAAGCGAAACGTCGTGTAGGCACCTCTCCGTGTCGTCTAACTACTGCGCCGTGCCCCGCGCTGTCGCCATCTGCAGCTATCACGGTGTCATATTGCGTAGGCGGTAAAGTGGCCAATTGCCAATTCTTCGCGCCATTCTGTCAACATGAACGTCATGCGTCCCTGTCAAGCGTTACCTGACGAAAACGGCAGCTCTGAAGTTCATACAAGCCCTTCCCGAGTTGCATCGTCCCGCTTGCTGGGGCATCGCCCGCTGCTATTGGATCTTGGCAGCCTCCATATCGGCGGAGAGGGAAGGGGGGCCCAAGAAACTTGATCTCTGATCATCTATGATATCTCCATCTCCCGAGCTACCCACACCATCATATACGCCTTTGCCGGCGGCACCCCAGCCAATTCTGCGAGCTTACTCAACTTCCCTACCCTTCTTCGGCCTAGAATGTCAAGATCGGGTTTACCTACATCTCCATCTCAGCGCACCCCCCCTACCCCCCGGCTCCCCCGTCGCCGGTCGAGATAAGCTAGCTTGCTGTCTCCCGTGGCCTATTATTGGAGGAGTAAGCCAACGAACGGAAGGGAACTGGTTGAACACTCCTATAGCTTCTTCGTGCCGGCACTGGCATCTCATCCGACGCTAGCCAGGGGTTGACCGGGCCTAATCCGAGTTTCGCCTGCCCTCTCACGGCCAAGGCTAGAAGAAGGGCGCCCCCTAAGTGAGATTATGGTGCTTTTGCCCATGCCGTATGCGAGCTTAGGCTTGGAGCCTCACGACGATCCGGGGTCCGTTGAAGTGCAGATCGCACTGCGCTCGTCTTGATATGAGCGCTACCGCCCTCAGAACCTCGGCTGATCTTTACCTATACCACCTAGCTGATATAGGGCACTCTCTTTGGAGGGAACCGTAGGTTTAACCCAGAGGAGGCTCATCGAATCCCCCCCGGCGATCTGGAGAGTCTTAAGGTACGATATGCGGCTAAGCATCGTCTGGTAGACCTTTAATCGTACCACCATGAGCGATCGGAAAATCCACACTTCGGCCCAACCCCGATGTTGGCTCGCCTCCATCTCCCTCCCTGGCTTGAGCCACGACCTCCTGCCTGCTGCTCTCTCTGTCTGTTGACCTGCATTCAGCTTCGCTTTCTGGCATCGAAGTCACATTGCCAAGTCGATTGCTACCCATTCGGCATCATTCCCGCACTCTTCACTGCTGAGCATTGGGTCAAATTCCAAGCCGTCAGTCTAGTGTGTTCTTCTGAATAAGCTCGGGTAACCACTTACATTTGCTGGGGGCCCTTTCGTGCATACACGTCCTATTTCCTCCTTCCGCATTTTGAATCGCGCTGCCACCCCTAACTAATTCTTTGAGCCAGGCCGATATGACTCCTAAAGCTGATCGGGAAGCTCGAGGATCGACTGTACATCATGAGAACCTCGTTCTGGAATGTGTTGTCCTATATCGCAATAATGGCTACGGGGTGTCGCCATCGGTCATGAATTTCAAGTTCTTGGACATCTAAAAAAAAAGTCTATATAAACTACTCTCGGTGCCCATGCTGTCGGATAATTTCTCAGACCAACTCGATCACCCAAGGTTGACTTACGAGCTCCTCTATCTTTGACCTGCATACCAGTGCCTATCCGCCATGGCTAGTTTTCGTCGCCTCGCGCTCCTCCTCGGAGCCGTTCTCCCTGCCATCTTCGCCGCTCCTACTGCTCCTCAGCAGAAGCGGGAGATCGTCCCCAACAAGTACATCGTCACCCTGAAGGAGGGCATCACCACTGAGGACTTCAAGACCCATGTGAACTGGGCTCGCGACATCCACAGCCGCAGCCTGTCTAAGCGTGACACCACTGGTATCGAGCACGAGTACCACATCTCAAACTTCAACGCTTATTCCGCCGAGTTTGACGAGGAGACTCTGGAGCAGATCAAGAACCACCCCGACGTAAGTTAGCAACACTATCCTGCTGCCAGGGGGGCATTGTGCAGTGGCTTCTTTGGCAGCGTTCGGTTGAATAGCCGTTCGAACGACTTGTCAAGCTAGCTCCCCACTGCACTTCTCGGTTATCCCGAGACATCTCTCAGCAGATAGTCACTCGTTAAAGCTATCAAACCTCAACGCCTCGCGGGGCCTGTATCCGGCCTATAAGCTGACCCTACGCGATAGGTTGCCGAGGTTGAGGAGGACCAGGTCTGGTACCTCTTCGACGAGACCCCCGAGCTCTCGAAGCGCGCTCTTACCACCCAGACCGGCGCACCCTGGGGACTGGGCACCGTCTCCCACCGCACTTCCGGCTCCACGTCGTACATCTATGACACCTCCGCCGGCGAGGGCACCTATGCCTACATCATCGACACTGGTATCCTGGAAACTCATGAACAGTTTGGCGGCCGTGCGTCGCTAGGCTACAACGCTGCCAGCACCAGCAACCCCGACGCTGTAGGCCACGGCACTCACGTTGCCGGTACCATCGGAGGTGAGATGGCAATCGTGCCATTTTTTCTTACGTGACAATCACGCCGAGCTTGTCTAATTTGAGTACCGTAGGCTCTACTTATGGTGTCGCCAAGAAGGCTACCCTCATCGCCGTTAAGGTGTTCCAGGGTTCGTCTAGCACTACCGCGATTGTCCTGAGCGGATACAACTGGGCTGTGAACGATGTCATCAGCAAGGGCCGCCAAAGCGTTTCCGTCCTAAGCCTGTCGCTCGGTAAGCTATTCACCATCCGCGTCAGCGAGTTGGTTGGAATTCATTGACTAACTCGACCCTTAGGCGGTGGCTTCTCCTCCGCTTTCAACAACGCCGTCAACTCTGCCTTCGGCTCGGGTGTCCTGTCCGTCGTTGCGGCTGGCAACAGCGCCACCAACGCTGCCAACACATCGCCCGCTTCCGCTGCTGATGCGATCACCGTCGGTTCTATCGACTCCTCGTGGGCCATTTCTTCCTTCTCAAACTACGGCGCCGTTGTCGATTTGTTTGCCCCCGGCAGCAGCGTCATTTCCGCCTGGATCGGCTCCAACACTGCCACCAACACCATCTCTGGTACCTCGATGGCCACTCCCCACGTCACTGGTCTCGCGCTGTACCTGATTGCGCTCGAGGGCCTCAGCACCCCTGCTGCAGTCACCAACCGCATCAAGGCGCTCTATACCACGGGCAGGCTTACCGGAATCCCTAGCGGCACTGTCAACGCTGTCCTCTACAACGGCAACGGCGCTTAAGGGATAGGGCCGATTTGATATCAACGACCACTGACGCAAACGACAGCCGAGAGGGACCTATCACTCGATGGGAATTTTGCTCAGAGGGAAGCTAAAGAGATCTTCGCTATAACCTAGGCTCTCCAGGACTGGGATGTCAACTCATCATAGGACTCACACTTTGCCTGCAGACTCCGCAAGTACTATGATAGATAGCGATCATAATTAATTTATCTCCAAGCCATTTCTAACTGCTCTTGGGAGACACAAGCCGAACCCAGACCTATCCTGCAGGGTGTCTGGCTCATTTAACTCCCCCACGTAGTTTTGACGCGAAACGCTGAACACGTAGATTCGTACCGACTGCCATCTACCCGAACCCATAGGCGGTTTTCTTTCACACTCTCGGCAGCGCAAGCTCCTAGACTAAGACCGTGAAGTGGTCGCATGATAGTCTGTGGACCTGATGTTGCGCCTCGAGATAAGTAGATCCCCTTTGCTCAAGGGGCAATCCACGATATTTAGGCTGATCCCTAGAAGGGGCCGCGATTATTGCAATGTGCTGGTTATTACATCGGCGGCGGGATTTCTTACATAAGACGATGAGTATCGATCGCCCGGGGACGGCGAGGCGAAGAACCCCAGATGAGATGGGTTAGGTGGGAAATGCCACAAGCAGGGTCGCAGAGCGCACATGAAACGTGACTCGATGCCGACATCCATTGCCACGAAACGGTATTTGCCCTGTCCTAACCGCTCGCGCCGCGGCCGTGCCATGGCCTCGAGCCCCGGTCCAATCACTCCCGTCGGAGTCGTTGTCAACTGCCCCAAGGAGCGAGTCTGTCGTGCGAGCCCAATATATGGCGGGCGGGCCATGGGGGGGACCCGGGACGGGACTTGGAACGATGAACAATCTCTGGGGTGTAAACGAGCCCGGGGTGCGGATGAACCTATCAAGAGATTTGGGTTTGAAATGCGGTAAATTTAGCCTCATTCGATGACCCAGGGTCCTCGACGCGCCCAAGCTCGCGGGCGCTGGGAGAGCGTCGAGCAATTACCTATTTCATCTGGGATCACGGCGGGCTTCCAAGACCGGGTAAAGACGAACGTCTCCCAGAACGGCGCGAACCAGCGTCTTCTTCTAATGACCCTATATAGGTAGAGTCCAGGGACCAACTCGGGACACGGTTCTGCGGGGTCCCGTGGCAGAGGCATACGCTCTTCTCACCACTCGAGCAGGCTGGACGTCCTTTCTGTCGTCCCCTCTTGCCGGCAGTCTCTGCGATGGGCAGTGCCGTCTGCCGTGAAGGCGACTCTTGGCGGTCTCGATGGAGAAGTACCGTAGGCAGGCCTACGGAACTTGGCGTCGATGGTTGAAAAAAAAAGAGGAAGAAAGTTTCGAGCCGCTGAGGAGGAGGGCCGGTGGCTAAAAAGGAGGCTCGCCCCCGAGTGACGAGAGGAAAAGGGAGGAAAATCCAACCGGCCATCCTCCAGCACCGTCTACCACACCGCAGACAGAAAGAAAGGCCCTGACCTGTCCCGAGAATGGTGTCCGCGTCTTCGATCGCGGCCACGTTGGCAGTGGCTCTGTCGCTGGCTCCCTTGGCCTCCGGACACCCGGGCGAGAAGATCGGGAAGCGCGAGGCCCTCGAGCAGATGGGCAACGCTCACGTCGTCGCCTCGATGAACGCGAGAGCCCTGGAAGCGTGCCAGAACTCGCCCGCGGTGAGGGCCCGCAAGGAGCGTGCTAGTGAGTCGCTGCGTCCAATCTTGCCCCTCTTCAACCTCTTAGTCCGACATCACGCGAAAAGCTTGGGAAAAGGGGTTGGCACTGCGGCTGTGGAGTGATATCTAATACCGTCCTCGTGACCCGGGTATATGCATTAGACATATGTATCGCCGACAGCGGTTTACTGACCTGTACATCTCTGCAGTGGCTCGACGAGCGGAAACCTTCGCCCGGCTCCGGAAGCAGAGGGGCGCCGAGAACGGTAAGCATGGGCGGCTCTGATGCCCCCCCGTCCGAAACCGACACGATCTCTCCGTCGGGGGGGGAAGCAAGGCTAACTGCTGCTTGGGCCGGTCCGCCAAAAAACAGCCCCGTGGCTGCACCGCCGGGACGCGGCGGCGCTGCAGAAGTGGGCGGCGCAGTCGCACAACAAGACGGGCCTGGTGGACTTCACCAAGGACACGCCGAGCCGGGAGATTTTCGGGTCCAACACGAGCTGCGTGCTGACGCCCGACAACGCCAACGGGCCGTACTTCGTGCTGCAGGAGCCGATCCGCAGCGACGTGGTCGAGGGCGTGCCCGGGGTGCCGCTGCACATCGAGCTGCAGTTCGTCGACGTGCAGACGTGCGCGCCGGCGGCGGGCGTGCTGATCGACACGTGGTCGTGCAACGCGACGGGCCAGTACAGCGGCGTCAGCGCGCGGGGCCAGGGCGGGCTCGCGACGACGTACCTGCGCGGCGTGCAGGCGGCCGACGGCGACGGCGTCGTCGCCTTCGACACCATCTTCCCGGGCCACTACCAGGGCCGCGCGACGCACCAGCACCTCATCGCGCACGTCGGCGCCGCGACCCTGCCCAACGGCACGTACGCCGGCGGCGCCGTCGCCCACCTCTCGCAGCTCTTCTTCGACCAGGCCCTGCGCGACGCCGTCGAGGCCACCGCGCCCTACAGCGCCAACCCCATCCCCCGCACCTCCAACCTCGAGGACTGGTTCACCGGCTACGCCGCCACCGACGCCTACGACCCCTTCCCCAACTACATCATGCTCGGCGCCACCTTCGCCGACGGCATCTTCGCCTGGGCCGAGCTCGGCCTCAACACCTCCGCCAACTGGGACTACTACGCCCCCCACGCCGCGACCTGGAAGGAGGGCGGCGGCTACGACAACCCCAACTTCGACTTCTGGGCCGTGGCCTCGCCGCCGCCGACACACGGCTAAGGCTAACGGGAGAGCGAGGAAGGAGAGGGGGGAAGGGAGGGAGAACTTGAGCGTTTAGACAAGCAAGTTAGGAGGGGCTCTTCTATGGGTCGCCCACTAGGGGTATCTCGACGAGGGGGAGCGGCAGCGAGGTAAGGGGGGAGGTAGCGAGCTCTTTCAGTATTACTTCTGTGTTGGTGTCCTCGCAGACATTGGTATACCTCCAGTTTCGGCATCATGGCACGGTAGACTTGATACAATTTCTCATGCTACATTGCGGGATGACTCGTAGCTGATAGCGATCCGATGCTTCGTCCGGCTTCGGCCACTTAAGTACTTGCCCAGCACCGACGTAGAATCCAGGGGGCAATGGGTGTTGACAGCGCTGTGATCGTTAAGGAATCTCTCCTTGGCCAGAGAGAAGATCCACGTCCCTCCGACTTACCTATACGTCACGCACCCGCCGTCGATCATCCCATCCCCCTCACCTATTCACTCCTTCTCTATACCATTCAAACCACCCGGATCGGTAACCAAGATACCGCAGGAAGCCATGGAATCAAGAGGAGGAGGGTATGATGGTGATATGTTGGCTCTGTCTCTCGCCTCAACCCGCAGCCTCCCACCAGCTACCATCCCAGATTGCACACCCCTTACCCCCCCTCTCTCTCATAGAACCAGCTCTCCCCTCTGTCAAACACCTCCCTTCCCCCTTCCATAACCCCCCTTATTTCACCTACGAATCGTTTGACCGTCGCCACGCTCTAGATATATGTTCATCCTCCAGCTCCTTCCTCGGGATGGCACGAGCGCTCAAAGGCGTTTATCATGGCGGGGGGCTAGAGATAGGGAGGAGGGTCCGTACTTATGGAATATTGTCTAGCAGAGATGGCGGCTTTCTGATCACGATGCGAGATCGAGAATTGCTCGAGACGTCGAGCCCCTAAGCTCCTGGGGATGCCGCAAGCAGCGTAGTAACAGCATCGCCAAAAGATCATGGTACATCAGATGGGAATAGCGCGACATAGGGATGGGATCGTTCTGCGAGATTTGTTACCTAGAGGCGTGAAAACTCGGTTGGATATTTCAAGTACGATTATCATTCCGGGAACGCCTGCCCCCATGTGTAAAAGCGTTGTTGCCCCCAGTTATGTTGTTCGTTCAAATCAATACTACCCACGCCTCCAAACCCCTCCTAGTCCTCGTACACACTGGTGGTCCCTCTGAAAAGGCCGGTGGTTGAGATGGATGTTCTACCGACGAGCGTAGCGTATACCGTTAATTTTGGCGCCAAGATTCCCCCCCCTCTTCACGACCACCGTCGACTGGAAGATCCTATGAGCCGCCGACACTGGCTGTGGCTTTCCCCGCACGTCTACCCAGCAGCGTCGCGCCGTCCAGGTTGAGCTCGAACACGCCGCGCTGCTTGTGGCGATCACGAACTTGCTGCCGCGCCGCCTGAGCAACGGCTGCACTATGTTGGCCGTATCCGCGTTGTTCCTTTTCGGTATGCCTCTCCCGCTCTCTCCCGCGCTCCTGGTCCTTGCCCAGATGGGTTTTCCGCATGGTCTGCTCGAGTTGCTGGGCGTCGGCATTGTCGTGTACGTACTCGGGGTCTGACTCATCCTCTTCCAAATCTTCGTCGAGGCCGGACAGACGTGCCGGCGCAGCCCCTTTGGCACCTATCTGTTTCCGTCGCTTGGCCTCTTCTTCTTGCCGGTGCACAGAGTAGCCAACATCGAATATCTCGCGCAGGTTTACGGCACCGGGAGACCGGAAATCAATGCGACGCTCGCCGTCAATAAATCGCCCGGCGTCGAAGGCGCGTAGCACGTCCTGGCCCGACGGCCTTTTCTCGCCTCGCGGCGTAGGGCTGGATCCTTGGACCCACGGGTGCTTCAAGAACTGGGTGATGGTATATCGCTTTTCGGGGTCGACGGTGAGAAGATGGCTTATGAGATCCTGGGCAGACTTCGAAATGTCATCCCACCACGGCGACAGGAAGGTGAATTGACCCTTGGCAACCTTCTCGGTGAGCACCTCGATGCTCTCGTCGTAGAACGGAGGGAAGCCGCACAGCAACGTGTAGAGCACACAGCCGAGGGCCCACATATCAACCGACTTCGAATACCGCTCGTCCTTGACGATCTCAGGCGCCGTGTATCCCACAGTACCGCACGGCGTCATGGTCTGGTTGTCCCAGACGATCTTGGACAGGCCAAAGTCGGCAATCTTGATCTGGCCGATACCCCCGGCCCCCACGCCCGGGACGAATTCGCCCTCGTCGACCTTGTCCTCGTCTCCGGGCGGTCTCGGCTCCGGGTGCCGGGACGGAACGAAGGGGATGGGGCTGAACAAGATGTTCTCGGGCTTGATGTCGCTGTCGCATGCACGTTAGCCGGCTGATGCAGGGGGGACGTATCCTGGCGGCACGTGACGTCACCGCTGCCCAATTCAGCCATCTCTGATGCGCTCTGAACGGGCGTCCAGGAAGGACTCGGATATGCAGCAACCGGGCAAGACCTGTCGCTTGGGGCGGCAAGGCGAGAATGCAGATCCGGGTCCCAGGGCTGATTTAATATAATAAGCGACTTACCGATGCACGACCCCCTTCTCCTCGTGAAGGTATTCCAACGCCTTAGCCACCTGCACGATAACGTGTCGAGAGAGGTCCTCGCTGAAGTATGTGAGGCGCACAATCTGGTGGAACAGTTCTCCGCCGGGCGCCAGCTCGAGGATGATGTAGTAGTACTGCTTCGACTCGGAGAAGTCGACGAGCCTGATGATGTTAGGATGATCCAGCTGGCGCATGATCGAAACCTCCTTCAGAATATTCGCTCGCTGCAACGAACCGTCAGACTTGCTCCACCCCGCTCGGGACGAGGGTAGATCGGGAAACGACAAGACGAGAGAGGAAGGAAGGGGAGGGTGAAGGAGCAAGAGATCAAGATCCCAAGTGCACGAAGGCAAAGTAGAGGTGGGCCGAATAGAGAGGGAAAACGACTCCGCTGTTCACCACTCCGACAAAGAAAAAGAAGATATCCGCACCTCTGCAGCCTTCGGAGCCTTTTTGAAATCCGCATGTAGATGCTTGTGGCCCTATAGATCGAGCCCCAGGAGTTGGTAAAAGGAAACGTTGGTTCCACCGAAGAAAAATCTTCAACGAAAGGGATGCAGAGAGCCTAGAGACTTGGCCCAAGACAAAAAGCAACTGCTAGCGGACTCACCTGCATGTTGTTCATCTCAAACTTCCGGACGACTTTGATGGCGACCTCGCCGGTGTCGCCCGTCAAGTCTCTCGCCCGATAGACATTGCTGAATGCGCCGTCGCCCATCTTCTCCAACAGCGCCCACCGTTCTAGACCGGGATACTTGGGGAATTTGTTCCTATTCTCGTTCTCCTCTTGGACGATCTTTGCAGCGTGGGAATCATCGGTTCTCCTGCCACTGCCCTTAACCGAATGGCCCTTGGAGGCGGATCTGTCGGCGTCGGCATGATGGGCAGCAACGCCGTCCGCCTTCGCGACGCGGTTGTGGTGTTTGGCATCGCCTGACTGAGCAGCATAGACGTCGGATACGTTTCCGCTTCGCTGTCCATGGCCGGTCGCGTTTCCGGGTTCGGTTACGTGGCCCATGGCGTTGTGTTGTTGCGCGACGGTCTGAGGGGGGGAATATTCATGTTTTCGCGGGGATTCCTCGTAGTTGGTCACCCTGGCTTGCTTGCCTGTTTGGAGTAAGGGTGATGGATGTCAGTGGGACATGCAGGGTATGGTTGCAGCAGGTCGAAACGACACCTGGGAGAATACGCGGGTAGGAAATCCAACCTGTGGAAGAAGGAAGAAAAAAAGGAAGGACTACGCCGTAGCAACTAGATTTGCCATGCGAGATCAACGACCGAATTATTCTTTCCTAGGACCGCTCGCGAGAAAGAGGGACATGGAGTGACAGAGGCGGGGGGGGGGATAATTCCCTAGAAGGAGAAGAAGAAAGGAACCACTACTGAAGATGCGGGAGAAGAAAGGGGAAAGTTGACGAAGGCGTACCATGGCGGATGAAATTCTTCAGCTGTTGCATTGTTGACATCGTTTGTTACCCGGGCGTCACACGCCGAAAAAAAAAGTTGCAGCTTGGGGCTTGTCTTCGTCGCCCTCGCTCTCACCCACACACACACACACACACACACACCACACACCCTCTGGCTATCTAGTTCCAAGTTTCCGCTCTTGGTTTCCCTAACAGGGCAAGGAACTTTCGGGCACCTACACGCGCTGGTTCACCAGTCCCGTGAGCGGTTTCAGGCCCGGGCCAAGCAATCGAGAGTGCAACCCAGGATTGTGCTGCCGGCCCCAGGCAATAGGAATTAGGTCCCGTTCCTTTACTAGCAAGTGGTCCTCGGCGGGAAGCTGCGGGATGACGATAATGGCGGCCGGCTCGCGATTTGCTATTGGCAGTATGCAGCTAGCCTGTGTGCGATCCAAAAGATGCTCGATTTCGGGCTCGGGGCGGGACGATGGGATGCGTCTTGGTCTGTGGCAGGCGAACCTGTGTACGCGTTGACCATGTACGAGGTATACGGATTCGGTGGGGGGCGGTGGATAAGGCTGCTCCTGTGTGGTATGCTCTCTCGCTGGACCGTCAAGCCAGCTCTCTCCGGCGATGCCCTCGGCTCTCGCGCATACAAACACCGGGACAGACGGGCACCGGGGCGCTCCAGACTAACAAACGAGACGAGATTGAAAGCAGAAGACGACGCGAGGAGGCAGAAGAGAAAACGTGGATGAACACAGGTCTGAAGTGCCAGGCAAACGGGACGAGGCAGGCTGCGCGGAAGTGGCCACGAGACGGCGGGTTCGTCTTTCTGGGAGGGAAGAATTCTGGTGCGGCGTCGTCGAGAGAGATGAGAAGGAAGAAAAGAAGGGAGAGAGAGGCGGATCGTAGGACTCGTAGACGTAGGTGGACGATGGGATTGAAACCAGCTAGGACAGTGGGCTTACGGATCTGGCGTCTGGAGCAGGCCGGGCCAGGATAGAAGTACCCAAGGCGGGCTCAGCGCCTGCGAAGGGCTACGTAAGTATCCGAGACGCGACCGATGTACATAGTCTGGCGAGAATGATGTAGGGGGCTAACAGGGGAAGCTCACCGTGCTAAGCCGGCTGGAGCCACTGGAGGGCGCATTGGACGGGCTTGGGGCGGCTACTTTCGACAACCGGGGGGGGGGCGAGGTACCCTTGAGCCCATCGCTGCCACCCATCGCTGCCACCTAGAGAGAGCGATACAGGTGTAGGTACCTACGGGAAGTAATACTGCTGACCAACAATCCCCCCCAAAACCGAGCGGCCGCCCCAGGATCCCCCAACACCCGGATCTTTGCCTGGCCGAAGAATACCTCAAGGTTACTCAGACCAGATAAAGAAGAGGAGATGGAGAACACGCGACAAAGCGCCGCCGTAGGTTTGGCCTCTACGGATTTAGGCGATGGCGAAACCAGTTCGACGCCGGCAGAGACAGACGCACCGAGCATGCATTGTAGGTGCATGGCGCTGGACTGAACTACGCGAAATTGCTGGATCTGGCACGAGGTAGGACAAAGCGACGAATCAGGTTAAATCGCTGCTACGTAGAGGCACGCAGACGTACCTGAGGTACCTAGGTAGGTACCTCCTATCTTGGGGACCCCAGGTGCCTCTACGCAGACGGGGTACCTACAGACAGACCGTGAGGGAACGTAGGTACCTACAGGTACCTATTGGGCCTATAAGACAGGCACCTAAGGTTAGGTACCTAGGGCCTCGGGAGCCACCTGGCCCCCTCCCCCGAGGCGCGGACGCCGGGCCAAGCAGTTCTCTCGTCATCGTGGCAGGAAACGCCGAGCCCCTAACAACCACAGGCGCAGATGGGAGAAGAAGACGTGCGGTGCCCGCATGGGTCCATCCCGGGAAATATAAAGCCAACTCCTCTGGTTGTCAAGCAATCTCAGTGCGACCTATCTCATCGATCATCGTCGCCTCCGATCTCCCCACCCAGCCTGCCTACATCGGTGCGTACTACTGACCGGGAAAATACAGTGGAAAGCGGGTGGGTTCTTGGGGTAGCAGTTTAACATACCATCATCCCGGGGTTGGTGTCATCCATACCTCCCTACGGACAGGTCTAGACATCAGCAGCGGTCTATCGCAACCGACTGCCAAATGCAGAGAGAGGTACACGCCGCATCCTACGCGCACATATGTATCGGACGCATACAATTCCACATGTTTCGGGAGGGTCAGTGAAGGTGGCAACGAAGGGAGGAGATAAGCCGCGTTGTCGAGAAGAGGTTCCGTCCGAATCACGACAGAGACGCTCACAGAACACAGCACACAAGCTTGGGTGGCAGCGAGCACACGCATCCACACGCACACATTGCCTTGGGTTCAGGTAGGGATACAGCTAAACCTACCTCCTACTTGCCTACCACCCAGGTACCTAGGTAGGTATGTAACCTCCTAACAAGGAAGCCCAGTGGCAGCGCTCAGCGTTGCTATGGGCCCCAGCAGAGCGTGACCCCGCTAAACCCCCTCTCCTACGTCAGGGGGCCGGAGCATCGCGTCCAGGCCCGATCCGGTCACAATTTGCTTGCTTGCTTGCTCGCTCGTAGCGCGAAGGCGGAAGCCGTACGAGGTTCGAAATTGGCGCCGGAAATAAATGCCATGCGTGCATGGGTTCCCATCTCCCTGTCTTTGCCATCTACTCATATGTACCGAGTATAGGTATGTATGTGCGCGGTGACGGTCAGCGCGGCATCCTTGGCGCCATTTGCTAATCTGGTCCCGCCGGATCCATGACTCTTTCATTACCGGGGACCCCCGACGAGAACGAACGCCCCATGACGTATGCGCTATCGTCATTTCTCATAGTCCTCAGTCGGCATGGGTCCCCACAGGCTGCATTCAGCCCAGCTTGGCATGGCATTTTGGGTCTGGTACCTACGAGTACTCATACGTGTAGAATTCGCACGTCAGAATACCTGCCGAGGTACATATCACGTGCAGGCCGGCCATGCAACCCCATATCTCACATTACGTACCTTAGGTACCTCACTACATCCAGCCCTAGCTACGTACCTGTATCCGACATAATCTTTGTGTCCATACCTGCCATAGGAGTACCTAACGTAGGTATGTATATACACATAAATAATTAGGGAGGTAGGTACCTCCCTATCAAGGCACCCGCCTTAGGCCATCGAGCCTATGAGGTACCTACCTAGGCACCTGAGGTAGCATTTTACCCGGGTAGAGGCTGGCAGGTACCCAGGTAGTAGGTACCTCTAATGATGTAGGCATGTACGTAACAGAACCAATACCTGTAGCAGGTATAACCTACCTACAGGGGTCTCGTCGCCTTCCAGTGACGTGATTCTCCTTTCAAGAAACCCGACAGGACAGCCTGGAATCGCACTATCATCGCCTCCTCTGCATTTTCGCTTTCATTCGCTGCCTCAACTCCTGCTTCGGATTCATCTGGACTGCACACTTAACATGAGCTCATCCCAGAGCGCGTCTCCCGATGCCCGCGGGCCTCTGCGATCATCGAACCCTGCAACGAAGACGGGACTACCCTTTAATACTGGTGCCTACCCGTCTCAACCTGCGGTCCGCCGCTCTCCACACTTACCTACCTACCTACCTTGCCCACCTTCTATGCGAGGCTAGCTTACTTTTTGCCCCGTACCATGCGGGCAGGTATCATGAGATCGTCACCGATACCCTCCTGTCGCCCCCCAGCCTTGCGTAGACACCCGAGTCTCGTAACTTTGACGCCGGTCATGTTAGCGTAACCGCGCGCAGATTAGTACCTGTCCTGACGCCGAACGGGAAGAATTATGCCATCCCATATGCCATCCCAGATGTGCTCTTCGTCGACCAGAATCCCGTTGAACAGGCAATGATCACGGCGTCTGTGACAGCTGACAGTTGACCCGGCTCGACCCGTACCAATGGGCGCTGTCGACTATCGACCAGAGCGACTGGGCGTAAGATTGGGTTGGCCCAATGGAGGTCTCGCATGCAAATAAGTCGACAGTCCGGCGCCAATGGGAAGAACCTCCTTCCCAAATGCAGGCGTTAGGATGGTCATCTATGGCATCGGCTCGAGAGGCTCGCCCGTGGACTCCAGATTTCAGCTGATACGGCGGCAGCAGCCTCCCTTCCCCTATGGTCCCAGAGCCAGATACCGCTACTGTGAGGAGGCAGAGGAGGGAGCTATCAACACAAGTGCACAGACAAAGAGGTTGGAGCATCCGTCCAACCAAGAAGCCCAGGTAGCTTAGATGCGCTTCGTAGGATGGCCATCTTCATATCAAATTTCACATACGCTACCAACGTGGTAAACCCAACTCTCTACACTTAGGCTGAGCTTCGGCCTACAACTGCATGTTTTTGCCTAGCATTCCTACACATGCGTGTCTCTGCGTGTCTCGGTGTATCTATAAGCGTTCGTTGGGGGGGATTGGTTCGCACGAACTACATGTGTGTGATACCGGTTCAAGATTCTCCTCGCGACGGGGGCCCGGGCGCACTGCGAAATGCCATCATCCATCTACGTAGCACACGGGGGAAGAGAGACAGGACTGATCGACCACGTTGCGCTGTTTCTGCGACATTCCACGATAACGCGTGGAAAGAGGAGGAACCCACAGGGGTACCGTGCGCCGCCTTCACGCGTAGGCATTACCGCATCCGAACCACGGAACCTAGAGACAGCTCAATAGCGTCCTTGGCCCCGAAGCCATTCCAACTACATACACATGTAGATGGACCACGGAAATTAGTAGACGGCTTTGAACTTAAACCATTGCCCCATCTGCGATGGCCACCCCGGGACCATTACGTCATGAACGCATGACGTAATAACCCTAAGGTGATCGGGCTCCGTAACTTGGTGCGTAGGGCACGGATATATTCATGGCCAAGTTGCGACAGCGTCTCCCGCAGTGTCTCTACTACCTTAGGGCGTTAGGCATCATGTGGGCGGCCCATTCGCGAGGGCCGGGCCAGACCGAGGGGAGGCAGCGTTCTCCAAGTATCAGTATAACCTCTTCCCTCCACAGCCGCGCTCGTCTTCATCCCCAGTGTCCAACCAGATGCCGCGTAGGCCCCAAACCAGTCCAGATCCGATAGCGACGTCGTATCGCCCCCTGCAGCCCCGAGCAAGAAAGGAATGGGCTGCAATCTCCGGTAGATCCTCTGCGGGTTGAGGCCACGAAACCATCCTACCTACACGTACACTAAGCAAATGCGGCCTAGTAGTTTCGGCCGCCCGCCTTCGAATCACCAGCATTCTTATCTCTCCCCAAGACCCTCCTTTGCGGCACATAAAAGAAGGGCCTGTCGGTAGGAGGAAAGGTGGGTAGGTTCCCCGGAGAGTGTTGACCGCATCATTACGAAATCCGCCCGGACTCTATTCCGACTCACCCATGCCCGCGGACACCATATTTCAACCTACACCCGTACAGAAGTACGCTAGGCAGCGTGCGGAGGAACCCCCCTCTACATGAAGCGTAAAAGGAAGTGTGGAGAGGCGGTAGATAGGCGGAACCGGGGGGGGGGGGGGGAGGAGGCTGGGGCTTAGATATCCGGGAACTGTTAGGTATATCTAGATGGTTTTAGAGTGATGTCAGATGAGCCGGAAGACAAAAATTGGCTGCTAAAATCCGAATACTACGAAACCGGACACGTCGAAGTGCGTCTTTGCCTACCCGCCCCCTCAGAAATTGCTATGTACAAAGAAAAGGAAATAATACCTACCTACGTGCAAATGGCGGAGACCGACTAGGCCAGGTTAGCGAGCCGGGATCACGGGTGGGATACTAAGCTGTAACTCGGCCTGCCGGAGACTGTGGATTTTCGTGAAGCCTGGTTGAATTGCGCTCCTGCTAGGAGCTCTAGGAAGGCGACCTGGGTATTGACTCGGTCAACCCCCGGGATATGGCTGATCGAAGCAAGCCGGTCTACATAGGGTGCTGCGGGTGTCGAACCTCAGCAGGCCGGCTCGGTCTCGGGGTCATTGTTGCAGCCAACACTCCCGGCTCAGCTCCGCCCAACTCCCGCGAGTCTTTTCGCGGGCGGGTTTAGCCGGAACGATCCCAGGGGCTCCCAGCCCTCCGCGGGACCAAGTCGTACAGAGGGCTATAGGAGGCTAGTTCAGCAGACAAGCTCGATCTCGGCTTGGGTGTGATATATGTATGCTTTGCTGAGAGCTGGGGGGGGGGGGGGTGTTTCCCTATACGCGTATTTTAGGCTCGTAAATAGCCTTACTCACTCATTACGCTGTATCACTATTTCACTCTGCCACGTAAAAGCGTAGACGATTACATCTCCCTCATGGGCTATGCGGGCTCCTAAGGGTGGATGCCCTACGTGACAAACTCCAGAGGCATCGTAGCCATGCGAATATATTACCTGGACCTGGTAGCCTCAGACAAAATAAGCTTACCGGAATGCTGCGGGACGATAGTTCGACATGCAAGACGGTCCGTTCGCTTCCACGGGAGATGCCCCTTGCCTGTCAGCAGCTTGGATACGATTATTTCGCAGTGCGCACCCTAACCGCAAAGCCTTAGGATCTATGCAAGTGCTAGTCCGGTATCTTTAACGTCACAAGCCATACCTATACTCCGTTATAACAGTTGTGCAGTAAGGGCGAAGTATTTAATATGTATTGATCAAGCTTGTCTCTATAAAACCGACGCGTAACAAATAGCAGTTGCCTTAGATAAGAAGTAGGTCACGTAGGTATTACCTACTGTTCCTCAACCATTTCCAGTGGCCATACACACATCTATCTACTTATATCTAGATCTACTACATAACCCCTCTACTTATGGTAACAACCAAGAGTGTAGATAGCCTCTTATCTTGCTCGACTTTGCCTGGAACGATTCATACATCGGCGCCGTTGCGGGCCAATCCGTCGGTAGTTGTGCTATAGGTAATGTGCCGGATCTTCTCCCGCACGAGAGAATCCTATTTACTGGATCAATCCGAGGCATAAGCAACTAACGAACATCATACCTACCTACCTGTCACGTAGAGAGCCGCCTATACCTAGCTCTCTACTTATTTACTGGTAGCTCGCTCACCTAACCTAGCTCCTAGCTCCCTACTGTGCATATACCTATAGGTAGCTCGCATCTCCTTTGTTCATTTCCTTCCTAGGTATTAGTTAGCTAGTCAGTCAATTCAACCTCTTCATCCCATCTTCCATTGCTCCCACAGCAGAGCAACCTCAGTCCTTACGTAGCTCTCCTGATCTACGTAATACTACCCCTGTCCTTTCCGCTCTCGTTGATGGCCACCACGCACCATTCCTAACGCCAATATACTGTGGTATGACAAGTCAGAACACACAAGCATTCTTCCTATAGCCGTGAGATATCAGAGTCTTCCCATACCTAGGTACCCCCGAAGCTGCAGACTAAGGCAGGCCTTAGCAAACTCGAATAGCTGGGAAGACACTCCTGCAGAGAGGTAGGTAATGGGAGGGACGGATGTAGTTCAACTAGACGACCTCGAAATGTAGGTAGGTACCTACCTAGGTGTAACGTAAATATGCGCAGCATTATTGCCACAGCCACCATTCGCCAGAGGTCTCGAAACATTACTCTCATCGCCCTAAAGGGAATCTAATATATTTTCATAGTTACTCGTCGTTGAAGCCTGACCTATACCTAGGTAATATGCCGGGTTTGCTCACCAACCATCCCTGATTGCTTTATCGCTTTTAGTCATATCTCCAATACATGAATCTTGTGTAACAAGTTGCCATCTACCGGATTGCTATATATACCTACGCGTCACGTGTCTGCTCTTCGGCCCGTTTTAATCCGGCCCCGCGCAACGACTTTCCCAACGTGACCGACATTTTTCCTGCGTCAAAATAGAAAAATACCTACGGGAATCTCGACACCGTAAGGGCACATCGATTGCGGCAATTGAACACCTTCTTTAAACATCCTCCTGAAATAGTACCTTGTACGCATAAACTGAGGAGCTGATAGATCAAAACCACCTCAAAACACGGAAAATAAACGAGAAATCGCTCCATCGGCTCTGCGCGCTGATCGCCGCGTGACGCGAGAGCTCCTGCTCCGTACACTAAAGTCGATCAGTGAATATACTCGAGTAAACGCACCTACAGCGAACTCATCTGCAGGACGGCAGTAGGCGAAGGGAACATACGCTGGCTTTCCGTGCCGGCCTCTCCTAGGGGTTCCCCCTCGAGCAGGTACCGTCGACGTTGCAACAAGCGCAGAATTGGTAGCTCACCCCCTCGTCTTTGTCGTAATCCATGTCGTCAAAGTCGGGGGTCGGGAGCCTGGGGATCCTCGGGGCCCCCGGCGGGGTCGGAGGCGGATGGTATCCGTCTTCACCATCTCGCTGACGGCCGTCCTGGTCGTGGGTTCTGGCAAATCCCGGCTCGGTCGGTCTTACGCCATCATGCGAGGTCCCGTGCATAGGCGCACCCGCGTCTTGGCGCCTGCTCGAAAGGCTCCACGTTCTGGCTTCATCCCACCTGGCGCCTCCCGAAAAATCGGTTGCCCCCATTATTCGAGAGCCTGAGGGAAGGACTCGTGACGGCTCATTTCCCGGTTGCAAATACCCAGGCTGATGGGACCGGGGATGCTCCGTCTGCACCGAGGAACTAGGCCTTCGATCTGCGGTTCGCCCTAGAACCAATGGCAGTTGAGGATGGCGGCTTGCGTCGACGGCGCCCCTACGCGATACCCCGGCGTGTCCGTCGATGCTACTGGGGCGGTGGCCAACGGAGAGCGAATAGCCAGACCGTGCTTCTGGATGGGCAGGCGCCATGTGCGACGGTGTCCTGCCATCTGAAAAAAGCCGTCAGATTGGGAAGATCAAATTTCGAATATGGTCAGGTCCTACATGATGACTGAGCGACGACGACGGGCCGGTTGCGTGGATTATCGACCGGGTATGGTGGCTGAGTGACGACGGAAGGCCGGTTGCGTGGATTGCCGACCGGGTCTGCCATGGAGAAAGGTGTCCGGTTCGCGATACGAATGGCGCTGCGATGCTAATACAGGCATGGTTAACCTTGGGAACCGATGGTGGCTTGGTGCACGAGCGAACTCACCGTCCGTTGGTTCTGGCCAACCCGAGCTGTACAGATGGGGCACTGCTGACTATCCGGGTGGACCAGGGTAGTTTTGGCAATACCAGGTTCCCTGTTGCTGATAGGTATCAGGGGGATGAGAAGTGGGAGGGGAGAATGGGGAAATCGAGCAGCATAGAGAGAGTAGTGGGGGGGAAGAGGTCGAGAAAGGAGGAGAGGGGAGAGGGGGGGGAGAGGCTCCTATGTATAGGTTCTCTCGTCGTTAGGGTCCCAAGCTGCTGCTGGTCTCACCCAATCAGAACCAACGTGCCGCCCTACAACTCGCAACCATCAATCAACAGGAAAGCCAGGGCGGTCGATTCCTCGCCGCGACATCGCTCCCGCTCTACGACTTCCCTCTGGCTTGGTCGCAGTCGCTGGTCATTGCTCTGGGCCAACGGTACCTCGAAATACCCAGGCGACAGGTTATCGACGGCCGGGAGTCCTACAAATCACGTGCCGCCGTACCAGGCAGCCGGTTTCGCGCAGAACTCGATCGTCTTGGTCGACAACTTCTATTGCCCGTCGTACTTTGGGGATGTCGAGTCCTAGAGAGCTCGCGAGTCGCTGTTTTGCCTAGGAACATCGAGTACTATGCGCGACTACGATCCGTCTCGTTCTCACCTGAATGTGCACTTATTTTGTGGGCCGCTAGACCAGGCTGGGCCCGTCGATTCTACCTGGATGTTACCACGGTCCGCCCTGCTCCTCGATCGCCTTCCCTCCTTCTATCCATCTCGTCTAGCTAACGGCCGTCGCGTTTCTCACTTGCTCCGTGCCATCATATTTGTCCACGTACTCGAGGTACCTGCGGCTCGAGGCTAGTTCGCTCCGAAATGAAACAGCAGTATGCGTGTACTCGACGTTGTCTGACAGATCTGTCTAGTGTTCCGGGGTGTTCCATGCCTGCTTTGGCGTTTAGCCCGAGTTCAGGTTCGTGGGGACGGCGGCCGTGGGCCTGCCTCCCGCAGACGCCGCGGCGCCGTATATCCCGGGGCCCGTGCACCAAAGCACAAGGTTTTCTATTGGCGCTCGTCGATTCCATACCAGACAAAATTTGGGTTCTTTGAGGTTTCTAATTGTTTGGTTTACCGTGTTATATGAGCGCTCGTCGACCCCTCCTATACGGAACCCGGGCTCGTAGTCGTTAGGATCTTCCGGCATCGGGGAAAGCTCGAGTGCGGGTCCTACCCTTACAGTTTGCCTAACCGCTAATGGTTCTCGACCCCCGGGGAGGGATTTTGACTCTGTCTCGCTGCCCGGAGACCAACAAGTGGGTGAAAGGGGGTTCAAGGGTGGGCGAGACCGGGCTAAGAAATCTGTAAATCACTTTTGCTTAGTTCTACTAGCAGGGATGGCGTGCATGTGCATACATATTAGGTACCTAGGTACCCAGATGCCTGCCTTGTATGAGGTGCCTCAATGAGTTTTCATTCCACGCACATGCGGTACAAGCCCGTGTTAGGTACCTGATGTAGAGCGTTGGGTGGGCGGACAGAGGTTGATGAGATAAGGTTGAAGGACGTCATCGCACATATGAAGTTAGCCGGCGGCAGAGGTCAGGCACAATAAACTATAGGTAGGTATTCCGGATTTACATGATTGGCTACCTAGGTCTGCCGCTAGACTGGGTGAGGCGACCTTCGCCCAATCGCTGTGATCGGGATAGTCGGTGGTCTGTAACCTGTTACTAGGCATTGCCTGAATGTTACCGCAGGTGGCGAAGTATTACTATGAAGAGGGCTTGTCGTCGATGCACCGCCACAAGGATCCACTCGCGCTCGCTGAATCGCTTCAGGACCCACCGGCTCGTGCTTAGGTCGCGACCTCAACCATCCTCATTCAACTTTGCGCGACAACGCCAGCCGCCTCATCCACGCACCTTCGCCGTCGCAGCCCCTCCCGCTCCCGGCCTCGGTACCAATCGGAGCGACTTGCATTAAATTGCCTTGAATTTCCTCTTCTTTTTATTCTCTTCTCGCCGTCCCCATCTCGCCCTCCCGTCGCCATGGGGAAGAAGAAGCGTGGCCACCCGGACGTCGAGGACCTCCTCGTCCGCCCTTGGTGCTACTACTGTACGTTGGCACGCACCGGTTCGGAGCGTGGATAGGTGAATTTTGCTGACCGCTACACCAGGCGAGCGAGATTTTGAGGATCTGAAGCTCCTGATATCCCATCAGAAAGCTAAGCATTTCAAGTGCGACCGATGTGGTCGGCGCCTAAACACGGCCGGAGGTGAGAGACTCGAAGCTCACAATTCGACGGGAGCCTTGTACGCGAAAGGCCTTGCTGACTTTTCGCCCGTGGCATCGTAGGTCTCTCCGTCCACATGAACCAGGTCCACAAGGAATCCCTCTCGTCGGTTGAAAACGCGCTGCCCAACCGGCAAGGTCTCGATGTCGAGATCTTCGGCATGGAAGGCATCCCGGAGGACATCGTCCAGCAGCACAACCAGCGGATCATCCAGAATTTCTACCAGGCCCAGGCCGAACGGTATGCCGCGACTGGCAACCCCCCTCCCGGGCAGAGCCGAAAGGGCCCTACCAAGAAGCTGAGGATCGAAACCACCGACGAGATCAAGAAACGCCTGGCAGAGCATCGCGCGAAGCTTGCCGCCCAGAGGGCTGCCATGGGCGGAGGCACCAGCCACACACCTCGGGATGGCCTACCCGACGGACAGAGTCCCGCGCAGAGCGCGTCTCCCGGCACATTTGTATGTTTTTTTTTTCTTTTTTTTTCTCTTCTGGTGCTTCTGTCGTATCGATCTAATGTGGTCGGGTCGCTGATTCTAAGGAACAGAACTCGCCTTTCCCTCCGCCCGGCGGCCAATACTCAGGCTTCCCGCCGCCGCCAGTGGCCGGCTTCTCGCCGCCTCCCCAATACCCCGGCGCATACCCCCCGCCGACTCTGCCGACGCGACCCGGAAGCAATCTTCCCGTCCCGCCCGGCCTGCCTACGCGACCCGGCCAAGCGGGCTGGCAGCAGCCGGGAACCGCCTCGACCATCGACGAGCTCGTGTCGAGCGCGGCCCAGCAAGGCGACGACATCGACCAGATAATCCGCATGGCCGAGGCGGGGATCAAGCCGTCCAAGAAGGCGGAGACGCCGACGGCCGGCGAGGCGGGCGGCGAGGCGGCGGAGAAGAGGGGGAAGAAGGACAAGGAGAAGAATGTCAAGATGGTGTACGACGACGAGGTCAGCCCGGAGGAGAGGATGGCGCTCATGCCGAGATACGCCTTCGTCGCCGAAGCCGGGGCGTAGGTGTCGCGCGAGGAGGGGCGAAACGGGAGGGGGGCCGACTCACGATAGAATACGAAGCGGGTGCCGCTCTGACGGTCCGCACGTCGCATATGTGTATGTACGTAGGGGGTTGGGGGTGGTTTAGCTAATGTGGCGCAGAAATAGCCCGCTCTCCCTGCTCAGTGTCAAGAGCACCGTTCTTTTCCGGGCAATACAGCAGAGGGGGGTTTTATAGGCACACACTGTTTATCACACCGCGCCGTCGCCGTCCAGTGAGCCTCTTCCCCGTTCCCTCCTCATCGTATCCACGCGCTAGGATGCTTGGCACAACATACCTCTGAACCTCTGCTGGCGACGCCACAGTTTTCGTCGCTAAGCCCGTTCCATCCACTCCTTCTCGCTTGCGGCAGAGGTCAGATGGAGGCGTTGACGTGGCAGTCGGGTCACGGCGGGTAATCGCGGCGCCCTCGTCCGGGCTGTAGGGGTGACATGGCATGGACTAACACCCAGCTGGCGGCCACGTAGGTACCTACCTACCTAGGAAGGTTAGACGGTAGATGGGTTATCTACAGGCAGTGTGAACCTTCATATGTCGCGGTACGCAGGCAGGTTACGTAACGGCAAGGAGAGGCATTACCAACATAATCTCGATAGGAGCTACCTGCTTGCAACACAACAGCGCGGTAGGTGTTGGAGGTTTAGCAGGTACCTGCACATAGGTAGGCAGGTTGCCTGTGAGGTATTTTACGAGACAGGGTTGTGCCCCGTTGGGAGGTGCCTGCCCGGGCTGGGTAGCAATTTACACCTCCCCCCGCTTTCTTCGCCACCAGCAGTACGTATTCTCGCTAGCAGCGTTGGTGATAGGGCGGGAGGATGCCCGTGGCGCTAAGGCAAGGCACCTGCTGCTGTCCGGTATTATTTACCCTTCGGGCCGGGCCGCCCTGCTTCGTATGAGTAGCAGTGCTGCCACCGCTGGCACGGTCCGGTAGAAGAGGGGTCAGCCGAAAACAGGTATCACCCACGTTCGTGCTCTGTCTACGAAGCTGCATCTGCAGATCTGGAGAAAGCTACCCTCTGTGCCGACTCCCTGGGCCGCAGTTCGCAATACCGATGCCGACCGCACCCTCGATGCTGGGTCGCCTGCTACGCTACCCACCGTTCCCGACATAGCCCCCCCTCCCCCCTACGTGCCCACCCCGCTCAACGCCACGGGATTTTCAGAAGGCCGTCGCCGAGCCAAGCACCAGCGATGTAGTCACCCATGACACGAAGACCAAGACGTGATGGATGGAGGAGGGAGGCCTATCAGCCAGATAATGATTGCCATGACTAGCCGGACATGGTTCTTAAATACCTGGTGCCGCCCGTACCTCCTGGTGTCCCAGCGTTGGGGCTTTTACATACGAGTGAGACGGAGTCGGCTTATCCGCGTAGTCTGTGCCTACATGGACCCGTCGGTTCCTCCTCGCTCAAACCTGCACGGTCATCTCCCCGTCGAACCGCGCAGCTGGGGTAAAGTAGTATCCCCTCTGGTTCGTGACCAGCCTCAACGGCCCGGCGCCCTCCCGCTGGACCGCAAAATCGCAGTTGAAATGCGTGTGCCCAAACGCCCAAAGTTTGACCTTGTCGCTCTTGAAGCACGGCTCGCCGGACAGGTCGGTCGAGAAACCGCTCGTAATCAGGCTCTCGGTATGCTTCGAGTCGACGGCGCGGGCATCCTGCGACGGGCTCCAGTGGGAGAAGATCATGATCTTGGTCTCGGACTGTTCGAGCTCGGCGACCTGCGCGTTGAGCCAAGCTAGGTCCCGCTGGTGCGCCTCGTTGTGCTTTTCGACGTCCCAGTCGCTGGTCCGGTAGAAGTCGTTGAGCCCCATGTTGACCGCTATGTGGCTCTCGGCCGGGACGGAGGAGAAGAGGCTGCAGCCCAGGACGGCAACGTCGGTGCCGGGCAGCCGGAAGACGGCGCGGTCGAGCAGGATAAAGTCGCCCACCGACCGGTCCTTGCGAACCTTGTCCTCGAAGGCGCGGAGGACGCCGAGGGTCTCGGCCCAGCTCGAGTGGTAGGGCTCGTGGTTGCCGGGGACCAGGAGCACGGCGCGGAACTGCTTGAGCTGGCGGGTCAGGAAGGCGAGGTAGTCCTTCTCGTGGCGCGCGACGTTGCCCACGTCGCCGAGCAGCGCCAGGTAGGGCGCCCTCGGCGCGATCTCGAAGACGTCGTAGGCTCGCGGGGCCTCCAGGTGCAGGTCGGAGATGATCTGAACCGCCGCGGGGGCGGAAGACGGGGACGGAGGCGCCGGCGGAGCGCGCGTGCCGAAGCAGTCGCAGCCCGCGAAGACGGACCAGGGTGAGGCGCCCTTCATGGTGGCGTGGCCAGCATCGGAAGCCCGAGATCTGCACTGCTCGCAAGGGCTGTTGTTAGGAGGGGCAGCTTGCGGGACGAGATCGAGAAGGCGGCTGGGATGGAAGTTGGGAGCGAAGCCGGAATGTGAGTAGGTAGGTAGAAGCAGGCGAAGCTATCTCGTTTGAGAGAGCAAGACCCTGCCTTATAAGGCGTGATTACCTAAGACGGACGTTGGCAGGACGTTGGGGTACCTGAATACATAGCTGTAGGCAGGTACCAGGTAAGAGGCAGGCGCACTGTAACCCCTTCCCGCCTTTGCTGTCTGGGCAAGCAGCAAGCAAGGCAGGGACCGAGCAGCTACCCTTCCGTAAGCAGAACGTCCAACGTACGTGTAGGGACATAGCCTACCTAAGTACCTAGGTACCTAAGGTAACATTTGGGTACCTACAGCCGCTTACGTCAGATACGTAGCCTTAGGTACCGGGATGGGTACAGGTGGGGCGGGTAGGACGTGCTGTCTAGAATTGCTGTCCGCCTGATTGGCACCGGCTTTCCCGTTCCCGTGCCGCGGGCAGGGGGGTTCCCGTCCAATCAACCGTGTTTTCTTTCTTTCTCTTTTGTCCTTCTCCTTCTCCTTTTTTTTTTCTTGTTCCCTTTCCTTGCTCCCCCCTTTTCCGTGCCAAACGCACATACATCACAGACAAGCATACGCAAAGCACAAACTGCTACTGCGACAGGAGAGGCGCGTGCTGCTGCTGCTGCTCTTGCGGTATCCACGTCGCCCTACGTATGCGGTGCACACACACCTGAGTATACAGGGAGGGAAAGGGGGGGGGGGGGACGGGGTGAGATCAGATGGATAAATGGATCGCGGTTGGTCAGATCGAGATGAAGAGATTCGCGGTCCTGGGGAGGGAGGCCGGGGAGGGGAGATAGGCTGAGAGATTTTGCTGGATGGGACGGCGGGGGGTTAGCCCTAACCAGTAAGCCGGCGAGAGGTGCGGCAGGGGAAGATGATGTGAGCGAGAGAGGCTGGAGGTGGCTGGATTGTTGCAGAGACGAAGTGTAGACTAGCACTAGCGACGACGGGACGGGCTGGCGACAGCCCGCCATCCCCTCACACTCGTGGAGATCGCCAAAGTGTATATACCACCTACATGCACCCACACGCTATCCGTCACTTGGCGATGTAAAATTCACACACATCGAGACTAGCACTGCAGACGACGGTCGTTCTGTACATTTCAATTTTCTCTTCTGCTGAGCTATAGTACATATTTTGCCCAGGTGGCATGTGACAGGACAGGAACGCCCTCGCAATCGAGTCATCGTTGCGGATCCGTATGCCCATGGTGTGATATATGCCTACTTGCGACCGAGTGTCGCGGCTCAACCCGGCGCGATATCCCCCTCCGATCGGCTGCTCGTGCGTCTTCTGCTACTGCTTGATGATGCCATACGGACAGTAGCCACGCCCAGACTCGAGATCGCGCCGCGGGGGATTCCTATTCTTGCCCTCCCTTGGACCTATGACGGCTCTTGGGCTGTGAAGAGAGCGGCTAGGTACTGCCAGCTTTGTTTTTCGAGGATGGTTTCAACTACGAAACGTGTCCTCGAATCCTGGCTTGACTTTTTTTTTCCCTTCTTTTGAAAAATTCTCATGCTCTTTTTGTATTTGCATCCCGTCATGATCCATTCTTCATTCTACATATGAAATTCGTTACCCCCCCGGAACCCCAAACGTTGAAAAAAACATGTAACCAAGAGGTCTCCGGATATATATCATAGGTGGATTTCGTGTTTGAACGCATGGTCTAGTAGAGCGAGACAGTCCTAGGGGCTGCCGTGGAATCTGATCTTCAGTCGATAGTGCCATAGTTCCTCCTCACCCTCACTATCTGGGGTCTGCGCGAGGGGCCGTGCCACCGTTTCTGCTTTCGAACCGGATAGATAGGGAACATTCTCTTCATCGGGTTTCGAAGCAGCGGCGCGCCCTCCTCAACGTCGGTGCCTTCCTGGTCCCTCGGGAAGTGGCTTACGCCCTTGCCCTTCGCTAGGGGACCGGGCCGGGCTACGAGCCCATATAGGAGGTAGATGAGTAGGACGAGGCCCAGCGCCCCCATACCTATGTACGACATCGGGATCCCGCCGAGGCCGTATAGTGTGTCAAAGATAGCGGCCGCCGACAGCCCGGCCGAGAGGGTGGCGATGATCTGGTAGGCGAATCGCATCCGCCTCTCGTTCATAACCCTCTCCTCGACGATCATACCTGCGAGGAAGAACGCGAACAGGAGCAGAGGCTGGTAGACGACGTACCAGAAGATGGTTCGCCAGAGCACATCCGTCGTGGTGGGGTACCCCGGCAGCTTCGGTAGAGCCAGAAGCAAGACGAGGTGTAGCAAGTTGGAGAAGCCGGCGAGAGGGAACGCGATAACAAACCGGGGCGATAGCAGAACCGTGTAACTGCCCTTGACCGAGCTCTTCGTCGACTCGACCTCGTCGTTTTCCGAAGGGTCTCTGTCATCAACCATTGCGGTATCTCCATCCGCTGTGTCCGAACCGTCCTTCCCACCTAAGAGGGCAGTGTCCTCCTCCGCCATCAATCGAGGGTGCCCGGGATGTTGGTCGTCCCCATTCTCCGTCAACTGTTCAGTTGGTGTTCTCTTGGCAGAGTGCGAGAACCAGCCAGATTGTCGCATGTCGGGAGTCCGCGGTTCGGGGGTCGGCGGCTCGGGCCTGCTGCGAAGGTGGCTCCTAAAGAAGAGACCCCCGATGGTGCCGCAGAGGCAGCTGGCCAACGATCCGAAGGGCGCCACGAAGGAAGCCAGAGCGATGATCTGACCAAAAGGCCACAGGTGGGGATCGGTCTCGAAAAAGCCATCGAAACGCAACACGTCGATGAAACGCACGGTAACCCAAGCGAACAAGGCCGAGGTGCATAGGACCTCGGTTAGAATCGAGTTCAGCAGGTCGACATAAACTCGCAGAACGAGCCACAACGCCAAGACAGGTCGCACTATCAGCAGCATATGTCGCTGTTCGCAGCGAATGCAGGTGATTATGGTGTCGCCGTCTCCAAAGAAGGACTGCTGCATCTCGCCTCGGAAATGATCTCGCCATTTGAAAATGACGCTGCTGGGCCGCTCGTAAAGCCGCAAGATGCCCGTGACGGCTAGACAAACACCAAGAACGATGCCGAATAAGGTGGCGGCAGATTTGAAGTAGGGCGTGTCAAGATTCGCGCCGTACCCAGGCATATAGCAGAGCACGTTTGTCGTGAACAGGATTTTGCACCGCGCGTCCCTGTCGGGCTCATTGGCAAGCTTCTCCCTGACTTGGTATATCGGTACCATGGAGAAGCTGACCACTATGATAAGCAAAATAAGGAGGAATATTCTCCATCGTCGCTCGGCCGCATCTCTGTTGGCGAAGTAGGTACGTAGATAGGATATGCTCGCGAGGCTTGTAACGACCGAGAACCAGCTATCATCCCGTACGGTTAGATCGTCATGTTCTGGTTTTTTTTCTCTCTCTCGCACGATTGAAGTGGAACTGGCGTTACTTACCATAGTCCTACGATGAGCCACCAGTGATAAACCGACAGGCCTTGTCCCGATAATGACACATAGCCATAAGCGAGCACGGCGAATCCTATCGCCAGCTGAACGTCGCCCAGGGCCAGCATGCACTAATAGGAGGAATTAGCAACTTGCATAGGAGCAACTCCGAAATTGTCGTTATTACCTGATCAAAGGCCTCCTGCCACCTCCCCGGGCGCCGGGGCCTCTTCACCCATCCAAATCCAATACCCAAATAACTCAAAACCGTCCGGAAACCACCAACAAACAGGACGTCGATGGGATTCGCGGCGTGCGGATCTTGTTGGTCATCGTCGTCCTGCGGAAGATAGAAGAATAAATATTGGATAAGTAAGCATGCGATTGCGAAGCACGCGGAACCAGCGCAAGCGATCAAGGTCTAATTAGCCAAGGCAGTCAGTTAGCCAATTCAACGCTTTTCGGCAGTTTTCTTTCGCTCTCCTCCCTCCCCCGCGACCGGAGCTAAGAGCGGCTCGCGCCTCGGTTCCCAGGCCAGGGGTGCGGTAGGACAGAGAGAGTGAGGAAACAAAAAGGGCATAAGCAAGCAAAACGAACGTACCCCCAAGCCGATGACATCAGGATCCTGCCCGGCCTCCGGCCGGGACTCGTTGCACTTCTCCCACATAGAGAAGGAAAAGTGATGGCCGAACCGACGTCATGGAAAGGCGAAGGAAAGAAGGAGGAGGGGGGAGGGGGGAAGGGAGATGAAATCAGAAAGGTCGGTCAGAGGAGATTAAAGCAGAGAGAGAAGAAAACAGAGGGAGAGTCCGTGAGTTGAGTCCAGCGACGAGACAGCAAAGCTCCGGTTCGCTTTACGGGTACACCCCACCAGCACTGACCGCTCCTGGGTAGGCGTGTCGCCAAGCGTCAAATATTTTTGGGATGTGGTTGGGAGCGCGGCGATCCGATACGCTGACGACGACCGGGGGCCTCGTTGTCGCGAGGCGATCAACCGGCGGATTGGTCGACGAGCTGCAACGTCAGAAGTCCACGCAACCCATCGTCGAGCCAGCGGTAGTAACAGCACGAGCCAGCAAGCAGCAGCAGTAGCAGCATGCCATCGTCAATCCATCCTTCTTGTAATCCAGCATCCTCAACCGTCCCGCGCCTTGCGGCCCAACTGACAGCAACGGAGGGGTTGGTTGGCAGGCAGGTTGCAAACCAGGGCAGGACAGGGCAGGGTTAGCACATACATTACATACATAGGGTTGGCCGGGCTGGGGATAGGATGGAGATAGGATGGGACGGGATGAACAGAGGAACGTAATATGTGTAATGTGCGGACGTAGTAGAGAAGAGGGAAATAGAAGAGGTAGACAGCAAATGGCGAGCCATACCAACTCGGGTCTGACGACGTCAGGGCATTAAAATCCCCGAATGCTTGTCACGACAGAAGGAAAAAAAAAAACACAGGCACAACTTGCCTAACGTTAGGCTTCTTTTCCAGTCCTTTCTACACCACTTTTTTTTCCTTTTTTTCCCCCTTACATTCTACTCGATTTCTATCTTAATGCTTCGTTTTTTTTAAATAGTCTTTTACGGCACCGTGTAGAGAACACCATCCCGCCCATCCCGCCCAGCTCATCCCTCTATTCAAACCCCCCCGTTCCGTCACCAGTCAATAGGAACACAGGCGCGCGCATAACACACTCCCACGCACACTCCATACACCACACACCTGTCGCTTACACGATCCACCTCACACTCGACACCAGGTACACACGCTAAGGACCACGTGACGATGCGATGCGATGCGTACCTGTAGAGGCTGTGCCTGACAACGAGGTTGCCGCCGTAGTTCGACTGGGCGGGCCGTCACGCTGGCCTGTCGCCGAGTTAGGCATAAGTCCGCCCGCCCCCTTCGTAACCTGCTTCGTCTGCCCTCTCGCCTCCCGCCGTCGCACACACGCCATTATTGCTACCACTGTGTGTACGTATGGAGGCTATGGAGGCGGGCTGGTGTCCATCTACGTAGCCCAGCCCGGCATCGCGCATGGCGAAACCCGCCAGCCCGCACGGACCGGATACTTGTTCGCGATCTGGTCGCCCCAACCCCTCCACAAGGAACCGCGTACCCAAAGGGCTGCTTCACCATCGCTGCCACCGCTGTCGCCACTGGCAGGCGAGCGGTGCCTGGCCGCCGAATGCGAGGGCGAGATGGGGAGAGAGCCTCAGGGTACGACATCGTCGACGCTCATTACGGGCGCACGCGACCACACACACACACACACATTACAAGACAATCGCCCAGAACCAAGGCGTTGTCAAATGCAAGGTACATACCGCCAGCTGGCTAGCCGTGGCACGCACCGAGAATAGTGAGTCGTCCTAAGGGCCGCCGACAGGCATAGATAGGGGCATGTTTCTAGTTTCTGTGGCCCTCGGCCGGTCTGTCGCGTGTGCGTGCGGATGTGGTATGGGTGTGCATAGCGGACATGCGAACATGTGACAGGCTAAGTTCCCCTATTCTCTCTCTATCTTCTCTCTCTCCCGTGTTTGTTGACCCCTTCCTTCTTCCCCTGCCCGGTGGCTGTGAGTTAAGCGGGGGAGTTGTCTCCATCCGCACCGGGCGCCTGGTCCCAAAGCGAAGTGGCGTTGCCTCCCGCTCTCAGCCCCCTCGTCCGTCCTCTCGACCGCAGGTTCCAATCGCCCTTCGCGAGCACCTGTGTATGGTAGGCCAGAGGAGAGGCGGCGCTTCTGCGCGACTACATAGATTCGGGTCGGCGAGTTGCTCGTCGACCTGACAGCCGTAAGCAAGTCGAGCGATAGGCTGTACGGCCTGGGTGAACCTTGAACGGTGGATCTCGAGGTTGTTTCGCGCTCGAGGTAGTGGACCTCGATTTCAGGGATAGAGGCTATTCCCCCGGACCCAGAGGGCTGACCGGCAAGTTGGCTGGTTTCGGCTCTATGTACAGCAGAAGGACGCTAGTGTTGCCTAGGATAGCATACACGTATTCTATCGAGCCTGAGTCTACCCAACCCCTAGCGACTAATCCAATATCCATGACCCGTCTTCTACTAGGTATTAGCCTCTCTCCGCACCAACGAGTGCATGAATGAATGAACAAGCAAGTGCATGAATAACCCAGATACCTACGAGAGGAGAGGTAGGAGAATTAAGACCACCCCTCCAACGACCCCCTCTCCTCTGCATTTACGATGGATATCTATCTGTCCCGGTCCCTCCCTCTAAGCCTCAAAAGAGAGGAGAGCGGGTAGCGGAGGGGTAAGGATGGGATCATCAGAACCAACACCCGGCCGGGCCCACCTGAAGCTTGTCCAGCGCTCGCTATGCCTGATGTTGCCTATGCGAAGATCATGGGGTGAATGGGGGGATGAGTGAGGAGGCCCTGCTGCTGCTGCTGCGCAGCGGCGACGAAAACGTGCCGGCCTGTCTATCCGTCCGAAAATGCCAGATGTGATGTAGAGGAGTCCTCACAAAGAGATGGATACACTCTACCCTGATCGCCGTGGGGTGTCCGAGGCCACGTGAGGATTTTCTGGCGTAGCTGCCTGCGAGGTAAACAGTGCATAGTCGGAAGGAAGACGACGCAGCGGATAAAAGAAGCGGAGTGTAGCCCAGAGAGAGGAAGCCCGTCGTCCGGTTGAGCAAAGTGAGGAAGAAAAAAAGAGGAAAAAAAAAAGAGTGCCCAACCCGCTTGCGAGTGGCGATTGGGCGCCAAGTGCGTTCTTCTCCTGCTTAGGAATTCTTCTCATGCGAACTCGAACTACATCGTCTATCCACTGTGGACTGCAGGGTCGTGCATACTACGCATACACCATACCACCATACATACATGCATACATACGTGGTTGGGGAGGATGGGGAGGATGAGGAGGCTTGTTTCCTCCCCCCCGGGCTGCTGCCTTTCCATGTGTCTGTACGGGCGTACTTAGGCACGAATATTGGCCCGGCTTGCCATCAGAAAGGAGGGAGACGAGTCTCCCTTTTCTTGATTTAATCTCGTCCTTCCTCGCGTTAACCTAGGTATATTATCTCTCGTTCTAGGTAGGCAGGGAAGAGAATAGAACGACGTGCCTATGTAGGTTAGGCGATTGATTCGCCGCAGTTGGGGGGATTCGTATCATCCCCCACCGGCTTTGCTCGATATATTTACGATCCGTTGAGTGAACCTCTAAAGAGCGCTGTCGAGGCAGACGGTCTCGGCTGGACGGTCGGTGTTTCGTTTCGTATATTCTATTTTGCAATGCCTCGTGAAACGGGAGGCCCTTCATGGACGGGGTGGATGTAGCAGAGGTAGGTGTGTGTCGCGGCGACAAGCCCGGCCTTGACCGTACGACTGTCGCGAAGCAGGTCCCTACATTATCTCTATCAGTTTCGATCCTCTACCCAGGATGCCGACGCGACTCTCAGGCATCGGTCTCGCGCGCACCGCAGCTTCGCCGCCCTATCTGGATGCCAGCCGCCTCTCTTCTTCACCTCCGTCCGCGGCGGGATAGAGCCATGATGAAAAGAATCCACACAGATCCAGGAGAACACACAAAGATCGTGGAGGTTCCAAAAATTCCCTGCCCGGCCGAGGCCAAACAGGAGTGGTCAAGAATTAGTTTTCAACTAGCAAAAAGACGCACTCGGATTACTCCTCACTGTGACGCCTAAAGCCCGTGCACCAAGATGAGGAAGAAAAGAAGAAAAAAAGGAGAGGAGGGGAGGGCTGGCCGGTGGGAGAGGGGATATTTATAGGTACCACTCACCCGCAAGCGAGTGGGGCGGGAGCGCCCGGTGACTCAGCAGGAGGGGATGTTGTTCTTGCCCTAGGTAACAAACACATAGGTACCTAAGGTACCTGTTTTAGGCAGCTACGGCCCCGATCAGTTCGAGAGGTACCTACCTAACCTCTTAACGTTGTTGTGCTCAGTAGGTACCTTGTAAGCTTGCCTCACCGGCCTGCGCCGAATATGAACCTACCCCTGGAAGAGCACCAAAATACTCGTAAAGACGGGCATATAGGAAGATACTACTATGAACCACGATATCCCTTAACGACGCCTTGTACGCAACTCCTCCCGTTCCTCTGCTTCGTTATCCGTACCCAGGTGGCCATGTCTGGATATTTGCCCCAAACTAAAAGTAAATGGGAGAGGTGGTTGGGAATGCATAGCGTTGAGCCTGTGACGATCACAATGACTAATTCTCCGCGCCGGCGTTCAACATGCAAACAGAGCATCCTTCTGGTGAGAATGTTATAGATCTCGAAACAAACCGCGTATGCCTTGTACACCGATACTGCCAGAAGGAATCTAGGTAGCGATCATGCCTCGTACCGAAAGCTAGCCAAGGGCTTTCTCAAAGAATAGGTCTCTTGCTACACTAGTTTCCCTAACCTGAGGTATCATTAGCTTGGGTCGGCTGATCTGCAAAGTTCCTCTTCTCTGCCGATGGCTTGATTTCACGCTTTCGCCGGCAAGACATAGACACTAGTCCGAGGTGAGGCCAGAGGCGCCGACTCCCATTCGGCAAAGTCAAGACAATGTGATAGAATCTCTCTTGCCTAGGCACTTAGGCATTAGACCCCCTACAAGCAAATCTTACACGGAGTACCGCCAGTTTCCCATTCTCTATCGCTGACTCCCCGTGTACCAGAGATACTGGGTCGATCTAAATAAGAAGGAAAAAAGAACGGGTTCAACAAGTACCTAGGCACTAAGCAGATTGGTGTCTCTTTTTCTGCCGGCTACTTAATGCGTGGATGCTTAAGGTATCTGAGATGATCAGCGCTCGATCGAATCTCCCGGCCTGCTCGAGGAAAGCGGACGAGGTGGATGCGCCGGCTACCGGGTCTCCGAACGGTATAGTCGTATACAGCTAAGCTACCTAATATAACGGCCCAAAGTGCTCCTTTTCTTCTGTGGGGTGAGCTGCGGTAGGTAGGTACCTATACCACGGAGGGATAGCAGGTAGGTACCTATGCACACACATACTCAGGTGGTTGCTATGCGGTTTAGCTGTAGATCCTTAGGCATCTAGAATAAAGGCCTATAATTAATAGAATTAAAAAAAAATACGCAATAGCTAACTATTCGTAAAACGCTATATTTAAGCCCTTTTAATAGTTTAGTTTTTATACCTTTAATTAATTAACTAGGTTTACCTTTTAACTCGTTTTACGTGCTTTATAATTAAGGTAGCGAGGCTACGAGAGGAACCTCCGCCAAAACGCATACAGCGGCCTCTTATTGTAACTATATACTTATGTGCACATGCAATAAACGATTATACGACTCTCTTGTTACCTACCACACATACGGCGAGCCCATCATCTCATCTTCCCATCTGGGATGTCTCTCCGTCTTCTCCTCCTCATATTATCCGCCAAGCACGGAACTATGCCGATTCCATAAAGGCGTACCCAAGACTCGTCGGCGATGCTGCCAACGCTCAGTGTAAGAAATCATACCTACCCTCGATCCTGCTGGGTCACCCGCAGACGTGTTCGTCCGTTGCACAGCCATAAACCGCCACGCCCAACCCACCCGCTTCCTCATAAGAGCGCCCCTTCTCCCCCCCTCGCGCGCCCACCCACGACGACAACACATCCCGACGTGAAATGGGTGTACATATCAGATGGTGCAATGGGGCATCCCACTATATGGAGAAGCACTGCTATTGCATGATGGAAAACCCTACGCGCAGCGACAGTTGGCAGCATGCGGTGCAGTCTTTCGTCTCCGGTCTCGGCCCAGCCGAGCGGGCAGGATTTCGGGCGCCAGCCAGCCCGGACGACTGTATGGCCGTCCTCCTGGCCACGCAGCGTCGCAAGACCAAACTCGCGCGCATCCTGGACCTGATGCGCCCGGCGATCGACCCTCTCAAGCGGTTTGAGAGCGCCATCGACGTCGTCGTCCAGGTCAACGCCGGCATCGCCTCGCCCATCTGGGGCCCGCTGAGGGTTGTCGTGACGGTAAGCGGCGCCCGTTGGGTCAACTTGCTCTGTATTCCGAGTCGCTGCTAATTTTATCTACGATATCCGTCTGTTAAGCTCTGCGCAGACCACTTCCACACCCTGGAAAGCGTAGCCATGATTATACATAGGGTCATTAGTTCCCTGCAGAGGTTTTCCAAGTATGAGGAACTCTTCGCCAAGAACGATCTCGTACAGAACGCCATAGGAGCCCTCTACTGCGACTACCTTGACTTCTGTGTCCGCGTCACCAGATTCTACTCCTCGCCTTTCCGTAGGCCATGACCGTCTCTGTGGATGTTGGTGGAGCCACTCGTGCCTGGCGCTGACGGGGAAACAGGCTCATTTTTCTCTTCCTTCGAAAAGGACTTCGGCGACGTGGCCGCGAGTATCAAGCTGCACAGCAAGAATGTTGACTGGGCGGCTCACGCCGCCCACGTCGAGGAGACTCAGCGAGAGATGGAGAAAGCCAAGCTAGAGAGACGAGGTGCGAGATTTCGGACACGTCAAAACGGGTCTTGTTCTAAACCAAAAACAGCTCACGAAAGAGGGAATATTCAAAGATGGCTATCCCCTTCGACGGTCGACGACGACCTCCGCAAACACGCCGGCGAATGCCTGGCTGGGTCGTGCGACGGAATATTGGCCTCCCCGCAGCTAAAGGCCCTTGTCGCCCCCGGCGATACCCCGAAGAAGGGCGTTGCCATTAGGTTGCAAGGACTGCCGGGAAGTGGGAAGACCACCGCTGCCGCTTTCCTAATCAACCATTTGAAGAACCAGGGCTTTGTGGTGCTGTACTTCTTCTTCAAGGCGAGCGATGGGGAGAAATGTTCTTTACTAAACTGCCTTCGGACGCTCCTATCACAGTTGATCCGGTCGGAAGAGGGCCTCTACGACTTCGTCGAGCCGCTGTACCAGATGAGCGGCCGGGTTGTGGCCGACTCGCTGATCGAAGTGCGACAGGCCTTATCTACGGCGCTGGAGCATGCGGCCGCAAGCCGGATATTCCTGGTGCTCGACGCGCTCGACGAGGCCTCGAATAGCGAAGACGTCTTGAAATGGGTTGCCGGCCGGCGGGAAGCCACCGGCCGGAGGCTTCGAGTCGTCTGCACGTCACGGCCCTCATGGACACCGGCCATTCCCGTCCCGTCGGACTGGATGCTCCTGAGGATGGAGGACTTTAAAGCCGACAGCATCAAGCAATACATCCTAGACCGCGTGCGGGAGAACCCGGTGATCAGCGGCGCTGGCGCCGAGAAGCAAGTCGCGGACATGGTCGCGTCAGCCGCTGGTGGGCTCTGGTTGTACGCGCGGCTTACGACGGATGACCTCGACCGTCTGCCATCAATAGGACAGGTCTGGCGGCAGCTGACGACGCTGCCGCAGGGCTTCACCGAGCTCTATTCGCAGATCCTGCGCACAACCGAGACTAAGCTGAGCGCGGTCGAGCTCAAGCTCGCGCAACAGCTCCACCTCTGGGTCGACGTCGACGACTATCTACCTAAGTTCCTCATCCTCGCCGACGACAGGCTACGGTACGACACGCTCGAGCTCATTTTTCAGTACGCGAACGACGGCGAGCCCGTCTACGACCCACTCGCCGTCGCCAGCCGCGTCTCGGCTCCCCTTCTCCGGGTCTTCGGCGGCAATAGTGATTACGACCGCGAGGACGACGCTAGTATCGGTATGGATACGGGGCAGCAAGCGGGCAGCTCCTCGCGCGCGTACGAGCTCGACTTCATCCACCAGACGGCGGCACAGTACCTGAGTGAGAGCGATAAGCTACCAGCGGCCCAGCTACCGCGGACGCTGCAACTGCGGCGGCTGCGGTGTCTGCACCGGGCGGCCGTCGCCGTCTGGTACTTCACCGAGTGCGAGCAGTCAGCGCGGGTTCTGGCAGACCTTCGGCGAAGCGATGTCCGGCCGAGGCACTCACTCATCTGCTACTTTGAGATGGCGTACGGGCTGTGGGACGCGCTGCGGCTCGACGGGCGCCGGTGGTCGTCGCTGGCCGCACAGAACGAGGAGGACGCCGATGCGACCGCCGTGCTGCGCACCCTCGCCCGCTTTATTTCAACTCCGGCCTGCCTGCGCTGGGTCGAGTGTGCCATCATTATCAACTACCGCGGCAACTTCCCCCACCTCCTGTGGAATGCGGTCGACGCGTGGAGCGCGGGCGTCGAGGCGGAAGGCTACGCCGCCGACGAGGGCGGCGGAACCGGCGCTACTGCCGCCGACCCGTACCGCACCTTCTCGCGGGCGCGCACACGCTTCTGCCAGAACTACGCGTTCGTGCTGGCCTTGACCGGTGTCGGAGGCAGCTACGCGCCGCTCGAGCTGCTGAACGCGGCGCGGCGCGATTTCGCGCAGGACAGGCTGGCACAGGAGATCCTTAAGCTGGGGCAGCGGTGGAGGCCGCTCGTCGTCGCGGGCGAGGGGGAGATGGAGATCGACAACCTGTGACTACGGGGGGGCCCGCTGTTGTATCATCCCGTAAGTATGTGACGAGATCGACGTGTATCCGCGGTTCGCTCGTCTCGGTCTTCACAATAGCTACCGCGGCTTGACTAGGACTTGATTGAAGCTGCGCGCCCAGAATCGCTTTTCCCGGCGACCGGATTACCTCCGGGCCAGACACGCGTCTCGACTACGCCGGTTTTTCGGAATAAAGGTGTTGTCCACAACCGTGTCGACATCGCGGGACGGGTCTTGGCTGGCTTCATCAAAGACAACGAATCCACCATGGGAGTCGACGTTTGTTCCCTCCGTCCACAAGGAGTCTCTATACTGGTCGATCCAACTATGTGGAGGCCTTTATCGAACTATTATCCCCTTGATATCCCGGGCTTTCGAGTGCCCCGATCCTTTCACGGCCTTCTATTCTGGGAAACTCGCCGACAACTTTTCGAGCCGTCAACAAAGCGCGAGCTGTTCACAATAGTTGGCGAGTCGTCGCGAGAAGGCCGGGCAGGGGTAGAAGGGAAGGGGAGGTGAGGAATAAGGCGCAAAAGGGGAGAGACCTCAGATCTCAAAGGCAGAGAAAGCGTGTATCCCCTGCCGCCGTCGAACAAAGGCGGGCCAGCCGTTCGACAGCGGTGCGGTAATAGTCACTTGCCCCTAGGTAGAGTCGTCAAAGAACCTGTGTACCCGAGCTCCCGAGCCATGCGCGGGAATATATAATAGACAGGCTCCCCCACGCCTCTTCGGGAGCGAAGGCTTACGCGTTGCTCCCTAGTTATCGATTTTATTTCTTTTGTGCCAATCTCCATCTCTCTCTGTCTCTCTCTTTCGTGTCTCAGTCGACACCCAACTCACCCGAGTCACTCGTGAACATCACGTACTTTCGATCTGCGCCACGCTCCTTTTACGAGTATTTATTCATCTTGCGCTATTGTCTCGAGAGAAATATCGGATACATCTTCTGGCGGTAAAAAAGAAAGAAAAACCAAAGCATCTACGCCGCGTTGCAACCTATCTCTACGGCTTCTTTTCGAGACTCGGAAGGAACTCGCGATAAACGCGCCCAAGGGCACGATAAAATCTACGTATTATCTACATTCGCACACTCGTTCGAGATGCAGTTCGCCAACCTGCTCTTCCTCGCCTCCGCCGTCGCGGGCGGCGTCATCCCCCTGTTCCGCGGCACGCGGACGGCGCCGCTCCCCTCCGCCGCGGTGATCCGCGACGCGCCGGCGGTGACACCCGGCAGCGTCCTGGCCCCGCAGAACTTCGCGCACATCCAGGAGGACAGGCGCAAGCAGCACCGCCGCCGGCCGGCTGCCGAGGCGCAGCCCGAGCTCCGCATCTAGCTTCCCCCTTTCCGCGAGGCCCGGCCGCCGCGCCGCGGGATCGGAAGCAAAGCGCGCGCCGTCTCCGGTGTGACGGCGACGGGAAACCGAGCCGCGCTTTGTCGGGTGCTGGTGCTAGGAGGATAGATACATGGGGGCGGTTCGACGTAGCTTCGATAGCCGGCCGCCAGTTCCGGGGGGGGGGGGGACTAATAAACCTGGCCGAGTTCAAGAGGGGGTGGTGCAAGCTTGAAGACTAGGAATGGGGTAGGCGGGCTCTCGCATGTACATTTATAGGGAATTACAAAAGCAAAAGCAAAACATCAAGACAGGTTTCACATTTTCTTCTTTTCGGGTAATCAGTAATTGGTGCGTCTGAGACAGGTGTGCATTATGCAGTGTTAGTTCTCCTTGATTCCGTGCAGGGGACGGGATCCTACGAGCCAGGCGAGGCGACCATGCTGGGATGCAGAGTGAGACGAATTTAGGAAAGAAACGAGTGGTGGCGAAACGAAGAGAAATAGAACACTGCCTATTCGCAATTTTCCGAAGCTGGTGTGTTGGTATATATATAAATAAAGAGGTAGAAGGAAATAACACTGGCTGCCCCGTCTGCTACACGACTTGTACTCAAGGGAATATATGAGTAAGAGAAGGGGAAAAAAAAAAACACTCAGGACAGCAATTCGGTACTACGCACCTATATATGCGGACGCTAAACCGAGGCGACTGCAGCTGGGGTGGTGTGGAGGAGCGGAAGAAAAAGGAAGATAAGCCGGGGGGGAGGGGGGCAGACGAGACGAGGTGAGGGGCGGGAGTGTGATGGGCTGGGCGTTGCGTTCCTCCCGATCGTTGGCAGACGTCTGAGAGCGTTGTGAAGACGAAGAAGGACGATCACACCACGCCCACGACGCCGCCACCACCAGCGTCGAGAAGGGGGCCGGGGGGGGGAGGGGGGGGATGCGTGTAGAGGGATGCCCCAGGACTGTGGAATCTAGGTACGTGTAGAATCAGCCGGTTGCGACCCCGGCAAGATGTCGGCAGGGGAGGGGCGTGCGGTGAAGGAGGAGGGAAGAATAAGAAGCTGATGCTGATGCTGATGGCGATGGGTGTGGGTGTGGGTGGTATTGGGCGCGCTCACACCCAAGGTCGCAGGATTGATCGTGACTCCTGTTCACGGGGAGGTTGAGGCTAGGGGCCAATCGGGGTGGTCAATTGGGCGTGGGTTCACATGTAGTGCCTCTTGATGGGAAGACCCGAGCGTGGGATGAGAGAGAGAGAGGGTGTGTGTCTGTGTCTGTGTCGATCCGTGACTCGGGCAGACGTAGGGAGGAGGGAGGAGAGGAGGGATGCCCCTGAAGCTGGTAAGCTGGTTAGCTGGTTGGCGTCGCTATGACTCGTCGTGTGTGTGCCGGTCCTTTTTGGCGCTGTCCGCCCATTCCGGATTGTCACCTCAGCTTGCGGGACAGCGCAGGATGGGTATGCTGCGCGGCACAGCCGCTGCCGGCGTTGGATTATCGAAGCTGGGATTGTAATTATTGTTGCTGCTGTTGGTCGTAAGGAGATAGATGGATACCTGTAGGTAGGTATATATCGACGTCTCTAAGATTCACCCCTCGAAGTTGCCGACGACAAGGCCGTGCATCAGGAGGTTGGTGTCTACCTGTATGTACACGTAAGTACCGAAGCTACCTAGAGATAGGTACCTCAGGTTAGCGGGAGGTACCTCTCAAGGTGCTAGGTAGGTATATCCCCTGGAAGCTGCCTGCGGAATACCTCAGGCAGCCCTGGCGCCCCACAGAGCCACTACCTACCATACAGGGAGGGGGAGGTCTATTAACACTATATCAGCAACCCTTTCTATAACTAAACATAGTGTCTGCCTCGTAATAAGAAGGAGTTAAACTCTAGGCTAACATTATTACCATTTCCCGACATAGTTACCATCCGGACATAATATCCTTATTTTAAAAAAGGTACATTCTATAGGATTACCCGGTTACCTCTATGTTACTAAGTACGTACCTTTGTACCTTTGTATCTTTTACGTCTGTTACCTACCTCCTCCTAACCTCCTACCTACCTACCTACCTACCTCTTCCATAGGTTCGAAGATAGGTTCGAAGATAGATAGATTCCACGCGCGCGAACTAGCTTCCATAGATTTAAAGATAGGTTTAAAGATAGATAGATAGATTCTACGCGTAAACTAGCTCCTATAGGTTCGCAAATAGGTTCGTAGATAGGTTCGCAGATAGGTTTAAAGATAGATAGATTCTACGCGTGAACTAGCTCCTACAGGTTCGCAGATAGGTTCGAAGATAGATAGATAGATTCTACGCGCGAACTAGCTCCCATAGGTTCGCAGATAGGTTCGTAGATAGGTTCGAAGATAGATAGATTCCACGCGCCTAAACTAGCTCCCATAGGTTCGCAGATAGATAGATTCCACACGCCTGAACTAGCTCCCATAGGTTCGTAGTATAGTGGTACGGTGGATCTAGGCCACGTAGCCTTTTCGATATATATTTATATGGGTCGCGTACTTATATTTTCATTAGCCAGACTTAGACCTATAGATATTACGACCTATAGCTATTCATTCGTTTCTTACCATGCCTTTCTAGCTATCCTCCTTTTGCCTTTTCTAGTCCCCCTTTCCTAGCTGCCGTTTTTAGCTAGCCGATTAACCGATTATAGCTATTTATAGCTATAATCTTAGGTTAATCGGCACTAGGCTAGTTATTAGTAGTTAGGCAGTCCTTATTTCGTACCTCCGTTAGCGTACCTACGCTACTCCTATTCAGTAGCGACCACCCAGTAGCTCGTCCTTACCTCAGCCTTAGGAGTGACCTTTTGCGCCCGTTTTTGTAGTCATTAGGTTCAGGATTCGTCGATCAGGAGATTCCCTATTTTTCAGTTAATTAGGAGCTATTTTCGTGGCTTTCCGATTAAGCCTTTTCAGGTCAGGATTAACGGGAGGGTAGACAACCATAGCGACTATTAATAACCACGCCCTCCCATCAGCTTTTAATCAGCTTACCTAAAAGCTCGTTCGCCGATCAGTGGATCTATCTTATCCTCGTTTCTCAATTGTCTCTTTTAAAGGAGCTATACCCGTTTTACCCGGTTTCGTCTCCGTTTTTACCAATGCCTAGATAGCAGTTTTCGCCCTCAGTTAATCTAACCAAGTTACTGCTACCACCCCTTTTTATAACACGCGCTTGAAGGCATCCGTTCTTTACCGATCAGTTTATTTTAATTACAAGAGGCTTACCGATAGCTCCGATCGCCCTTATTTTATCCCTTCCAGTTAGTTACGGTACCTAGGGAGGTTTCTCCTCCCTAACCGATAGGTACTACGATGCCCTTAATTACCATACGAAGATACCGACATACCTTATACCTACGAACCTAATCGGGACCTACCGATTAGCGCGATAGACCTATAAACGATACCGCGATATACGAATTAAACAGGATATTAAATAAGAAAGCCTAGAAAAAACAGTCATAAGTTATAGTCGGAAATAGCTATGATAATACCCGGAGACCCCTCTTATCGCCCTTACCGATATATAGTTAGTAGGAAGAGCCAGAGCCCCTAGAACCACGTACAAGGGAGGGATCGAGGGTCAAGGGAAGCCCGGTAGATGCTGCCGGACGAATAACAATTAGATACGAGTTAGAAACGGAAACAAACGGGCATAAATAGAATATATTAGTTAGTTTATAGGATTAGGATTAGTTAAAAGGATCGGCAAAAGACAGCCATAAACGAAAAGGACGGAAATTACGTTACATCGTATGGGATTATTTCTTTATTTCTTACGGGAGCTACGCTTGTTTTACCTGCCCGTTATAGTTCCTATTTCCTAACTATTAATCCCTATTATTTCTTAATAGCCTTTAATGGACCTAGCTCGCTCCTAGTTAATCAGGGTTGATTAGGAATAGGTTAATCAGGTTAGTTATAGTTACAGCTCCGCCAGCCTAGTTATTCTTATTATTAGATCTTTCCTATTTCCTATTAATCGTTAATTAAACTGGCTTAGCTCCTAATTAGCAGCGATTAAATAGGTTCGGGATTAATCAGGTTTAGGTTTAGGATCAGGTACGGTTACAGTCACCTACCTACTACCTACTTATTGCTATTATAATCGTTCCTAGTTAACCTATTTCCTGACTTATCCTGTTAGCCTTTAATTAAACTAGCTAGCTTTTAGTTAATTAGGGTTGATCGGGATTAGGATTAGGTTAAACAGGAACGAAAGCTACCGCACCTATTACTATTAGGAGTTTAATTACTCCTTACGGATTAATTAAACTAGGGAGGCTATAATAGTACGGTAGATCTAAGCCACGTAGCCTTTTCGATATATATTTATATAAATCGCGTACTCATATTTTCATTAGCCAGACTTAGACCTATAGATATTACGACCTATAGTTATTTACTCGTTTCTTACCATGCCTTTCTAGCCATCCTCCTTTTGCCTTTTCTAGTCCCCCTTTCCTAGCTGCCGTTTTTAGCTAGCCGATCAACCGATTATAGCTATTTATAGCTATAATCTTAGGTTAATCGGCACTAGGCCAGTTATTAGTAGTTAGGCAGTCCTTATTTCGTGCCTCCGTTAGCGTGCCTACGCTGCTCCTGTTCAGTAGATAGATAGATTCCATACGCCTGAACTAGCTCCCATAGGTTCGCAGATAGATTCAAAGATAGATAGATTCCACGCGCGCGAACTAGCTCCCATAAGTTCGAAGATAGATAGATTCCACACGCCTGAACTAGCTCCCACAGGTTCGCAGATAGGTTCGTAGATAGGTTCGAAGATAGATAGATTCCACGTGCCTGAACTAACTCCCATAGGTTCGAAGATAGTGTAGTGGTGCGGTGGATCTAGGCCACGTAGCCTTTTCGATGTGTATTTATATGGGTCACGCACTCATATTTTCATCAGCTAGACTTAGACCTGTAGACATCACGACCTACAGCTATTCACTCGTTTCTTGCCATGCCTTTCTAGCTATCCTCGATTGCCCTTTTCCAGTCTCCCCTTTCCCAGCTGCCGTTTTCAGCTGGCCGATCAACCGATTACAGCTGTTTACAGCTGTAATCTTGGTTGATCGGCACTGGGCCAGTTGTTGGCAGTTGGGTAGCCGTTTCGTGCCTCCGTCAGCGTGCCCACGCTGCTCCTGTTCAATAGGTTCGAAGATAGATAGATAGATTCCACGCGCGAACTAGCTCCCATAGGTTCGCAGATAGGTTCGCAGATAGGTTCGAAGATAGATAGATTCCACGCGCGCGAACTAGCTCCCATAGGTTCGAAGATAGATAGATTCCATACGCCTAAACTAGCTCCCATAGGTTCGCAGATAGGTTCGAAGATAGATAGATTCCACGCGCCTGAACTAGCTCCCATAGGTTCGTAGATAGGTTCGCAGATAGGTTCGTAGATAGGTTCGTAGATAGGTTCGTAGATAGGTTCGAAGATAGATAGATTCTACGCGCGAACTGGCTCTCATAGGTTCGTAGATAGGTTCGTAGATAGGTTCGAAGATAGGTTCGCAGATAGGTTCGAAGATAGGTTCGCAGATAGGTTCGAAGATAGGTTCGCAGATAGGTAGTAGATCATGGTATTTATAGAAAAAAGATGAAGACAACAGGTCTAGGTAGGTAGGTAGCCTAGGTAGGTAGGAAGGTAGGTAGGTAGGTACCATACAGGGAGGGGGGGGTCTATTAACACTATGTCAGCAACCCTTTCTATGACTGGACATAGTGTCTGCCTCGTGATAAGAAGGAGTTAAACTCTAGGCTGACATTATTACCATTTCCCTTACCATCCGGACATAATGTCTTTATTTTAAAAAAAGGTACATTCCATAGGATTACCCGGTTACCTCTAGGTTATTAAGTACGTACCTTTGTACCTTTGTATCTTTTACGTCTGTTACCTACCTCCTACCTCTCTTCCATAGGTTCGAAGATAGATAGATTCTACGCGCGCGAACTAGCTCCCATAGGTTCGAAGATAGGTAGATAGATTCCACGCGCGCGAACTGGCTCCCACAGGTTCGCAGATAGGTTCGCAGATAGGTTCTAAGATAGGTTCGCAGATAGGTTCTAAGATAGGTTCGCAGATAGATAGATAGATTCCACGTACCCGAACTAGCTCCTACAGGTTCGAAGATAGATAGATTTCACACGCCTGAACTAGCTCCCATAGGTTCGAAGATAGATAGATTCCATACGCCTGAACTAGCTCTTACAGGTTCGCAGATAGGTTCGCAGATAGGTTCGAAGATAGATAGATTCCACGCGCCTGAACTAGCTCCCATAGGTTCGCAGATAGGTTCGTAGATAGGTTCGCAGATAGGTTCGTAGATAGGCTCGCAGATAGGTTCGTAGATAGGTTCGCAGATAGGTTCGTAGATAGGTTCGCAGATAGGTTCGTAGATAGGTTCGAAGATAGATAGATTCTACGCGCGAACTGGCTCTCATAGGTTCACAGATAGGTTCGCAGATAGGTTCGAAGATAGGTTCGAAGATGGGTTCGAAGATAGGTAGTAGATCATGGTATGTAGAAAAAAGATGAAGACAATAGGTCTAGGTAGGTAGGTCTAGGTAGGTAGGTCTAGGTAGGTAGGTAGGTAGGTAGGTAGGTAGGTAGGTAGGTAGGTAGGTAGGTAGGTACCTATGGAATATATAGACATTATATCCGTCTGGACATTATCATATCCGTCTGGACATTAGTTCCTACGTAGTCATAAAAACCATTCTGAAATTATAAGAAGGGAAGGTAATAAGGTCGGTACCGCGACCCTTGCTGTAATTCTTTTAGCTCTTTCGAAAGAATAGGTAACCCTTACTAGATTTAGTTACCGTGTCCGTACCCCGACTCTATTGCTGACATACTGTCCGTAGACCCCCCCCTCCCGGTATGGTAGGTAGGTAGGTACCTATAAAATATATAGACATTATATCCGTCTGGACATTGTCATATCCGTCTGGACATTGGTTCCTACGTAGTCATAAAAACCATCCTGAAATTATAAGAAGGGAAGGTAATAAGGTCGGTACCGCGACCCTTGCTATAATTCTTTTAGCTCCTCCGAAAGAATGACTAGCTAAGGTAACCCTTACTAGATTTTATTACCGTGTCGGTACCCCGACTCTATGGCTGACATACTGTCCATAGACCCCCCCCTCCCTGTATGGTAGGTACCTAAGGTAGGTACTATAGGTACCTAGGTAGGTACCTAATGTAGGCACAGGTTGGGTACTTTAGGAGGTAGCGTAGCACCGCTACACCCATCGCCGAAACGGCGCAGGGAGGAATGGTGGCCGCGCTAGGCCGCAAGCGGGGAATTAAAGTGAAAAGTCATGTGAGTCCGCGTACCTTTCGAGATTCCGCCCGACGCGTGGGCGAACTGCATCGCCAGAAAGACGTGTTTGCCTACAGGATACGGAGATACGGCTGCAACAGCACTAAAAATGCCAATTAAACCACGGTAAAACCGCCGCCGCCAGAACATGGCACCACAAGGAAAGAGAAATGCCCAGCACGGCAGCTGCCATCCTCTATCCTCCAGGCAATTACATAGGTCTGCCGTCACGTGTATTGGCATATCTATATATTGGCACGGCGTCGCCCACGTTTTCTCCTCTCCCTCTCACCCTTTCTCTCTTTTTTTCGCGTCTTCTCGTTCCATCCTCCCCCCGACTCTCACGCATCGGGCACGTCAGGTAGGCAGTTAGTTCACTTCCCTCCGTCCCGTGGTTTTGTTCCTTCCATCGTCTTTTTCATCGCATCGGCTGTTCCCACCATCCCCCCCTCTTCGCAATCAAATACCAGCACTCCGACCGCCCGCCCGCCAACCGTCCATCCGAGCAACCGTCGCCTCGCTCAATCAATCGATCCGTCAGGGCATCGACTCGCGGCCCCTGACCGCCACCCAGTCGGCCCCGTGCTAGCCCCTAGAAAGAGAGTGCGAGTGGGGTGTGACTTTTCTCGGTTGGTCGGAGACTCGACAGCGGCGTCCACGCAGACCCAGACATAGACCCAGACACAGACGCACGAGGGCCAGCCGCCTTTGCACGCATCGACTCCAAGATGTTCGGTCGACGATTCGAGCCGCCGCTACACAAGAGCTTCTCGAAGAGCCAAAAGCTCAACAAGTCCAGCTCGTCCTTCAGCAAGACCCATGGCGTGTCCAAGAACCGCCACGAGCCACGTCCGCATCGTCGACCGGCGACGGCCACGTCGTCACAGTCTCCCCACGAGAATGCTCTATCGCCAACTGGGTATGTGTTTTCACCATGGCTTAGTGCTCCTTCTCACTCCATTTCTCCCTCTCTCTCTCTCTCTCTCTCTCTCTCTCTCTCTCTCTCTCTCTCTCTCTCTCTCTCTCTCTCTACGCATATGTGCGGAAATCCCACGCTAACACGCCCCGTTCCTACCGACACCAGCAGCCTAACGCCCTCGATCGTGACCCTCGTCGTGGGCAAGGACCAGCGGATCTTCGCCGCGCACGAGGACGTGCTCCGTGCGTCACCGTGGTTCCAGCAGGCGCTGGCGGAGCAGTTCATGGCGGCGACAGACCTGCAGGGCGGCAAGCGCGTCTACCTGCCCGATGAGGAGCCCGAGATCTTCTCGTCCGTGCTCGAGTACCTCTACAAGGGCGACTACTACCCGCGGCTCGTGCACAACCGCCGCCGCAACTCGTGGGAGATCGAGCGTCCGGCCGAGGGCGAGGAGGGCGGCGGCGGCGAGTCGACCATCTACCATCACGCCGCCGACGGTGATATCCTCAAGGACACCATCGTGTACTGCGCTGCCGAGAAGTACGGCCTCGAGGAGCTGAAGCGGGTCTCCCTGCGCAAGCAAGGTCTCCGTGAGTCATCTTCCCCTGGCGCTCTTCTTCTACTGCTTCATTTTACCGCTAACCACTCCGGACCGTGCGGCAGAGTCGGGCATCCAATGCAGCACAATCTTAGCGTCGGCACGGTACGCGTACGCACACACGCCCGACACGGACTCGAAGCTGCGGGCGCACTACCTGGCGCTCATCATCCGCAGCCGCAGCACCTTCAAGCGCAGTGGCACGATGCAGCTTGAGATGTTCAACGGTGGCACCCAACTCTTCTTCGACCTCTTCGTCGCCCTCTGCAACCACGTCGACGACATTTCGGGCAGCGCTCAGTGAGTAGCAGCCCAGATAATGAGACCAGGAGAACGTGGCGCGCTGACATATTGGGGATTTCTAGGAACACGCCGCGCAGCGACCGCCGCTTCTTTTGAGCGGGCGGGCGGACAGGTCGGCGGTTTCCCGGCCCCTTTGTGGTATTCCGCTGTATTTCCGCTTCTCCTCGGCTCTCTATTTTTTCATCTATTTCGTTTGAGGCCTCACCACGCTCAACTAAAATCTAATGATCAACGTTTTCCCCCTTCTATTTCTCAGCTTCCTTCCCTTTGGTTTATCATGGCCTTTTCCCTCTTCCATTATCTTCATACCTCTGGCGGGCAACCCTTGGGAAACGTCTCTGCCCATGTTGGTTCGGGCACTGCGGCGATACACACAAATACCTACATATACATATCGGCGTTCTGGATTAGGTTTCTTCTTTTCCTCACATCTCTCCTGACAGTCTGGGGTCTTTTTTTCTTCACCTTTCTCCACGGTGGGCATGTTGGTTTTCTTCTTCCTGCTGTAGTACCATTCTCATTCTACGGGACACACGATCCAGGCCGTCGGCCTGGATTCGCCTCTCGGACTCTATTACCTTATCGGGCTTTTGGGCTTTCTATACCATTTCACGTCGCCAGAAGGGCTATCGTCGCGTAAAGAAAACACAAAAAAGATGACATCTCATGAAGATTGCGAACCTGTACGAAGCAAGGAAGGAAAGAAAGGATTGGACGGATGTCGATGAATGTTTTTGTTTTTCCCCGACTTCTCCGACTTCTCTCCTTTGTCACTCTGCGAGGGGAAGCGGAGAGGGGGAGACGTTGGACGACAAGAGGGGACGAATAGGAGAGCAAGGACCCTTAGGGGGGTTGAATCATAGAGGAAAAGGGAGGGAAATGTTTTACCCCTTAACCGCGCGCGGTTAGTAAAGTGGTGGAATCTCGGCGAGATCACTCGCTCCCCTTCGTTACCTGATTAGGGTCTATTATTGCTGTACCTATCTGGGAACTCTCGTTAACGAGTGAGCGAGTTTCGGTCCGCTTTCCGGACTCCCCCGTTTATATCTCGGGAGACGGGGATTTTGCCTAATAACGAAATTACGTTTTGGCGCGCTACGTTTGCTGGGTTTCCCTTCTCCTCAACTTGTGTTCTGAACGAGCTGCATACACGGGAGTAATGGGGACATTTGGCTAACCGTAACATGGTACATTAAATTTCTCGACGAGTAGTCCGGACGCGTCCCCAGCCGGTAGCGTATCCAACGTTGGTAAGCCGGCCGTGCACGGCATACCCAGCGCTGGTCGGCCGGCCGGCAACGCGATCCGCCGCATCAATACGCAAACGGACGTACGCTTCTCATCTATGCCTACGGCCATAGGTGGGGTTAAAGTACCGTGTATAGGTAGGTACCTACAGGTAGGTTGAGTAGGCCAAGTTGCTTACCCGCCAGCCTACCTCCATCTGCCCCCCTCCCCCTTTCTCCCGCAGCGTCGGCTCCTGGGGCATTGACGAGGGAGAGAGGGGGTGAGACGATCCAGCGTGCTGCAGTGGTCTGCCAGTCGGCTTGACTTGGGGCGGAGAGAGCTGGGTAGGTGCGTGCCGTGAGATGGAAGGTAGGCAGCGTAGCGGTGGAGCGGTGTCAGCGGCTGAAGACGAGGCGTGAGTCATGGGTCCGGCGGTCTGTTTCCGCACGCTCCGACGGTTTGTCGTGGGGCCGAGAAATTCCCAGGTACAGGTAGGTAGGTTGCGTGTGGCGGCAACGGACGCGCTCTCGCTTGGTGGATCAGGTAGGCTGGGCGGCCAGCGGTGCTCAGATGGCGCTGCGGTGGCGCATACACGGGATACGTCTATATGTATGCAGTAGGCGGTAGGCAGTGGTGAACGTAGGCATGTCCACGGTTCCGTATAGCTATCTATATCGAATACCCGCCGGGATGTGTGGTTGTCCTGTCATTCGCAGGCAAGGAGGCGCGGGAAAAGAACTCGTTGTTTTTTGATGTATCCCTACCTGTCCACGGCAACCCGGCCAACACTCTCGTCTCACACCCGCGGCCTTCGATGCGGTCATGCTAATCCTCATTTTGTTCGTATCACCTACCATGACCTGCTGCAGCCTGCCTATAGCCGGCTGGCAAATCGAGATGTGTGCGATAGGACCTGTCACAATATGCGCCTCTGCAAGATCGGGTTGCCTATCGCCGTCGATTTCCCATGTCCCTAGCCCTCCAAACAAATAAGAGGAGGCTACCTAGCCGGCTACATGAGAGGGAAGGGGTTGCACCGCGAGATCTAACCTGTCTGCCTGTCTTCCCCACACCCTCTCTATATCTGGTTGCCAAGTTGGCCTCCTAGTAAGCCCATCACTGCCCTCTGTGTTACTAATCAGTCATACTACACATATCGCAGGCGTACCCTTTGGTTTGCGGTCCCTTACTTTTAAGGCTGAGCGACACGCATACATATATATACAGCGCCGCCTGCTCGCCGCCTTGTCGGTGTGCCACTGGCAGGCCGTTTTTGTATAGCCTATCATGTGTATCCGTTCCACCACCTTCCCTTCTGTCCGTCCGCCCGTCCCTCTATCAGACGATACGTGCGTCCAACTTCGTTGACTCAGACGCCGGTTCCGGGGAACGCCCCGTTCTTGCTTAATACGACGAAGCCGCGCTCGTGAGCGATATATCCCTTCATCAAATTCTGCGATACGTTCGCCCCGTTAGTGACTCACACCCTGGTCCGAGCTGCTATTCTGCCAATGGGATCGTAGCATGGCATGGTTACAGAGTGCATCCTCCTAGATAGTAGAAGGGCTCGATGGTCATATGGAGAACGCCATTTCAGGCGTAGTCCTAGACGGCACACCTCTATACACCAAATACCCGCCCATATAGACACGATAGCCGAGTGTAGGTAGGTCTTAACGATGCACGAAAAGGGATGGCATACCTTGTAGATCATGTTGGCCATGAGACACTCTACCTCGTCGGAGTCGATGTCCTCCCCGCCGCTGATCTTGACCGCGGCCGTGAATTCGGCTACCGGAACCCTCGTGCGCCGAACCGGTTGCGCGCCGTCTTTGGCCTCCTCGAAGCCGCCGGCTATGAATACCCTGCGCAGCAGGTTCCTCAGCGCGATGTCGCGCCCCCGCTCTAGCGTAAGGTAGATTCGTCGTCTTATGAACTCGTCTTCGCCGTCACGCAGCGCGATGTCGAAAGCGCGGAGGTCTGCCTTCTTGATCGCTGTCGCTAGCGGTAAGAAGAGTCGCTGCAGCCGCGGGAATGGTTCCAGCAGCTGAGGGCTGGGCAGCGTATGCGTCGTCAGGAGGTGACACGGCACGAGGTAGGTCAAGATTAACCTGCGATGCGTGAGTCTATGATAAGCGCGCGCTCCCTGCCCGAACTCTGGCGAGCTTACTCGAGGTTTCGCTTCGCGTCTTTGTGGCACATGTGCCAGGCCATGGTCAGGTGTTTCTCCGCCTAGCGCACCGTTGTTAGCCAAACCCCCTCTCGTACCCGATCAAGGTAACAGGCTGCGAACCTCTACGTAATTCTCTTCGAGAAACGATAGGACACCTTCGTAGTACTTGAAAGTGACCTGTTGGGACTTTGGGAATTTGTCAAGTGTCGGCATATCGCCCCGGCCGGCCGAGATCGCCATTAGGACGTTCTTGGACAGCGAGGCCGAATTCAGCTTGAAATAGGTCTTAAAGAGGAGGTTGATAGCATAGTAGATGCCCCACTTTCGAGATTCCTCGAGGGGTGCTCTAAGTGCGGGTTAGTTTAGGGACGGCGAGAAAGGGTGGAGGAGAGGTACCGGTCATTGAGGCACGTCTGGAAGATTCTGTTGAGGTGTCTCGCACAATCCTCCAACAGCTTGTGCTCCTCGGACTCGGGGTCGAAATCGTCTTGCATAACAGCTGCGTCGCTGTATTCGTTGCTATTTTTCCTTTCCTCATCGGCTCGTATGGCGAATTGTCTGAGATACTTGCCCGCAATGTACAGGCAAGGGATGGTCCAGTTCTCAAAATCGTGATTTGTGTATCCGCGGATGATTTGCAGTGTCAGGTCCTTCCACGCTTCATACACTTTCTCCCACGACGACTTGTCGGTAGCTGTTAGCTTCAAATAAGGAACGCTGGACGAAAGACGCAGAGCCTGGCTCGGCGGGTAGGGCCAGGGCATACCTGATCGTTATCGCGGATTCCCTCGGCGGCGAGAATCAGGCCCAAGGCTTTCCAATAAGCTAGGTAGACCTCGATCCACCCAGCCGCCTCATCTCTCGAGATGCTGAGACCCGAGCGAGGGAGGTTGTTGTAGAACAGGAAAGAGAGGTCACCTTTGACATCTCGGTAATTTCCGCGGCCCCAGACGGACAATAGCTTCGAGGGGTAGGCTTGAACATCTGGGCGGAGGGTTTCGGCAAGTCGGTCCCCCCTCAACTCGGCGTAGGCTGCCCTGAAGTCCTGTATGAGATAATCCATGGCTGGCTCGACGAGGAGAGCAGGCGGCTCAACGGCGGAGATATCGAGGCCAGGTAGGGGCCCAGCGCGTCACCAAAGATTGGATTCTGTAGGCACGCGCAGTTAGGAAGGCGACAGATTTGCATCGCCAAGTGGTGAGCTAGGGTCTATCATGTTTACGCCGTGAACATGCCAAGCCTGGTGAAAGGCCGATGTTGACGGGTGTAGATGTTAACGTGTTGTAAGTGTAGTGAGTGAGACGCTCGAGGAGAGGTAGGTAGAGAGCAAGGCATGCCCGTAAAAGGGCCCGCCACTCTGATTGGCCAGTGCTGAACACGCCAGGAACGCGGGCAGGTACTTAGGTACCTACGTTAGGGAGCTCCTAGCAGACCGGGGGTACCTCGGTACAACCAAATGCCAAGCCGCGGCCACAGCTACCTCAGCCACAGACGTGCCGCCGGTTGCTGAGCCATAATTCACCAACATTTCCCTAGGGCGAGAAACCCTTAGCACCAGAATTTTCGCCAAAATCCGACTGGTAAGCGAATTCTACAGCCAGAACTCCCGTCTCGTCACCTGCTCCCCGGACTTTTTCTAACCACACCAACGCCATCGCGACCACCACATCAAAGTCACCGTAAGTTGGCCATTCGGCATACTGCAATCTCTCCATCGCGCAAGACTTTAGAAACTGACTGTGTTAAAGATGGGTAAGCACCCCCAATTTCAACCTCATCGCCTCCCCGCCGTTGTGTCGATGTCCAGCACCGAGTACGAGGGAATCCGATTGCGGTAGGCGGGCGGCTGCGAGAGATGGGGCAGCTCCGAGACGATCTCGAGTTTCTATCGCCGATTATCTGCTTCGCCCCGACGACGGCCTCGTCTAGATTCAGCCGACGACCAATTGCGAATTTGCAGAAAAACTAGTTCCAAATATGCGTTACGTGGGGGTAGGCTTGGGGTTATACGGTCAACGGATAGGCACCCGGACGAGGCCTGGATCACCCCCCATTCGACGGCATTCGCCCGGTGTTTAGCTGAATGCGGACTCTGTCGGACGTGATAATGTGGGATGAGCCGTGTTGCTAACGAACTCCGGCATCAGGTCGCCTTCAGGAATACCAGGTCATCGGGCGCCATCTGCCCTCCGAGACCAACCCCACTCCCAAGCTGTACCGCATGCGAATCTTCGCGCCGAACGATGTCGTCGCCAAGTCCCGCTTCTGGTACTTCCTCACGAAGCTAAAGAAGGTCAAGAAGGCCAACGGCGAGATCGTGAGCCTGAATAAGGTGGGTGTCGCGACGAGGTGGAAGACGGCGGAGAAGAGGGGAGCGCGGGAGGAAGGAAAATGCCCGGCGCTGACAGACGTACTAGATCCACGAAAAGCGCCCCCTCCGCGTCAAGAACTTCGGCATCTGGATCCGATACGACTCGCGATCCGGCACGCACAACATGTACAAGGAGTACCGCGAATTATCGCGAGCCGACGCCGTGCAGGCTCTCTACTCGGATATGGCCGCCCGACACCGAGCCCGGTTCCGGTCCATCCACGTACGCTCAAACCCCCTGACCCCCACCAGGTCCAGTTGCACGGACGCCGCGTGGCTAACTATGTCGTTAGATCTTGCGGGTGGTGGAGATCCAGAAGACCGAGGACATCCGAAGACAATACATCAAGCAACTCATCACCAAGGGCCTTACCTTTCCCCTACCCCACCGCCAGCCCAAGATCAGCAACAAGAAGGTGTTCAGCGCCACCCGACCTTCCACTTTTGCGTAAGGGGTGGTTTTTTCTCATCGTCTTGCCGTCCGGGGGGGGTTGGGAATCGGGTTTGTGCCGGTGTTCATTACGGAATTGCGGAAAAAACTTCCATTTGGCATGTTTCGCTCCATAGAGAAGAGCCACGAATGCATACCACAGACGAATCAATGATGCGTACAACAACCATTGCTACTACTTCCCACTTGCCGTTTTATGGCCTCATATATATTCGGTGCTCATGTGATACTATATATATATATACGGTGGCAGTCCGCCTTCGAGGCTGTCACGCAGAGATGTGCGTACTATACGACCCTGTGACATCACATCCATAATTTCGTAGTAATACAGCATATCGTGCTCGCCGGCCTCCTCCATCGTATGGTCCCTTTTTTTGTCCGGACGCTAGACGAGAGATTTCCCAGATCAGCCCAACCTTACACGCTCTGATCCCTGCTCGACCCGGACCTCGACTGCCCGTCGGCGGCCTGCGTCTCGTCGACGAAGTCGTCCCATGTGCTCCAGTCCATCGCCGGCGGCCCCGCCGCCGCCCTCATCATGATGCTGCTGTACGGGTACGTGTTCGCGACGCCGTCGTTATCGGCGCCGCCGCCGCCTCCCCGGCCTTCGTCGTTGTCGTCGAAGGACGCCAGCCCAAAGTCGAAGTCGCGCCAGCTCAGCGCCGAGTACGGGGGCTCGGCGGCGCCGGAGAGCGGGGCCGGGGAGCAGGCGGCTGCGTCGGCGAGCATCTCATGCGCGCGGCCGTCGATCTCGAAGCCGGTCAGGGCGGACGCAGAGGGGCCCCGGCGCCGCGTCGGCGAGAAGAGCGTCGGGGTCGCGGCGACGGCGTGGTCGCGATCCTCGGCGCGCGCGGCCCGGGCCTTCTTGTAGAGCTTCCGGATGGGGCGCCACAGCGTGCCGCCCTTGGCGTCGGCGATAGTGTTGCTCCAGCGGGGGAAGACGTCGTCGACGACGCGCCACGCGTGCGCGACGAGGTCCTCGCCGGCGGCGTCGCCGCCTGCGTGGAAGTGGAACGGTGTGCAGAGCTCGGCGAGCGCCACGGCCAGCGGGTGCCACTGCACGTACGTGTCGGCCCACCACCGGAACCGGTCTGAGTAGGGCCCCCTGTGCAGGTGCCCGTCCAGCTCTATGATAGAGATCGCCGTCCGCAGGGTGGCCTCGTGCGGGAAGAAGGGCAGGGCCGGCGCCTGGGTTCGGGTGCGAGGGTCCTGAGGGGTGGCAGTGGAGGTGGGAGAAAGGGGAGACGATGCAGCAGGGCCCGGACGCTGCCGCTGCCGCGGGTGCACCGGGTACTGCATGATGAGCCACAGTTTGAAGATGACAACGCGGGCGATGATGGAAGCCAGGTATGATCCCGGGTGCCGAGTGTCAGCACTAGTGACGAATTGCGACTCGAGCTCCTGCGCGTGTCGGATGGTTTGCTCGACGCCTTGCTGCGGCTGCTGCAGCGTAGCAGCATCGCTACCAGTGGCATCACCGTTAGTAGTCGAGGGAGAAGCAGCAGTACACTGTGCGTGCTCGACGTGTAAGAATATTCTGGAACAGTGTGCTGTGCATAGGTTAAATGTAACGTCCGTATGGCCCTGCCTTTCGACAAGTATCATGTCGCGCGGTGTATCAGGGCCGAAGTCGGTGTCATTGATGTTTAACGGGATGCGTGTGTCATACGAGTCGCGTGCGATGACCGTGGTGGTGCCTCGATCTTCTGAGGCGCGGATATCGAGCACTATGATCTGCCACCACAAGCGCCGGCGCAGCTCTGCCTCATAAGGAGACAGACGCGTGTTTGCGGCTTCGCGGTGAAGCGATAGAGCCTGCGCGAGGCGCACAACTAGGGAAACTAGGACCCAGGCGGGGCGTGAGCCGGAGCGCTCGCCGGCACTGCGGTTGTGAGAGCGAAGACATGCGATGTACAGTGTGAGCGCCTGCAGGGTCTCGAGGCTGCTGCTGTTGAGGTAGTCGGCGCGCACAAGGAGGTGCTCGGTGCCCGCAGCGTAGGTCCGAACAAGGTCGTCGCGGTGACGACCCAGATACTCGAGGCAAGTTTCTGTCGACAGGCTCACAGTAGCCGCGTGGTAGATGGCAAAGAAAAGGGCTTCCTTCTCGGGACTTAACTGGGCCTGGGGAGAGTCTGTAGAGTATAAAGAGGAAGCATCCGCAAACGCGAGGAGAGCCGCTTCTATCGTCGGCCAGTGTAGGATCTTGAGGATCATATCGACGTTGCGGCAAAATGTTGCCGTCAGGAAGCGGATGTGGTCCGGTGACGGATGTTCGATTTGTTCGGGAGCGGCGAAGTGGGATGCGCTCCCGAGGAGTAGGCCCGAGGGGAACCCGGCGGCCACCGCGGCCGCGGACGGAGCGCTTGAGTTACTGCGGTCGTAGGCGATCGAGTCCGGCGTTGCTCCTTGCAAGGGCGGCTGCTCCTCTTCGTCTGAGTCGGTGGATGATTCCAGCGCCTGCCGCAGCCCTTCGACCTCAAGGCCAAGGCTGGTCCAGAACTGCCCGCTCAGATATTTAGAGGCTTTGGTATCTTGCGCCGCTTCATCCCATTTCTCCTGGGCCTCGTAGTAGCCGCCATCGCTTTCACTAACTGTATGATATTGTAGAGGCTGGTTATCATTGCTACCGCCACCTAAGAACGGGGGCGGGCAGAAACCAGGGGGGGCGCCAGGAATGGGGGCGGTAGCGGCGGTGGTGCTGGCGGTCGAGAGGCCGCCTCCATCTACACCAAGGCCGACCCTTCCCACGATAGACTCGAGGCGGCTGAGACGCTGCAACAGCTCGGCGTTCTTGCTGCGCCGAGGCCTCCGGATACGTTTGCGCACGGGAAAGATACATTCGCCGCCGGAGCGCACGCAGTGGTGACAAGGGTGTTCCCGACTACACTTGAGCTTGCGGGCCCGGCAGTTGGTGCAGCTTAATGGTTTGCCAGCCGGTTGCTGGCGGGCCCCCGCCGAGTCGTTGGAAGGGCCGGCGGCGGCGTCCTCTGTTGGTATCCGGGGGTCCATCGTGCCAAGTCAACACAGCTAGCCATGTAGTAGCTTGCTGGTTGGTCGGGAAGCCAGCAGCGGGTAATGTATAGGCTCGATCGAGCTTCTCGGCTTCTAGATTGTCCAGCAGCATGTGTAATTCGATTCTGGCCCAGAGGTTCCTCCGTCAACCGCTCAAACGGCTGCCGATCCCTCAAGACTCAGCCAGCCGGGGCGTGACAGCCAAAGGGAGATCGCCTCAATCACCAATGCCAGCATAGGATGTCTCATCTGCGGCAGCGAACACGAAGTCACCCAGCTGGGAGTGATCGTAAGGGATCTGGCATGAGAAGTTGTTGTTAGTGGGGAGGTCTACGGAGACTCGTTAGGTACATGGTGGCATGCAAGTAGGTAGGTGTAGGTACCTTAGCTCAGGCACTTAAGCGGGTACTGCTAGTCAGTAGGTACATTAATCAGGCGGTACCTTGGGCAATCTAGCCTTAGGTACAGTAACACGAGGATGCACCCACCTAAACTATCGCCTAAGGCACCTAACCTCTAGGTAGGTAGATGTACCTATCCGTATAACAAAAGCCGCCGGTTTAAGCAGTCCCAGGTATACAAGTTAGCCGTATTGGCACGCAGAATATTTTACGATTCCGAATTCGTGGTACCCCCAATTCTTACCCCTATAACCTAGGTATACCTCTTCGTCGGTATGATTCCAACCCGGCCTACGAGCCTGGAGCCTGGGGGCTGGCCGGCTGTCGTAGACATGCGTACAACGTGTAATTAGCGCTGATAAGCGCATACAGAGACTGATGCTAGGCCGGGGTGCCGGCTACGGCGCGCAAGTCTCGTGAGAATGACTCAGCGACTACACCGCCGTGAGCTTGTCTTTGGCTCCGACGGGACGGCACATACTACATAGTAAGGACTTGATTCTCCTAGTGACAGCGCCCGCGATGGGGGGGGGGGGGGGTTGTCAGGATGAGGCTACCGCAGTCAGCTGGACGTGAGGGGCCACCCGCTAGACCGATCGAAACAACAGTAGGATCGGCCCACCGCGGGGGACGAGAAAGAAAAAAAGTACCTACAGTCCGCGATTACACACCTACAGTGACTCACTGCTCCCCGTAACCGCACAGCCCAGCACGTACTTATATAGGTATAAAAATAAGTGTATGGGCTCGGGTGGAATGTTACGCGCGGAACATAGAGATCGTCGACGTCGTGAATAAGATTTTCCCTGGAGAAATTAGTCGTTTTCAACGCCCCCTCCTAGCGCCTGCTCAGCCCCTCTTGCTCGTTCTTCATGTCTCAACAAACCCAGCCAAGAGTCAAGGTCAAGACACGCCTGCCCGCGCGGCCGTTCCCGCCCAACTCGGAACGGCCCCACATCCGCACGGAACGCCTCATCCTCAGCCCCTTCGTCCTCGATGATCTCGACGGCATCCACGCGCTGCGGAGGCAGCCCGAGGTCATGATATTCACGTTGACCGGCCGGATCGACGCCGACAAGGCCGAGACGCTGACCTTCATGGCCCGGTTCATGGCGCCCAACGACGCCGACACGTACAACTACGTCATCCGTCTCGCGTCGACGGGCGAGATCATCGGTGCGGGCGGCGTGCTCAGGCACAGCAACTTCTTCGGCTGGCCCGAGGTCGGGTACATGTTTAAGAGGGAGCATTGGGGCCAGGGCTACGCCAGCGAATTTCTCAAGGGCTATCTCGACCACTGGTGGGCGCTGCCCCGGGTCGAGGCGGAAGTCGAGGTCGACAGGGATTCAGCAGGCGAGCCCGGGGACGTGCCGGAGATGTTGACGGCCATAGTCGACGACGGCAACCCAGGTAGCAAACGGGTCCTCGAGAAAGCCGGGTTCCGCGTATTTAGGCGGTGGGCCGAGCCTGATAGCCGGGAGGGCTTCTCGGGGGATGTGAACCTTGTCGGGTTTGTACTCTCGTCGACAGCGAAAAACAACTAGGTAGAGAAAAGGTGATTTTTGGGGGGGTTTTGATGGGACGTCGTAGTCGCGACTACCCTGGCGAACTGGCGGGGCATAATGTGAAGCCCTAGTAGAGGCCTCGTTATAGGTAGGTATTTCGCCGAAGCAGCGCACTGGTAACATGCAGTACCTTCTAATGCGCCACCAACATATCGACAGGGTCGCGGCCGTCCACGGGGGCTGGGGGGATATGTTCGTGTGCGGATGGTGACGGGGATCGAGGCAAGGGACAAGTGGAAAATAGTTGAGCTCTGCCTGCAGCACATCGCCGCGTATTCGCGCTGCCATGCCCGTTGTCGTCATCTCTAGGTAGGTGATGCTGTTCAGCACCCATGTGGGCGTCCCCTGGCTAGAGGCTGTCATACCGCACAGACCTGCTACGTAGTATGTGTAACGAGGGAGGGCGGAATGTCTCTTCACTTTAGGAGCCTAACATGCCTATATGCATATCGCCACACTCACTTACGGAGGCACGGATCGAGTCCGCCGCGGGCCGCATCCAGCCCTCGTGGCGTGTCCCCCCGGCTCGCCTCCCAGGTACGATACCTGCCTAAGGTGTTGTTGGTGTGCCGCCCAGGGGTGCCTAGAAGGCCTAAGACGGGGACCTCCTATCTTGGACATCGCTCTGTCGCATCGCCGGTCTCGGTGAGTAATATCCGTTTCCGCCTCGAGGAAAGGCAAGGCAGTTACCTAGTTAGTTGTGTGTGATATTCTGCAGCATGCACGTTGGGAACAACCCCAGCCCTAGGCGGGCTCGGCCCGGTTAGGTACTTAGCCACTATAGGGTAGTAGTGTCAATAGACATTGCTAGCATCGTCGCGGTCGTACGGTGCAGCAAGGTAGAGCCACAGCTGGTTGTCGGTCCGGCGTCACGGGCCTGGGTGGTACGTGTCAGCAGGCAATTCGGTATAGGATGATCTGTAGCTCCCACTAGACAGCTGTCGGCGGCAGGTATCGTCGAGTTGCCTAAGACGCAGGTAGATACACACCTGTTCATGCAGTGTAGGTACTTAGGCGAGACGCCACAGAATCATCATGGCAATGGAGCCCATCCCCGTTATTCGCTCGTCCCGGCTGGCCCGTCTCGTCAGTCCACCCCGACCTGAGATCTGGGAAGAATGCCTTACCCTGCCCATCCGTCGCCGTCATCCATCCTTGCCTAGGTATGTATCGTCCATCGATCGATAACAAATGGACATACACCCGGCCTAACATCGCAATATGTATATAGTGCGGAATATCATCATCTTCGCTTCCTCCTCCACCAACACCTTCCCGTCTACGTCTACGCCTGCGTCTCCCTCGTCGATCGTTGCGCCCACAGCTGCCGCAGTGTCAGCGTAGGTGACCCGCTGCTGTACTTATTCATACGGGAGCCCGTCTTGTCTCACTCAGACCCGTCGATCTGCCTACCTACCTATCCGTCGCCATTATACGTCAAGGCCCGCCAATAACCTCCCTCACTGTCCTATACTCTCATGCCCATATTATATCAAATGTGTCCGTCTGCCAGCGTATCACTACCGCACCCGCTATACTATTGTGGCCCAATATTGGCAACGCCAATGCTCGTGGCCCATTCACAGACGCAGCAGTAATTTTCTGCCACTGAACGAATATTGCCGGACTTTTGTCGATTCCTCCCCCCCTCTCCGACCCGTCCACTCAGTAATGACAACGGCGCTCCTTCTCTCGAAGGGCCTTTCTTCGCCAGACTACTAGCATCTCACCTCCGCTCAAGGTCTCGCCCTATTCGTTTGCTCTGTCTTTCTTCCGCCGTCGCCGCCTTCATTCTGCCTGGTCCTCGCGTGCAAAGATGGCGAGCTCGACGAGAGCCAACCCTAACGAGCCCACCACTGCTACTGCTGCTCCTCCTCCTCCTCCTCCTCCTACCAATATCCCGCCTCCGCGTCAGCAACATCCCCAGTCGCAGCCACACTCGCATTCGCAGCCACATCCCCAGTCCCAGTCCCAGTCCCAGTCGCAACCGCAACCGCAACCACAACCACAACCGCAACCCCAGTCCCAATCCCAGTCTCAGTCACAACCACGGCCCCGGTCGCGATCGCAGCCGTCCGAGGCGAACGGTGGGGCGTTCTACGGGTATCTCATCAAGAATGACAAATCACCAACCGACGTCCTTGACGCCTTATTACGTGCCATTGCGCTCTACATTGTAGGTGGTGTTTCGGAAGTCTTGACGTGCCTAGATGCAGACGAAAGAGCCCTGCTGACTTAACCCCGCCAACAGTCTGCCCATATTGGCGATGTGAATGCCCCTGAGTTGGGCCCGAAGAAGCTAGCAGCTTTCTATCGCGTAGTCGGCGGCGACTATGACGCCCTCTTCCTAAAAACACCCTATAGGATCTTATCTCGCATCTGGCAAACCTTGGGGGTCCAACATACATTGCAACCCACCGAGGACGAGTTCGAAGAACCTTGTATCCCAGCCATGACAATAAGGGGATTCGTCCGGTGGGAGACGCTTCAGATCCTGCTGGAACCCCAAGAGCATGTACCCTTTATTCAGTTTGCTGTGCGCAACTGGGCGTTGAAACATCCCACCACCGGGAAACCCTTCCCGACGGACTTGCCCACAGAGGCATTCCCGGCCGAGTGCGATCCCGAAATCGACGCCTGGCACAAGGAATGCTCGCAGAAGCTGCATCGAGCTGCGACTCCAAACGAGGACCAGGAGCATTCCCCTAAGCAACGTCCCTCCAACCCCTGGCCCCACCCAGCCGATCACGCCCACAGCTCTCACGGCACCGGTATTCCCCCACAGCCAAGGCCAGGGACCGATCGTTTACAACGAGAACGGCCAGTCTCGTATTCCCACGTGCCAAGAAGTAACTACCCCGGAGCCCATTTCTCCTCCCACGTTCCCCCCGGACACCGCCGGGTGAGCAGCATCCATGGTGACAGTACCGGCAGTAGCAGCGGCGGTAGCCCACCCCGGAGACGGAGCCACTCGGACGTGCGGTTTGCAGGGATGGAAGATGTACGAATGCCGAGCGAGCACCTCGATCCTCGCCACCCGCCCGGCCCTCGTCGACACAGCCAGGCGAGGCCGTACTCAAGGTCCTCTTCAGATTCCTCGCCCGAGATACCACCTCGCCAGACTTCCCATCCCCGTGCGCGTGGTCCTGTTCCGTCCGCGTCGTCCGTGCGACGTATGCCGGCGGTAATCCCCGACCCAGTGACGATTCCTGTCCGATCCCACCGCAGCGAGTTACGGCCCGACAACCTTCGCAGACGAAGCCTGCCGGCAGAAATCAAACAGAGGTTCACTTCCCTCCTCTCAGGCTCGGGTGATAGGCACCGCAGCAGTTCCCGCGAGAGACATCACGGATCGAGCGAAAAGCCGAACGTGCACTTCCGCAGACACAACCCTCCTTCGCACCTCAGCCGGAGTGGGTCCGGGGAATCGTATCCTAGCGACGAGTCGGATTCGGGGATGTTGCCGAGACATCCGCCGCGACACGATCACCAGCGTCAAGCAATGCGTGACCGAGACGTAGAAAGAGCACGCCAGAGGGAGCGTGAGCGCCACGAAGAGCGGGAGAGGCCAAGCCGACAGGAGGGCGCGTATCTGCGGCCGTCGATGAGTCGGAGGTCAAGCAGCCATGCTGACATCGACCGAAATCCGAGAGAGTATGTGTGGGATCGCAGGGAGAGGGGCCGAGATGTCGACTTGGATCGAGATGGGAGGAGAATTATGACGGCCGACGAACGAGAGCTGCGGGACCGGAGGCGATTCCAGGATCGGGGCCGCAGCCCCATCATGACCGGCGTTAGCGGAAGACGTTACCCCGGCTAGAAGCGCTAAGCGACTACGAATGTATACGTACAAGAACGATTGCGAAGATGTTGCGTGACTCGGAGTTTGTGGTGGGCAGGTTTTGTTTTCTTCCTTCTTGCCGACATGAACAGCAGGAAGAGGCCACGACAACGGACAGGATAGAACGGTCTGGTTGGGACGGAATTCGTTTTGGATAGTTCTTAGGACTCTTGTAGGATTACTTGCTGCGTTCCTATCTACCTTGCATGAGCTATAAATGCAGGGGCGGTGAATGGAGATTCTACGCGTCTTAATTCGAGCTTCATTTGGCTTGAGAAACCGCTGGAGTATAGAAGCTATCCAACACTCTGAATTGAAGGTTATATATGGTATCGTATGTAGTCTACACACTTGAGGCAACTCACGCAGGTATTCCTGCGGTGGAATCGTCTTGCTTAACATACAAAATCTTGAAGTCCTAGGACATATTCCCCACGCTCTCCCCTTGGGAGCCCCTTTCTTCGACCGTAGGAGAATTGGATAAGCCTTCCTTGTCACCCGAAAGAATGGGCTTGTGCAAAAAGGCTGCTCTCAAAGCGCGAGGCGCGGAGATGTCTGTATCATTGCTGCCGGGTGGTGGCCCTATCTTCAAGAATCTTGCACTTTATAACACCTATAACGGCCAGGTGAAGCAGCTGCCCAACGTCGACGCAGAAGGAGAAGATCCCAAGATTACTGCCAGAGAACTAGAACTACCTTACTCGACTCTGTAATTTCTCTTCAAGGCCAAGACGATAGGTTTCCTCCGAAGTAGAAGATTTCGACCTCCCTGTCTCCCTAAACCCAAAATAAGACAAAAAAAGGTTCGGGAGGCACCCGTTTATTTCCATGCGTGGCGACGAGCTTGATTCAACCCAGCTTAACACGCCAAGGGAGGAGTAATATCTGTTCTGTATTCTCCCATGCCCAAAGATCCTAGCGAGATTTCCGCTTCCGTGCATTTAGATATTCAACTCGAAGGGCTGACGGTCCCCTTCTGCGGCTTGACACACGTCGATTCAGGCGATAAGGAGACGACGGAAGCCTGAGCTACCATCATCCGCTACCCAAACTTCGAGCTGTCTCCCCAGTAACAGTTGACTGAGGCTTAGATCGAATCTTCGGGAAGGGAAGCCCCCGGTGGATTTTATCACACTTACTCGCAAAACCGCCAACCCCTACGGAGGCCGTCAGCAAGCAACAACCATTTCCTGCCTCGCCTCCTAACATCGCTTCGTCGCGGCGTCTTTCTCTATCTGCCGGGGTGGGTTATTTTGAATTCTCTTGGGTCATAGGCGACGCCCTTCCCATCGGCAAGGCACGGGTGCTGCTGCGAACTCCCCTCAAGAACAACCGCTGTCATTGTACCGTGCATTGAAATAATCACCGACCCCCTCCCCTTTTCGCGATACTCTAGCAACCTGACCACCAAATCCACGGCCGATCGTCGAGGCTAACATCGTACCTATTCATACCGAACTAGCTACTCTTACGTTTCGCGCGTATGTCAACGCGCCACCGGAACACTTAGGATTTCCCACGCCGCCCCAGACCGAGAGGCTATAACGTCGATGAATTAGCAGTCAACTCTTCATCCACTACAGCTCGGATAATTACCACGTTGGCGACAAGTCCTACCTACTACACAAGCTACTCATCCCACCCCCAATACACCATCATCGACCTATCTTGATTCCTATGGGTCTGGTTGTACTGCGCTTATTGTCCTTCTCGATTCTATAACCACAGCCTACCTCACCACCTCTCTAGGGCCCCTCCAATATCCTCAAGACCACAGACCGCGAACTCACCCTGACACACACATCGACGCGAGGCCAGAACGAGAACAGAAACGCACCCGCGCACAGCCAGGCCAAGGGCAGCGCTCCGTAGCAGCCGACGATGTGCATCCAAGTGTACGAGAGCTACGCGCTGTGCCCGTGCCACCTGCGCCGGGAGTTCCAGCCGTGCGAGCACGGGCCGGCGTCGCGGCAGTGCGCGGGGCGGCGGGCACGGGTGGAGGCGGCGGCGGGCGGGCGGCGCGACTACTGCGCGTACCACGGGCGGCGCAACGCGGCGGCGGCGGCGGGGCCCGCGCGGTCGGCGTTCCTGTCGCTGCGCGGCCGCTGCCTGTGGCCGCCGACCGCCGACACGCCCTGCCTCGGCCGCCGCGTCGGCGCCCGCGCGCTGCTCGTCGGCGCCGCCGCCGACTACGCGCGGTTCCCCCCGCGCCGGCCCTAGGCGGGACGCGCGCCGCGAGCCGAGCCCGCCCGCCCGCGACGAGCCGGGCGCACCCGCCGGCCCCGCGCCCGCGCCACCGCCGCCGTCTTCGCCGGTCGCCCCCGCGGCGCCCGCGTCCCCGGCGGCGTCTACCCAGAGACCGACGGCAGCGGCCCCCGCGACGAGGTCCCCTGGCGAGATAGCGATGAAGACGCTAAGGGCTGGCTGGCTACGTCCCGGGTGTACTTTTCGCGGACGTGGCGTTGAAGGGGATGCAGCCAGGCGGGCGCAAGAGGACCAGGAGCACGCCCGTCCGACGGCGGGAGCTAAGGGGCTTGCAGACGACGAGCTTGGTCGAGTTTTGCGGTTGGCTATCATGTCGGGGGCGCGTGGCCGTGTGCAAGTTTGAGTACAGGCGCCATGTTGGCAAGAATGGCCTTTTGGTGTGCTTGTGTCGCAACGGGCAGAAGAGGGTGAGGCAGAAGAAGGTCGACGGCACGGAACGAGGGACTGGGCATTGTCGCGTTCTCCCTTGTGTTCTGGTCGGCAAGGTCGGGGCCTGTCTTCTGGTAGTGCAAATGCAAATCAACTGATTTCGTACCCGTACGCGTTCTTCGATCGTACTTGTAAACTGGACTCGATAGCCTTGTAAGCCGCTATAGATGGGGAGGACGTCGTAGACAATTGCGGCCTACCATGTCCACTTGTGTGGTGCAACAGTTTCACACCGCCAAACGGAAGAATCTGAGGAAAGATTGAAAATAATTGTAGTAATAACAAAGGGCACTGTAGGTTTAGTAGCGATGTGGCCTTGGTTACCATTGATTGTGGAAATCTGAGGGCAAATATGGCCGTTGCGGCTGCTTTTCCGCTGTTTAATAGAGAGAGAGAGACTATCCACTATCGAGGGACGAGGCCACCAGAAGGAGAGAGAAAGACAAAGACCGCCTGCTTCCCTCGGGGCATTGCCTGGTCCTACAGCAATGCGAGTCGCGGCACACAAATTATGGGCAGGGCAGAGGGAGTCGGTACAAACAACAGGAGGCACTCGCCCAACAACTGCCTTTGTCACTGGGATTCGGATCGGAACTACTTTGAATTCTTGCAAGTCTTTTTTATGAGAAAGCAAAGAAGCAACGGCCTCGCTCTATAGAGGGCCAGTCTAGATATATAGCTACTGTTTACTGCTAAGAGTGGTTCTTCTTATCCCACCCGGTGTGGGTGTTCACGGTGAATGCCCGAGGAATCTGACAGAGCTCACATACCTACCGACGAAACCAGAGATCCTAGGCCTGAAGCATCACCGCACCCAAAGGCTTACTTACGGACAGCATACTCAGCAAGGTTCCGCCGGCAAACCGCTACGATGGCATCATCCCGTGCGCCCGGGTCCTCCGGGACGTCTTCGGCGGGCGCTTCGGCGCCGGCGACGCTCGACCTGTTGCCCCACGACTCTGTCGAGAGCGTCAGCCACGAGTACCAGTCCGAGATGAGGGTGACGCGGTCGGCGAGCATCACCGCCCAGAGCTTGCGCCAGCAGTACGGGTGCTCGCGTAGGAAGTCCGAGAGGCTGACGGTCCAGGCCCATAGGCCGCAGAGCAGCGTTCCCCACGCCAAAATGGGCAGCACCCGCAGCGTCTGCCACCAGGCGACGGCCCAGACGAGCGTGAACAGCGGCTGGAGCAGCCCCGCCGCCATCTTGCGCGTCATGTACGGCGCCGTGCTCCGCATGCACCAGAACCCCGGCTCGAACAGCAGACAGGTCAGGCGCAGGCGCAGTCCGGTCCGGTACCACAGCTTGCTCTGCGCCGCGGAGCGGCTGTCGGCTATGAGCGATGTCAGCACAAGGGCGTCGGGCACGAGCTGCATGGCGAGCCGCCAGCGCTTCGGTGGGTCGCCGCCGGTGGGCTTGGCTGGGCGGTGCTGGTGGTGTGGTAAGTGATGCTGGAACAAGACGTAGCGGGTGATGAAGCCGTCGTCGCCCGTCTTCTGGGGCACGCCGTTCCACTGGTCGTTCATGAACAGGTACTGGAAGTAGGAATCGCGAGCGACCTCGCCGCGCAGCAGCATGGTCAGCCCGGACACGGTGAAGTTGGTCGACCCGTCGGCCACGAAGAAGGCCCGCATGCCGGGCGCGCGGCGCGACCGGATCCGCAGGGCGGCCGCCTCCCACGCCGTGATGACCTTGGCGTCGCGCCGCGCTGAGGGCACGTAGGACCCGATGGGCCCGCCGACGAGCGCCACGTCGTCACCGTCGGCCGCGTTCAAGGGCGCGAGCAGGTTCGTCAGGACTTGGGGGGTCGTCCAGGTGGCGTCGTCGTCGACGAGGGCGAGGATGCGGCCCGTCGCCACGTTGAAGCCGCGGCAGAGTTGGAGGCGCTTGTTGGGGCGCTGGGTCGTAACCACGTAGAAGTCGGTGGCGGAAGCCCAGGCAGCCTCCCGGACCTCGGGGGCGCCGAGGAGGACGGCGCGGAGGCGCGGCGCAGCGGAGCGCGTCGTGACGAAGATGACCTCGCGCGGGGCGCTGGCCACCCACGACAGCACGTTCCGGACCAGCTCGTCGGGGTCCCAGTCGACGGTCGGCACGACAAGGCTCACGTCCGACGTGCGATACCGGGCTTCCTCTGCCGGCGGCACGGCAAACGGCCGGTACCGGTTGGCGAGGCGGGCTGTGCGTCGACGGTCGAGGTGATCCCACACATGGAGCAGGGCCAAGATGAGCGGCCATATGATCCGGAGCAGGTTCTCTAGGAGTCTGGCAGGGTCTGTAAACCCCATTACGGCCGTCACGTCGAGTAGCCCCATGACGCTGTAGGTGTGAAAAGAAGACCGAATAGGATGCTGGACTTAAGTTGTAACGAAAGTAGCAGCATACACGACCTCAAGAGAGGCGGGCGAAGCCCTCTTGTAGTCTGCGCTGTGGACGAACTCGTGCTGTATAGGATGAAGTCGAAACAAATATGGCTGTTTTCCGCATGCTGGCTCGATAAAGGCATTGTTCGCCGACGTCGCGGGTCGGATTGGGCCTACCATAGAGGCAGTTTAGCGGTTGGCGGGAAGGCGGTAAGGAACAAGTCGATTCCCCGAGCCCGTGGTTTTCGTTCGGCGTGGCGCGTGACGCGCTCGACTATGTCACCAAGAAGCAGTGACTGCTGCTTCGTGGTCGAGAGCCGGGCCCGGTCTCGTAGGCAAAGTCGTGGAAGTACTGCGCAACGGGCATACCCTCTACCCCTATACTGGCTCATAGTAACCGGTAATACAGAACCAACACGACACAATCTAAGACACACATCTTCTCGTAGGCCAACTACCTAGGTAGTCTTTGCAAAGGAGTGAAAACACCAACTTGCCTCCTTTGGTCGGACCACGATGGTAGGTATGTACGTATGTGCTGGTTTGCCTACCTATAAGCTGTTAGATGCTGATTCTCCGAGTACTTCATCGCGCCCACATATGCCTGCCGCCACGACCCGTGACACTGCGGGCGGGAGACGCTGGCCTGGTGTCATGGTCACACTAAGGGCTCTACGAGCGATACGAGCAAGCGCTCTAGGGTATCTAGAGGCGGGCGTAGTAGACAACAGATAAATCACGGCGGGCGCGACGACAACAGCTCCCGCGCAGAGTTGGCGGTTGAGAGCCAATGCCATGCCGGATAAGAGGATACCCCGGCTGGCGGCTCAGATCTACAGGCCCCTGCGATACTACCGACAACTATACCGATGCGAGATCTCTCCGACCACATCTTGCATCTTGTGGGGGAGGGTAACCGGATAAGCGGATTGCCTGCACACATCGTGACATGCCTGTTTTCTTTTCGGGAGGGACGCCGGGGGCTCGGAGGTTGAAGAAAGAGGGAAAAGAGAGAGGAAGGGAAAGAAAAAAGAAAAGTAAAGAAAAGTAAATAAGAGAAAAAAGCTGAGAGGAGGAGTAAACAACACTAGTCAGCAAAGTACCTGATATTCCCCAGCTACCTTCGGCATAGGTGCATATTATGCACGCAGCGGACGGGGAGAGGCGTGCCAGTAGCTGCAGGGAGGGTGTGGTATAGGGAAAACACATGACGTAAGCCCCGCTCCTTCTTCTTTTTTGCTGCTTCTCTCCCCTCGTTCCCTCCCTCGAGGGGGTGTCTACGTAATGCCGACGCACGCCCCCCCTCCTCTCTGTTGTAAACATTGGATCGGGTCGTCTTCCCTCGTTGCCATCCATCCTCCTCCCCTCCTCCCTTCCCCCAGTTCACTTCCCTCTTGCAAATCGCATACAACCACAACCACAACCACCACCACCACCACCACCACTACAGCTACGACTTCGCGACTTCTAGCTTCAGGCACCCATGCCAGCTCGCTGCTAACCAACGCTTGTTTTGCACCGGGAACTCTCCCGTCCATCAATCGCGGCTTCACTGCTAACCAGGAAAACCGCCAATCGTAAACAATCCAGCTCCACCCGCTATCGTCGCGCCTGGGCCCGAAATCTACCTGGCGCTGCCAGGACGCCCAGGACGCGTCTTCCCTCCGCCATTACCGCGTCTAGCTCGGCCACAGCTGCCGGCTTCTCGCCAGATCCCCTCGACATCGTCTCTACGCTTGTCTACCTGCGTTGAGCCGGCCGTAGACGCGCTGGTCCTCATCGCTATCCCTACTCCCGTCTTGGCATATACCTTTTCGCCTCCATCCCGGTCGCGTTCTCGACGCGTGGCAGCCCCCCATGGAGTCGAAAACGAATAGATATCAATCCCGCATCCTTAGGGAGATGCATCAGAATAAGGAGAATCCTTTCAACTCACCCCCGTCGTCCACTGGCTCCCACGGCACCATCACTCTCACATCTAACTTCACCGAGGAGCCCCTGGCCGAATCGACGCGACGAGTCGACGATGGAGACGAATCCATCCGCTTGCCTAGCCACGCCACCGCCGCGCGAGCAGGCAAATCGTCGTCATACCAGCCGTTGCCGCTCTCCTTTCAAGTCAACACCTCCGCGTTGGGCCGGACCTTTCCCGAATGGAGTCGCTGGGACCCGAATGGCGTCGTGGCCGACAAGGATCCGTGGGAGACTGGTAGCGACAGCGCCCCGGTCCCGGACGGAAAGGAGAACATCACCCCTCGCAGAAGTCCCAACAACTCCCCCGTAGCGGCTACTCCCAGAGCGGACGAGTCCGACAAGGACAAGGTCAGTGAAAGCTTCCTCGATCGCATGAACCATTTTCGAACCCAGTTGCGCGAATCCGGCGCGAAGAGGGGAATTGCTACCAAGCAGAGCGTGGCCGCTCCCCTGACGGAGCGAGCGCCCGCCGCGGATGCCCGTGCTCGCCGCTCGCTACGCGTTGCGCGCCACGGCCTGCCGGAGTCCTCGCTCTTGAAGGCCGCCTCGCCCGTCCCGAGATCTTACATACGATCCCGCAAGGAGGGTGCTGCTGCGGCGCGACGGAACGAGTCTCGCGTGCCCCCCCCTTCACCTGATTCCACCCCTCCCGGTTCCTCTCTATACAAATTCTGTCTCCCTTTGGGCTCGTGCTCTTCATTTTCTTTACGCCCTTCTACTATTGACATTTCTTCCTCGCCGCCCGTTCGTCCTTCTGCACCTTTAGGGTTTGCTCTCAAACCGTCCGATCTTCTTGGGGATTTGCCCTCGGAGCCGGAAACGGATATTCCAATTGTTGTTTCTTTCCAGTTCCTCCTCTGTTGCATACGTATGGCTGACCGTAGTCTCAGGCTGAATCTGCGAAGGAGTCGCATGCTTCTGATGACCGAGGCTCAAAAGCGAGCCGAGGTTCTGTTCGCACCCGCGCGCAAATGCAACCACGCGTCCAGACCGAGTCTGAATGCTCTGTAGAACTACCCGAGCCGCTGGCTAACCCTCTGCAAAGTCGGGGAAGCCGGGACGGCCGAGATGAACAGGCGCCCTCAGCGCGCCCTCGTTCGTCGACACCTACTTCTTCGAAGGGCTCCAAGCCTCGACGTGGAAACGTCACCACTCTCCTCAAGACTCTCAAGACCGCCCAGATCAAGCAGGCGGAATCCAAGGAGTCGCCTGCCAGCCAAGTGTCTCCGAGGTCGCATTCGCCGGTGCAATCACACATCGCTTCTAGGGTGCATCCGGAACGACAGTCGGGCCTAGGTAATATGGCGAATTCTATGATACACAACCTGACTGCCCGTTCTTTCTTCTTACCGAACCTCTCCCACATGAATGACTTCCTGTCGGGTGCCCTCAAGTTGTCGTCTTTCAGGAATGGAGTCCCCGTCTTCGTGAAGCACGGCAAGGTCCACGACCGCGACTCTACTCTTTCCCCAGATCACCATGCTGATGTCGAGGCAATCTCCATACCCGAGGACGAGGAGAAGATTTTTGTGTCTCTAGATAAGATCAAGGATGAAATCCAAGCTCTCAAAGAGCATGATGAGCTCGTCTCCAAGCAGGCGGACCAGCTTGAGGAAGAGGTCGAAGAACTTCACGTTCAAATTGCCCAGTACAAGTCCCGGAAGGATAGTGCCATGGGATCCGACTCTGAGGGTTCAATGATCGATCACCTCAACGCCCAGAAAATGCGTATGCTCCCCCCGCCCCTCCTCTGCGTGTTGGCTCGCATCGTCTAACCATGACCACAGAGTTGGAGGATCAAATTGCTTCCCTCCAGGCCCGTCTTGACAAGGCCAATCGACAGATTAGCCTCAACGACATCCATACCGAGTCTTACGTTGCCGAACGCGACGAAGCTCTCAAGAGCGCATCGCAACATCTAGAGAAGATGCAGCAATTGCAGTCCGAACGCGATCTAGCGTACGCAGAGCTTGAAAAGCTGCGCAACGGCAATTCTCAGGACGGCGGTGCGCTTGAGTCGGAGAATAGGTCTCTGCGCAAGGATAACAACACGATCCGCCAACAGTGGAAGTCCCTGCTCGACGAGAACCAGTCTCTTCGCTCGCACAATAGCGCCGTGGGGCAACAGAATGCGGATCTGGAGCATGATCTCAAGGCAGCCAGGTCGCAGCTCGACTCCAACAAGACGGAATTTGAGTCCCTCAACCATGAATATGAGCTAGCATTATCGGAGCAGGCTCTGCTCAAGCAGGAAAATCTTAGCCTAGGACAGCACAACGATAAGATACTTAACGAGAAGAAAGCACTACAGAAACAGAACTCACTGCTCGAGCGTCGGGCCCACGCTCTTGAGAGCGATATCGCGCGACTGCAGAAATTGCTCGATGTTGCCGATGCCGAGCCTGGGACCACGTCTGCCGACATCAAGGATATAAAGTATCGACTTGAGGTCCAGAATAGCCGCCTCGCCAAAGAGAACGCAGAACTACAACAGCGTATCATCGATTTAGAGTCCGAGTTCTCTGCGCAACGGATGAATCTCGAACGCGAGAAACGACATCTTGCAACGGCAAACGAACGGCTCAAGGACCAAATCGAAGACATTAGTAAGCTATTCGAACAGGTCATCAAAGAGAGCAAAGCAGAGGCGATTAGAAGTGAGGAGCAGCACGCAACCTTAACGCAACAGCTCGAGCTAGTTACCGGAAAGGAGTCGGCGCTATCGGAGAAGCTGAAGAAGAGCGCTAGCCTCGAGGCCGCACTGCAGTCCAAGCTGAATCGAAAGGCAGACGCCGTGAACGAGGCACGTCAACTCACCCAGGAAATTAAGAACTTCATGAGTGTTATAAATAAGAAGCATATCGGAAAGACGACGCGCGTCGCGGAGCCCAAGGGCAAGTCTGCCGCCAACGAGACGACAGCTAGGAGCACGACGTCTCAGATAGATCTGGCCGCCCAGGACGACTACACGCAACAAATCGACCTCACCCAGGGGTCGGATTTCGCAAGCATCTTCACGCAGGATGAAATACCTCGATTGCGAGAGGCGCTCCGACAAATTCGTGGCGAGACGCACCAACGAGACCTGACCACTGGCTCGTCTGATTTCGACGGCGAGGACGAAGACGACGGAATGAGTGACCAGGCTAGTCAGAGCCTTCCTACATTCCCACTCCAGGGCCGACCCCGAACCGCTGGCTCTCAACGCCCAGCACCCGAGACGTTGAAGGGACGGACTGACCCGATCAAGACTCAGCCGATCGGAATTCTCAAGGATACGCAGCCTTCTCGGCTTACTGTACAGAAGCAGAAGACGAGCCGCACAGGCGTCGACACGGGTTTTGACGAGGCGCGTGAGCTCGACAAGACTGGCGACTCTGTTACCGGTGGGCGGAAGTCCAAGTCAAACAATATCTCGCCTCGTAAGGTCTCCTTCAGCCAGAACGGCCGGACGCAGCGCTCCGTAAGTGATTCTCGGCCGGTGTCCGAACCTGACTTGAGCGGACGTTTCAACATCAAGTCTGGGCATAGCGAGACGTCCCGGACAGGCGGACACGTCCGTCGCAACTCGGACAGCGTCCAATTCGACATGGACGCCAACCACGAGGACAATATGACCTCGGCCCTATTCATGGATGATATCACGCTAGAGCAACAAAAGACGGCCGCAAAGCAGAAGACGAACAAGTCGAACCCCGAACTCTCAAAGGATGCTAAGCGTGTCCTGGATAATCTCTGCCACGACCATGACTGCCGTAATTGCATGGTCTGTGCCCGAATTAACTCGCACAAGCGCGACGAGGGCAACGCGCATGGCGACTCCAAGAAGAAGACGGTCCAGGTCGAGAGGCCAATCCCCGTCTCAGAGCGGCCCCGAGACCAGCCGGAGTACGAAGACCAGTCCACCCTGCGGCCGTCGCAGGACCCGGCGATAGCACTAGCCAAAGTCATTAAGGGCCTACAGGACGAGGAACGACATATCCAAAAGGCGCTGGCGAAGAAGACAGCCGTGTATAACGAGTGTGACCCAGCCATCCACCGGCGGATGTGGAAGCAGATGGCTGCGGAGATTGAGAAGTTGAGAAAGGCGCAGGATCTCAAGAGAGACCAGATCTACTACCTGCACGACGTGCTTGAGGGTCTGAAGGCGAACGGGCTAGAGATGACGAGCTCATTCGTGGAGGAGACCATCATGACGGTTCTTAGCAAGGACCCGACTTGGAACGGAATTCCCGGTTACTGAAATGGTGACGAGGAGGTGGAGACGGTGGAGAGTGCGCAATTCTACGGAATTTGGAATGGGCTCGGCGAGCAGAACCGGCCCACGGATGGCAGTAGCTAAATGACAGCATTTGTTTAGGGGCAGGGTGACGGGCAAAGTCCCCGCTAGGCGTCTATAGGTTTTATTGCTACTGTCTAGGTCAGGAAGACTCTCGTGCATGGGTGAGGGTGTTTGGCGTCTAAAGGGGGGAAACTCGGCAGGCGGGATGCATGGATTGTATAAATACGTGAGCTGCTGGCTCGGATGGGGCTACGCGACGGCACACGCGCCGGTCCACGTTGTATAGTAAAGATGCGCTCTTAATATATTCAGTGGAACGAGTCGCGGACTCTTGAGCTTCTACGTGTTCGCTTGTTGCGATGATGATCAGGTAGTGGTAGGGGGGGATAGCACTAGGCTACCCGTCCCCCCTCCCGCGCGTCCCCCTCCGCCGTGTTCTAGAACGGGCTCGGTCTGGCTCTGGACGTGAGTACAGGGGCTGGTCCATATCGGGAGACGTGCAGAGGTGGTCCCAAACCCCCGCGTATAGCGGGTGGGTAGTAGTAGATACCCTGGGGAGCGAGGGGCAAGAGGGATAATTACGGCGCGTGGGGAGGGGGATGGCATGGGGACACAGCACAACAACACACACACACACACACAGAGAGAGAGAGAGAGAGAGCAAGAGAGAGCATCGGATGATAAGCTACGTTGTATCCCTAAGTACTATTGTTCCGTTCCGTTTCAGCATCCCATCCACCCCTTCCCCCTCTCGCATGTGATAAGCCCAGGAGTAGTACAGCGTGTGGTACACTACACGCACGTCCCGCCGGCGAGTTTGACGCCTCCTTCGGTTGTTGTGGTGGCGGGCAGGGTCTGCTGGCTGCCCGCGGAGAAATAGCGAAGGAGGAGGAGAAGAAGGGGGGGGGAAGGGGGGTAGAGATAAGGGGAGGGGAAAGAGGAGCGAGCGCGGCGGTGGCGTTTCTCGTCCGATATCAGAGACATTTGTTGCTGGTGGTGGTGTTGTTGCTGCTGCTGTTGACCACGCTAGAGGTGCGCCGCGAGAAGAAGAAGCAAGACTGGATAAACGAGGAGACAGAGAGACACCTGCAGCTCGGGGCTCGTTGGCCGAGCCAGTCGGACTCCGAATTGTTGTGGTGGGCAGCGCGGGGGACCAGGAGCAGCGCGAAGGCCCCCCCCCTTTCCCCGTCGCGTGCGGCGAACCGGCGGCCCCAAGTGCAGGTCAGCCCTCAAATCTCCCTGGGCTCCTCCCAACGGCGGCGAGACCGCCCTAGAAGACGTCTATAAAGGAGGAGGGGCGGACGCGAGCCGGGGGGACGACACAATTCGCCTCCCCCCTCCCGGCGACGGGCGCAGCGGCAGCGAGCTAGTGGCGGTTCACCGACGGCAGCACGGGGATCATCAGGTAGTCCGCGAACAGGAATAGGGGGGAGTCGATGAGGTTTCCATACGAATTGGCCTCCGACTCGCGGCGAGAAACCTTGGTCTCGGCCTTGGGGGGCGGCGGAGGCCGCTTCTCGTCGTAGTCGGCCGGAGCGGGCGACTGGTTGTCCTGCGAGGCTGCGAGGCTCTTCATTTCTATCGGCTTTGGTTCAGGGGCCATTTGTTCGACGGGGTTATTATTGCGTGCGGTCACCGTATCTATCTCATCTGTGACGGAGAGAGAGAGAGAGTGATGGATACTCGAAGGCGATGGTGTAAATGGAGAGGGACGAGCAGGAGACTGGAGACGGAATCTTGCTACATACAGGGAAAAGGCGTACCTACACTAGACAGGTAGGTAGGTAGGCATTGTTATATACACTTCTCCCGACACTCAGATTGGTGTAAGAGGTGCCGTGTGAGCAGCGGGGGAAAAGAAGAGAGGGGAAGGGGAGAGACAAAAGCAATGATACCACAACCTGGGAGGTTTCGCCGCTCATACGATTGCATGGGGGATAAATGCGAGAGGTATCTGGTTGGACGCCGGAGTTCTGAGCGCTACGCCTCCGACGTTGAAGCCGCAGAACCTGAGTGGCGAGCCAATCGCCGTGCCGCGTCCTCGCTCCTCGATGGCGATCTGCGAGGCTCGAGTTCCATCTCGGCATCGGGGGATGTCACCTACAAATGGAGTAACCCGGCGCTGTGACGAGAAGTGCGTAGTGGCGGGGGAATGGAGGGCGCCATTGGCTACGAGACGGCAGAGAGGCATAAGCCGCAGGCAGCCATTGGAGAGGTGTCTCCACGCCCGCAGAGGCAATAGATAGATATATGATAGCTCACAAGGGACGCCCGTAACGAAGGTTGCCAACTGTTCATACATATACGCACCTTACTACGTTAGTATGATGGCTGCTGGAGGCGATAAGGGGAAGGGGGGGAGGCGAGTGTCGTATGTAGATGGCTCCCGGAGGGGAGGAGGAGGGGGGGGGGGGGGAGTAAGAGGTAGGGTGGAGGAGTAGATGAGTATGGCTTCTATGCCTCTATGAACGTATACGAAGTGTTGATAACCACCCAGATCAGGTAGGTAGGTAAACAAGCAGTGACCACTCTCTGACACTCCTTGCCAGTCCCTTGCGGCTGGTGGAAACGACCTTGTCTCAGTGACAGACGGGCGCCGCTTGACAGCAGCTGTTCAGTATATTCACCCAATCAGAATACTGCCTTAGGTAACGTCGAGATGCGAAGTACTCGTGTACCCCGCTCAAAAAAAACATCCACCAGGTACCTCTCAGGCTCCTCGCTCGCTGCCTCTCACCACCGCCTACCACCATAAACACGGCCACTTACACCAACACCCACCGTCTCTCCCTTGGGTGCGATATATACACACGCTCGCCACACAACCCTCACTCCCGACTTCGCCCCCCCGACACGGTAGAAAACCTATCGGCCGGCCCCCCCGCCCCAAGCTGCCCGCCATGGCTGACGCTACCGATATGGACATCGACGAGCCCGGCTCCCCGCAGGAGACGGCCCAGGCCAAGGTCAGCGACATGCAGACGCACACCAAGGCCACCGCCGTGCGCTCCATCGAGGGCTGGATCGTCATGGTCACCAACGTGCACGAGGAGGCCGACGAGGAGGCCCTCCACGACAAGTTCGCCGACTTTGGCGAGATCAAGAACCTGCACCTCAACCTCGACCGCCGCAGCGGTTACGTCAAGGTATTCTCTCTCTCTCTCTCTCTCTCTATATATATATATGTATATGTATATGTATATATGTACGTATGTATCCATTTGCTCACCTATCCGCGCGCGCGCAGGGCTACGCCCTCATCGAGTACCCGACGCTCGCCGAGGCGCGCGCCGCCATCGACGGCGCCCACGGCACGAAACTGCTCGACCAGACCATCGGCGTCGACTTCGCCTTCGTGCGCCCGCCCCCCGGCAAGGCGAACCGCGGCGGGCGCCAATCCCACCGCGGCGGCCGGGGCCGCACTCGCAGCCGCAGCCCGGAGGGGAACAAGGGCGACGAGGCGGACTGACGACGGGGAGACGACGAAGAGGATAATGGGACGAGGGTTGGCGGCCGCTTCGTGGTTTGGCCTCTCCCGAGGCCTGCGGCCCGGCCGCTACCATAGAAAAACTTACTAAGAGAAGGCGAAAGTGCTGGTGCTGGTGCGGATGGGAGGTAATTAACGGCGTGGCCTTACACGGGTAGACACATAGGGGGAGGGGAGGTGATCTATCCTCGACGCGACGCGGCTGGCGTGCGCGGGCAGCTTGTCGCGAAGGGAGGAGCAGTCGTGCTGCGCCCCTGGCTATAGCCGATATGTCGCCTGAATCCAAACAGACATGTCGGCGTCTGAACGGGAGTCGTATAGGTATGTCAAGGTCTAGGACCTGTCTTAGATCCTTCGTCGCAGATTGTTCCTAGCTAACGCGTTCCCCAGTTTGTGTGTGACTCGCACATGAAGCTTAGATGGATATATATTCGTGTGCTATACCCGACTGTCCTACATGTGGGGGCCGCTCCAGGTATCGCCCGCAATACACTGACGGACAGCTATCCCAACTCGAAATTGGCAAGTCCATATAACATCGTGCTTCCCTGTGTCTTTCGTGGCTAGCCAGGGTTTGGGTTTTCTTCCGTCAACTGTGACATGATTAAACACTCTTGGTCCTGCTCGCAGTAGGTCCATGGTGAACCCTGTGTCAGATCGAAGGACATTACTCGAGATACCGCGGGCTCGTCGCCTCTCAGAGTGTCTATCGGCTTGCTGGGAAGTAAGAAGAGCTAGGTACTAGTAGATGCGTCGGGGATATCGTATTGATAGTTGCCTGCTCACACTGCCGTGTATCGGGGGTATTCACATAGCGAGCGTCCGCGCAGCGATCCTGGCCAATCCTTGCGCGTCCCTGCATTAGCTAGGTACATGGGTAGGTACCTCTGTTGTAGTGCGTTTCCCATGTACCTGGTCCAGTGACGTCGGGCCGTCGCGCTAGAATTTCGCTGCCATCTTCCCTACGCGTTATCGCTTCAGTCTCGCCAGCCTCTCCTGATCCTCCACCCATCACTTCCGCCGTCACTGTCGCTATCCATATCCGATACTTACAACCCGGGTGATGTCCCAGCGAAGGACTGACCTGCCGACAGATCACCAGCCTCATCATCCGAGTTCAACCTATGCCTGTCTAGCATACCCATACTAGCAACACACATTCGCTTACATCGTGCGTGACGCCCGCAGATGGCCTGAAAGCCATGGACATGGCCTCCGTCGTCGGCAGCACCGTGCCTGCCCTCCAGCGCCTCGCTATCCCCGCCGTCTGCGTCCTCATCGCCTTCCTAGCCTACACGTCGCAGTGGCTATTCGCCACCTCCCCCGAACTAGCCCCAGGCCCGCTGTCCCCCGCCGAGTCCTACACCTTCAACGCCCTGGTGCTGTGCCTCTGGTACACCTACTACAAGGCCTGCACCGTCGACCCGGGCCGGTACGTCTTCCCGCCAGGCTGCGGGGTGAGGAGCAAGAGCCAGAGCAAGAGCAAGGACAGCGACGCCGAAGGCGAGGACTCGGACGAGATCACCGACAACGACGACGACGACGACGACGAAGACGGGGACCCGCTGAGGCCGAAACGCGCGCGGCTGCGGCCGCGGCGGCAACGTATACGGGTGCGGGGCGGCCGCTGGTGCAGGAAGTGCGCGGCGCCGAAGCCGCCGCGGGCGCACCACTGCCGGCGGTGCGGCCGGTGCATCCCGAAGATGGACCACCACTGCCCGTGGACGGGGAACTGCGTGTCGCTGCAGACGTTCCCGCACTTCGTGCGGTTCCTGGCCTACGCGAACCTATCGCTATGGGCGCTACTACGGCTGCTCGCGGCGCGGTTCCTAGCCGTGTGGCGCGCGCGGCACCTGCCGGCGTACCTGGGGCCGACGCTGGGGCAGCTCGCGCTGCTGACGGTGCTGGCGCTGGTGGCGGGCGCGGCGAGCTTCGCGCTGGGGCTGCTGCTGGCGACGACGGCGCGCGCCTGGCTCACCAACACCACCGCCATCGAGGCCTGGGAGGTCGAGCGCCACGAGGCCGCGCTCGAGCGCCGCGCGGCGTACGGCGACGGCGGCGGCGACGCCGCCTCGTGGTGGGCCGCCGGCGAGCGCGCCCCCGGCGGCGACCGCGACGCCCCCCACCTGCGCCTCGACCCCGTCGAGTTCCCCTACGACGTCGGCTTCTTCGCCAACCTCGCCCAGGCCATGGGCACGCGCAACCCGCTCGCGTGGCTGTGGCCCTTCGCCGGCGGGCCCGTCGTCGCCCCCGGCGTCCCGTCCCCCGCCGCCATCGACGACGACGACGACGGCGGCGGCGGCCCGCCGGCTATCGAGATCACCGGCGGCACCGGCTGGGCCTACGACGAGAACGGGCTCAACGACCGCGAGGACATGTGGCCGCCGGCGGACCCGGACCGGCGGCGCAACGCGCGGCTGTGGCGCGCGCGGCGGCGCGAGGCGGACATGGCGCTCGCAGCGGACCGCTCGCGCGGGGTGGCGGCGTGGGGCGACGAGCGGGAGGCGTTCCGGTGGCGGCAGGAGCGGGACCTGGCGCGGCGGCGGCGGCGGCGGCACCAGCTGCGGGGGGCGTCGCCGTCGCCGTCGGAGATCCTAGGCGAGCTCGAGGAGCGCGAGGACTACGACGACTTTGCGGCCGGAGACGAGGACGAGTACGAGGACGAGTACGACGAGGAGGCCGGCGGCAGCGCCGCCTGGACCAACGCCGACGGCGAGACCCTGGCCGACTACGGCGTCGACGAGGACGCGCTCGACGAGGACGTGCCCCTCGCCGAGCTCCTGCGCCGCCGCAAGGTGAGGGGGACCCGAGACGGCGAGGATGTCGTGGTCTAGATGCCTTGGGGAGAAAGGAAAAGGGAGAGAAACAAAAAGGAAAAGAAGGAAACGGATGAGAGGGGGGGGGGAGGGGTGTGATAGAATTACTACGCTGGGCGGTAAATGTCTACGGCACCTGTGTATATATATACCCATCTCGTCATGAAACACGCATGGCGGCCGGGCGAATCGAACAGTTATGTACCTTTGAATTCTCACCGTCTAACTCATCCTAATCGATCCCCCCCCCCCCCTTAATATCCCCCTAGGTTAGGTTAGGGACACGGTACGCTACGTAGCAAAGACGGCTATTATCTATCCTCCTTCCGAAGAGTCCCAACTCTCTCTTTGCCCCCCTTCTCCCCTTGGTTCTCTCTGTTCGTTTGGTTCCTTCTATCTCGCACAATATGGCCAATTCGCTATTCGCTATTCGTCGCGGCCGTGATGGTGATAACAGGCGGGGGACGTGGTGGTGGTTCTTACCGACCCCTCCAGTCTTGCCTCTCCTTGCTCAGCCGGGGGAGGGGGGCTTCCCTTCCCCCCTCCGCGGCCAAAGTTCGTGGACTTCGTAAGAAAAAGAACAGGAAAAGAAGAAATACCCCGACATTTCGGGGCGGGGGTGAAATTTGACCTCTGCTGTTGTGTCCCCCTCCCGACTCCGCGGGAAGGGAGGCGGACGGGCGAGAAGGAAATGGGAAGAGAGCCGGAAGTCTAGTAACAATGCGCCTAAAATTTCCCCCTGATCTAGCCCTACGCGCGCTCTCCGAAGCTTCCCTAAATTAGATGCGGGCCGCTCAACTAGAGGCGCCCCCCCCTCGGCCCTCCTTACCTACATGCTGCTCCGCCAAGGCTTCCTGTTTCACCAGTCGTCATCGTCGTCCCGCTTTGTCTGCATGGCGTTCTTCCTAGCCAGTAGGGCGTCAGCTAGGGAGCCCGCGAGGTTGGGTGTCGGGGTGTTGCTGCGGCTGCTGTCGGAGCCGCCGTTCGCGTTCAGGCTCATGCCTGAGTCTCTAGGTTGCAGTGCCGCGGGCTTCTTCGCAGCGGTCGGGCGTTTCGCGGGTGGCTGCGGGGGCGTGGGCTTGTTTCGGGCCGCTGCCGCGCCATTTTGCACGGGAGGAGGAGGCGGCGGCCGCGGTGCCGGCGCGGGCGCGGGCGGAGGCGGGGCAGCTTGCTCCTCGACGTAGGCCGCCGGGATCCAAGCTTGCCCTTCCGAGTTCTTTGCTAACCACCAACCTTACCAGTCATCAGCAAAAGTTATCCGGGTCGAGTCGCTTCCTTGACTTACCGTTCGTCTCCTTCTGGACGATCTCGACAATGTCTCCTACTCGAATCGTGAGCTCGTTCTCCCGTTCTCCGGCAAAGTTGTACAAAACCCTCGCAGTCAACCTCGCCCTTGCCGGCGGTGCGGCAGGCGGCGGGGGCGGCGGAGGTGGTGCGCGAACAGACGATGTCGAGGCTTGATTACGGGTATGGGTAGGTATGCTGTTTGCAACGCTTGCCGCGGGGGTTGGGATAGGCCGGCGCGCCTGAGTCTGGGCCGGCAATTGGGTCTGGGGTTGGACCGCGGCCGGTCCGCGTTTTGTGGGATTAGGGCGGGACTGCGTGATTCGGGAGGGTCTACCGCCGGGGCCGCCAGGCTTGATAAGCTTGCCACGAGTGATCGGTCGAGGGGGCACCGGCTTGCCTTTTGGCGTCGGCTTGGAGACTGACGATGGGGGCTCTCCAGGCTGCGTATGGATGGCACCGCTCTTGTAGAAATCTACAACCTGCTGCGAATCCACGAGGACCTTGACCGGCTGCATCTTTCCGGGCTTCTTGGCATATTCTATAGACTCGCCAATTTTCAAGTTGAAACCGCCGGGCATCGCTCGTTGCATTTGTGTGAATAGTTCCGTCTTCAAAACGCAGTTTAATAATGGGTCGGCTTCTTGCTGCGACCCGACACCCAGCGAAAACCAGTCGTCACGACGCGTCGAGGTCCCGATGAATTTGATAGCGCCTAGGGGAATCTGTCGTTCCGCGGTAATCTGAACTTGGTGGTTGACCAGCGCTTGCGATACGACATAGAACTTGCTAGTAGTCACGATGATGATTCGAGGGCTCGGTTTACTCGATCGACCAAACTTCGCTTCCAGAACCTCACCGCGACACGAGAATAGAACCTTCTCGTTGCTTGAAATCTGTACTGCGTTGCGGACGTGAGATCCGGGTCCGTTCGCCGCGTTGATTCCCAGGTAATCTCCCAAGAAGCGCCGAGAACCCAGTAAACTAAACCGTCTGCGTTCCTTGGACCCTTGTAGAACTTTATGGCCTTGATCACGCAGCTGGAGATACTCGGCACCGACCCTCTTCTTCCTCCAGAATCGCTGAATTCGGGTTGCCGATTCGGCGCGGTACGCTAGATACGCTCTCCACATCCGTTGGATGCGAGTCGCCATGTTGTGCCAATACCGGTCTCGCATCGTCTCCAAGGCGAACAACGTCTCTGGAGACTTGATAAACGCCTTGGTGACGCCCAACTGCCACTCATCCTTAGGAATGCTCGTATCCTTTAAGATTTGCTTTACCGCAGCCTCCTCCGTCCCTTGCCAGGTATACTCTCCTGCATAAGATGTAGCGGGGGACAACAGGAAGAACCGCTCGACAAACTTCTCGAAAGACTGACGGTACGCGAACCCGGCACGCCGAATCCTCACGTTCTCTTGGAGACCTAGATATTTGATCTGATGCAAGACATTTGGCACATTATACTCCGTCGGCGACTTATTTTCGTTCGGTTTAATGGTTCGGATATAAGAAGGCTGGCACTTCATCAAGGTGTCCACCAAGGAGTTTGCCGACGTCCTGATCCTGTCGCCCGCCGTGGGGGGCTGCTTGCGGTTGTCTTGATCCACCTGGTTCGGGAACAAGGCGTGGACGAATTGGTTCGAGCTCTGCTGGAACAGATTTTGAACTCCCTTGAGGAGTTGATCCTTATTCTTGTCCGTAATCCCTTCGACGGTGTAGCTGACGTCGCCGGCGTAATGCTTAACGATGAAGCTTCCTTGTCGAGGGGTGAGGTGAGCGTTGGACATGCCGTTGATGCTCTGCATGAAAGTGCGGTCACAGGCTGCAGGGTCGGCATGGGCTGTCTTCGTCGCATCTTTCAGCGCCGAGAAGATGCCTGGGGGTCTGATTTGCTCTATCAAATCGCACACAACCTTGTTGTCGAAGTATTTAATGGGCGTCCATTGGATCTGTTCCCGTGCGTACTCATCTTGCTCTGCCTTCAAGGTGAGTTGTATGAAAATCTGCTGGAGCTTCTCGTTGACATAGTTGATGCAGAGTTGCTCGAAGCTATTCTTCTCGAAGATCTCGAAGCCGTAGATATCCAGGATTCCGATGTTGTTGGCCGCCGCCTGGCGGGCTTTCAGAGACTGGTTGATTCTCTCAACGATCCAGTCGAAGAGATTGTAGTAGATAGCCATAGCCAGCGCATCCTTGGTTGCGTTTGCCTGCGCCGTGTTGGCCGGCGATTCGATCACCTCGCCACTTCTCGGCGTCAATATCCGAATGGTGATTCCCTTGATCAGCGCAGTGGGTGAAACCTCGAGCAGGTATGCGAGAAAGTCCACGACAGACTGGTCCGCCACGGCGGCATATCCGTCGTCGCCTTCTACGAAATGGATGTTACCGGCCCATAGAACCGCGGCGAGCATTCGGAATACGTCGTCCTGCTCGCTTTGGGATAGACCGATAATTCTCATGGCTTCTAGGGTATCTTGGAATTCGGCCAAGTCGTCGATGCCGTCCACGTCGAAACATTTGGACCGGCTAAGGTAGGCATACGTCTCGGGCTTCTGGATTCCGAACATGGTCCGGTAGTTCTCGGAAGCGCCTTTGGAGAACTGGTAGAAGATGTGGAAATTACGCTCGTTGGTAATCTGACCGACCACTCTCGTCTTTTCCAGCAAGTAGTTGGTGATATCGGCACCTACGGGCTCCCCGTTTGCGTTGAAATGTATCTGCAAGTATTTGCCGAACCGCGACGAATTGTTATTTCTTAGTGTTTTCGCGTTGCCGAAAGATTCGAGCAGCGGGTTGGTTGCCAGCACCATATCCTTGATCTGCTTGATCTCGCCGCTCTCGCCGCCCGACACGTTTGCGATGTACTGCATAATCCGCTTGGCCGCCTCGGTCTTGCCGGCCCCCGATTCTCCCGAGATGATAACACACTGGTTCTCTCTGTATGCCTTCATATTATAGTACGACGACTCGGCGATCGCGAAGACGTGTGGGGGCATCTCGAGGCGGTTCTTGCCTTTATAGGAATCGAGAACTTGGTCGGTGTAGATACCAAGGTCTCTAAAGGGGTTGACGGAAACCAGCACATGGCCGATGTAGGTGTAGATCTCCCGACCCTCGAACCGCTTCTTCAAGTTTTCGTTGATCGCTTCGTTGGACACCTTGCTTAGTAACGTTAGATCAGATACGCCTATCTCCTTCTTCTTGGTCGTCTCGAATGTGGCCTTCTTGGGTCTGGCGTCCTGCGCTCCTGCGCCGCCGGCGCGGGCGGCTCCGCCTGATTTGTCCTTCGGGCGTCTACTTATACCCTATCGACACGCACACGCGATGGTTAGCACTGCGGGATCGGCCTGTCTGACTCGTGTTCTAAGCTCACCATGTTGGGCGCTCATAGAGGGTACGGCCAAGGTGAGAGATGTCCGATATCCAATACGGAAGAGGGTATGCCGTTGGGAGATAAGGGGGGGGGTGGCCGTGGACTCGGTTTGCTGGGGAATCCGGCAAAGGAATGGAGGGCGACGTAGCCAGGCAGTGCTAGTACAAGGCTGATCTCATTATACGCCCTTACAGGGCATTACGCTTAGGACGATAAATCGATCGGTCACTGGCACAATAAAAAGGCAGTATAAGGGTAGGAAGTTGCGTTTAATGACATATCAACCTTCTCGCCAAGGGCCTATACCGTATACAATGCACTTAATTCAATTACGAAGCGACGGTGAGTGGCTGCCCGGGCGACGTAAGCCTTCAAAAAATCATGTGACCAGGTTCCTGACTAATTCTCGCCTGGGCGGGACAGCCGGTCCTGATTGGCTACCGGCCCAGTCTAATCACCGCCTCGTCGTGATCCCCGTTGTGTACCACGTAGGTACGTACATATCTACGTAAACCAGTACAATTACACAAAGCAATACAAGCTGTTAGAGTCTCGAACGGTGGACTGCTCGATCTTGGATGCCGATACCGAAACCTCACTCGCCACGGCCTAGATCTCGAGGCAGAAATGGTCCATAAAGTAATACCAATGTGCACCTAACGAAATTATCAAACACCACCTAGGTTTGTCGGATTCTTGGCGGCGATGATGGCCTGTCGCCTCACTGGCGCCGACGGTCCGGCTGCCCGGGATTGTCGTCACCCGTAATCGCTCGTGCAGTTCGCAGCCTTTCCCCGTTTCTGAGGGCCCTTTATTAGGCACCTCGCGCTCTCCGTAAGCATAAGACGTGGTGTAGTATACTCCCAAGCAGCGACGCCTCTGCCGGCAGGTACTTGGTAGAACTATCGCGGCCTAATGGAATGCCGTAGCGAGGATCGTCGTTGGTAGAGTGGCATATGAAGGACGCTCTGGTATCGAAGCGCCTGGGCAAGGGCACCCGGCTCTCGAACACGGTCCCCAGATGTCGCTCGGCGAGAAACAGGCTAGTAGACTCGTTATTTCTCCGGAATATCCTAGTGTTGTTTGAGTTAGTGAAGCTGAGCACAGAAACCTCGTCTATCGGGTCACGTACCTCGCAACACGGGTTCTCTAGCATCGCATATTCCGCTCTGGCCTTGGAACATCAGAGGAAGTAGCCTGGACATCTGCTCCACCACCTGCTCTCGCTCAGCGTGGGTTAGGTTGTTCATAGGCGATGGCAGGAATTGCGGTATCGAGGATTTGGGAGTCAGCATGGTAGCGATACTAGAGGCAAAGCCTGCGGCCCCGAGCTTCCGACCCGTCGATGATGGTAGGATCAGTAGGAGAAGCACCAACAACTTAAGTAGGTAAATAACAAAGAAGCAATCACATATCTATGGCAACGATAAGACGCTTGCCAACAGTCACCAACAGGGTTCATCGCCTGCGAGGCCTCTCTAACCTTCGCAAATCGCGCCGTCGGCCTCTTGTCTCGCTCTCCGATCCCACCGAGCTGGGTAGAGCTGAGAGAAGGGAAGGCGAGTCCGCATTCTTGGGTACCAGAACGAAGTTTAAGGAGCTGTTGCCAATTACACATATCACTAAGGGGTTCGGTATCATCTACGACCGAAGACCTACCAATAGGGACTCCTGTGCCAGGTGCCTCTCTCTCTCTCTCTCTCTCTCCATCCGTTAGGAGGAGCACTCGTATGAGCGGGAGGTAGCTGTTAGAGTTGTGTGTTTAAACGTATTGTCGTTTCGTAGATGAGCAGTGTGAAACTCCAAGTTGTCTACAAAGTTCAGTGTACGGAAAGCAGTCGGAGTATGGAGACGGTCAGGGGGGGCACATAACGATACGAACTCGAAGGAACACCCGTAGAGGCAGCCTAGGACGGCCCCGATGCCTGCGCCGATGTCAAGTTCGACTCAATGACGGCGCGCTGAAGAGGGAGACAAGTGAATGGACATTGCCGTGGCAGGCTGGGAGTTTACTGCTTAATGCAGCAAAGCCGACCAGACTTTAAAAGCATCTAAAATACCCCAGCGCACCGTCTGCGCTGCTCTTGTACATACCTATATGCAGATCAGGAGATCTAATGCTTCAACTACAAACTATGCCTACCTTGCCCCGACGGAGGTATGTTATATGCCCACTTATATTATCTACGGACGCACATTGTCTATAGATGGACATATAGGTATAATGCTTCTCTTCGAGGCATTCGTCGCCCAACTTTGACGCTTCATTACAGGCATGAAGTACCCAGGTACCTAATATCGGTACGGAGGTATGCAGATTACAGGACCTTGACGATAATACCCACGGGGTTGGCGTGGGGATGCAGGTACCTATCCCTCCTTATAATACGCAAACTAAACACCGCTACTGCGCCCCTAGATACCTGAACGGTAGGTACCTAGGTAGGTGGTGCCCGAAAGTGTTAGGTACACGTATCCGGGCCTCGTAGGGTACGGTAGGTACCTCGGGTAACCAGGTTTACCTCCTTACCTCACGCAAGCACGCAAGCCGTCTCTCGACCTTGCACTCCACATCTTCCTTGGGCTGTTGCCCACGATAAATCGTGGCATGCCTAATGCTCGCAAAACCGGATGGAGCCATCTCAACCAGACCATAAACGCTACCTCCGTGCCTTTACCCAAGATCAACTCCCTCAAATTTACCTCTTCTTAGGCTTCTGGACTTTGCGACTCTTATCACAAGTACCGACCCGAGGCAGGGTAACGATACAAGAATGGCAAATCCCACCTCCCGGCAAATTATAGGGAAACCCACCATTTGAGCACCTTATCAATATAACACGGTCCCATCGGCCTAGACCTTCGCGGGAAGATCCCGCGTTGTGTTGCAGGCGATGAGAACTAGTTTACGCCTTTCTTTCCGCGAGGACCTCAACGGCCCCTGGACACTACTACTAGGTGCATCTGAGACGTTGAGTCGGGATCTCCCCGCGAGCTAGTTACGGACTTCAACGAAAAAGGAGGGCCGCCTGCCTTCGGCGATCTAATACGCGGCTTAGCCACTTGACCGTTCGCGTACCTAGGCGTCATTGCACGGATTTCCAATAGAATTCTCTCGTAGAGAACGCGACATATTGGCCGGGAGTATGACGAGTAGGGAGAGTAGTTGTCCGGCCGTTGGGCCTAATTGATAGGCAGATGGCCGAGGAGATATCGCGGCACCCCCCTAGGCATGTTGTCGAACCGTTCTAAGGCCTTGCCGAAGCCTACGTACCGGGTCTTGAGTAGAGTATTGAGCATAGGACCTCGTAATTCGGGTAGATTGGCGGAAAGCTCGATTCCGCCTGAAAACCTTGGCTGGGGGAGTTTGTGGCATTGGGTTGGTGTACAGTCCGCTGTCAGAGACGCACGACCCATCATACGCCAGGCCACACAGCGACGGTATCTCCCACGAACAGTAAGGGAACTCACAGAGCGATCAGTAATCTCGAAAGAAGTCAAGGACCTGGTCATTTGTATATCACTAGTGACAAGGTGAAAAAGGCGCCGACAGGTTAGTTGACCTCTCTTCGTCACGCGACTGGTCACGAACATGACAAAGGTATCCTTGAGCTTGCCGAAGGTCCAGGAACCCGGACCAACATCCGCTTCCTTCCACAGAGAATGGACGAGAACAAAGTCAACAGCTCCGATCAGCCCCAACGATTTCTACAACTGAACGATCTTTCTACTTACTCATACACGTACAGGCTTGGGCAAGGATCGGACAGGGGCTAGAAGCTTGGCTTGATCCTAATATAGCTGTCCTCGCATCTCGCTAGCTGCCTACACAGCATTGGCCTATGGAAACGCAGGGGAACTCCACAACAGATGTATCACGACGGATCCGGGCACAGGCGCTAATGTTTGAAGGGCCGCCCACTTGAATTAGGGCCTTTCACGACCCCAAGGAGAAACCAAGGGGGGAAGAAAAAAAAAGTACCTACCTACTCCCGCGGACAGCCATGTCTGGAAGACGTCACGGCGGTGTTCTCGAATTCGATCAAGATACAGACCAGAAACACGCCTCTCGTCTTGGATTATTCCTATGAGTAGTCTCCTTCGTACTCACCAGCAATGCAACCTGGTTGTGATCGCCGCTATGGCGGCCAAGTGAGACAGCCAGCGACGGGATTGATTGTTTGGCCGTAGTAAGATCGGCCTAGCTGGCAACGAAACCGCCAGCTACGAAGGGTAGCCTACTGTGTCAGTGCTTCGAACTGCCATGACGTAGCGGGCAAAAGTAGGAACGGGCGTCGCCGTACTCTTCTCGCGTTCATCGTACTTGGTAGGGCTTCCTTCTAGGATAACTTGGGGGCGCTCCTCGATGGCAACGAGGGGAAAAGGGGGCAGAAGCTGGCGCGCGGTGGGGATGCGACTGTTCGGACGGCGACAGAGCCGCACACTCTGCTGCCGGGCGGCACGACCCCGGAGCCCAGGAAGAAGGCAAAATATGGGTAGGCATCGGTAACATCATACGACAAGTTCCCATCAACACGGCATGCCGGGAGCGATACAAATATATATCCAGACCTGGGGAGCGCTATCTGCGAATGGCCTGATGTCTAGAATCGTACGATGCCTTCCTCACCCTACTCAACAGCGAGCAGAGCAAGCCGATCCGGACAATACTTACCAGGTTGACAACAGGCCAGCAACGTGGGCGGCAATGTTCTGCTCTGCTTGGGCAGCCTAGATCATCCCAACGGATGTGGCTTGATAGGTCTTGGCATGGCCGTGGAGGTTCCGCCCGCAAATTCGCCAAGCATATGGGGTCTGTTCGTGAAGTAGAGGCTACCTTAGGCACTATTGGCCGACAGTGAGGACAGCGGCGCCTGGCCGATGACCGATGCTGTCTTTCGGTACATGTGCGCCTGTCTAGACTGCATATTAGCTGATATGGTCCTGGATCTCGGCTAGCCTGTGTGCCCGGACAGGGGGGCATCCAGAGAGAGAGAGGGAGAGGATCCCAAGGAAGCACGTTCTCTACAACGGGACAGGCCAAACCTCTTGTAGCCCCCCTTGAGACTTGGCTATGCACAGGGATGCCCAGGAGTCGAGGGTATCACGAATTTCCTACCGTTCCATTGGCCACGGGCAATATTTGGCATTTGGCCTGGACGAATCCGCGCTGTCCAGCAACCGCCCAGACAGCCACGGCGACCTCGCGAAAGTTCCATTATTATCACAATCCGTTGGCCTTTCACAACCGGTCTCTGGCGTCGGCGCCTATTGTACGTAGCGAAATATGTCTTGCATATTTCTACCGTGGAAATCCCCCCCGACAGACAACCGTCCGTCTCCGAGGATATGGTTCCTATTGTCATCTCCTCACCTCCACGGGTTACTGCTCTTCATGCTATAAGGGGTTTGTGCTTCTCCAAAAGCACACCCGCAACCCGCGCACGCACTCAAAGAGAATACATACATCCACATTCCGTAGGGGTCGAGAGACAGGCCCCCTCCCCTGTCGAAACACCCGAGGGCAACGCTCTCAGACGCCGCCCGTCTCAACTGTAACTCCCCACTCTTGCCAGGCTGGTTGGCTGAATACAGTACACACTTTGTTCTCTTATGAAAATCTCTACTCATCGGACGCACATCTGATACCACCGCTCTGGCTTGCGAAACGCGCCCCTTCGGTTTGATCAGCTTGAGCCATTCCACCTCAGTCGTTCGTCGCCCGTCTACGAGACCGAAAGACTTGGAGAAATCTTGCTTACCTCTTTTTCGCGAGGAAGCTTAGTCTACCCCAAGGGGAAAGCCAGAGTGGGATTGGTCTTCGAGAGGGGACAGCGACCTGGCCCGTCAGCATTCGACAAAACCGCCCCAACCAGCCAGCCAGCCAGTCAGCCATACCTTTCCCGTCTTATCGAACCAAGCAGAGGAGAAAGGGAACCGTCGAGCATCGTCACGATTAGCTTTTAAGGTTTCATGGGCCAACTGACATCCGGACTGCTCAGAGCCCCGTCCGACCCCCCTTCGATCCCCTGCACGAGTGGTCCCTAGTCTACTAGGCCAGCTCCCGGATCCTCGTACATCCATACCACCCTTGCTCCCTCTCTATTTCTCCTTTCTCCGAGGTCTCGCGCTGCCTCGCCCCGATCCTGTCATCCTTTATGACTTACTCCCCGCCCACCATCCTTTAGCCAGTGACCTTCCTTCTGCTTCCTCGCGCGGCGACTAGGACGTAGAAAGCATCCGACTCCCACTCGAGACTGTCCTTACTCCGCCATCCTTCCCTTCGTCTCCTGCTGGCTCAGATCGCTCTTTTTGTTTGATTTAGTTTGGTTCGGTTTTTATTTACTTCTTAGCACCCGCCGAAGTTGAACAATACATCCTTTTTTAATAAGCGCGACACGTTATAAAAAAAGAGAGAGAAAGAGGCCTAGCGAAAGAGGGGAAAGGGGCACAGAAACGGTCGTTTAGGAAAAGGCATCGGTCTAGTCCGCCTATCCGCTCGCTTCGAATACCTTCGTTATCAGCTACCCTCCGGAAGCGCACCATCGTAACGAACGCCGGTGCTTGTCGCAGGTCGACACTTTTACCTGGAAATTGCGTCCCGAGAGTAGGGGAATCGGGTACGATAGACCATCACCATGTCTACCGCCGAGTTGCTGAAGAAGCAGTTTACTGCGAGTAAACTTATCTTCCATTTCTTGTTCTGGGGGATGCACTGGTTCTTCTTCGGATTTGGATGGTACGTCGCTCCCGGTTGCCTGCCACGAGTATAGCTATACTAACCTGATGCGAAGGTGGAAGCAAGCGAACGACCCTAAGCTTGCGGGCTTGAATACGCTGCTTTACTCCGTCTGGATCTCGCGTGGTGCCGGCCTGGTCTTGGCGATTGACGGGACGTTGATTTTACTGCCAGTCTGCCGAACCGTAGTGAGATGGATACGGCCCAAGATCCGGTGGTTGCCCCTGGATGAGAACATCTGGTTCCATCGGCAAGTCGCGTACTCGATGCTGTTATTCACCATTATCCACACGGCTGGACATTACGTCAAGTAAGTCGTACTGCTCTATCCTCGCGGGTTCGGGATTCGAGCCGGAACTAATGGGCTACAGCTTCTTCAACGTGGAGAAGACGCAGATCCGACCAGTAACCGCCGTTGAGATTCACTACACGCAACCCGGTGGTGTTACGGGCCATGTCATGCTTCTCTGCATGCTGCTAATGTATACCACGGCACACCACCGCATCCGCCAGCAGTCCTTTGAGACCTTCTGGTATACGCACCATCTCTTCATCCCGTTCTTCCTCGGCCTGTACACCCACGCTGTCGGTTGTTTCGTCCGTGATACTGCCGACGGCTTCTCGCCTTTCGCCGGCGACCTCTTCTGGCAGCACTGCATCGGTTATCAGGGATGGCGATGGGAGCTATTCGCGGGCGCTCTGTATCTGGCCGAGCGTCTGTACCGCGAGATCCGTGCCAAGCGCAGCACTAAGATCACGCGAGTAGTTCGCCACCCGTATGGTAAGACGGCACCCGAGACACACCCTCTCTCTCTCGGCGCTAACCTCTCGCAGATGTTGTGGAAATTCAGTTTGAGAAGCCCTCGTTCAAGTACAAGGCCGGCCAGTGGCTGTTCATACAGGTGCCCGCAGTCTCGAGCTACCAATGGCATCCCTTCACTATCACGTCCTGCCCGTACGATCCGTATGTCTCGGTCCACATTCGACAAGTGGGCGATTTCACGAGGGCGCTAGGTGATGCGGTCGGTGCCGGCGGAGCGCAGGCCAAGCTCTACGAGGGAGTTGACCCTATGGGAATGTACGAAGTCGCTCTGCAGAACGGACAGCAGATGCCTAGCCTCCGAATTGACGGACCGTACGGTGCCCCCGCTGAAGACGTGTTCGAGAACGAAATTGCCGTGCTTATCGGAACCGGTATCGGTGTCACGCCGTGGGCCTCTATTCTGAAGAACATCTGGCACTTGAGGAACAGCCCCAACCCGCCCACGCGTCTCCGTCGTGTCGAGTTTATCTGGGTGTGCAAGGATACCACGTCGTTCGAATGGTTCCAGACGCTCCTGTCGTCCCTCGAGTCCCAGAGCAACGACGCGGCCCGCATCCCCGGCAGCAACGGCGTAGAGTTCTTGAAGATCCACACCTACCTAACCCAGAAGCTCGACATGGACACGACGCAAAACATCGTCCTGAACAGCGTCGGCGCCGACCACGACCCCTTGACCGAGCTCAAGTCGCGGACAAACTTCGGTCGTCCGAACTTCGCGCGGATATTCGAGGCCATGCGAGATGGTATCATGGACCGGACCTACATCAACGGCCTCGAGGGCAGCATGCAGACGACAGTCGGCGTGTACTTCTGCGGTCCTTCCGTAGCTGGTGAGTAGCCGATTTGTGACTATATACGATGACCCCCCCCCCCCCCCCCCCCCCCCCCCCGAGAAAGCCCGGAGCTCATACACTAACACACGATGACAGCCCGAGATATCCACAAGGCGGCCAAGAGCGCGACGAGAAGAGAAGTGCGCTTCCGATTCTGGAAGGAGCATTTCTAAGTGCGTGCGCGTGTATATTTGCTCGATTGATTACCTGCATGTTGATACCATTTTCCAAGATTCTTACGATACCGCAAGGATTTCCCATATAGCCTCTACATGACGATTTGATCTCGCAGCAATTCTGTGGAGACGGGGAGGCGGGCGGGACGGGAGACCATCAGCAGCAGGGCAGGGACGACAATATGAACCAGTCCAGGGGAGATAGAAAGTGGGCCTCATTTTGCTCTCTCGGATATTGAGCCAGGGGAGAGCTAGTGGGAAGAAGTTCTTCACTACGCTCTTACAAAAAAGACCCTTTACCTTAACATAATTACAGCCAAGTCGTTGTGACCTGGAGGGGAGCTTGCTGATTCGGGCCTGTGGTGACGATGATCTCTGCAGTGTATACAGGCTGGGGAATAGGTATTCATTTTTGGAGAGCGAGGAGACAGAGGAGGAAATTCCGTATACTCTTACCATTTACTGCATGACAAATCTAAGCTTTGCTTCTTTTTTTTTCGGCTGGCTATTCTTGCTTTCTATCTCGCCATCGCTTGTGGTAGGCCCGCGTCCCAGGAGACGAGGGTTTTCGGTACCCGGGGGCTTATCTAGGACTGCAAAAAAAACAGGCCCCCTCAACACATCCCATACCTCGTACAGGGGCAGCTGAGCCGGTAAGGTTAGGAAGAAAGCCCGAGGAGAGGAGAGGGGAGGGGGGACAGAAGAAAGACCGTGGCTGAGATTCCTTCTCGAATGATGCATCAGCTGATGGAGCGTACGGGATATGGGAGAGCGAGCGCCTAATAAGCGCTGGGTGGTGGCAGCTAGGATATAGATCTCTGGCGGATTTGCGACGTGCAGAGTCGCAGCCAGCTTACTACCCTTCCCCCACCCTTCCCTCCCCCCCCGGCTCAGGTGTACGTACACAGTCAATAGCATCGGCGCTTCTCCCTCACCCTAGGGGTGTGACCGGCCGATCATTGGAAAGGGGAGCGGGAGGGCTCGATACTTGGCAAGCGAGGCGTGGGCCTGTCTCAGCAGCGGACGGGTTTAGAGGCTGCGGCCCGGGCGTGTGTGTGTGTGTGTGTGTCTTTGGCGAGTAGGCGAAGGGGCCGTATGCTAGCTAGGAAACGGGAAAGGAGAAAGAGAACAGAGAGGGGGGGGGGATAGAAGAAGAATAAGGGGACGAAAGAGGAAGAAAAAAAAAAGACAGAAAGAAGAAAAAAAAGGGGGCAGAAGCTGGCGATGCTTAGACGGCGGGTCTCAGCTGGCCGACCCACGCGGGAAGGAAGGCCGATTGCCGTCGACTACGGAAAGGGAGCGGTGATATTCATTCCAAGTGGGCGCTCCCGTCGGCAGATCGCGCTCGTATTCCGAGATGAAGAAGCGTAGATTCGGTGGATCTTGGGTTGATGGATTATAAGTAGGCACGTAAGTAGGTAGGTAGGTAAGGGAAGAAGAAGTTGGACGGGCGCAGCTTGGACCGGACTCGACGGGCGCCGCCGCTCCCTCTCGAGATATGCCCCCCCTCCTCTCTCTCTGTGTGTATATGTGTCTCTATCTAGATATATCCTACTCCCACCGATGCAGCTGCGCATGCAGGCAAGTATGCACGTTCGCATGCATGTAGGCAGACGGCGATGGGCGCCCCGGCGACGTGCCAATGCGACGCTGGCCAGCGTGCCCGCATGTCGCATGCACCTAACCCAGCGGGGACACACACACACTCGTAGTAAGCGTGGCGGGCTATATTAGGCACGTAGGCGTGAGCGCGAGTGCATGTATGTAGGTAGGTATCCAGCGGGATACCTATAAATAGATAGGTATATTCCCCGGGCGCGCTCCCTCACGGCACGATACGACGGGCAACCCTGCCATCGACGATGCGCGTTGGGGTGGCGCACTCAGCAGCGGCTTTGCAAAGCACCCAGCCTCGCGCGGGACTGCGACGCATGGTCATGGCACGATGCGCCTGCGCAGCGGGCCAAGACAACGCGTCGCCGTCGCCTCTGGAGCCGGGCCTCGGCCTGCCCGGGCGTGATGGGCGACGGGCGCGGGAACGGCGTCTCGGAGGCACTTCGACGACCTGGTCTCGGATGCGATGCTGGGGGTGCATCGAACGGGTTGGGCCGGCTGGCCGTCTCCGGTCCGATGGCGTCCCGCTGCCGCCGGCTACTGCCGTTGCCTTGTTGCTGGTTTCTGCGGCGTGGGCGAGCGGGTAGGTATGTAAATGCCGCGGCGGAGGCGGTGATAGGTAGCGGGAGATGTGGTGGGAATCTACTGTCTATCTACCCTAGGTGCCCGGCATAATGTGTAGATATGCTATAGCCGGTGGTTAGCAGTACCGCACCCCGTGCGTGCTGCTGCGTTTTGGCCGTCGCTGGATGGATGGGCTTGGGTGACCTGGTGCGAGTTGCCTATACCTACCTACCATTACCTACCTGTACCTAATACGCCGTCAACCCGTGACACCGACCCCGTGCTGGCCTCAGGTAGGTAACCAAGACACCTTAGCTACCCAGGATAGACTGCATATGGACACCTAAACTCGCTGTAGTTGGTTCACTTGCCTGTACGAGTCTCTCGCCAACGGGAAAGGCAGGCAGGCCGATCTCCGCGTCTGCCTCAGGTATCTTCCAGGCTATGTGCGTAGATACGCAAAGCGAGGTGACTGTCGTGGTATGCAAGCCGCTCTCCTCGTCTGCTCGTGTATGCGGCGTACCGGTGAACACGGCAAGATGCGACAGCGGATGCTCCTATGCGACGGCGATGATGACATCGCGGGGTGGGAGGGCGGAATCGGAGGGTGGCCGACGCCGATGCGGACCCACCACGCTCTTCTCGTATCTTTACTTATCTAGGTATTTGCCTATTTATTCTTTTTATTTTTTATTTTTTTCGTCCTTTGGCTTGGCTCTGATGACGAATCTGTCTATCAACGCTGGCTGACGGGTGCCATTGGCCAATCTGCGAGCTCCTCCACCCTCAAAATCACTTCGTCCTTTGGTGCTGACCCGTCTCGGCTACAAGTAGTGTTCCCTGTCCACTCTAGGCGGTTCGTTCTCCTATGTAGGTGCTGCTAGCATACTTGTATAGGTGCTCGGCCATGTCTCCCGACGCCAGCGATAGCGAGGCCGACGAGGCGGCAGCGCTGCGACCCCGCGATGCCACCGAGTCCACACCGCTCCTGACGGGCTCGCAGCCTCTGGTTTCTTCCATTGGCGGCGGTGACGGCGACGACGGCGATAACGACAACGACAACGACGACGATGACCACTGGGGGTCCGAGCTGCGGCTTCTCGTCAAGTACTCGCTCCCGCTCGTCGCCACCTACCTCCTGCAGTACTCCCACTCCGTCATCACCACCTTCGTCGCCGGCCACCTCAGCTCCGACGACCTCGCCGCCGCCAGCATCGGCATGACCACCATGAACATCGTCGGCTACGCCGCCGTCGAGGGCATGGCCACCGCCCTCGACACCCTGTGCGCCCAGGCCTACGGCTCCGGCAACCTCGCCGGCGTCGGCCTGCACGTCCAGCGCATGCTGCTCTTCGCCGCCCTCGCCATCCTGCCCATCGGCGCCTTCTGGGTCTTCTCGCCCGCCATCCTCGGCCTCTTCGTGCGCCAGCCCCACCTCGCCGCCGCCGCCGGCTCCTTCCTGCGCGTCAGCCTCGTCGGCCTGCCCGGCTACGCCGCCTTCGAGGTCGGCAAGCGCTTCCTCCAGGCCCAGGGCAACTTCGGCGCCGCCATGGTTGCCATCCTCCTGTGCGCCCCCGCCAACGCCGTCCTCAGCTGGTACTTCGCCTTCCCGCTCGGCATGGGCCTCGACGGCGCCGCCCTCGGCGCCGCCCTCGCCAACGACCTGCGCCCCCTGCTCCTGCTCGCCTACGTCCTGGCCCCGTGCGGCCGCTGGTCCCGCCGCTGCTGGGGTAGCGGCCGCGGCTTCTCGCGCGACGCCCTCACCGGCTGGGGCCCCATGGTCGGCCTCTCCGTCGCCGGTACCCTGGTCAACCTCGGCGAGTGGGCCGCCTTCGAAATCGTCACCTTCAGCACCTCCTACCTCGGCACCGAATATCTCGCCGCGCAGTCGATCCTGACCACCATCTCCGTCGTCGCGTGGCACGTGCCTTTCTCCGTCAGCGTCGCCGTGAGCACGCGCGTCGGGCACCTCATTGGCGCCGGGCGGCTCGCGCGGGCCCGCCGCGCCGCCGCGCTGTACGCGGTGGTCTTCGTGGCCATCGGCGCGGCCGACGGCGCGGCCATGTTCGCGCTGCGCGACCGGCTGCCCGCGCTCTTCTCGGACGACGCGCGCGTGCGCCGGCTGGCGGCGGGCAGCATGCTGGCCGTGGCGGCCTTCCAAGTCATCGACGCGGTCATCTGCTGCACCAACGGCCTGCTGCGCGGCCTCGGCCGCCAGTCCGTCGCCGCCTGGGTCGTCTTCGCCGTCAACTACCTCGGCGCCGTCCCGCTCGCCGTCTGGCTCGAGCTCGGCTCCCCTACCTGGCGGCTCGACGGCGCCTGGGCCGGCCTCGGCGCCGGCATGGTGCTCATCGCCGTCGTCGAGGCCCTGTACATGAAGGCCCTGCGCTGGCAGGACTGCGTCGCGAGCGCCAAGATCCGGGAGGGCATGTAAGATGGCTCCGTGCAAGTTATATGTATTTTTGTATTTTTGCGGCACTTCGGTGAAGCGTACGCTTATTCGAATCTCTGCGTGGAAGTGCGAACCCGCACATACAGCCAAGCTGTTGGGCTCTGGCCACAGTAATAGTCCGGGACGAGAGAGGGTCCTGCATGGACTTCGTGGACACGTGTGCGGGTGGGAGGTAGGTAAGTAAGGGAGGGTTATGAGGGGTCGGGACCAAAGGGTAGGAGGCTGAATAGGCCGTACGTAAAATACGGCATGTAGATCTTTTGGCACAGTATCTGGTTAACAATTCATACCTAGGCAGATAACCTCCCCTAAGATGACACCAGTCTGTAAGAAGCTCCGCGTCGCTCGCGCAGCCGTGTGACGAGTGATGCTAGAAGTAGTCCCGATTTCTTTGCGACCCGATATCTCTATCGTTACATGGGAATTCTCCCCGTATGCATATTCATATGCATACATGAATAATGGCCTATGGCGTATTACGCATACCTACATGCGCCATCTCTAGGCTAGGAACGAAAAGCGAGGCGTGAGCGGTCTGGCGGCTGCGCGCGTCGGTCCGAATCCGCCCGCGTCCAACTGTCGTTCACCTGGCGGACGAGTCTTGTCTTATCTTCGTCCTCGCTGACTTTTTATGCACCTCCAACGCGGGAACGGCGGCACCACCCCCGCTACTACATCGCCTACCTGCCCCATGGTTACCATACGTATATCCCCCACGCCCCCCCCCGCCAACCAATACGTAGGTGGGCGTCATTTTCGGCCGCGATCGCGAACTGAGAGAAGGAAAGAAAGAAGCCTAAAGCAGAGACGATGGTGGCTTGTAGCCTGTGCGGGCTCTCGACGCCGGTCGTCGAGCCCATGGTCGACTTGGCTCAGGGTTGGGCGCCCTACTACCGCGCCGTGTACCGTGTCGAGCCCGCGGGCCCCCGCAGCGTCAGCGGCGTCGGCGGCGAGGACGGCCCGCCGCGCCTGTCCGGCGTCGGCTTCCACTGGGGCACTGACAGTGAATATCTGCTGCCGGCCGAGGCGCACCGCCGCTTCGACGACCCTGGCCTCGACCCGGCCGCGCTGGTCGCCGTGCGCGGCGCTTGGGTCCCGTCATACGAGCTGCCGGCCGCCGGTGCGCTCAGCACCCTAGGTTCCCTCGCTGCGCAGCTGGCGCTGACACCGCCGCGGCCGCCACCCCGCGCCTTAACCGCCTGCGGCTTCTTTTTCCACGACGCCTGCTGGCGCGTGCTGACCCAGGCCACGGCCCCGGCCGAGGTCGACGTCGCTGCGCTCTGGCGCGTTCTCGTCTCCGTGCCGTGCGACTACCACGGCACCGTCAACTGGGGCCACAGTTACAGCAGCCTTTACGAGTGCCGCCGCATCCGCGCCCGCGCCCCCGGCGGCACCTACCTCGCCCCCCGCTCCGAGGAGTACATAATCCCCAGCGCGCACTCGGACCCGCTGGACGTGCCGGAGCTGTGGAAGTTGGTCGTCGCTGCTAGGGCGCCGCGCCACGATGCGGGTAGTGGCGGCGGCGAGGTCGTGACCGAGGCCGTGACCGAGGCCGAGGATGGGGAGCAGCCGGAGGAGGCGCAGAGGACGAGTATCGCCGGAGCGGATGGCGGGGATCCCTCCGCCGGCGAGGACCCTTTCTTCGCTCTGCCGGCCGAGCTCCGGGTCATGCTGCTCACGCAACTGTCGACGCCGGATGCGGCGCGGCTGCGGCTGGCGTCGCTGGCGATGGCCCGGACGCCGCTAACGCAGGGTTTCTTCCGGAGCCGGTTTTGGCCCGAACGCGAGCTTGGCGTGGTGTTCGACGGGTTCCTGCTCGGCGCTGCGGAGCGGCGGGGGCTCGACTGGCGGGGGCTGTTCGCGGCGGCGCGGCGGCGCACGCGCGACGGCCTGCACAGCCTCAGCGAGCGCAACCGCTTCCACCTCTGGCACAACACGGTCTGGCCGCTCGCGTGCCTGCTCGACCAGGTCCGCCGCCTCGACGAGTGGCCCGGCCAAGACTACGGCATCGCACTGGGGATCCCCGACATGCGCCCCGCCGCCGCCGACCGCGCCGAGGCCGCCTGCGTGCGCAACGATCTCGACTACTACCCCCCACGCGACCAGCTCGTGACCCACATCAGCTTGTTTCCGGCCGACGTGCGCGCCATCCATGTCTCCATAGTCACCGCCTTCGGTAAGCAGTACGTGGCGGGGCTGCGCTTTACGTGCGCTGGCGGCGCTGACGTCGAGATCGGCTACATCACCCGGGGGGCAGAGCACACTCTCCCGGTCCGCGGTATGTGGCGGGGCTTCTACGTCTCCTCGGGCTACTACGGGCTCCACGGCCTCCAGCTTGTGACGAGCGCGCAGTCCGAGTTTGCGAGTGGGGTCGGCGACCTCGCCAACTACCCGCGCGATCTGGTCGTCTTCCAGCCCAAGCTCCTCGATACGGGGAAGAGGACGATCGTGGCCTATTTTGACGTGGGTCCTCCCCTTGCCTCCCCCTTTCCTCGGATGAGCCGATAGAAGGGGGGGAGGCGAGAAAAGACCTCCTTCTCTTTCTCCTGCCTCTCCAACCCTCCTTTTTCTTCCCGAGGGCTGACATTTGGATAGCAATTTCGGATGAAAGCATTAGTTTTCCGTTCTGACCCATGAACCGGCCGATCCGCGGTGCTTTACGCGACGGGCGTGTTGCAAACCTGTAGGAGCGTCTCGGGCATCGGCGTGTTGATGTACACCCTATGGAGCCTTTCGAAGGGGCTGCACATCCAGATGCGGTAGACCGGATAGTGAGAAGCGATACACCCACCTGCCTAAAGGTCTATAGCTAATGGTGCTAACAATTCCGTAGGGTGCTTCCCGTGGCGGTTCGTAGATAGTAAAAACTATAAGAAAAAAGCACCGTAATGAATAGTATGGAGGTCAATAGAGCAACCGCCCTGTGTTGAGCGTCGTAGTGAGGCAAGGTTCTACGCCGATCCTGCCTTGGTTAGAGAGACGGTATTATCCGTCCCTCTATTCCTACTAATGCAACGAAAAGCACCCGGCACTATAAGAACGCTATGAATTTGGTATCCCAATGCCGACAGTAACTCGGTGTGAGGAGGGTGGAGGGTGGTATCACTCTTCAGAAACTGTTCGCCGGCTCTCCCGGAGGGGGAAGCTCGAGCATGCAACTGTTCCCCAACATATTGATCCATTTGCCTAGTACACCTGCGTGACAGTGCTTGAGGTGCTGGCGGAAGTGATCCGCGCGATAGAACCTCTTCTCCGCGTCGCACTCGCCGAATCTGTGAGCCTCTTTGAGGTGGGCGCACCGGTAGTCCCAGTCCTTCTCGTCGACTAGCCTGCTCGTACCATCTCCCCCGTTGCGGCCAAAGTCCTTTCCGCAGTACCCGCACGTATCGGCGACTCCCGGTTGGCTGACGCTCCCATGGAAAACGCCCTTGTAGCCGATCTTTAGAATCGCCGAGCACGACCAGGCATGTCTTCGCAAATGGAGACTATTCTGGTGCCTCTCCGCTTCGTTCTTGGACTTGAAACGGCTACCGCAGTAGGAACACTCGTGCTGTTTCCCTGTTGCGTGGGCTCTGCACAGACAGTTAGTCTGTATTCCGCACGCACCTAGTCGCCATGAAGGGGGACATACCTCAATTCTTCGATGGTATCGAATCTCTTGGGTCTTTTAGGGCAACAATCGCAGACTAAGGGCTCCCGAGGGCTGTCGGCGGCGTCGTTAATCTTCTCATTGGTCGAGCCTCGCTTATTGAGCGTCCTCGATATTTCTACCAGACTCTCATTGCTGCTTTTGTAGTGCAGTCTCGGCCGATGCCCCTTCGAAGGGCCGAAATAATCAAAGTGATCTCGACCGTCGGGGGGACCCGTCCCATACACCATCAGGCCCTCCGCGCTTCCACTCCATCTAACGGAGCTACTGGTTTCGTACGCGACCGAATACGCAGAGGACACCGGAGATGCGGGGCTTCCCAATGAAACCCCGCGGCTTCGTATGTCTCTGTTATCCGGCATGCTAGAAGAACTTCCGTTTCGTCGAATGAACTCAACATCTTTTAGAAGCGATCCGGCGCGTCTCTTGGCGCCAGACCTAGCTTTGACGGGGACCAAGGATTGATCTTCGGATCTTGCTGATGTAGCAAGCTGGAGGGGGGTTTGCCTTAGAGGTAATGCTGGTGGAACCGCGTTGCTTTCGGCCGCCCTCCTAGGTCTTCTTATCGACACGGGCCGGATGTCTCCCTGTGTATAGGTAGTAAATATCATATCACAATCGTGATACAAGCGCCTCAAGTAGTCGATAGAACTTCCAATGTCGCGTACCCCTTGTTCTCTAAAGAGAGCTTTCTGGGCCAACCGGTAGTATTTAATAAGTCTCAGATCCATATTCGGTGGCTCCTTGTCAAGTGACCAAGTCGACACCAGGGGGTCGAATGAAGCGGATGAAGCGTCAAAAACCTCCAAAGAAAGGAGGAGGTAGGCTGGACAAGCACACCGGATCTCCGAGTCGGGCTCCGAATGGCCTTGGGCCTTGAAATGGCTTTCTACGAACAGGATGGTTCGGCGGACGTAAGACTGGATCCAGAGGCTGTAGAACGTCGACAGCCACCATCTTTTATCATTAAGCCGATTCTCTTTCCGGAATATTACCTTTGATAGTTCATTCGTAAATGATTTGATGTTCGCGCCAAGCTTAAGAAACGGTTGGGCCTGGCAATCGCCGAGAGTGCAGCCGTTATGTAGCTGGGATAGCGGAACACCACCGCCAAGGAGTCGTAGTATTTCGATGCAGTTCCGGAAGCACTCGATAGCCATCGGGATGATGGGCGACTAGGGAAAGGGGTTAACCCAATGCAAGGCGTGAAGGCGAGAAGTGTTAAGCTTACCAGGCCATACTCCTTTTCGTAGGTAATAGCTGCCTTGAGGACTTCGAGGGTATCCTCAACCGAGTCAATACACAAGATATTCTTGGCCGACGGGATATCAACAAGTCCCCAGGCTATGTGTATGACATTCGCATCGATGTCGTGTCTCCGAGAAAGTGGAATACTGGTCACGGTAACTAAAGGCAAACACAAAATATCTAGTACCACCTTGTCAAACGAATCCTTTTCTGACGCAAAGATAGCATCAAGGCGACTCGACGCGTCCTCGAGACATAGTTCGGCGGTATAGTCTATCGGAGTCTCCGGTACTTGCGGGGAGGCGCCGATGGATTCTTCGATGTTGGCCTCTCGAGTAGCATTGGCCTTTGGGCAAAGCATCACCGGAGACATGTAATCCAAAAGGGAGCCGCGCTTGCAACCGATGGCCTGCCACCTGGACTTATTGTTCATGGCTGGCCTAGTACAAGCTTTGCAAGGTTGTTCCGAGTCACACTGGTTGTTGTTTAGCATTCGCCTTGCCCAATAGTTGACTCAATTGCCATACCCCCTTGCGTAGGATCTTGCACCTCCAACATGCCCCGACATCCTTAAGAGTGAGCGTCGACCCAGGCCAGGGGCCTCGGCGTAACAAGGAGGGCGCCACTCGCGGGCTATTCGAGCCAAGGCCCAGCTCACCCCCCAAGTCGTAGTCGTGTATATTAGTTCCCGAAGAGTGATAGCCCGTTTCTCTCCACGAGTCGTAGCTCCCTACCCCACGATCAGAATTTTTTTTACTCGGTCAGTACCTAAGCTGCCGTCTTAGACGACCGGCAGAAATTTCACTTACTGGGTCGAGAATCGATACCCATCTCAACGCTGCCGCATAGGTGCGAGGATGGTTCGTTTGTCTTGGGAATACTGTAATGTTGATTCCTGGCGTCATTGCCGAACTCCCACTGTAGAAGGGGTGAAGATATAGGATCTTTAAAAGCGGTAGTTAGGCCTGGAGCTGTGCCTTTCTGCTGGGCATACCGTTCAAGGGAAGGTCTACCACTCCCCCCCTTCTGCAGCCGTATTACCCCGACGAAAGGATCGTAGGCATAGTCGAGGTCGAGCTTTGCGGCAAGAGCCTGGATCGTAGCCTGCTTGGGGGGGTCGTAGCCCTCTAGGTCGAGGCGGCGGGCGGACGGATTGTTCGCGAAAAGCAATAACGACGTGTCTTCATTGAGGACGCTGGGATTGTTCCTATCTGAGCAGCCTGAGTCGCAGGTACCAACTGTTGATATCGTTAGGACTGGACTTACCCAAGGACGGAGGCCCACCCAGTCCCTCCAGCTCAGCGTCACCACTGCTCGGCCGGTTACGGTCGGGCCCGCCTGAGTCGAAGGTGCCACCCGAAACGAGAGGGGCATCGAGCTGGTGAGCCCCAAGGTCTCCCATCAACGCATCAATCCCGGGAAATTCGACAAGGTCCATCTCGAAAGAAGGCCATATCGAGGAATTGGGCAAACCACCGAAGCTGACGTCGTCCAACGGTGCAAGGTCGTCCCGCATATTAGTAGAATGTATCGGATGACGCCAGACAGTGACGCGAGCGAACGCCCCGCCGATGACCAAGAGCCGAATATAATATGAGATAAAGGAAAGACCAACAGGTTGCACGACACACGTAACACGTAGATCTAGCTCATGGGCTTGAGGAAAGACGCGCGTCCGGTTCGAATGAGCGAGTTCGTGCTGGTCGAGACGATCTGAAGAGATCGATTTCTCGACCCAGCGACCGGCTGGTAGGGTAAGTAGGGTCAATAGGGCTGGTAGGGCTGACGAGGGGTTCCCATCAACAATGGCTTAGCGTCGGTCGGTAGCGTTCTCACATCGCAAAGCCGGCCAATCCGGTGATGGTAATGGCCAATATATATATGCACCCACCGCAGGCACCCCTAGCGGACGACACAATCCTTATAGTAGGCAGCGGCCTTACGGCGCCGGGTCGGTGCACGAGACGGACCCGTGACGTCCCCTTCGCTTGAGATTGGCCCTGCGATGGAACGAGTATGCATTCCAGTCGGCCGCTCCGCCACCGCCGTGCCCTACCCGTTATGACCGGGCGGGCCAGGTTAGGCGTACTTGACTCACTAAGATAGACGAGAACGGCGGGAATAGATTATATAGGGCATGTGGGAATTCGGTCGTGGGTAGGTTAGCTTTCTCGAGCCTCTCTTGTGCGTATTGTTACTCATAATTCAGAATCATGGCATCGCGTTCACCGGTCCCAAATGACTTGCATGGTGTCGGCGAGTGGGCCCAAATCACCCAGACCCCTCCTCTACAGGCGCTTGGCACCGAAGATGCGGTTGCTTTGGACATTGACAGCGCCGCGGGATTGGACGTTGCCGATCTGCCGAAGGCATGGGAGCCAGTGTTTGAACTCGATTTCTGGCATAAGCCCGACCAAACCCTTTCGGTTAACGACGGACTCAGACCTCGATCCTCGACTGAGACCAGACCTTCAAGCGGCTGTGTGGCCCAAACACCGTCATCGTCCTCGACAACCTCGTTGCAACGTGTAGCCGGCGCTATGCTGGCACTAAGTTCTGACCAGACCGACCCGACTTCTAGTGAACGCCACAGAGCCGGAGACACCGGCGCTGACTACGCGAATGGTAGTGAGTCTTGTACCCATTCGCAGAATCGTGTGGCTCTCGCCTGCCGAGTGAAATATGACAGACCCCAGGGCAGAGTCAGCAGGAGTCATGGCTCTCCCGGAAAGGTCTCTCTGAAGCAGCCGATAATTTGTCGGCCACGCCAAGTTTCCCGTTCGACGAGTCTTCAATCGATTACACACAAGGCGAGCGCTGCATAAACTTGGTGGATATAGCGGGAATGATATTCATTGCGGTATGTAGCAAAGGGTATGGGAGAAGTGAGGGTAGAAAGAATAGGTAGGGAGGAGGATTGGACCAAAGATTACTACCTACAAGGACAACCCAAGCGGAACCTCCATTTTGGGACGGAACGGGCCGGGCCGGGCCGACAAGCAAATCTTTAATTCTCCTCTTGCGGATGTACTCCTTAATTACCGATACCTACTCGCGAAAATCTCACTGATTCATATTTTCTGATACTTACCTACCTACCTCTTGGGTACCTCCTAAGGAAGATAACCGGCGTCAGTTTGCCTCTACAGTGAGGTAAGTAAGTACCATGTAGTTAGATGCGCATCCGATTGAGTCAATATTATGGAATTGTGATTATGAGATGCTTAACAGACCTTGCCTACCCTAAGTACCTTGGGTTAGGAGGTACCTGAACTGAATACCTAAATTGGGTGTTACCTTGAAAGCCTCGCGATCAATGCGCAACCCTGATCATTACCTAGGTTTCTGCCGGGAGGATATGCCTTTTTGATGCCGACGTCCTTCCGGGTAGCCTCAAATGCGAGCCTATCACCGCGATGCAGCGAAGAGAGAATATGCGTAACTAAAAAGAGGAAAACCATCCATCGCCATATACCTACGCAGTCAACTGCGAGCCCTTCAAGACAGCGTGTCCGGGGGACGGAACGTGGTGATCTTGCCGAAGGTGTCGCTCTTGCCCCAGATGCCCGCCCGGAGCCCGGCCAGCTGGACGATCTGCGAGTGGTCGACGAAGAGGTTCACATCGACACCGAATTCGCGGATGTACCTAACCGATCGCGCGGGGCCGCGAGTCAGCTCTGCCTCGACCTTATGGACAAAGGACTAATAGAGGGTAGGCAAGTCGGTGAGGGGGAAGCGAGAACGAGTCACGCCGACTTACCAGTTGAACACGGCCGGGTCCGCCGCCTCGAACATGACGTTTTCGAGGGGCAGCTCGCGGAGGATATCATTGATCACGTCTGTGCGCCAGGAGTCGCCGACATTTTCTGTGATCCCTTCGCTCTCGATCATGACGCGCTCGACGCCCGCGTCGCGCACGAAGCGCCGCGCGAGATCGACGACGCGGCCCGGGTCGCTCGTGCCGATGGCGCGCAGCTCGGCAGCCGACGTGTCGCCTCCGGCGCCGAACTGGATGCCGAGCTCGGGCTTGGGCTCGAGGCCCGCGGCACGCACGCGCTCCGCGAGCCGCACCCAGTCGTCGGGCGGCAGTGATATGAAGCCCGCGCTCAGCTCGACGACGTCGAAGCCGAGGGCCTTGCACCGCGTGAGGTAGTGGTCGACGGCGTCGGTGCCGCCGGACGAGAGGATGTGCTCGATCCAGCCGCCCGTGCTGACGTAGGCGCCGTGCGCGTGTGCCAGGTCTAGGAGCTGGCGCAGCGGCGCCTCCGGTAGCAGCGCGAAGGACCCCCCGGCGAACTTGAGCCCGTCGATGTGCGGGCCCGCGATTTCGAGCACATCGGCCAGGTAGCGCGGGCCGACAGCGGAGTAGTACGGCCCGCGGATCTCGGTGACACCGCGGCGGCGCGGCTTCGGCGGCAGCGGGTTGTGTCGCACGAACCCGAAGCCGGCCTTCGGGTCCTCGAGGAGTATCTGGGCCTGCTGAGAAGCAGGGGGGGTGGCGGAGGGGCCTTGCCGATCTGGAGATGACGATGCCGTGAAAGGACGAGCAATAGCCTTGGCTGCAACGGGTGCGGATAGGGACTTGTTCACGAGCTTGCCCGCGTGAGCTTGACGGAGAGCCGTCGTCGCGAAGGAGCGAAGTGGAGCGGCCATTTCGGGAATTCTGGGATTCTTGTGCGGGTCGGTAGCTTGGGTCCTTGCCCCTAAACTAGATAGTGTGTGAATAGTTCGAGTTAGTATTAGTTTCGGACCCTTCTCTTCACATCGGTGACCTTGTTTCTGAGCTGCCATTAGGCACCCTAGGCGTTGGGTAGGCGGAGCGTGTAGGAATAAGTAGATGAGGTTGGCTGTCCTCGTCAATATGTCGTCACAGTTACCTCAGCTCGGTTGACGTCGTGGTGACGTCGAGGAGGTCGAGATACCAATCCGGGTATTTGTAGCACATAACAGCAGGTCTCCGACAATTGATATCACCATAAATATTCCCGTCCCTCTTTGTGCAATCTTCTTCCTTATTACCAAATGTATCAGCCACGATGGGGCCAACTGAGCGTCGTTGGAGACGGAGTCAGCAGAATACACCACCCAGCTAAGCGTAACATGTTTTGCGAGGCCCCTATTCTCAGACTTAATATTCGTGCAGACGAGGATTCCTTTCGAGCCCTCTAATAGCCTAACCATGTCCCTTTTCTTTTACATGCATTAAGAGATATTGTTTCGAATAACTAGCTTTCCGACTCCCTCGCAGGAGAAGGTAACTATGCCACGATGAACCGACGATCATACAAGCAATCCTACACAAAGCCCTGCACCATTTACGACGAGCCTCCTCTCACGCTTCCGTATTTTCCAGAAACTAGCTAGGTAACAACAGAAACTTATGTTCTACTTACTGCTGGCCTCTCGCGGAAGAATCGGGTTGTGAAGGCATATGCTTCCTGCGAGAGGTAAGCCAAGCACAGACTGGTAGGCATACAGAAATCGGCCAGCCCAGGCTTTAATACTACAACGGGGACCGAGGGGATGGAAAACTGTTTAACGCATCCTGAAGCGACCATACAGGGGGTTGTTCCTAAGGAACTCCTGGACGTGATGATAAACGGGCGAACTCGAAATACCGTTGGCGGCTTACCCCTTTTGGAAAGCCATTACGTTGTTCCCGAAGTGCGCTTCCGCGGGCGAGAGCGGCATTGCTGGGATAGTTCCGGGCTTGGGGATAGTCAAGCATACCCGAGTCTCGAAGTCTACGATGGCTACAAGATGCAGAGTGGGCTCGGCCAATAGCCCCCGATTCCTATCGTATGCGATCAAGGTGTGTGCAAGTATGTTCCGTTGAGGGCAGGCTGACGGCGCGAAATATCGGGCACCTCCAAGCCATTTCAAATCAGTAAGGGAGTACCCGAAACCAGGAAACTCGATTTCCTTTCCTAGGCAGTAACGTAGGTCTATCATTTCTGAAGCTATGTAAATGAACGACGGTATTTCGACTCTGAGAGATCTGTGGGACAGGCATGGTATGCGTTTTTGCGTTGTGGAGCTCACTAAGGACTTGCTAAGGACTTACTAAGGGCTCCATCTATCCGAAAACATCACAGGGATCCGGAGGACAGCGAAAGAGCGATAGCGATCTCGATCTCGCACGCACATTAGGCCGGGTAGGTCAGGTAAGTAAGGTATCTATTTTACACTGATAACACCGGTAGTTGATTCACGTCTGTGTGTTCTGTCTCCCTCCCCCTTTTCTCTCTCGTTATATTCCTACACCCCATATGAAGTTCTCCTTTCCCACCGGCGCCCATCGCTAGGTAGGCAAATATCACGATACCGTTAGGTCGGCCTACCTACCTAACCTAGGTAGATAACCTCATATCTAAGTGATGGGTACCTAATAGACAAGCGGCTGTTATTGCGACCTTCCGTCCTGGGGGCCTTCCCCTGATCTCGGACCGAGCATGCCATCCCCCAGTATCTTTCGGCATCCCCTCGAGTGCACACCTCCGGAATGTAATTACTCCTAACGTACACAAAATACACGCCCGGCCTACTACCTCTCGTCCTCGGCGGCAACCCCCAAAAGGAAATGGCCCGGCATACTGGCCCCCAATGACCAGAAGCGAAGGCATGTGTCTATCCGCGAGTAACAGAAGAGTGTGTGGATGGGGTGTCCCTGAAACCGTCCGGCCTTGCATGGTGGTCATTCGCTGCAACGCCTCTTCTGTATCCACGGCTGTATGAAGGCGAGCACATGGTTACGCACGCCCTTCGCGTCGTGGGCCACTCCTTCGACAATGTCGAACTGAGTTGCGATGCCGTCTCGATTCCACGATTCACGCAGGTTCGTCAAGGTTTCAAGCCTGCCTCGGTCCATGAACGGTAGTTCTGAGCTACCGGCTTTAGTTGTTCCGTCTTCCTTCTTGCGCGAGGCCTTGATCTGTTTCACCCAAGCCCAGAACTCGTCGCCGCCGTGGACCTTGACGTCGAGGTCGCCGACGACTAATTGTATCGGGACCCCCTTGATGAGATCTTTATGGATAATCTTTCCGAAGAGGGCCTCGACGTCCTTCACCCCAGATGGCCAGTCCCGCTGGTCGTCGAGGGCCGTGGTGCACCCGGGAGCGCCGACGCTGACGGCGGCGAGCCGTTCCGGATAGAGGTAAAGGAACCGGTGCGCGAACTGCCCGCCTCCGCTAAATCCGACGAGGAAGATCTTGCTCGTGTCTATCCCCGGCCATCTTACCGCCACCTCATCCAGCATCGACAGCAGCGCGAGGTCGGAACGCAGCGTCTTGGACCGGAGCAGTTTGTAAGAGTCGATATCGTCGGGGTGGTCGAGGCCGGTTGGGAACAGGGGCGTCAGCACGGCACACGGTGTCGAATCAGCGAATGGGACGAGGTCGTATATATCGTAGACGTGACGCCCAGTGCCGTGCACGCTGACGAGCAGAGGAAGCTTGGCAGGGGCCGGGACATCTCCGGAACCACCTCTATAGTGCTGGGGTGGTACATGGAGGGCGTAAGAGACGCGCGGGTCGGAAGCCAGTGCTCGATAGGGGATGTGACCAACGAGGAGAGCAGACCTGAGGAACTGCGGGGGAACCTCTGCTGTGGTCAATGGCCGGTCCATAGTTACTCAAATGTCACACGGCCGCCGTTCTGCATCCAGCGCAACGACAACTACAGTCGAGAGTGGTATTGGCGAAAGGTGGGCATACGTCAGCGTACGCCCGCGTCCATCTTCCTGCTCGGAAGTATGCGCACCGGGTTAGTTTTGTATTCGGGCGGTAGGTAAATCCTCGTGTGCGTTGCGCGGGTGGCACTGGGCGAATCTCGCTCGAGCCGGTGCAGATCATGGCGGCCGAGCCGGCATTCGAGAGCGAAATTCGCTTTGGCCCACCCTTCTCCAGACGCCACGCGTGAGTACCCAATTATGGAAGCAGGCTGAGCCCGAAAACCGCGTGCCGGGTCTCTTCCGCGTAAGCCCTGCGTCCAAATTGCGCTGCGTCCCGCAGCAGTAAAGCCTGTTTACTAGTACCTACCGAGACAGAAGATAGATGCTTCACATGCTTCACTCACGCTTCCAGGATGGTGGTCGAGGGGGGTTTCGCTACGAAACTCCTCCCCGTATCCTCAGTCAAACAGGCAGGAGGATATGGCGACATGGTGGGCGACATGGTGGGCGATGGGCGCCACCGCTCTGGCATCGCTGCATGGCAGCAGAGTGGATGGATGACATCCGCTCCCCCCAGCAGAAGCCTCCGACACGACACGCTTGCCCGCGTATCTGGACTGCGCCAACTTAACGGAGATGATCCCTGCCCTGTTGAGATCCGCCGAGGGCCAAGGGCCGTGAAACACGACTTACATGTTGAGCAGAAGGATTTCGGACTATCAATGTTGGCTATAAGACTGCCGGCATTTACCTACACTATTCTGCCTCACATCATCTCTTCAGTCACATTGTGTGCCGTGTCTTCTCAATCGTCAAACTACCCGAGTTCAAGATGTCTACGAGGAGTGTTGATAGGAGCGATGTCAAGCCCATCGAGCTAGAGGGCCCGTCAACGTCGATCTTGACGAGCAGCCCCAGCTCCCAGGAGCTGGCGTCGAAAGAGGGCGACGATGTTGACCCGAAGCTGGCCCGGAGGGTCAAATGGAAGCTGGACCTGACCATACTTCCGCTCATGGCGAGCGTCTACTTCTTCGCTACGATGGTTAGTTACTGTCAGCCAGGGGATCGCTACTCGGATGTTGTACTCACCACCAACCAGGGAAAATCCGATCTCGGGAATGCTAAGATCGCGGGACTAACCGAGGAGCTGAGCCTCACCTCCCAAGACTACTCAAATGCAGCCACCATGTTCCTCGTGGCGACGATCGTGTTCCAGCTCCCGGGAACACTCCTGATCAAACGCAACCGCCCCAACCGGCAGTTTGGCGGGGCCATGATGACGGTAAGGCTGATACCTTCTCTACTTGGTGAATGCATCACCGATCTTTCTGCGGGCTAATAATAGAAACTTCTGTAGTGGGGTTTCTTGACCACGATGACGGTTCTGGTAAATAACACGGGAGCGCTAATCGGCTTGCGTTTCCTCATCGGAGCGGCGGAGGCGTTCGTCCAGGGCGGTGTCTTCTGTAAGTATCAAACCAGCCCGATCGATCCCCTGAAACCAATTACCCCCACCCCTCCCTACCGTCCCGGGATACGGAGGCTCATCACAACCTTGTAGATCTCTCCTTCTGGTACCAATACTCCGAGTACGCCACGCGGGGAGCCGTCGTGTCGTCCATGTCCACGATGGCGGGCGCCTTCAACGGCCTGATCGCGTACGCCATCCACAAGGACCTCGACGGCGCCAACGGGTGGCGGGCCTGGAGGTGGATCTTCCTGATCGAGGGCATCTTGCCCATGGCCTTCTCCTTCGTCATCCTGTGCTTCCTGCCGAGCAGCCCGCAGACCTTGCGGTGGGGCTTCACCGAGGAGGAGAAGCAGCACATCATCCGCCGGAGCGTGCGTGCCCACAACTCGGAGGAGGACTCCCACGTGAAACTCGGCCAGATCTGGAGGGTGATGCTAGACCTCCACTTCTGGCTCTTCATGCTGATCAGCTGTGGCGGCGCCTTCTGCCAATCGTCGCTATCCAACTTCCTCCCGGACATCATCTCGGTACGTGTGACGCACGCGGGTCTGCTGAGCTCTTGTCGTTCCGTGACTTCGGCCGGGCCAGTCACGGACGGGTATACTAATACGATTTCTATATTCTAGGGCTTCGGGTACGATAGGGTTGAGGCGCAGCTCTTCACCACTATCGTGTACGCCTGTGGTTGCTTTGGGATCCTATTCTTCAGCCGGATCGCCGACAAGACCAACGCGCGCGGTCTCACGATGGCCGCGTCCACCATTGGGGCCATCCTCGGCTACGCCGTACTAATCTGGGTCAGGAACCGCGACGTCCGCTTCGCCGCGACGTGCCTCGTCGCGTTTTCCATCTTCCCCAACAGCGTGCTGGGCGTGACGTGGGGTGCCATGTCCTTCGTTGGCTACACACGCAGGTAAGTGGCGCCCTCCCTCTCACATCCCGACTAGGCTTTGTGCTCGGGACACCGCCTCGGCTAACCTTCCGACGTCGACAGAGGCTCCGTCCTGGCCTTCTTCAACATCATCCCCCACCTGTTCTCCATCTCGGGAACCCAGGCGTACCAAGACCCACCCTACTGTGAGCCAACTCACCCCCCCTATCCTCTGCGCGAGGCTCCCCGCGCTGACTCCCCCACCAGACAGCACCGGCAACGCCGCGGCGCTCGCCATGACGATCGTCATGTTCTTCTCGTCGATAACGCTGCGCTGGTACCTCGGCCACCTGAACCGGAAGAAGCTGGCCAACCAGTCCTCGCAGGCGGCCGCGGACCTCCGGGAGAAGAGCATCGAGGAGGTCGGCGACAAGCACCCTGGTACGTTGCTTCCTTCGCCCTAGCCCGCATCTACGAGGCGGCCCGAAGAAAGTTCCTCCACTAATCATTATTTTGGCATTAGACTTCTTCTACACTACGTAAATCTCTGTGAGCGGTTGATAGCCTTTGGTACTCTCAACTAATGTCGGTTATGTGGACTCACATTGGGATTATAAAGGAAAACCCAAGGGGGAAAGGCTTGGGAATGGGTTGGTTGTAGGCATTTATGGATGTATACTACGTAGTATATATGTGGCGGTATGAGCTGGTTACTGGATTCTGCACTTATGGGCTGTCTTGGTTACGATCACACTGGGTATCATCTGGCTTTGGGTTTTGTTTAGTTTTTTTTTCATTTCATTTATGCTCTGTTCTTAGAATAGGGCTCTAGGTTACATATCGGCGTAGATGTACATATGGACACACACTTACTTCCGTCTTCATTTCTAATGCCGGTCTAGTCCAGCCGTCTATCTATCTAGGCGCGTCTACGCCGGTAGCCGTGCACCACGCTGACGCTCGCTCGAGCCCAGCACACGAGCCGGCCCCCAGGCCCACTCACTCACTCACTCACTCACTCACTCACTCTCGCCTGACTGCCCGGGCTCAGGGATGAAAGGTCTCAGCACGGCGTCGACGTAGGGGCGTGGCAGGCCCCAGCGGGCGGCAGCCTCGTCGATGCCGCGGTTCATGCGGCGGACGTACTTGGGGCGGGGGGCAGCGGGGCGGGTGCGGGCGGCGTCGACGTAGACGAGGACGCGCAGGGGGTGGGCGTCCGGGGCAAAGGGGGGCCGCGCGTCGGGGGCGACGGGCGCGGCGGCGAGGAAGCGGCGCGCGTACGCCCAGGGCACGCCCTCGCTGGCGTCGAGCGCGGCCGCGTCGCGCGCGTCCAGCCGGTACAGCACGCCGAGCACGCCCCAGGCGCCGTCGCCGCCGGCGGCCCGCGCCGCGACCACGTTCGCGAACCCCCGCTCGTTGATCACCCACGTCCACTGGCCCAGCAGCCGCGCGAGCCCGACGGCGGCGGACCGCGGGCACCGCTCGCGCATCTGCGTCGCCGACAGGTTCGACCCGTACGCGAAGTACAGGATGCTCCCGTCGCCCGACTCTTGCTCGCCGGGGGTGCCCGCGCGGTGAGAGGAGGAGGAGGAGGAGGAGGCCATGGTGGTGGGGGGGGGGGGGACGGGGGGTCTGCGGATCGCTCGCGGCCGTGGGCGGGAGACAGATGGATTCTCGAGTCGAGTCGAGCCGGGATACCTACCTAGCAGGCTAACTGGCCGGCGGACAGGAGTATGTACGTACGTTGCTGCCGATCGGGAGGGAGGGACTGTGAAGATAGGAAGAAGTCTGCGTGACGGGGCGTCGCTGTGGGGGCGGTGATGAGTGCGACGAGGGAGATCTTGCCGGATCGGGGGGTGGGCAAGTAGATAGGTCGGGTTGTGCAAGACGAGGGAACAGGTTTCTTGCTCTCAGAGAAGTGGTTATTCTCTTAAAGTAATGAAAGAGTTAAAATAATAAAGGAATTGTCCAAGGATCCGGACGGTCGTTCTGATGCTTTCCCAAAGTAGGTGCCCTCTTAGGAGGTGTTGCGCATCCCCAAGTACACCAGCTTCCTGCTTACCTACGTAGCTTGCCTACATCACTTGCGAGTAATCCTATTATACTAGCATGCTAGTTATTATATCTGGCCGACTGTTGACGAGCTGACTTAGGCACCTGGCCGCCTTGTATTGTGCCTAGGGGAAGTAATAGTAGCATCAAAGGCCTTGTTTAGGTGTATTAACGGCGCTGTCGGGAACAAACTGGGAGCTCCTACGCGAAGTAAGGCGTGCAAGGCAGGATCGGGAAGGCCGTGGCCCTCTTCTTTTGTTTTTCTTCGCTTCCCTTTCCCCTATTTCCCTCTCTTTTTTCGATCGGTTTACCTCTCTGGTCCAGGCGATGAAAACCACAAATAATAGAGAGGGCAACGCAACGCAGCGGGGCCGGTCAGTCGTGTGGGGCCGGAGAAGCCCCGGTTCGACCGCCGGAGGTGTTCCGGTTCCCAGGGGCCAATGGACCCTACGAGCGCCGAGGGCTCGAATGTATACGCTGGTAGTCTTGGGAAATGCTACCCACACTCACTCCTCGTTCCCTTCGGCTGAGTGCCGGATCCAGTGCGTCATCTGACAGCCGAGAAAATCGCAGTTCTTTCTCGGCACAGCATGTGCCATGCGTTCCTGCGCAACTCAACTTCTTGTCTCGTCCCCTGTCACCCTGCACCGATTGGTAGAACCTTCGGCGTCGATGCAGAAAGCGAACGAGTGAGGGGACTCCGTAGGGGACCGGAGCTCGCCTTTGGCCATTTACATGGGCCATATAAATGAAACTCGCATATCTCCAACTGATACCTATTGTATTGTCTACTAGACGCCGATCTGATCGTAATCGACTTTTCCATGCCGAAGCTCTCGCCCCCATCCCGCCCCCATCTCGCCTCCTTTTCCTCTCTTCTCTGCTTCGCAATTAGTCACGTCATCTCGATATATCTTCATCCCATTGGTCTCGCCAAACCAGCTCACCGCTCTACCCATCATTGGCCGTCCGGTCATGTCTTGTTGAGAGGAATGCTGCATGTCTCAGTAGATTCGCTTTAGCGTTGGCAGCGGTGTTGGCGACAATACGACCCAACCTGCGTTTCTACTTACCACCTTCCTCGCCTCTGTGCCCAACTCGACTCCTCAACTCTCCCTCTTGCTCTTATTTGTCGCCTTTCCTCTCTACCCATCGTTTTTGTATTACCGCCCCGAAGCGCGGCCTCCCTTATGCTCGTCTCCTGTCCAGGCTACTCAGGCGGATGCTCACGGCTCTTCTGTGTGCCTCGAGCTCCTCCACTTTGGCCAGTTGCATGACGGCACCACCCACATTCCGCAGCCCCTCCGCCGTCAGGTGGGAACTTGTGATGTGCTTGAGGAAAGAACCTAGGCTCACCCCTGAATATTGCTTGGCGTAACCGTACGTGGCTGCGTCGCATTAGCATATACTACAAGATGAGATATGAGGGCTGAACTTACGTAGCGAATGGTTCACACCGGCCGAGTAGTCGCCGACGCTCTCGGGGGTCCACTGGCCAATGAATACGCTACCAGCGTTCATAACCTTCTCCACGACCTTTTCGGCATCTTTGACCTGTAGGATTAAGTGCTCGGGGGCGTACTCGTTGCTAATCCTCATCGCCTCTTCCACATCCTTGACTAAGAACGTGACCGAGTGGCTAATGGCACCCCTAACGATGTCTACTCTCGGCAGAGCCGTGGCCTGCTTGTGAACCTCGTCTTCTATCGCTTGCAGCTGCTGTTCGGTCAGGTCGACCGCGATGCAGATCACCTGGCTATCGACGCCGTGTTCGGCCTGGGACAGTAGATCCGAAGCGACAAAGGCAGGGTTGGCGTCCTTGTCGGCAACTACGAGCACCTCAGACGGGCCGGCCGGCATATCGATGCTCACGCCGGCATTGGTGTCGTTGCTGACGTACATCTTGGCAGCGGTCACGAACTGATTCCCCGGCCCGAGGATCTTGTCTACCTTGCTGACGCTCTCGGTACCGTACGCCATACTGGCGACGGCTTGAGCCCCGCCAGCTAGCACGATGCTTTCAGCGCCGACCTTGTGGGCCGCGTACACGATCTCGGGCGTGACGCTACCGTCGGACCGTGGCGGAGAGGCGATGACGATCTTCTTGCATCCGGCCACCATGGCGGGGACCCCGAGCATGAGGGCGGTGCTGGGCAAGACTGCCGTCCCGCCCGGCACATATAGACCAACTCTCTCGATCGGCCGGGAGAACCGGCTGCACACGACTCCCGGCATAGTCTCCACGCGGAGGGGCTTGTCTTTCTGGGCGGAGTGGAACTTGTAGATATTCTCGAATGAGACATCGATCGCTTTGATAGTCTCGGGCGGCAACTGCATGAGGGACTCTGGAAATGGAGCCTTGAGAACGGGGGAAGTTAGGGTTGTCGCCTTCTCGAACTTGTGAGTGAGGGATAACAGTGCCTTATCGCCGTTCTGTCGAACGTCATTGATAATGGGGGTGACGATGCCCAAGATGGCGCCTGCTGACTTCTGCGACGGCCTTTTCAGCGCGGCGAAGACTTCAGACGCGTCGACCTTGCTGACGTGCACCCTCTTCAGAGTAATCTTCTGCGCGTCCGGGGCCGCGGGGGCAGTTGGCGGGGGCGCGGTTTCTTTTGCCTTGTCCGCCGTGCCATTGGAGATACCCTCTTTTTGGGCCCACTGTCCTTTAGCATTGCCTGGTCGCCTCTTGACTTTGAGGCTTTTGGCATCGAGATTCCTCTCGATATCACAGAGACTCACCCCGGCGCCAACGGCCTTCGTCAGGGCAAAGTATATTAGATCTGCGGTTTCGAAAGCAATATCCTGTGGCGTCTGAGCGTTGCACAACTCTTCCGCCTCCTCCATTATCTTAGCCCGCAACAGCTTCTCGTCCGAGAAGAGCCGTTTTGTGTACGAGCCTTCCGGCGCTGACTGTTTTCTCGAGACCAATGTTTGTTCGAGTTTTCGGACCCCCTTTAGATCGCCGAAGCATCCATGCTGGTCCAGATGACAGAACTTGCCCGTTTGCCTGACGATGAATTTCAGCGCATCGTTGTCGCAATCCAGAGATATCCTAACTAGTTCCTGCGTGTCTCCTGAAGTTGCCCCTTTGTACCAGAGGCCTCGTTTCCGGCTTTGGTACACGCCCGTCTGGGTTCTTAGAGACTCGGCGACGCTCTCCTCACTGCTATACACCAATCCAAGAGCAATGCCTCCTTCGTCACATACAACCGTGGGCAGCAGGTGGTCTGGTCTATCCGACTTCCAAGCCTGCGAAAACAATGTAGGCACGAATATCGCCTTGTCGGCTTTGGTCTTGTCACTAGTCAACTCGGCGGAGGGTATGACAGGAATGGCCGATATTTGAGAACATATATCGACGAATTGGCTATAGACAGTATCGCGGGTCGGCTTGACATAGAGAGCAGGCATCTTGGTAGCCTTGCTCGACTGCATGAAGCCGGAAACATCAAAGGTCCGCTGATCGAAATCCTTTAACAGTAAGCCGTGTTCGGTGCCGATGGACAACTGGCCGAGCTGACTCGGATTGGTTACAGCCGGGGCAACCCGCCGACCGAACTGTGCGAAATCCGATAACCTCTCGGGTTGGACAAAGACCTTCCGCGCACCGTTATCTAAGATGGTAACGACATCGTCGTTGGAGTCGAGACCGGTGACATCGAAGAAAGTGTGTAGATCCGTACTGGTCTGGCTTAAGTGGTTGAGGAGCGTGTCGAAATTTTGCGGGCTCGCGTCGAAGAAGATGCAACCAAGACATGATACCTCTTCGCGACTGAGCCCGCCAGGACCGCCTCCGTCACCCTCAGTCCAGTCCGGGGGAACGGGCACGGAGATGACGAAGGGCAGAGGCAGCGTCGTCTCCATAGCAGGGAGAGAGGAGATGACGGCCAATCGAGGTGCCTAAACTGAAGTATAGGGGAAGAATTAGAAGGAGTGTGAAATACTAGGAACGTAGTGAGAGGAGGAAAAGGGAGTTTTCTTCGAGAGAGAGAAGAAATAAGGTAACTCGCGGATTGTTCACGATGGCCTAGGCTCCTTCATCGGCATGCAGAGGATGACTGTCCGATGATGGCGGGGCAAGAAAAATCTCGATCGAGGTACAGCCCAGGTACTATCTTAGGCGCCTTGAATGTCTATCGTAGGCCGTTCTTAGTGCCGTCCTCAGCCTATAATACCTCCCCTCTCCATGCTTGTGTATAGGTACATACGCGGTACAACGAACCCCTCCATGCGGGGCGAGGGCAGTTGGAGCTCCCGCGAACTTCCCAGCAGGGCACCAATGTACCTATGCAGGTACACTTGTGAGGTACCTGACCCCAGGTCCCTCTTACCTGAGGTAAAACGGGCCTCATTACCTAATGAGACATCGCGACATTAGGTAGGTACGTACTGATGGGGCCCATTCGCCGTATTTCGTCGAGGCTGAACCAGCTTCCATCCGCCCATCTTCACCTTCATCTAATATCCATCCACCCACGCCAATACCATACCATAGCGACCAACGACTCGCCAATTGCCATCCTCCTACCCGCGTTTACTCGAAATTCACGTCTAATTAGCCCACCTGCAGAACTCTCCGCGAAAACGGCGTCGCGCACGTCGACGACCCATCCTCTCTTCCCTTGACCGACTTTGCCAACCTCATCCACGCCGTCAGCTACGTGAACCTCGTCAGACAGTCTCGATAGGCATCCCCCGCACTCTCATACCCAGTTGGTGACCTGTCTCTTGCCTATAAACGTAGGCTTCAGCTGCGGCCTGTTAGGGAGGCTTAGTAGTCCTTCTCCCGTGGGCCGGCTAGGTCACCCAGCTGGCTCTAGGAATTAATCGCCATCTCGCCTTACTGTTACTGTCGACCTGTCTACACGCCGCACACATCGAAAAGCCTCGGCTTACATTACATTTCATGCTCTCACTCGTCGTCTCGGCACCGCTTACTCCCCCCTCGATCTCCGCTAATCCATAAGATGGCGACCACGGTATCGCAATCCCAGCCGAACGGCATCCCCTCATCTGCCGGCCTATCCCAAACCCTGTCCCAACCAAGCCAGAACGTTGCGGCTAGCGGCTCGTCCACTGTGCCCAACTCCCAAGCCACCGTCGGTACGCCGGCTGTCACCGGAGCTGGAAGTAGCGGAGCGCAGCTGGGAACATCTCAACAGCAGACCCAACAACCTACCACATCGACGTCCAATCCGACACACGCCCCACGACCCCGCGACTCACGCACCCTAGAGCTCCTCCTCACCTCCCAGGGCGTCACCTCGTTTGACCCGCGCGTGCCGCTCCTGCTGCTCGACTTCGCCTACCGGCATACGTCGTCCGTGCTCAGCGACGCGCTGCACCTATCCACGGACCCCTACACGTCGCACGCAGGCGCGCGACCGTCCGCCGCGTCCGGCGTCGCGCCCAGCGCTCCCGCCGCCGACGCCGTCGTCACGACGAACGCCATCAACCTCGCCATCGCCAGCCGGCAGGCGTTCCAGTTCCGGGGCGGTGCCGGCGGCGGCGCGGGAGGGGGTGCGGGAGGCGGCGGCGGCGGCGGTGGCGCAAGCAAGGAGTGGCTTCAGGAGCTGGCGCGCGAGCGCAACGCCGTAGCGCTGCCCCGCGTCCTGGCCAACGAGTGGGGCGTGCGCCTACCCAACGAGCGTTTTGTGCTCAGCGGCGTCGGCTGGGGGCTGCGCGACCGCTGGGCCGCCGGGGACGGCCAGGGTGGTTTCGCCGACGACGCCGAGGACGCGGAGAGCGACGAGGACGCCGACATGACGGGGACCGGCGACGGCGCCAAGAAAGACGCGAGCGGGGCGACGACCGGCGCGGGGGGAGGAGCGTCTGTGGGAGGGACGGGCGAGGGCGGCTTGGGGGAGCTGCTGGCCGACGAGATGGGAGGCGACGATATGGAGGACGAGGATATGGAGGGCATGGAGTGAAGGCGGCGAAAGGGAAGATCGAAGGAAAAATAAAAACAAATTTCAGAGAGGGGCCTCGACAGGGAAATACGGGGTCGGCGGCAGAATAGGGCTACGAAGGACATATTGCGAATTGGAGGAGAAGGGGAGGTGGGGAGTTTTGGCTCTCCGGGTATCGTTTACGACTCTCGACAGCGAGAGAGCTCCCGGAGACTCGTAGTCCAGGGCGCGGGATCTCGCATGCGGAAATAGGTATATAACTACTGCGCGTTGCCGTAGCGGCCAGAGAAGCTATGCGAGCCGCGAGGTCGCTGTGCAGCATGGATAATGCGTGCTGGGCGCTGCGTCGGGCCCCGATGCGCCCCGGGGCTCGGTATCTGTGGCCCTCGCGATCTGGTAAGCGGCGGCGAAGACTCCCCGCGGGGCGCTGCGCCGACGCTTGCCGCCGCGCCGAGCGCACGAGCACGCGTTGGCCCGAGGGCGTCACGGCGGCCGCTGGGATGCGCGCGGCGCAGGCGACGCGAGGGAGCGGAACTAGTAATATATACATTATACTGCGTGCGTGCGGGACGTGACGCAGTGCCTACTTACTCGCCCTAAGACCAGCCGTAGATTCGACGTAGACAACACATGTCACAAGTACCAACGCTACAGCGGATGTGTCAAATAGTGAGTCGCAGAATACGTCGCGTTCTTATTCGCCTGCAGCCGGCCGACCGGCTGGCATCTGCTCGGTGTTTCTCTCTGTCTATCTTTCTTTCTCCCATCCCTCGCCTCTATCCCTCTATCCCTCTATCGCAGTCGGAACGCGCAGGCCACAAGTAGAATTTTGAAGTAAGAAGCAGAAACCGGCGGCGGCGGCGGCGGCGGCAATACAAATATGCTAGGCTAAAGGGAGAAAAGAAAAAACGCCCACGCTATGCTAAGCCGACAAGAACACGGTGAGCTGAAGAAGGTATGTACAAGGTGGCCTCCCCCCCTTCTCTATCTATCTTAGATCGGTCGTGGGTCGCGCGGATCACCGCCCCCATGCGTGCGTGCGCATGTATGTGGCCGCGCATTCCAGCCCGACGCTCCCGGTTGGTCTACGTCCGCGAGGGTTGCGGCGCTCTTCGCCTCTCTTGACTCACGCCACTGCTCTGTATTACACCTTATCAACCATCTCCTTCGTCTCTTCCGACTTCTCCTCCCTATCGGCCGCCACGTCTAGGGCGTCCATGCCCGTAATGATCTCGGCGTCAACGTCGCGCGCTACTGGTGCTGGTGCTGGTGCTGGTGCTGGTGCTGGTGCTGGTGCTGGTGCTGGCGCTGGCGCTGGCGCTGGCGCTGGCGGCGCTGCCGATGCTCCGACTGTTGCCACCGCGCGAGAGTCATTCCTGTTCCCGTACTCGATGCGGTCATCTTCCTCCTCTCGGCCGTCGCCCTCGCGGAGCTGGGCGTGCGCGTGAGCGTCGCCTTTCGCCGGTTCCGCCACCTCTGCTTCCTCCTCCTCGTCTTCCTCCTCATCCTCCTCATCCCTGGCGTCATCGGCATCATAGTCCTCATCGGCCCTCGAGATGTAGCTGTCGCCCAGGTTGCCGACTTCCTCGTCCTCGTCTTCTTCGTAAGCTTCTTCGTCGTCTTCTTCCTCGCCTTCGTCGTCGTCACCTTGATCCCCTTCATCATCTTCCTCGTCCGCCGAATATTCCCCCCCTTCGGCCTCCTCGGACTCGCTGGCTGAGAACTCGTTCAGTTCGAGGGGCGTGTCACGCCAGTACGTGAAGTCGGTGTACTCGACCCCGCCCCCCTTGACGAGTGTGCTGACGGGGGGGAAGTAATGATTGACGACCTCGGTCATGTTCACGTAGTTCAGCTTTAGCTTGTTGAGGCTCAGGAGATCTAACGACACCTCGGCGTTCGAATTGATGGTGAAGATGCGGTTCCTCGGCACATCCACCGTCCGGTACGAGATCTGGTCCGTGAGTCGGTTCCCGAAACCGGCGTAAAAACAGTGGTTATCCTGGCCGTACAGACTCCGGATATCCCGCAGAGTGGCCATCTTGAATACGTGCGGCTTACGGAGATATATCTCTCGCCTCAGGGCAGCCATCGTCCGATCCGGAGACAGGATGGTGGGGCCTCTAGGGAGGCGATAGCCGCCCTGGGTGATACCGTAGAGATAGGCTCTCGTGGTGTCGGACTGGCCGACGGAACGGCTAGTGAGGTACATTATGTTGTACCCGTTTTCTACAATGTCGCTGTACAACTTCGCGACGCCCGTATGCGTCCAGTCGCGCCCGATCATGTTCAGCACATGACCTAAAGCATCCGATTTCGTTATGGTGCCGTCAATATCCGATATGACAACGGGGGTATCGTGCTGCCAGAGATACATATATGCCTGGCATGTTGCGCGATTCACCGTGAAGCTCATCGAGTTCTCCCCCGGTTTCAAGTTGAGCGCCTTCAGCTGGTCACTAGTCAGCCGGAGGGTTTTTGCGTAGTTCTTGTTCGGGTTGCCGGCAGATAATGTTGATCCCGGCGTGGTGGGTGGGGTCTGGATCACGCTCTGACCTACGTCAGACTCGGTTCTTCTGTGAGATAACGCTTGCGTCGACGCGGTCGAGTCGTCGCTCTGGTACCCGGGATCCGAGGCGGCGTCGATGGCGAGCGTAGGCGACGGTCGGAGGGACGTCATCGTCTTCTTCATCGCAGCCTCTTTAGCGTCCTCGCTACTGTATATCCAAAGATTACCCTCTTCGTCCATGCCAAACAGCGCGCCGATGTCGTAGTCGCCTTGGAGCTCCTCGGATAGTATTTTGCGCGCCAGGATCTCCGCCTTGATCGCGTCCTCTTCGCTAGCCTTGTATCCGGTCATGTCTAACATGAGATCGCCTGTCTCGGTCACTCGGCTAGGAATATTGACCGCCGATAACTCTTTCGATAGTGTCATGGCCCGCTGGATCGCTTCTCGAGGCGCTAGAGGGGGCGGGCTTAGCGGCCGTTGGGGAATTAGATCGTCCGCTTCGTTCGAATCATGATTCGAATCGTCGCGTTCGGTGAAGGTATACCGGCTGCCCGGTAATGCTTCATCGCTGTAAGAAGGACGTCTCGCAGAACTGGGCGATCGTATCGAGCTTGGTCGGCCAGCGGATAGTTCGGGGGACGACGCGCTAGGTGCGACCACACCTGCATCATCGTCAGATCAAGTGCTCCTGAGAACTAGAGGGCCGAGGCCCGAGAAACATACCTGAACTGGCGACTTGAGAAGAGAGTACGGCAGGTTGAGGACGCGATATAGTGGTAGATCGTGACCTCCCGGCTTCGCTATCTAACTGTAAAAAGTCCGGCTCTTGGAGGTCGGTGGACGAGCGATCTGGCAGAAAGGTTGGACTGGAAGCCGGGGAGCTGAGAGGCGAGGTCTGGAGGCTCTGAGGTATGGTATCGTTGGTCTCGAATACGAAGAAGGCCTCGCCCTCTTCGCCAAGCTTCATCGCATATTCCTGCTTGGCTCCGTTGACCCGGAACTCGACCTTCTTCTCGTAAGGCCGTAGCAGAGAGAACTTTCCAAAGCGGACGTGGAAGGGAGAGCAGCATAAGGTGCCATCTTCGTGCTGCACGACGATGACGTCGATAGCTCCGCTTAGGGTAGCCGGATTGATCGAGTTCCAGGCGGTAGAGACGGAGTCGCTGATATTGCGGACGTACTGCATCTTTCCCGTAAAGGCTCGCGAGGGGTCGGTATCGTAGGGTGAGGTCGGGGGGGGGGGGGGGGGGGGGGTGCGGCCCCAAAATAGGGGAGGTGAAAGGGAGGGAGGACAAGAACGGAACCAGACAGCAAGCTGAAGCCGACGGTTAGACTCGGGCTCGATAGGAGTCGTTCAGCATGTAGTCGAGAGCAGCAATTCCTCGCGGATCACAAAAACCGAACCATATGGTTGTTGAGGACTAGGTCCGAAAGCAGCACAATCCTCGGGATGGGTTGATTTGACGGTGTCCAGGGACGGATTAGCAGTTAAGGAAGGGAGGCGAATAGGAATTCTCCTTGTCGTCTCTACCTCGTACTGTTTTTATTTCCCTTTTCTCCCCTGTACGCAATGACGTCGATTTACGGGTCTCTGGGTCGCCGGGGTCGGAGGACGGAAAAAAGCAGCTTGGAGCGACGGGTAGGGGGAGAATAGCAGGGCGCTGGAGATGCGTGTTCGAAGATGCACGGGTTGGGGGTAGGTTTATTCTCGGGAAAAAAAAAGACGGAGTGAAGGAGAGTTCGAGAAAGAAAGGAGAACGAGAAAGAAAGCAGTAGGAACAGGAACGGGTAGGAATCAAGCAACGAATGCGCAAAGGATCCGATGCCAAAGGAGGCGATACAGCTGAGTTGGTGGGACGAGACGAGGGAGTGCTGACGAGCTTGTTGAGGAGACTAGGAAGAAAATAGGGCCAGTTACCATTTATTATCGTCGAGCCGCGACGGGATGCTCGGTGTTGCCCTGGGCATGTACTGTATCGGTAGGGAGGTACCAGGCTGCTACCTCCGCCCACCACCACAAAGCAGGCTGTAACTCGCTGTAACTCGCGGTAACTTGGCGGACCGAGGCGGATTCCAAGTATTGCTAGCCGTACCTAGGTACATGCTACACAGGGGTTGGAACCCCCGGCGCCCAAGACAAAAAGCCATGGGCGCCATGACACATGCACGTGCGGCCCTGGCGCGCATGCTACAGGCTGCCCTGGTACGTGGTCGGTACGGGCCACGGCACGCTACCTACTGCCTACGACCCAGTGCCTAGGCAACAGGGCCTTGGGCGCTGGACAGTTTCCTAACATGGCTTGGCCCTGAGGACATCCTCCTGAGCGTGGGCAAGGTAAGCGTCGTGCCGTGCCCCAGTGTAGGGCCGATACGCCTTGCCTCGTCTTTGTCGTCTCGACGGCCGACCCTAGCCAGCATGGTCCTCTCAACCCGACAGCACATGTCACCGATCTGACAGCATGTCCCTAGCATGCCCGTGTATGATGTGCCGAGGAGTTGCGGCTGACTTCGATAGGTTGCTCAGCTGCTAGGCCGGTTCTCCGCAATGTCGTCGACGTCCAGAATCCGCCGCAAGCCGGACACGGACAGCGCTACGAAACATGTGTATCCCTCTTCGCTTTTAGGGGAGTCTCGGCGGTTGTACGGTAGATCCAATCAGGCCAGTGCTGGCGTATGGGTAGACGATTAGGGGGCAGGCGTCCGTGTGGTACCTCCATGAATCCCAAGTACCGGAGGAGCCCAACGCATCTCTCCCGTCGACCCATCCTTCTCGGCCTGCACGGGAATACTCCAGGTCCTGGCGGCGATTCCATCCCAAAGACTCAACGCCACACGGCCCGACCTGACCAGATGAAGTTGTTGGTGCTGGCGGGTTGTTGTACCCCCAACAAACGAGACCGAACTAAAACCACGTGAGACCAGACACCCCGGTCTGCGAAGAAGGCCGCCTCTCACCACTCCCCGACCGCAGCTACGGTTGACAACTGCCAGGGCCAGCAGCTGTCGGGATCACTCGGACCCCGCCCCTCGTGCTGTTTTGCGCCGCTGTAGACAGGCGATCTAGACCTGCGATTTAGGTATGCGTGTAGGCGTCGACCCGATGGACACGCGTAGAGTTGCCTTGAACGGCGGACCGGGCCTTGTATCAGCCCAATCGGCAGTCTGAGGGGTAGCGGAATCGAAATCCGAACATGTCTATGGCCCTGGGCATCGAAATGTGCATCTTACACGACGATACCCAATACTCACGGTAATATAGCCCCCATGGCACATCTGAATCAAGCCGGCATGAAATGGATGGGGCTGGTTCGTACCGGCTGGGATGCTGTGTGATGTGAGCTATCCCAATGTCTTGCAGAAAGGGTGCTGTCTCTTTCGTTTCCGCTCTCTTCTGCTCGTGGATGTGCCAATCTCGTGCCGCTTTACTAGACATTGGGCACTCTTTCGTTTGACGTGGTCCAGACGCCCTCTGACGTTCAGATACCTAAAGCAGAAAGCAGCACCAGCAACGCCAGGCATCCCGGTGGGTGTATCCGCATGCCAACCACCCTCCCGTATGCCCTTCGCAGCGTGTTTCCCTCCCCATTCGACGCCCGGCCACGGCATCCCCGTGGGGTTCGGAGTTCGGAGAAAGATGGTGCGCTTATCTGAAAGATAGGATTACCTAGTAAATAAAGCCGATGAGCAGATCTCCGTAGACGGACAGCTACTGGTAGGTCGGACCCAGCCTACGAATAGGAGGGGAGTAGTAGTAGAGGGGTTGGCATCGAGCGGCAGCCCATCCCACCTAGGGATAAGGGATTAGCACACCTGATATATATATATATATATACCTATATATATACCCACGCGATAACCGCTGTACGTACGGAGAGGGATATTCTTCATAGAGCTGTTGAACCTAGCCGGCCGGTGTTCCCCTCTCCGTCTCTTCCCCTCCCACCCCTTCTCTTCCCCTCCCCTCCCCTCCCCTCCTCTCCCCTCCTCGCCCCTCACCAGCATTGCGTGGTCGCAGTACGTTCCGCATTGGGCAGGGCTAGCTATGGTAAGCGACAATATGCAGCAGGAGGCATCCGGATATGTGTCTGAGGGTGGAAGCGACGGGAACGTGTCGTATGGCTGCACACAATATCCTAGTGTTAGCTGGCATCCTGGCCTCGTCGCGTCGATTGGTTAAGGCTCCCGTCAAGCTTCGCAGGCATTGCCGCAAGATACTACCGACCGGCGCCGGCTCTAGCATGCATCAAGTATACAGCGGTGCAGATCTCACGGCACAAAATGTGACCTGTCTCGCCGATGGAAGGGCGTGGGAGGGGATGGTAAGGGCACACGGATGTAGTACCTCGACCTCTTCTCTGAGTAAAGGTATTCTGTTGACCTTACAGGGAGTTGGTGTTTAGATAGGAGGCACCTAACGTAAGTTCTAACGCAAGTTAGAATGTAGGTAGACAGACATTTACCTACGGGACCTACCTCTAGTCTAACATAAAAGCATATTTACAGACAGGTTGGGGCCGCGCTGGAAATGCATACCGTCTATCTACACTGAGAGGTGTATCTGCACGCAGGTGTTCGTTGGATCTACTGGGAAATCTCCATCAGAGGTAGACAGCATGCCGTGTTGCTACGCCCACACGAAATATGCATATATGCGCGCACAACCTTACCTCACCATTCCCTCCCAAACACCTACACCGCCGTGAGCGAATCCCTTTATATGGTATACCTATCGTAGGTAAGTAAGCAAGACACATTACACGCTGTGGCGGCCTACGAAACAAAAAGCTTGGTTGCACCCGTCTGTCCCGGGGCCGACTGCTAGGTACCTGCCTAGCATGTAGGGCTGGCTTCATCGGTGACCTGTCTCGGTGTGCTATCCTCCTTCAACCCCCCCCCAGGTAACCAACTTCCTAACATGTCTATACGCCATGCCTATAAGACCCAAGGTAGTAAAGTAAAATTAGCAGTGATGCGCCCAAGTTTACCTACATGCATACACTACGCCTAGACACGTACGCCTATCACCTAAGCTTAGAGGCTCCGAGGCTGCCTAGCAGGCACCTAATACCTCTCCTTTTTAGATGGTCCACACACCATCACCGAATCCTACCCGCGAGCCCATGTGCGTGGCGGCAACGGCAGGGACCTTAATAGGTAGCCGGCTGAGAGGCATTCTACCACTGCCCCGGCCACCGCTGCCACCGTCACTTACATCATGCACGCCTTTACCTGTCTGGGGGGTCTACCCAAAGTGCTTGACGTTTACCTGCACGCAGCCCTAGAAGCCGACGGCCGCTCCCGAGTTTTCTTACGCGTATACACATACCTACATACATCATCGTGCGTGCGTTCGGACACACGCATACCCGGGCACAAGTAATGGACGGTGGGCACATCCCCGTAGAAGAAAGGGAGAGGGTTCCCCCCTGCTCCCCCCCCCCTTTCTCCCCCGGATTGTGCTGGCACAGGGTATGCATATGCGTGGAGGCAAGGCGTGGAGGCGCGCGTGTGCACATATGCCCTGCGTCTCGATATGCGTATACATCTATATACCTACATATGCGTCTATATACATACAACACCACTTCCGTCCGTTAGGATGGGAGCTTTGTCTCCACAATTCCTAGCGCAGGCAATGCGGCGGCGTAAGGAGGAATCAATTTTCCACCCTTTCTATTGTTTTGCACCCTCTTGGGGATTTTTCCCCTTCCTCTCATCTCTTGTTTTGTTCTTCCCCCCCCTCCCCCTCTTCCTCCTCTGGGCATTTCTATTTTCCTCTTTCCTTTTTTTTTTCTTTGTTAGCAGTTTGGCTCCCCTCCCAGCGATCACGACGATATGTTATGGACCCCATGGCCGACGTATGTCCCTTCGGTCCTGTTCGTCTGTGCCCTGCTGGCCTGGTGGTTTGTTGAGCCCAAGACTGCCCACCTGAATCTGATAGTCGTCGTCGGCTGCGTCCTCTTCTACTGGGCCGTCGCTCCCGAGCTGGCCCAGGCTACTCCCTACCAAATCTACCAGTTCGCTATCTGCGCCGTCAAAGCCCTCCGCCTCGACGTCCTGGTCCAGTATCATGCCAATATGCTCGTGACAGGTCTCGCTATCGTCTGGTAGGCTTGCTGCCCCGTCCGTGCGGGCCTCGTAGGCATCCATTTCATGCTTCTGACCACGTCGCAATGTGATAGGCTCGCCCATCGCGCCGTGCAAACGCTGAGGAAGTCCGTCAACGAACTAATTGGCGTCCTCGGCGTCGAAGTTCCCGACGCTCCCAAAGTCTCGCTTGCTGGCATCCGCTCCGACGCCGCCACTCTTAATTGGACGCCTCCCGAGGGTGCTCGGCCCGTGGCCAAGTTCACCATACAGGTCAACGGCGTGAACGGTAAGTGTGGGGGATGGTGGTCGCCGCTCGGAATCTCGCCTACAGAAATATTAATATCGCGCGTTTTCTAGTCGGCGATTCCGCGAATCAGGAGACGGCTATCACCGTCACCGGCTTGAAGCCGAACCATTTCTACAACATCCGAGTCATCGCTGTCGGCTATAATAACTTCCAAGCGCCTAGCCGCGTCGTACGGTTACGGACCTATGCAAGGGATGGTCGTCCTCAGCTCGGCGATGGCCGTCTGCCGGCTAGTTTTGTCCCCGAGCAGCAGCATCTTGCGATGCCCAGTGACCACGCAGACGAAGAGGGAGGATCGAGAAGTCCTGCCGCCGGCGTCGAGGCCGCCTCCGTTGCGGAACCATCCGGCTTAACCGCACAAGCCAGCTCCGGTGCTCTCTCAGGGACTAGACGAAATACGTTAACGAGGAAACATTCCCCCTCTACGGCGAGCATGGATCCGCCGGCGAGGGACGTTTTGGACAAGGACTCAGAGGGTTCGTTACAGGAACTAGGGGAGAGATTTGAGAGCATCCGGCGGGAGATTGACGAAACCCAGTCACAGATCGCCAAAGATGAAAAGGAGCACAAGGAGCTGATGGACGAACTGGCCGAGGAGAAAAAGATAAAAAAGCGCATGCTGAAGGAGAAGGACGACACCACAGAAAAGTTGAAGAGAGAGGCGGGCACGACGGAGAGGGCCATGAGGAGCGCTCAACAGCGAAAGACGCAAAAAGAAAAGCTGCTGAGGGAGAAGCGGGCGGAGCGGCAGAAGCTCCACGACGAGATAGCTAAGTGGGACAAGGATATAGCTTCGATGGCCAAGCGCCAGAACGGGTTCGAGAAGGATAGAAATGCCTGCCAAAGAGAGGGCGATCTGCGAGCTGAAGAACTGCGTGCCGAAATAGCACAAACGCAGGCTAGTCTCGCTCAAGAAGAGGTTGAGCTTAGGGAGAAGAGCAGGGAGTTGAAGGAGGCCGAGGAGCAGCGGAAAAAGCTTCCCGGTGGTGAAGAGAGCGAGGAACGGCGCGAGACGGACCGCCAGATTCGAAGGGATTGGGAAGTGAGGGCCAAGGAGCTGCAACGACATCTCTTCGCTGCAAACAAGAAACTTCGGATGGTCAACGACTACGGGAATGTGTTGCAGACCCAGCTGACGGCAGCGCAACAATCCGGCCTTCCCTTCATGTACAACCAGGCAAATTCGTCCGGAGTCGAGTTCGATCTCTCGTCTCAAAACCAACTCAAGCGACGAAGCCGGAATAGCAACTCGCTTTCCAATGTTGTCATTCCGTCGCCGATCCAGTCATTTTCGATTTTAGACCGACCGTATGGACCATCGACCTTCGGGCCCTCTCGTCCGCCGACTATCCCGCCCGGTTTCGCTCCGGGGCCTTACATGGAACACAAGTCAGACTTTGCTGCTAACCACCTCGATGACGACCTTATGCGACATCCCGCTACCGGGGCGCCGCTAAGCCCTACGGCAGCGGCCCTTCTCCCCGCCGGTATGCTCGATGATTTTATAGGCGACGAACCACCGAGTCCCAACTCCCGGCGACCGAGACATAACACGTTTGGGTCGGCATTTTCCCACGACAACGACCCTCAGTCACCAGCATCCTCGGCTAGATCTCTCAGCATCTTCTCCAGTCCTCAAGGCTCCTCTCAACACTTGCCCTTCTCACAGTATACGGGCGAGAACAGCGAGCGTCGCTCGCTCAAGGGGATTCGGGGGGATCTCGGTACCTCGTCGCCGATCCCCCCTCCGAGTCAGGCCGTAAACATAAACAGGCGAAGCTTCTTACCTTGGCTCCACCGCGGCCCTAAGGCTCCTGACGAACCGCCTGCCCTAGGGACTCTAAAACCCGGCCAGACTCAATCACTGCCACGACCATCCGAAGATCTCGAGGCTATGCCAAGCAAGAGGCGGATAAGCTTCTCTACCGGCTGGAACATGTTCAACCGGAACTCGGTCGGGCCGGAAATTTCAGTCATAGGTAGCCCTGACGCGAGTCGTATACTCCCGCACCAGCCGGGCCTTGTCGCGAATCCCAACAGTCTCGGGGGCAACGTTTTCCCCGAGCGGGGTCCGAGCAGCCCTCGGCCTGTTTCCATCGCATCGTCCGAATTCACCCGGCCGTCGACGGAGAGCGGCTCCATATGGAATCGAATCCCGCAACCGAATCGACTCTGGGCAGCAGATGACAACCCGTGGGCACCCTCACGAAATCCGTCAAGGAGGCAGTCCATCCACGGCTCTCCTTCTGCGTTGAAGACCACCCTAGCTGACGCGGACGACGAAATCCTGGACGACGCTGAGCTGCTACACGCATCACCTAGCCAGGTGGGGGTTATTGGGACTAAGCCTCTATCCAAGACATTAAGCCAACGTCTTAATCCCACTGCGCCAAGCTTCATGGCAGGCCTGTTCCGCGCCAAACCGGACAGGGAGAAGGAGACGGAGAGGGAGAGCCGAGAGCCGAAGGACAAGGCCAGTAAGATGAAGGCTAAGGAGATGGAGTTGGCTAAAGAGAGGCCGCGGGTCTCGCTTTCATCCGTATCCGAGGTAGTGACCCCTCCCCCCGACGACTCGCCGTCGGATTCCCGCAAGTCACGCGACGCCTTTTCGATCGGCACGCCGTCGGTCACGGAATCGCGCGAGTCGCTTACGCTCGACCAGGCCCCCTCCAACACGCCGTCAGAACACGCAGCAGCCGGGTTGGGGTTAAAGGAACAGGAGAGCGGCCTCAGAAAGCTGCTTCGTAAAGGAAGCTCTTCCAAATTTAGCTTCACTTCGGTACGCGGTCTCGGGGGCAAGAAGGGACCTAGCAGCGTAGCCAACTCGGACAAGAACGCCTCCGCGGAACGCAGCAGCTTCGACGAGTACGCTGAGGAGGGCGGAGGGACTATCACCAACGTGGCGCCTGGACGTAGCTTCGAGAGCTTTCATAGTAGTCCGTCCCTGGGCCCGTCCAGTACCGCCGGCAGGCACCCGAAGGACAAGGCAGTCAGCTGGGGTTCCCGGTTTGCCATCAAGAAGAAGCCGGGAAAAGAAAAGGATAGCTTGGACATCGAAAGAGAAGATTTAGCGGCAGACATTCCCTCTCCAGCAGAGAGGTAGCTTGGATTCATAGACAATTTTGTAGTCTTAGCTAGCTAGCATACCTACCGTAGCGGGCTCCGGCGACAGGATCTTGGTTGGGAACGATAGCAATTTAGGAGAACCCGGCCCAGACCATGGCCGCAATTAACACGAACACACAGCTGCACATGGGTTACTACGTAGAACTACCTACTATAGTGATTTACTGTGTTCACCCCGTGCCGCGCCCTCGTCTTGGCCGTCGGCGCCGACCCCGAAACCGGAAGGCGGTGAGGCGGGGCGGAATGGCGAATTGCAACTTGCTCAGCTCCGGCCTAAGAGAAAAGGCCCATCCGCACCATTCACCACAACTCGGTCTCTCTACCCTTATAACGTACGATGCGCCGCGAGGATATTTATACCGCCAGCAACACCCGAATCAGCGTCAGCATACACATCCCGTCTGCCCAGCTGCCTACCGATTAAGCCTCCCTCTCCCCGACTGCATAGTCACGGACGAACGAGCGAACGGGCGAGCGAGCGAGGAACAGCCCAGTCTACCACCACCACCCCACTACCCCGAGCACGGCTACCATCGTCCAGCGCCAACACCAACACCGATACCGACACCAGCGAGGACATCTGCCACTCGCCACCTCCCATGGCTGCAATGGCTGCTCGGGAGCCACCAATACCGCCCGCCTCAGACGGTAGGGATAAAAGGCCAGAGAGCGGGCGAGGAAGCGCAGGAGGAGGGGGAGATGGGAGCAGAGAGGGGGAAGAGAGGGGAGGACTACCGATACCATCGCGCAACCCGCTGCCGCTCTCGGCGAGCCAGGAGGCGCAGGTGCGCGAGGTGTTCAACGAGCGCGTGCGGAAGCTGTGCGCCGAAGAGATCAAAGGTTAGTTAGCCCTCTGCTGCTGTTTCTTTCCTCGTCCCCGCCTTGGCGGTTCCGCGCGGCCGTCCAGAATCCCGTCTCCCGCTCTCTCGCCCCTCTCTCTCTCGCCTCTTCTCATGCCCCCCCTACAACCGAACGCAACACTCGCGACTGACTCTTCCTCCCGCGGCCTCTCCCCCGCGGGGAAAAAAAACAACGCGGACAGCCTTCGCAGACTGCGCGCGCGAGCGGACGTTCAGCGTGTCGTTCGCATGCCGGGCGCTGTCGCGGCGGATGAACGGGTGCATGCAGGCGCACGCGACGGCGGCGGAGCACGACCGGGCGCGGGAGCAGTGGTTCGCGCAGCGGGCGGCGCGGGCGCGGGACCACGAGCGCCGCGAGCGCCGCCGCCTCGAGCAGGAGTCCTTCCTGCGCGAGTGGTGGGGGCTCGCGCCGCGCGACCCCGAGGAGATCCGCCGCGAGCTGGAGAAGCTCCAGCGCGCCGAGAAGGTCGGCGGCGCGGTGAGGAGGCGGAACACGGGCGCGGGCGCGGGCGCGGCGGTGGAGGAGGAGGGAGGGGGCGCGGCGGCGGAGCGAGGAGGGGCGGGCGAGGGTCGGTGATGAGAGGAGGAAGAAGGGAGGAGGAGGGAGGAGGAGGGAAGAGAAGAGAAGATAATGGGGCGGAAGACTTGCGTCGAGGATGGTACGCACGCATCGGCACTTGGCGTTAGGCTGTCGGCGGGCATGCGGTTGGTGCTCTGATCTCTACTGCGACTGGTCTTGTGATTCTAGGGGGAGGGGGGTGGGTTTCCCCCAACTACGCATGAAGGCTATGGCGACAATTGCCGTCGCTCGTATATATTCAACTGATGAAATGGCTCGGCGTTGCGGCCCTCGGTTGGTTAATCTGCGGGTGGACCGCTTGGCATCCCACAACGGTTCGCTTACGCTCGAGATTTATTGCTCGGGTATCTTCTGCCGTTATAGGCACCGACTGCTTGGTGGTAGATTTCCAAGACAGCGTTTTCTGCGGCCGGGTAAGTGATGTAGTGGGCTCACGCACGAAAGACGAGGGAGGAGAGGAAAGGAAAGGAGAGAAGGGTAGGCATGAAGTTCATCTATAGCCTTCTCACGTAGAACAACTATAGCAAAAACAGTAACAGTCTCGCTAAATCAGAGTCACCACAACCTGCTCAAACAACCAAAAGTTACGCAGTATTGGCGGCAATATATTCTCTAAATAGTCTCACTCACGAACTAAGCTAAATACAACTGGGCCGCCTCCCATCCGCTCTACGCTCCTCTACTTTCTTCCTAAGTACATCGTTGAAAAGTACCTCTCTATCTAGCACTGCGCGTCGACAAGTCGATCGGCCAACCTAGTTGGCGGTCGAGCTGGGGAGGGGGGGGAAGCTACCGCTCGGCGGGGGGCCGCCGGGACCACCGGGACCGCCGGGGAAGCCACCGCCGGCGTCAGGGTTGGCCACGCCACCGCCCTGGTAGTAGTGGGCGGCGGCCTGGACGTTGGCGGTCACGTTGGCGGTGGTGTCGACGAAGACGGTGATGTAGGCGAGGAGGCCGTCCTGGAGGTTGGGGCCGAGGAGGACGTAGTCGACGAAGGGGTCGTAGGCATCGGTGGCGGTCTGGGCGCCGATGCCGTCCTCGCTGTTGAGGGTGAGCGTCTGCTCGTTGCTGGTGTAGGGGCTGAGGCTCTCGACGGCGTTGATGAGGTGCTGATCGAAGAAGATCTGGCCGATGTGGTTGGCCTTGCCGTTGGTGAGGTAGGTGTTGTTGGGGAGGATGGTGGCGTTCTCGGTGCTCATGATGTGGATGTGGCCGGTGCGGCCGGTGTAGTGGCCCGGGAAGATGGTGTCGAACTGCACCACGCCGTCCTCGTCCGTCTCCTGGATGCCGCGGCCGAACGTAGAGTTGAGCCCGCCCTGGCCCGTCGTCGCTACGCCTGAGTATACCCCCGTCGCGTTGCAGTGCCACGCGTCGATCAGCATCTTGGGCACCGCCTGGCACGTGTTGAGGTCGATGAACTGCAGGTCCAGGTGCAGCGGCACGCCCGGCTCATCGTCCGTTATGTCGGTCTACCGTTCAGTCTCGTCGTTAGCATACCAAACGACGTCTTAGGTGTATCGCCGTTACCAATTTGGGGAGAGGGGCTGAGCCATCGAACGTAGATGTAGGTGTAGGCGAATTTTGAAGATTGGAAGAGTGTTCGGGAAAGGAAAAGAGAAGAAGACTAACCCTGATCAATTCGCCCGAAACCCAGTAAGGCCCGATGGTAACCTCCGGAATGAGGGCGACAGACGAGTTAGAGTCGAAGATGACATCGATCGGAGTATCGAGGGTGTATCCCAAGTGTGTGACATTGTGGTCGACGGCTAGATACTTCTCGAGGGCGGCCTGGTCTCGCTTGCCCCTCATGCGGTCTGTCAACTGTTAGCCATTGGGATCACTCCAAGCTCTACAAGTGCAAGACATACGGCTATCAAGGCCACGCTTCTTCCGGAGCGCCTCTGCGGTGGCAGCACGTCGAGCGGCAGAGCGAGCCTTCAGGGCGGCGCTGTTTTCGGCGTCGGCACATCCGGTGATGGCACGACGAGCACCGGCCTGGGCGCGGTTCAGGAGGTACGCCTCGCGCTTGACGGCCGCCTTGCTCTCACCGGGGTGGGCAACGGCGGTGCCAGCGAGAAGAGAGACCGCCAGAGAGGCGGAGATGGCGCGTAGGTTTACCATTGTCGTCTAGAGGCTTGAAAGCGAATGAAGTAGAGTAAGAGAATGTATATATGTATAAGAATGGAGAAGAGTTTACTGCGTGAGTAGAGACGAGTTTGAGAGAGGAGAGTGTAGGGGCGTGGCCGACTTTATACCTACGGGACTTGTGACTATAGCCGTGTTTACTTACGTGGAATCTGCGCTGGAGTTCGCCACCGCCCTCCGCCCCAGTCCTGCCTTCGATCCCAACCCCTATCCAGCCAGACCTCACATTTCGATGCTCTCGTCTCTTGTTTCCCAAATTGGGCTCCCGCGATAACGCGTCACACTGGTCGATCCTCTAGGGTCTACGTAGGTATGTCCCCTCCCCCCCCCCACGGGCTCCATATCAGACCCAGTCGAGGATCCTAGCCTGCTTCGGCTGGGGGTCCAGATCAGGTAGGTATCGACAACCAATGAAGACGCGGCGGTTGAAAACACTGCAATGCCAAAGGTCCGTCCGGGCTAAAAGAAGGTAAAGGGCCCGCCTTGGTGAGGTGGTATCGAGGAGAATTACCGAACGTTACAAGTTGGTCAATCTACATGGGTAATCCTAGGGGTCGCCCTTGCGGCCCCGTCTCCGTCTGTTAGCCCCGGCTCTTCTACGCCTCGCGCTCACGTGCTATATACGCGACGCCTCAATTCGTTACGTAGGGTATCGGTAAGACTTTCCAAGTCTTCCATAGGCGAAAGTGCTTGACTCATACTACGGTATGTTAGTGCTACCGCCTGAGCCCGCTTCTGGAGTTTTTGGAGTCTTTCGAGAGAAAGGAATCTCCTAAGTCACATTCGCGTACTGGTATCTTGACTAAATGCTACGTCGGTTCCCCGTAGTTGAGTAACACAGGGGGTTGCGGGAAGACCACAAGAAAAGACTAGTTCCGTAAACTCGCTACGCCTCTATTGTCTTTAGCAACTGCGCCTCCGCGGTCCCCGAATCGTAAAGGTTTCCAATGCACGGCTGGTAGTTGGAAGCTCAACGCCCATATGAGGCGAAGACGAATGTAACCTGGACGCGCGGCTCTTCTATAAGTGGAAATGCCAAGAGACCGCCAAGACACCACAAGTAACAAAGACTTGAGGGTTAACCCCAGTGTAATACAACACCCAGGGTCATTAGCAGAGAAATTTCTGCAGTTCCCCTGCGTCGACCAGCCCTATGTTGTGGGCATTGATAGGCAGGAATATTGCAATACAGACAACGACGGACTCTCATCGCTCCACCAACCACATAATATTATTTACACGCGCCTGTCGGGTGTGGTTCGAACGGTAGTTGAGGGTTACCTACCGCCTCTGGACGTGCACCGTCTTATACCTAACCCTGGACGACCCACCCTCTGCCTTCTAACATGCTTCTCACCACCCATGTATACCCGCGGCCGGACGGGGCCCCCCGTTCCAGCTAATGAGAGCTTCCATAATGATAAGCAGGTCGTGAGGATGGACGGCGGCCGCCAGTGTCGGACTAGCACATGGTCCACCTCGATGGGCCGAGGCAATACGGGGGATATGACATCGACGGTAACCTTCTCCAATTCCGTCTCGTCCAGCGCGACGGCGGAGCCGCTTGCGCAATAGCGAACTAACCTCACAGCGGAAAGAGGACGAAGGATTGTTACATCTCGACCCTCATGTTTCTGCACCTAGTCATCCCATCGTGTCATCTCGTCTAGCAGAATAGGCTGGTGCTCGCGAGGCCAGCGGCGACGGTGTGGTCTCGGATGGTGACGTGGCGGAACCCTTCCGTAGCGGAAAGGGGAGAGAGGGGGGGGAGAGAAAACACAAATCTCTGAAGGCATGCGTTATTACCTAGGACGGGCCCAATCTCCAACGGCTCACTTGCAGAAGTCTAACTGGCGCCGTGTCTCTCGCGGCGTCGTCACTCTCATCTCTTAAGATGAGTGCCTCGCGGCTATCATGTGGGTTGAAAAATTTGTGACCAATCTAATCAACTTGCTCTCACCCGTCTAGGTACCATCACTGTTGATCATTTTCAAAATGTTTCGTAGTAATATTATCATGTCCTTCCAGAAGCCAGTCGATGAACGTAGTAAACACCGGCCCCCATGTTACCTTCCCTAACAAGATCCCCCCCCCTGACCAACATCTTCACCGTATTGCAGAGTATCATGGTCTTCGCTAGAATTTTCTGTCAGGCCCGGAGACTACCCTGTCTGCCACAAGCCAAGCCTTAATGCAGTGCAAGTTGCCATTTCTGACGATAGTGGCTTGACGTTCCCGCGGGCTCTTATACGAGCCGGCGAGCCGAGATCTCCTCCCCGCCGTTCACGCCATTGTAGCGGATTCTCCCGCCCCTGATGTGTCAATACTACTTAAGAGCCGCCCGGGCGATCCCCGCCAGGATCCGGACGCCTGTTGGGCAAATCAGATACATGCCTAAGTGCAGCTTGACGCTCGCTTAAAGTACCACACATACATGTCGTTTTGGATAAAGACGTGGTTTACGTAGACGGACCTGACGTGGCTTGACTTCTCGGACGATAATTAGCATTGCTGTCTGCCTGGGTTGCTATCCCTTAACTTGGCCACGGTTCCTCGCCCAAGAGAGCATCGAAGCCTCGACATTTAATAAAGGGGTATCAATAACCCTAGCCTGGTTTCAACCTTGCAATAAAATATTCTTCTAAAAGGCTATTACGAATCAGTGGTGACGTAGGCAAGGTAAAAGCCTCATATCTATTCTCGCAATGTCTCAGAGGCCCTCAGCTCTTCAGCATCAGCGCACGCGATCAAAACCTGTTATGTCGAAACGGACTTCGCCATCTGCCATCCACGAATCAGGTCATCTCGTCGTATCATAAAGCGGAAAGGATACTATGGTTTCTGTTGACTACGGGTTCGCAGCTTTGTTGATTCGCTTGTCCACGTACTAACGTCGTCCTCATAGGCAACACAATCTATCTTTAACCAACAAGCCGCAAACACACCCAACTCAACCCAACCCAACCCAACCCAACCCAACCACCCTCCGCCCTCACAAGGACGCGCGCCCTTGTCCGCTCACAGGAGCGTCAGGTCGGCGACGACGGCGCGGTGGTCGCTGATGAAGATGCCGTTGACGTCGTTGCCGAGGAACTCGAACTGCTGGGCGGAAAAGCGGCTCTCGGCAGTCGGGCCGAACCAGACGAAGTCGATGCGGGACTTGCCGGTGGCGGAGAAGCCCGTGTAGGTGAGCTGGTTGGTGCCGCGGCGGGCGGCGCCGGAGTACCAGACCTCGGTGAGGTAGCCGGTGCTCTCGAGGGTGGCGTAGGCGTCGCCGCCGGGCTCGGAGTTGAAGTCGCCGGTGAGCACGACGCCGAGGGGGCCGTGCAGGGCCTGGACGGCCTGGACGCGGGCGAGCGCGACCTTGATGCCCTCGGTGCGCGCGAGCGCGCTGACGTTGTCGAGGTGCGTGTTGGCGTGCAGGAAGCGCCGGCCCGAGGCGGCGTGCTCGAGCACGGCGATGGTGACGACGCGGCGGCTGCCGGCGCCCCAGCCGAACGACGCGCGGTCCGGCGTCGGCGACAGCCACTTCATCTCCGAGTAGACGAGCCGCAGCAGGTCCGCGCGGTACAGGATCGGGCTGTACTCGCCCGCCTTGGCGCCGTCGTCGCGCCCGAACCCCACGTGCGCCCACGTCGCCGCGCCCAGCCCGTTCTTGATGTCGCTCAGCTGCCCGTCGAGCACCTCCTGCAGCCCCAGCACCGCGACCCCCGCCGTCCCGTTCGCCGACGTCACCGCCTTCAGCTGCTCGATCAGCCCGACGCGGCGCTCCGACCACGGCCGCTCGTTGGTCTCGCGCACCGTCGCCGCGTACCGGATGTTGAAGGATACCACGCGCAGCGGCAGACTGTCTGCCATAGCGATACTGCTAGCCGCTAGCAGGCAAGCGGCGGAGAAGAGGGCGTGGAGCTGCATCGTGGAGAAGGGCGGTTTCAATTGGGGTTGAGGTTTTTTTTTTTTTTACGAAGGGGGGTCACACAATAAGCACGCCAAGCTTACGACGCGGCTGCTACTGTTCCACGGTGCGGTGCCTCTCTGCGCGACGGTGAGCTCCAAGGTATTTGTAGTCGCGTCCGGCACCGCCTAAGCGAGCGGCTCATCTCTCTGTCTCTCTCTGCTGCTGCAGCACCGTCTTGGGCGCCACTCGGACGGGGGCTCGGACGGGGCTCGAAAGATCAACAATACGCCATGCGGCGCAGGCATTGGCTGCCATTATACCTTCCGCTTCAGGCAAGTCCGCGAGGGAGTGGCCTACGACCGGGTTGCTGAGAGACACGTGGGGTAGCATCGAGATCCCAGGACCAGCCCGTCTCACAGATGCAGCAAATACCGTGGCCGCCAAGCGCCGGCCACTTAGGGAACGTGCCGAGGATGGGTGGCGCTCGACGTGCCTCGCCGGCTTCGACGGCGAACACAACCACAAGTGGGAATGGCGGGGGATGTGCCCATGCTTGCGCGGCACTGTCGAACGCGGGCTGCACGGGGCTATTCACGGTAGTATCGTTGCTTTGGACTTTGCCCAATTCCAGTTTTTTTTGCTAGACTAATTGTTGCAGTGGTCTATTAGGTGGAATCCCGGTCGATATTCGATACTGAGTTATTTTCCCCCTCTTTAATAACCGAGGGGGCTGGTATTGCGAACCAACGGCTTGAAAGCAAAGCCTGGTTGCAGGGTAAGTATGAGATGGTTAAGCCTCGGAGTGTTGATTGACTCTCCAAGGCTTGTGAAGCCATTGAAGGCGAAGGAGGAGGAGGACTATGTGGAGGAAAAGCGATCGTTACACAAATAATTATTTCTTACTTGGATTACCAATCCCTGTTCATAACCACAACTACTTCTCAAGACAACGTTCTAACAGGGAACGCCTCGGGGCCCAGGTAGCGCACACATGGTGAATGCGCTGGAACTGATTTTCTGCCTATTTATCGCCTATACGTTATTAATTACCCTGCATGATTTAGTCGCTCTGTTACTTGTGCTGATGCCCAACGAGGCGAGCTCATCACGGCCATCTTATCTCTAAACTAGTTCCTCAGTCTTTAGACTTGTACTGATCTGCTTTAACTAGTTCTGCGCTACCTCTTACATTATCTGGCTTGGTTCACCCGTGTCGATTTTGCGGGCAAGGTTCGTCATAAACTACAAAAGACTCCGGAACTCTTGAACCTCCCCTGCGCGTCAGCGCCTCTGCCCGACCCCGTCCGTGTAACCCACCAACTAGTAGAGGGGTTCGGCTGAGTATCGGATCCTCATCCCCGATCACAACCCGATACCAGACCTACCGGCTTCAACCATACTACAGATCCCTTTTTTCCTCAGGGAACCTCGCTAGACAACACGATCGAGGAGAGGTTTCCCCCGCACGGTCAGTTTCGTAGCGGAGGTGGTAGCAACGGGTTCGATCCACGCCGGCGAAGCGAACCGAGGCGCGCGCTGCGAGCGGCCTTTTCGCACCAGAGAAAGCCACGGCAGGCTTTGACTAGGTGCCTACATAGAAGGGTTGCACACGTCCACGTCCGCCTCACTATTAAGAGGCACGAGTACCCAGGTAACAATGAGAGAGCCCGGCACTCGCTTCCTCACGTCCGGCATAGGTACCCATCTACCGAGTGGCTTCTAGCCTCACTCCCTCCTCTCCCATATCTTCCCTTCCCCTGACTCTCTCTGTCTCTACACCTTACTTCCATGTACACCTATCTAGCATATACGTGTAGATGTCCGTACGCATAATCCGCCACATCGCCGAAATCTCGAGAGGGGGAGAAGGAGAGGGACGAGTTAATATTACCATCGGTCAGCCTGGCTTTTCTGCCAGGTCATGTACATATTATATGGCATGTTTACTTTCCAGAGCGCACACGGAATATTTATTTATTGCCCCATGTATTGCATACAACGCTTCTCGTCTCCCTGTTGTAACCTATCAAGTTCAGAATAACTTCAACGCATAGGGACAAACCTAATTCTTTACAGCAATACGCGCAGACGTTCAGTCGGGTTTGTAATATCCTACGTCCTGCTTTGGCGCCATCAACTATTTACACTAACAGCCTGTTCCCCCCTCCCCCCCCGTCCCGCCATCCTCCGCGAGAATCGGCGCGTGCGTGTTGCTACCTATATACATATGCACGCCCCTCTGCCTCCCCTCCCCTGCCCTTCTGCTCCCCTCCCCTTCCTTTCCTCCCGGCCCGCCTCCTCACGGCCTCCAGGTAGGCACGGCGGTAGGGCCTGTGGGGGTCTCGTCGATGGCGTCGTTGGCGCGGGCGCAGCCGCTCTTGGCGACGAGCGCGGCCGGGCAGGCGACCTGGCGGAACTGCACGGCCGGGTTGTCCGCGCCGGCGAACCAGTCGAAGCGCCAGTAGCAGCCGTCGCGCAGCGCCGCCGGGAACGCGTCGCACGCCGCGCGCGAGCTCACCCCGCCGTACCGCTCCCCCCACCCGTCCGCCGGCGCCCCGTACTGGTCCGTGCACGCGTTGAACAGGCCGACGCCGCCGCCCGGGATCTTTGCGCGGTCAGCCTGGGCGTCCCGCTTGGAGTGTCTATGTGCGCGAAAAGGAGGGCAGGAAGGGGGGGGAGGGGGCAGGAGAGAGGTAGAGAAATAGAGAAATAGAGAGAGAGAGAGAGAGAGAGAGAGAGAGAGAGAGAGGAAGATACGTACCGCGATGTCAAAGTGGTTCTGGCCGAGGTCGCCGCCGGTGTTGCTGGCCTGGACGACCATCTTCTTGCCGGCGACGGGCCCGCTGGTGAAGGTGAGCTCGTAGCAGGCGCAGCACCAGGTGGTCTCGGTCTGGCCGGCGATGCGCACGGCCGCCCAGCCGTAGCTCAGCGACTCGCTGACCGCCCACGGCGAGTGCGCGCTGCACATGTACGCCGAGCCCCCCGCGTCGCACGCCGACCGCGTCGCCCCGTTGTCCTGCAGCGGCGTGTCCTGCCGCGAGCACGTCACCACCTGCTGCCCGCTGTTCGTCTTCTGCGCCCACCCGCAGCTCGGCTTGCAGCAGTCCCAGTACCGCGTCGTCTGCCCCGTCCCCGACGCCCCCTGCCCCGCCGCCAGCGCCGGTAGTAGCGCCACCAGCACCGCCGCCGCCGCCGTCTTGCTCGTGAGCTGCATCGTAGATCCTCACGTGTGCCGGCCGGTGGTGAGCTTCAGTGTCGGCGTCCTGTCCTCTCGGCCCTTCTCTTTCTTTTCCTCTGTCTTTCTTAAGTCGTGTGAGCTGCGGTATAGTGCGCTAAGAGGACTCTCGACTGCTGGTGCCTAGAGAGAAAAAAATCGACGAGAATCCGCGAGGTATCAAGGGAAAGAGTCCGAGTCAGCGGAAAGGAGGAGAGGAAGAGGGGAGGGCGGGATGGCTCGCGGCTTTAATAGCCCCCCCCCCTCCTCTCCCTACTATACCTACTTGGTACGGCCCGTGTCCCCCTCGAGATCCCGGAGCTGGTCATGGCCCGCTCCGCCAACACGTTTTTGTGTAAACGATTTCCAAGTTAGGCTGAAAGCAGCCCGGTGATCCCTCGCGTGCCTCCTGGTAGGCCCCCCCCTCACTCGCCGCCCGTCCGCCCACCGGCCGGCAGCAGGAGGCGAGACAGAAGCACGATCATCGTGGGGAGATATATCTTCCGTCAATCGCTAAAACGGGCCGTCTCTGAGCGCTTTGACGCCGAGCGAAGCCTGGAGTTACATGGCGGGCCGGCCTGGGTGGATTTTCTCTGCGTCGCCACCGTTTGGACGGGCCGCGTGCCAGCAACCGCGCACGATGTTGATGGCGCCGAGTGGAGCAGGTGGCTTGGCGAAATTAGGATGGTTATCTGGAAAAAGGCGGATGGCGCAATACCGGGCCGGAGCCTGGCTCCGTGAAGCCATGTCCTTATATAGCTAGCTACTGGGCACTCTGCTCGGGCCTTCAGTCACTCCCCGTAGTGCCAGGCTTGGAGACCAGGAACAGTAATCATTCGGCTTGGCCTGCGGCTTGGCCAATTCAGTCACGGCACAGTCAATTGCAGAATTGCGTCGTTCACTCGTAGTAAAGACTCTGAATTCAGCTATTAAACAGCGTGTGGAGTGGAAAAAATAATAATAACGAGGGCTTACAACGTTGCGGCCTCACCTATTTCGCGGTTACAAGAGTATCTTCTTCAACACAACGACAACACGCCTACCCATCCCACGACACCTCCAAGCATCCCATCCGACCGACAGCTATACGCGCCAAATAGCGTCTAACCCGACCGAACCCATTAGAAGCCGTATCTACTACCGTCAGCGCGGCGCTCGTCGCCGTCCCTATACACATACCCCTCATCACGATCGTACCCGCCCGAGCGGCCATACCCCGAGCTCTCGTCACGGTCATAATTATCCGAGCGTCCATATCCAGAGCTCTCCTCGCGATAATAGCCGCCCGGGCGGCCATATGCTGAACTCTCATCGCGGCCGTAACCGCCGGAGCGGCCGTATCCCGAGCCCTCGTCGCGTTCGTTGCTACCGGAACCGTGCGAGCTCTCGTAGCGACGTCCATGACGGTCTCCGCTGTGAGAGCTGCTAGATCTCTCTTCGTCGTAACGTCTCCGATGCTCCTCTCTTCCGCTGTCGTGGTCGCGATGGCGTTCGTGGCTCCCCCGACGTCGGCTGGAGCTGTCGTCGTCGTCATCGTCGGATCCCCTACGCCGGTCCCGCCCGCTGGACTCTTCGTAGCTGTCGGTGTTGCTCTCGTACCGGCGCTCAGTGCGCTCCTCGTAGCCGCCGCCGTAGGTCGGGCGGATTTCGGTTCGTTCTTGATAACCGTAGCTTCGGCCGCTATCCTGCTGCACGTAGCCGCTGTATTCTCGGGACTCGCCGCCTCCCGGGTACTGGCGCTCCGAGTATTCGGCCTGGCCGTGGCGGTCTCCAGAACGCCCGTACTCGGTCTGGCTCTCGGAGTACGACCCATCGTCTGCTTGGCTCCTGCTCCTGTACGACTCCGTCTCGTCGCTCTTAAATGCCCCGCCGAGAAGAGAACTACTGATGGCACCTAAGAGGCCGCCGCCGCCGGAGCTACTAGATTCTTCACGTCCTCCTATCGTAGGCAAGTTAATTTGTCCGCCAGATTGGGTCTTGACAAAGTCGGCGATCCCGCTCGTGACACCTCCGACGATAGCGCCCGCGGCGGCACTTGCGATACGGTCTTCCATAGTTCCGCCCTTGGCGAAGTTTTTGTGCATGCCGAGGGGCTTGCCGCAACCGTGGCCGGAGTCGTGAACGCCTTCTCTATGATTCTCGCCGTTCTCGACGCCCTCACGGGAAAGCTTTCGGCGGTACTCGTCCTTGGCACCCTCGTCAATCTGATCCCACCATTCCTCGACGGAACGGAAGATGATTTGACGGCCATCCCGAGCTCCATCCTCGCCCTGATCGCGCTGAGCTGGGTGGTGCAGGATGCCGTTGACGATTCGGCTCATCGTGCGGTCGATATCGATACCATCGTCATCCCAGGCTTCCATGATCTGCGGGACAACCCAGCCGACGACCTTGCTGGCAGTTTTACCCGCGACTTCGTTTAGGATCTGCTGTGTGTTAGCACCCCAATCACGGGCCACATAGAGCGGATACGACCTACGTTGGTGAAATGGTCCTTGGAGAGCATAGAGTGCGTGGGGTCGGTGCAATCGTCGTCCTCAAAGACGACGTGCTGCTCGTTCTTGCTGCTATCGATGATTTCGGAAGATCCGGTACGAAGCTCGTTCTTGATCTGCTGGATAATGGGAACCACAAAGGGCGCCATGATTGCGAACACCCACATTGACAATTGCTCCTCAAGTTGTTCGATAATCTGGGGGAGGACGGGCAGCTGATCGATGGCCTTGCTGAGGCCCTTCATGATTTCGTCGTGAAACTCGATAGCAGGCATGATCTGCCCGAAAACTTGCTGAATGTATTGCGTGAACTCTTCCGGCTCCCTCGGCGAGATCGACGTATTCTGCAGTTGAGAGTTGGTAGCATTGCTTTGGATCTCTTCCAGTTTCTGCTTCTTGTCCCCACCGAAAATGCCGTCGGGAATCTTATCCAAGAGTCCCTCCAGGATGCTGGTGTCATTTTTGGAGTTTTGCTCTAGGGTTCCCTCGAGCTCTTGGATCTCGCTCTGCGTCAACTTATCCGAGACTAAAGGCATTGATTTGGTTAGCGCTACCGCGGGAATTTTGAGGGAGATTGTCGACAATCTAGCTCACCTTCACCGGTAACAGAGTGCAGGAAGTCAACGCCACCAAAGGTGCCGGTAACGCAGGGATAGACACTGCCTCTAGCGCCAGGGATCTCAATTTGAGTATTCCGACCGACGTGGGGGAAAACGTCGCGCTCTCCTAGTTCGATGAGTGCGAGCTCTGTGTAGTTACTATGGGCGAAGAAGTCTGTTGGCCCCGAAGTTAGTACGGTTCCGGTACGAAACAGAGAATGCAGACGGGGCGGGAGTTGAGAAGAGTGCGGGTGAGGGTGCTACCTTCGAGGCAGTGAAGTCCGGTGCCAAGCAGTCGCAGGGCTTCGTGGAGGTCAGCCTTCCTGTTGTTCTGCTTGTATGATCGCCCGAGCTCGATGCACCGGCCGAAGAGGTTTCTGACGTGGAGTGCAGAATTCATGATGCCGGCACGCTCGTTGGCAATATAGTTCTTCAACCCAGTCTCGGGGTCGATGGCAAGTTCGACGGCCTCGTCAACGGGGCCGCGTAGCTTCTCGTAGTACTGGCGCGCATCTTCGTTGTCGGCGTAGTTCTTGGGGTTGTCAATGTGGTCTTCGGGTCGGTAGCAGCCGAGGCGGTCCGCAGTGACTTCGAATTCCTTGGAGCCGTAACCGAAGCTCAGGAAGCCGAGGATGCAGAGAAGCAGTCGGATGGCTTCGGCCGAGACGTTCTTGACCGTACCCACGTCGATGGCCTGAGAGTAGTCTCGAAGCCAGTTTCCAAAGTAGACGCGGGAGACCATCAGCTTGTCAAATTTCTTGCCGCCGACGGCTCGAGCCATCAGAATGGACAGGAGGGTATCTTCGATGTCGCCATGTCGCCCTGCACACCACCCTATGGTTAGACCGAGTCGAAACCAGCAAGCCAGCCAAGCAGGGAAGGAGGCCGAGTGGGGGGAGGGGGGGAGGGATACTCACAGTTCTGGCCCTCAATTTTGGAGATGCCTACGAAGCAGGTCGGTCAGCCCTTTCTATCCGAGAGATTGCATCAGCTATTCAAGAAGTTGGGACGCCTTACCGGCAATGTTACCAGCGCCGAATGCGAGGGCGGGGCTCGCGAATGCCCACAGGAACAGCAGGCCCCAGAGAGCAGGGAGGGGCTTGAGAACGGCCATTTTTCGAACTCCCTTCTAGGATGGTTCGCGATGGTACGCAATGGATATGTATGTATATGGCTGGCGCTGATGCGGTGGGAGAGACTGCAGAGGACGGGAGGGAGGACTACGGTACCAAACCAGTGGCGAGGAGGGGGGATTCGTAGGGGGTTGGTTATCAGGGGGACTTGGAGAAGAGAGTGGTGGTGGGAGGCAGCGCCCGAGGCACAGAAGGCAATAAATAAGCTGATAGGGGTTGTCGGATCGAGGGCGACGTGACGAAGAGACCGTGAGACTGTGCCCATTAAAGACTTCTTCTCCCTTCACAGGCCAGGAGGTGGGAAGAAGCGGCAAGGAAAAGGAGGGGGAGGGGTTACCGTCTTATCCTGCTACGCACATGCCCACGTTGTGCCAGTTTGACAGGCTGGTCTGATTGGCTTGTGCCCGCCTAGCGTAGGTACCTAGGCAGGTAACGGACAGGGCACTACCACAACTATCACAACTATCACGACTCGTCCCGTCTCGTACCGTAACATGTATGTGGGCATTCAGCTGCGCTAGGCTCGGCCGGTGGGTTTCGAAAACCAGGTGAAAAACTGCCCGCTACTAGCGGCAGGTAGTTGAGTTAGGTGCCTTGAGGGTATTTACTCCCCCGAGGCTAGGTACCAGCCTGGGTAGGCGTGTATGCGTTGATGCTGTGCCGCGGTACCTCCTATCTCAGTAATGTGTACACGGGGATGGAGGCATACGTAAGTACCGGCGCCGAGCCGATCCCTGTCCGCTGTTGGCGGGCGGCGATGGTCTGGCGGGGTCGTCGAAGGTGACTGGCTGGCGCGTCCGTTAGGAACCTGTTATGCGTAGCTGGGCTTGGTTCGTGTTTCATTTTGTGCAGGTTTTCCGTCTCGTCGTCTGCCAAATCACGAGATCGCCCACTCTGTGCAATTAGTTGCCCGCCCTTATTCACGCCGAGAAGTGGGTGCTTGTTGGAGAAAATACCTGACTCCTGGGTACCTAGGTATCTACCTGATGCTCCGACAGAGGCGCTTCGTATTCTGTCAGTATGTACATGTCTGGGCAGGTACCTGGTATCCAAACAGATCCGGCATTCTTATGAGAGGTAGAGCCGGTAGGCAAGTTACCTTACTGCCTTGAGGATGTCAGTGACATCGGCCAGGCACCTAGACTGCCAATGTCCGCATAACCGCCCGAGCGTCCCCCGTCTGCATACATGGGCGGGGACGAGTTGCCAGAGGAAGACGGGTGAGATCGGTTTACTCCTCATAACCTGATGGAACTCATGGCGAGCTCTCTATACGCGGGTAGGTATCTGAGAAAATGCAGCATTTCTTGTGTAGGTAGATAGAGCGTCAGGTACCAAGGGCAGACATGTGCGTAGGTAGGTAGGCTCCCCACGTAGGAGGGAGGAGGTATACGTATGCATTCAACTAGATCAAAGTAGTCTGGTCCAAGGGAGGAAGCCCGTCTGCTTGGGTTTGATGTTAGCGGCGCGGTGCTCCTCTTCTTCTCGTGTGTAATCCATCTACATCGAGGTTGTCCAGCTTGGCGGGGAGCGGCTGACCCAACCGATTCAATGGTCTGGATTCTCCGGCGCAGATAGCCGAACTCGTATCAAGTAGGTACGTACGTGTATACCTACCTAGTAGGTACCTACTCATACAACAACACTATGGGCCGCCAACGCCCTTGCCCTCTGTTGGGTAGGGTCGGATCGGGATCGGGGCGAACCGATAATCCGAGTTGTGATTAGGCAGGTACATAGGTACCTACCCTGCCTACCTTAGGTTCCTAAGGCGGGTACTATAGTGGTGCGCACGACAGGTAGGTAGGTACGTAGCGACATCCCATCCCATCCTAACGGGGATCTGTAGAAGATGTAGGCATAGTAATAGGGTGCCTCAGCAAAGTCCGGTCCTGACAGGTGAGGTCTAGCTGTGCTCTGCCTATCTATCCTCCACCCCGAGGCATCATCTCTACCAGCCAATGATGTGCATCGATCTCTGCATGCGACTGCGGAGGGGGCTGGAGTCGCACACGCAAAGATGCGGGCGACAGGTGCACGCGATACGTGCGGCCATTAATCGCGGGACGAGGCGGCTGTCGTCATGGCAGGTATCGGTACGTGTACGAGCGCGTGGAGATGCTAGGCACGCCTTGCCCTTACTTTTTACGGTCTCTAGGTATTGTTGCGACGCTAGGGAGGTGCGCAAAGATGGGCTCGGGGGTCGATAGTATCGTGGCTGGCCACTCTGGGTATGCACACCGCAGTGCTGGTTGTTTGGGCATCAAGATACGACCGGACCGTGTCGCTGTGGCTGGCTAGCTGAATACAGCACCTCCGCGTCAAACGTTAGGTACCCAGCGTAGGGAATCCTCAGCGCGGGGTAGTGCGCTGCTGATATGAGATGCAAAGCACCGTCCTCGTAGCAGGCAATCGGTAGCTAGAGCGGGACACGATAGGGGGGCGTTTCGCTGTCCAGACGCGGAGAGGAATCCGGTATGAGAGGAGCGACTACGGGTATACGGCGCGCGTAGAGAGTGCCCGCCTAAGATACTCATAGATCGGCGGCTGAGGCAAGATCCGAGTACTGCGTGCGATTACGACATGCAAGTAATTTTGTAGTAGCACCGGGATTGATGCGTGTCGATGAGGAGTAATCCAGAGGCCCCGTCGTATCGCCTGAATGCGACTCATCGCTTTTTCCCGTAGATTGACCACATACGACGCACATAGCATACACGTATAGAGAGAAGCACAGGGCCCTCCCAACTAGAAGGGTGGAAGCCGGGCGACCGGGGCCAGAGTGCTCTTGGGAGTCTCGGATCGAAACGATGGGGTCGTTAGATCAACGCTGGACAGGTATCACCCCGCGGATGCGGCGCAGGTTCCAGCACGAGCGGCCGGGGCTCTGGGGGGGACGTTGACGAACACTGGAAAGTGAGGGGTAGAGAGGAGAGAGGAGTCGTTTCGGGTGTCAACAAGACGGCGCCCTGCCACGCTTATGTTATGTATCCGTCAATGGCTGGGGTAGGCCTAGAGCTTTGTTGCACCTCCTGTAGCGTGCTTGCCTACATTCTGGCGTCATCCCCCCAACCCAGATGGCGGAGAGAAACATGGCTGCTCTCGCGGTGCTGGCCTGCGACGGTGCGCTATTTCCCGACAGCCTTCTCCGAACCAGCCCAAGCTACTGCTCTACCGTATACAAACTACGCCGGGCGGAAATGCGTCACGGCCGATCTAGATAAAACTCGCGACAATCCCGCCGCCATCCCAGCCTACGGGGCTCGCTGGGTTGTGAACTGCGATGCGTTGGGCCCGAGATTGGGAAGCTCCCGGCTATGTCGAGGGAGGTCGGACAGCTCTGCCAGGTGGCCCCATCCTCCGGTGGTTTCGTTCCTGTGAATGCGCGTCTACAGACGGCAGACGTAGCGGGGCAGGCCGTCGTCACCTATGCGCTATTTGCGTCGCGACTCTCTCTCTGAGACCACTCGCTCACCCGGCATTTTGGGGGCGCTCTATGTGGCATGCGGGCGATCGAGTAGGCATGGAAACGTGCTAAATGCTGACCGTACGTAGGCTTTTACGAAAGGGACGCGCAGCGATCCTCGGGCCGAATCACGATCGTTAACGGCAGAGCACCTAGGTAAATCAGTCGTGGAGCTGTTCGCGTTGTAGGGAACAGATACAACCGCATCTACGTTGGGTCCGGCCGGTCCAGGTATGGGTGGTTGTGGTTGGATACCAAGGAGGAGAGAGGCCTGACCCCCATCCATGGGAACTAACGTCCCTAATCAGAATTAGGCACTGTGAGGTGAAGAGGTGATAGGCCTGGCATGGCGAGAGTACTGGCAGTAAGAAGAAGAGAGCAGCAGAGGGGAACCCCAGAGACGATCGAGATGGGGGGGGGGGGCATCTCCCACTTCCTGCTCGACCACCAAGATCATTAACCCTCCCTCTGCAGATGATGGCGACGCCTTGGTTAGCCAACCACTGCCCACCGAAGCTCCGCAGGTGGGGTTACCATCGCTCCTCTGGCCGCTGGACGTTGCTAACTCCATACATGGCACTGCTTACATGGCCGCATGCAGGTATGCCCTCGAGGTACCGGCTGTTGTTGAGGGGGGGGGGGGAAAGGGTTAGATACATTATATATAGCAGCAACCGATGTCCGCTCTCGCCTCTGTATGACGATGTTGGGCAGAGAGACCTGGCGACGGACGGATTCTCGTCGAGGCTACTACCTAATCGGTCTGGCAGGGCGCGGCAACGTCCGATGTCGATAGGTGCAGGCAGCAGCGGTAGTCGTTGGGTGTTTGGGTGCTTGCCGTATGTAGCTGGTCACCGGTAGGGTTGGGTGAGGCCGGGGGATGCGTGCGTGGTGATAGGGAGCGCGGGCGGGCGGCGATGGATTGGGTGCAATGATGCCGAAAGGGTAGGCAACAATAGAGACGGACGGGTGACGGGACAACAGGCGCACGGCGGGTTGGGAGGGCTGCTGCAGGCGTAGAAATGCTAGAGGGCTGCTTATAGGGTAGCCAGGCGGTGCACGAGGGGTGCGAGAGGGAGGAGGAGGAGGCAGAACGTGCTGGCGGGAGCAGCAGCAGCAGCAGCAGCAGAAAGCACCTGGAGGGTAGTTGAGAGGGTACGGCGGCTTTGGGGGATGTCGGGGGGGTTCGTTTGACCTTGAAAAAAAACGGTGGTAGGTGATCGGGGAAGGGCCCGGCAAGTGCCGCCGCTTTTAGGCGCTCGCTGGAGAGCGCTGATGGATCGACCGACCTGATTGGGCTCGACGGCTTCGGCAGGGTTGCAGAATCTGCGGCGGGCCAATGGACGCGCGAGCAGACGCCCTCGCGGTGCGGGTGCAACCCATCGCATGGCGTGTGGGCTCTACAGCAGGAGCAGAGCCAGAACAGCGACGCCAGGGACCGAACAACAACCAGAAATATCCCGCCCAGAAGGGTATACTTGTGCCCCCCCCGTCCAGCGAACCCGGCCACGGGCCTCGACCGAGGTCCTTCTCTAAAGATGCCTAGGCCTCAGCGCCGCTCCGGCACCTCTCCTGCGACGCGCCCGCGGCATCGAAAACCGAGAACCACAACCGCAGTCTCTAGAGCACTTGCAGAGCTGGCCTGGTCGCGCATTCGGTGCCATGGGCACCGCGGAACTGGGCGCGGGGGAGCGACGCGGTGGTAGAGTGCGACTTGCGACGACGGCGGCGACGACGGGTGGAGGCGATGTACCGCCTGGAGGGGATGGGTTTCCGCAGTTGGGTTGGTCCCATTCAGTGCCTGCACGTTGATTCTGGCTACGCATTTATTTACCTATTTGTTTTTATTTATTTTTATTACCATTCTTCCCCCTCCCCCCTCTCCTAGGTTAGGGAGGTAGGTACTTACTCGCTTCCCCCCTTCTGTGAAGCGGGCGGGGCTGATTTGGGTCCCCCCCCGTCGCCCCTCTAAAAGGCTCAGAGGTCTAGACGCAGCATGCGAGGAAAGGGTACTTACGCCTCAGGTAGCGCTACAAAAGAACGCTGTAAATTCGACAGCGGACACGGGCAGCAGGTGCGCGGGGGCAGGGTGCCTTTCGCGCCAACGTATCGAAAACAGAGCCATCAGCTCCAGCAGGTGATGCACTAAGTGTAGGTATGTGTATACATAGGTATGTATATATATACGCGTATATGTATACGTATACACATATATATATATATAGTTCCCGTAATAAAGAATTCAAGGCGCATCTGCTGGCCAGGTTCGGTACCTCTTGGTCGCGGTCCTAGGTGCTGGTGGTAAGTATCGGAGACGTTACCACAGGCATTGCGTCTACGGTCCGATGTACATCAAGTACCTAACTGATTCTAGGTACTTGTTGCAAGTACTGCTGCAAAGGATGGTGCTAGGTACCTGGCAGCGTGCAAGGGAAGCCGACGGGTACGTAGCCCACCGAGATCCTCCCCCAGCAGCCGCCGCCAGAGCAACAATAAGCAGCACCCTCTCCCCTCTCCTCGCTCTCTCACTGATTTTTTTTTCCCTTTCCAAATCAGCAGCCTGAGGGCACTGGTATTTAGAGGGTGCCCCGCCCCTCCCATCCAGTGCGCTGCCCCCAAAACTTTCTCTCCCCTAAAATATTCCACACCTCCTCCCTCTCTCTTCGCTGTTTTCCCAGTGGCCGACCCTGCCAACAACCCCTTCACCTTTTTACCTCTTCCCCTGGACACATCCGCTGCCCACCTTCAGCCGTAGAACCTTTCCCCTCGACAGTAGAAATACCGCCGGAGCAGGCTGCTAGACGTCGGTACCTCTCGCCGCAGCACACAGCCAAGCGTCCAACCCGTCGAGGCACTGCGCTACCTGCTGCCACCTCTCCAGCACCACCTTGGGGCTCCAACACCAGCCCTCTCTCACCAGCCTTCACCCGCTCCAGCTCCAGCTCCAGCACCCACTCCAGCACCAACACCACTATACCATCATGCCTCGCCCAAAAAAGACCGAGCCGGCCAAGCCTGCAGCGGTCGCGCCCGCACCGGTGGTCCCTCTGATGCAGCCGCTGCCAGCCCAGATTGCCTCTCAGCCCCTTCAGCAGTCTCTGGCCGCCGGTCCCGGTGTACCGCCGCGGACCATTGGCATTGAAGAGTTCATCCGTGTTCGCGACAGTGTAAGTCATCCTCCGTCTCCAACCCAACCCACCCCGCCTGCCTCCCTCCCTCCCTCATTCATGCTGCTACCTTCCTCTCGATGGCACCGTCGCTGCTGGTACGGCCCACCTCGCTGCCTTTCCACAATTGCATCCCGATCCGCCCCCCGTATTCTTCGAGTCACTTGCCTGGTAGATGGGGATGCGGTATGTGGTTATGACCGGGGTCGTGTGAGGACGTGAGGCTGGGCCGACAGCGTACGGTCCGCTCGTCGGGTGCTCCCAGCGTTGTGGTCTGGGTTACCTTTCGTGGCTTGAATACATATTCTCTGAGATGTTCTCGCTTGCCGCCTAGGCCTCCATACGACGTCACCGTGTTAACCCTCGCCTTAGGTATATGCTCGCTTCAATACCATCACTGGCCTGATGAAGAGCTTCTCGGATGACTTTCTGCGCCAAACAAGCCTGCTCATAGGCGAGCCGGCTCCGTTTGACAATGGCGCCAGCCATTCCGTGAACCTCATCGCCGGCCTGGACGGCATTAGTAGCCAGCTGGCCGATTTCGGCGCGCATGCCGAGGAGAAGAAGGAGCGGAAGAAGCGTACTCACGATCCTAACGCCCCCAAGCGGCCCCTCACTCCGTATTTCCTCTACATGCAAACCGCGCGCCCTATCATCGCCAACGATCTCGGTCAGGATGCTCCTAAGGGCGCCGTCCAAGAGGAGGGTCAACGGCGATGGGGATCCATGACTCCTAATGAGAAGAATGTAAGTGCCCCGAAGGCCCGATAGCTCGGGCGGCTGCTTACCCCGCTGCGCCTAGGCCTGGAACAACGCGTACCAGTTCAACCTGCGTCTCTACAACGCGCGAGTGCACTCGTACAAGGCCGGCAACCCGGACGCGCGGAACATGAGCGACTCGGACGCGCTCGCGTACGCGGACCAGAACAGCATCTCGCAGCCTACGCTGTCCAACGAGGATCCGTACGTGCCCAACGACCAGGACGCGATCGCGGAGCAGCTGCAGATGGCGGTGGCGCCGGCCCCGGAGCCAGAGGACGTGGCTAAGACCCCCAAGTCCAAGGTGACGCGGAAGCGCAAGAGCACGGCGGCCGAGGTCGAGGACGCAGAGGCGAGCGCCGCCAAGGCCGCGACGCCGGCCAGCCCCGACAAGAAGCGCAAGCGGACCTCCAAGGCGGCCGAGACGCCCGAGGAGCCCAAGAAGCCCAGCCGGAAGAAGAAGAGCGCGTAGTGAGCTCGGCTCGACGTCTGGTGGCGCGCGCGCGCGGTGGCTTTTGTTTTTTATATCAGTAGATATGATATATCCTGCTCTGTCGGCTCGCGTGAGAAGGGAGGACTATACCCGGGAGCAAGCAAGCAAGCAGGTCGTTCGCAGTAACTGGGGGGTAGCGAGGGGTGGAGGAGGGTGCTTTGTGTGTGCCTCTGAGTGAAGGCTGCTGTCTCGGATGGTCGGCCAGTCGGCGGACGTCTGGGGGAAGGGGGAAGGGGGGGCCTTTGCCAGAGGAAGAAGAAGGGCTTGCTGTCCCTTCACTTAAACGTTGTATGAGTTACGAGGAATCTCTTCATCATTCTGTGAATACGGGGGGGGGGGGGCACCAGGAGAGGACAACAGGCTCTGCGTTGGCGGGAACCGGATTACGGATTGGAGTTTTTCATTCTGGAGGTTCCATTCTGCCTGTACCTGTAGCTATCTCTCTTTCGTCTCTGGCAGTTCACGGCAGTCGAGCGCGTCCCTCTCTGCCTTCAACCGCCTCCACCCCTCTCGCCTGGGGAGTTGGCGCTACGGTCTGGTAACGGAAACTGGATTCACGAGATCTTTCTACCGTTCTTTTTTTTTTTTTCCCGCTCCTCGCGTGTAGTGATTGTCAGCGAGCGGCTGCGCTCGTCGGGCAGTAGTCGGCAGTCCAGTCGCCGTGGTAGGCTGACTGGTTGACCTGGGTAGGAAGGTAGGTAGGTAGTTTAGGATGGTGTTGGGACTTCGCACCTCTCTCTCTCTCACTTCCTAGCCACTCACTCACCCATCCAGGCCGCGCGAGCTCGTAGTACCGCTGCCCGCAACGCGCAGCCCACCCAGCCTGGGACGCACAGCAGCGCCCGACCGCCCGGCCAGTCGGCAGCCGAGAGACACTAGGGGGGGCACACGTCGACACCCGCGGAGATATATATATGCTTACTACATATACGTATACCTGTGCCTACCTAGGTATACCAGCAGGCGGGCGCACAGCCAATCAACTTACACGAATCTGCGGTCCGGGGGGGGCGGGGGGCAGCGCAGCGTGATCGGCCGCCGTCGACGCCCCTGGGCATCGAACATGCTCGACGCTGCCCGTCGGCTGTCCTCGCGTCGTCTGGCTGGCCGCGGGCCTGCGTGCGGGTGCCCTGTGCCCGTCTGTCAGGGAGGGACGGAGGGACGGAGAGGGGGGGTAGCCTAGGCGCGACCGCCCGCCGCGGGAAGGTCTGACTATTTATCTACCTACCTAGGTAGTGTAGGTAAGGGGGTAGGAGGTATGAGCGAGTACGTAGGTCGCTAGGTAGGTGGGTGCTGTCCTGTCCTGCCGGCGCAGCGCACCAGGCCCTCGACACGCTTGGGGGAAAAATGCTACGGGGAGACTGGTGGCCTGGTGGAGGAGGGGCGCCGGTGCTACCTAGGTATATCTACCTACCTACCTCCTGGCGCTGACAGGGAGGTAGGTGCACTGGCAGGTGGGTAGGTACCCTAACCTCCGTATACTCTGAGGGAGGGCCGCGCCGAAGGCGTCTATGTTTACCTACCTACGTAGGGAGACGGATGATACCTTGCTTGAAGGCTAAGCGCGCTGTCGAGTCTGTGGGGGGAGGGTGTAGGGGGCACGCAGGATAGGGGACCCGCGCGCGCACAGTTAGAGGCAGGTACATCGCCGTAGGTATTTCGCCCCCGTCGCCCGCTGCGCCCGGTACCTGCGTCTGCGGTACCTACTGAGCTCCAGTCCTTATAGGCTAGGTAGGTCGACGCCTAGCTAGCACGCATCTCTCTACCTCGCGCGTCCGCCATCGTTAGACACCCAGTCGTCTCCTTCGAAAAAAAAAAAAAACATCACACTCCCTTCTGCGCACGATCCGAGGGACGCTGTCACTTTGCTAGTGGCCTGCGTGCACGCCGGCTCAACCTGGGTGCATCTCTGTGCCGAAGCTACGTGCCGCGGCCTGTCGCTGCGCGGGAACCCGACCAGACCTGTTCTTCACCAATGGCGTAAGCGGGCCTCGATATTACCTGCCGGCGGCGCCGCCAAGTCGGCCAAGGCCGGCTGATGCGCGATACCTACACCTACCCAACATAATGCAACTGCGCACGTACCTTTGCTCTCCAACTCCCTCTCCTCTCTTCTCCTCTCCTCTCCTCTCCTCCTCGACCTCCTTTTCGCCTCACCTCTGCCTGTCGCCGTCCCGCCCTAATACACAAACCACTCCTGCGTCAGCGGCAGCGTCTGCGCCGGCTCTGCCGTGCAGGCCGCGCCGTCCGCCGCCACCGTGTAATGCTCCGGGTCGACCTGCATGCGCGGCGTCGCGTCGTTGAGCCGCATGTCCTTCTTGCCTACCGTGCGGCACCCCCGGACCGCCTCTACGCGCTTGCGCAGCCCATACCGGCCCACCACGCCGCTATCCAGGCTGGCCTGCGATACAAATAACACGCTCGAGCGCGGCACAAGGGGCGCAAACATCGGCCGCGCCATCACCGGCTGCACCGTGGGGATCGAGGCGTTAGGGTCGCCCTGTTCGAAGCCGCGCTTAGCCCGCTTCCATCTCCTAGATGGTTGTGCGAAGGGGGATGGAAACCTAGGGGGAGAGGGAAACCCTCCGCTGGACGGTGTGGGAGGGGCAAAACAATGAAGAGGATCGAGCTTACCATTTGCGCGTAGGCGATCAGCCCGCTCTTGATGATCGTGGTCGGCTTCGTCGCGAACCACGCCGGTTCCCAGACCACCAGGTCTGCCAGCTTCCCTACCTCGACGCTCCCGACGAGATGTCCCATGCCCTGGGCGATGGCCGGGTTAATCGTGTACTTGGCAACATAGCGCCGCGCCCGGAAGTTATCGGCGCCCGTCCCTTCGTCCTCGGGCAGCGAGCCGCGCTGGACCTTGTTCTTGTGCGCCGTGTTCCACGTCCGAAGTACCACCTCGCCACACCGCCCCATAGCCTGCGAATCCGACGACATCATCGAGATGGCGCCGAGATCGTGCAGCACATCCTCCGCCGCGATGGTCTCGGCCCGGATGCGCGACTCTGCGAATGCCACGTCCTCGGGGATGTCTCGACTCAGGTGGTGGCACACCATCAGCATGTCGAGGTGCTCGTCCAAGGTGTTGTTGGTGAACGGCCGCGTCGGGTTGGTCGACGACGGGAGGACGTTGTCGTGCTCGACAACCCTTATGATGTCCGGCGCGTGCCCACCTCCGGCTCCCTCGGTGTGGTACGTGTGGATGGTTCGACCTTTGAATGCCGCAATCGTAGACTCCACGTACCCCGACTCGTTGAGCGTGTCCGTATGGATCAGGCACTGTACGTCCAGCTCGTCGCACACGGTCAGGCAAGCATCGATCGCCGCCGGCGTCGTGCCCCAATCCTCATGCAGCTTGAGGCCGCATGCACCGGCGATGACCTGCTCGCGTAGGGCTAGTGGGTCGCTGTCGTTCCCCTTTCCCGTGATGCCTACGTTGACGGGCAGTTCATCGCATGCTTGCAACATTTGCCGGATGTAATTGGCCCCCGGGCTACAGGTGGTTGCGTTGGTGCCGGCACTGGACGTTATCCCACACGTTAGTGACGTCCATCATCTCGTCGAGGGATCGCCGGAGCAGATAATCAGACTTCCCTTACCTAGGACCGGTGCCACCACCAAGCATGGTCGTGATACCGGAGGCGATAGACTCGTACGCCTGTTGGGGACAGATGAAGTGGATGTGCGTATCCAACCCGCCGGCCGTGACAATCTTCCCCTCTCCCGCGACGACATCCGTGCAACTACCCACGATCATACCCGGTGTAACGCCGTCCATCACGTCAGGGTTCCCCGCTTTGCCGATTCCAGTAATGATGCCGTCTTTGACGCCGATGTCCGCCTTGTAGACGCCGGAGTGGTCGAGAATTACTGCGTTGGTCACCACCATGTCGAGACTGTCGGCGTCGGCGCACCCCGTCATCTGACCCATACCCTCCCGCAGCGTCTTGCCGCCGCCAAACTTGCACTCATCGCCGTACGTCGTCATGTCACGCTCGATCCGTACCCACAGGTCCGTCGCCCCCAGCCGTACCAGATCCCCTGTCGTCGGGCCAAACATGGCGCGGTACGCGGCGCGGTCCAACGTATATGGGCTGATCAGGCTTAGATCGCCTAGGGGTTGCCCGGGGGCGTGTGCGAAGCCGGCCTTCTGCAGCGCTTCGACGATGGCGTCTCTCCGTGACAGGTCCACCTTCCCGGTGGCTAATCCGTTACCGCCCCGGATAATGCGGTTGCCGCCGATTGCGACTAGGGTCACGGTTTTGGTGTCGCCGGGTTCGAAGCGCACCGACGTACCGGCGGGAATGTCGAGACGGAAGCCGTAGGCGGCGCCGCGGTCGAACCTGAGCTTCGGGTTCACCTCGATAAAATGGTAGTGGCTGCCGACTTGGACGGGGCGGTCACCCTCATTCGTGACCTGAAGCCGGGTGCGTTCGCGACCCTCGTTCATCACGATGCGGCGGCCGCCCTTGACGGTGATCGTCACGGCGCCGGGCTGGCGGGCGAATTCGTACGCGGCGGGGTCCGCCGGAGGGAACTGTGCCGGGTCGGGCACGGGCAGGAAGCTACCGTAGAGAGCGCGCTCGAGGTTCCCGTCGTCGGTAGCGATTGGGTTGTGCACGGTGACGAGGTAGGTGCCGGACGGGAAAGTGCCCTCTACCTGGATTTCCTTGAGCGTGCTGACGACGGAGGGCAGCACGTGGCGGCGGCCCAGCATGGTGGAGCCGAGGTCCATAAGGTCGGCGACGGTGTGGCGGCCATCGCGGATTAGCTCATGCAGGTTGTTGGCGATGAGGGCCTGGGGCTCGGCAGTCAGCTGCGCATCGGCCGAACGAACGGAGCGGGCATAGTCCAGTTGTGGTGTCCGCGGTGGCGGGGGAGGCGGGAGAGGGGCCGACGCGGGTAAGCCAGCAGGCTCCCCCTCCCCCGCCACTGGTTCCACCGAAGATAGGTGTGAGGAGAGGTTTATGAAGGGTGGTAAAAAGAGACAAACTCACGGTGGCTTCGGTGTGGTTCAGCTTGACGCCTCGGGCGAGTCTCCTCTGGGCGAGGAGGCCCAGCTGCGAGATGACGAGCTTATCGAGCTAGAGAGGAGAGAGCCGAGGTGAGTCGATGTTGTCGCAGCGCCAGCCGAACTTGTCTCATAGGTGCTGGGGATCGGTGGCGCCCCTCTGGTCGGACAGCCAGGGACAGAGAAAGACATGAAAAGGCGCGGATGACGAGCACGACAGGGGGGGTGGTGATGTACGAACCTCTTTGGGGACGAGGTGCATCGTGTCGCACACGGCGAAGTCGAGAATCTACCTATTTACGGAGCTGGCTGGGATAGGTGAGTTGGGCGGACAAGGGCGGACAAGTCCCCGGTACTAGGCTGATAAGGATGTTTCTGACAGCCCGGCTCTGCCTCTCTTCTTGTCAGCGGCGTGGATCGAAGCGCTGGCTATCCCCGTCGGCGGCGCTTTGCTCGGTCTCGGAGGAAGAGGAATCGGGTAGGTGGGTGGGCGGCGATAGTGAAGAAAAGAGAGCAGAGGGGGGCGGAGAGACAGGAGGATGATGTAGAGATGAACGGGGATGCGATTAGGGCGGTGGGTACGTCACGACGAGGAAGGGTGAGCAGCTGCCGGACGCGGCTAGCTACTTCCTACCTCTACCTCTACCTACCTCTCTCCCTTAGGTACCTGTGCTACCGCTGCCTATCTGCCCGTGTATATGCCCACATGGTACCTACCTACCTGCCTACCCGTATCTACCCCCTATAGGTTCGTAGGTAGGTCTACCCATGGCTTACCAGCTGGTCGGCGCTCAGCTGCTGCTCTGCCTACTTACCTAGGTACCTAATATAGTGGACAGCCGGCCGGGAGGGCGTAAGAAGTCTGGTCTACAGCGTGCAAAGCGTATGCTCCCTACTTACCTACCTCTTCCCTCCCCCCCCGCTCCCCCCCCCAAGGTACCTAACCCTACCCACCTACCTACGCGCCTGTCCTGCTCCCTCGCCCTTATCTGCACCCCCGTCCCTCCTCCGGCTTATCCACACCTACCTCTAGCTCTACCTACCTGCCCAGGTACCTACTACCTCCCAGAGACGGTAGGTACGTAGGCAGAGTACATACCTACCTACCTACGCGCGCGCGCGCGCGCGGCCTCCTATCTAATCTCCTCTCCTCCCGCCCTCCATGCAGGCGACCGCCGCCGCTGATCCGCGGCCTTATCTCAGCGGTTTCCGTGACCTCACCGTTTTACCCAATGCCATCGCGCGCGGCACAACTTGGCCTGGACTTGGCCCCCAGTGTGTGGCTGGTGCGTTGCGCGCGGGGAACGAAATTGCTTATCGGGCTGCATGTCTACCCTAGGTGGTTCCCCAGGCACGGTAGGTACCTAGGCACCGCCACACGTGCCTACCTACCTAGCGCGCACTTGTCTCGCGGGCAGCGTGCGGGGAAGGGGGAAGGGTAGTAGGGATACCTCCTACCTACCTAACCTACCTGGGTACCTAGACGGTTAGATATAGGCTGCTGTGCGATTTCTGCGTCGATAGGCCGGCGGTAGGCACGTCTATCTTGCTTAGGAGGTACCTCTATACCTATGCCTACCTATGCCTCCGCTTCGTCCGCGCCACCTCGTTCGTATCCGGCTGGCCGCATCACCTTCTGCGTAGACGTAGACGATCCCCTGCCTCCGCGACTACTGCCGTGGCTACGGAGTGTCCCGACGTCTGTCTGTCCGGGGCATGCGGACGCGCGGACCTAGGGGCGTGTGCGCGCGAGCAAAGAAAAGGACGCTTGTTTATTGCATCGCATTGTCGAGTACGAGCTGGCTCGGCCGACACTGCTGCTCGGTCACCATTGCGCAACACTGAGTCGCACATCCCACGGAAGCGCGTTGGGAGTTGCGGTCGAGATTGTCCCGCCGCGGCGGGGGACAGATAGATATGTGCGTAGTTATATAGATTGTATACCCAAATATTCGCTCGCTAGCTAGCCAGTCCCCTTCCAGCCGTGGAACCCCACGGTTCGGGTGCCGTGCCAAGGGACCGGTTGGACAAGTACCGGCCGCCCCCGCCCCCGCCCCCGCCTCCGCCTCCGTGAGACCTGGAAAGATTCCACAGCTACGCGAAATCCGCGCACGAATGCCGTGCGCTGTCGAGAAAGCACCGTCCCTGTTTTCCCGTGGCTATCCTCGAACGCCCCATACAACGCACTACCGCCTGCCCCTATGCCTTGCTAGGGCCCCAGGTGAGAAAGGTGAGAGAGAAAATGAGATTACCCCGCGTCTACCCATAAACGCCCATCTCCGTAGTGCACGTCGTAGTAGGCCAGAATCGCGTCGGCCGAGATCGACTACGCCGCCTGCGGCCGTGGAACGCCGGGAGGGTGGGGAAACGAAACATGAAAAGGGGAAGAAAAAAAAAAGAGAAAGATACGAAGAGACGACGGGAGCCCGCATCACTCCTCCTCGACCTCCTCGTCCCAGGACTGGCGCTCGTTCTTGACCAAGTTGGCCATCATGTCGGGCTTGAAGATGGAGCTGCCGGAGTTGGCCGCGCGCGGCACCTTGCCGAGGTTGGGGTCGTCGAAGACGGGGCCGATGTTGTCTATCCACTTCCGCCGCCGGTCCATCAGCGTCTTGGTCACGTCGCCGATGCCCGGCCGCGCCGTACCGGCCGCGCCGCCGCCTCCCGCCGCGTGCGCGCCGCCCCCTCCGCCGCCGGGCCGCTTCGACTTCTTGCTCTTGCCCATCGTCCGCGTCCGCTTCAGGTACGCCCCCTGCACCTGCGAGTCGAGGTCCTCGAGGATGGTCTGGTATTCCTGGTAGGCCATCCGCTCCTTGACCAGGTCCGTGAGCCGCGCCTTGCGCGCGCCGTTGACTAGGATCTGCTCGCGTAGCCGGTCCTGCAGGAGCCGCAGCCGGGCCGCGACCTCGTCGTCGAAGTGGCCGTCGTAGTCGCCGTCGAAACCTTCCTGAGGCAGGAAGCCGATGTGCCGTAGCTCCTGCTTGATCCGCTCGTCCACTTGCGAGTAATCCAGCTTGGGGTGCGTCGCCTTCTTCCAGGCCTCGGTCGACGATTCCGTCATGAAGGCGGCCGGCGGCACGCTCTTCGACTCTTCGCCGCCGCCGCCGCCCCCACCGGAGCCGGAGTCGCCGTTAGCCTCCTCCTTAGTCTCGGCGTCGCCGTTGATCCCGTTGGTCATCGGCTTATCTTCACTGGGCTGAGCTCGGGCCTCGGGCCGCATGGCCTGGAGCAAGCGTGACAGGACGGGGCCCACTGACAGCTTGTCCGTCTCGGCGACGTCGTCGTCCATGTTATCAATCGTACCGCGAGCCAGATTCGGCGCCAGCTTATCCCCGCCAGGCAAGCCGTTGTCACCCGCCGCTGGCCCGTCTTCCGCCGCCCAGAGCTCGGCGTAATGCTTCTTCCCGCGCTTGGGCATGATAAAAGGGGCCACGCGGTCACCGCGCTCCCGCAGGAACGCCATGTCCTCTTCGGTGAATGGGCGAAAGTACGGCTCGATATAGGAGGAGAAGGTGCTGAAGCTGATCTGGTTGGAGGGCTTGGCACTGCTGAAGTCCTTGTCGGGCGGGTCGCCAGCTATGAGATCGGCGAGGTCGGTTTTGGGGAAGACGGCGACCGAGTAGAGTTCGCTCAGCTCCTCCTGGGTCATGCCGGGCTTCACAGGGCGTATCTCGTAGACGGTGGGGTCGGGGAAGGTGGAAGGGTCCTCTCCGAAGGTCTGGTATTGGGGGGCCTCGCGGCGCGGAGGTGCGCCCTCGTCTTCGGACTCGGAAATCTCGTCGGGCTTGTTGTCGGCCTTTGCTTTCTCGTCCACCTCCATCGCACTCGGGGTCGCGGGCGCGACCGGGGAGAGGGAGGAGCTGGCCGAGTCGTTGTCGCGAGATACCTTTCGAGGCTTGGTGGGGTCACGTAGCGGAGAGGAGCGTTCTGCGACGGGAGGATATACGTTAGCAGGAGGGCGGGTGAAGGGCGACGCGCGTACGGATTTGGGGGGTGGAGAGCAGGTGGGAGAGCGAGATTGGGGACTCGGTATGTGAATAGGGAGTGGCGAAACCAGGAAAAGCGACGGGATTCATGGCTAGTATTCGTGTATTTTGGTAGGAGGGGGGGGTTATCCCTCAAGCAGGTGATAGGGAGAATTGGCTGCTTACCGGTGTGTGCGTCGGCCGGGGCTAGCGTGTCGTTTGCCTTCCTCTTCTTCTTGTTGACGCGCTTCTCGGGCTCGTCGTCGCCGTCCCTGCGCGGGTCGTCTCGGCGGCCGCTGGCGGCCATCTCGTCGTAATGGCTCTTCCTCTGACCGGCGACGAGGCGCATGCCCTTATCGCACCAGACGCCGCGGCGCTCGATGATCTCGCTCAGCTTCCCGAGACGGGTGATGAGGCCGTCGAGGCTCTTGGAGTCGGGGATGACGGCATTGGAGGCGGTGGAGTCGACGAGGTCCTCGTAGGTGATGCTGCGGACGGACTCGAGGCGGAGGTCGAGGAACTCGGTCTCGATGGTGTCGACGGGCGGGATGCTCGCGGAGGGGATGCTCGCGGAGGGGATGCTCGCGGAGGGGATGCTGGACATGGGGGTGGTGTTGCGGCTGCGCTTGCCGATGGCGGCGGCATTCTTCTTGCCCGTGCCCTTCTGGCTGGCGGCGGGCGGCATCTCGAGGCTTCTAGGTATGGGGAGGGGGTGCACGAGGGACGCGGCGCGGGAGGGGTCATAGAACGGATGGTGCGTATCGAGCTGGTGAGGTCGGGTGTGTATGTGCGTGCGTGTGCGAGTGTGCAAGTTAGCAATGGTGACGACGGGCGGTGGGCGACTCGGCAGCACGATTTCAGATGCGGCTCCTCTATTTGTGGCATACCAGGGGTAAGGCAAATTAGGCACCCGCATGCCTTGGGCAGGTACATTCGCTTTGCTTTCGTCAAGTACCTATCCAGGTAGGTAGGGTCGTGGAATACCGGGCAGGTAGATGGGCCGCTGTACTGTAGGTACCTATGAGCAGGTGCATTTTCCAACTAGGAAATACCCGGCGGGGACTGGCTGTGTAGGTCCCTAGAAGCCCGTCAATCCCGAGCCCACGGCTGCACACGTACCTACGTACCACGTACGTCCAGCGCGCCGAATATTGCGTCCGGGATGTCACCGGCAACTCTCCCCCCCAACATCGACAATGGAGGCCTTGGAGATCGCCGCCGGGGTCAGCAACTCTCCACCAATCCATGAACGGCAGACCGGCAGCATCAAGCATCCGCGAGATATTATGTAAGACGTAAGAATCGGTATAAGACCCTTCTCGAATTTGGTGCTGTTAGGACATGGTGAGGATCGAATAAGCTACCACGGAGCCGCCTGGTTAGGTAGCGACAGGGACTGGTTTTTATTTCACGCACGGATTATGTTATGTGTAGGGCAGATAAGCCCCGTAGTATAGGTAGGTAATACCTAGGTGCCTAATACCTCGACCTACTTGTACCTACAATGACACCTACATGTATACCTACCTGTGTAGGTACCTACCCCCCTGTACACTTACCTCCCGGGCTGTAATATGCCTACCTCCCCGTATACCTACCTACCTACCTACCTACCTACCTACCTACCTACCTACCTATATAATACACGCCATATAGGTAGGTATAATGGAGTGCCTCTACTTACACACATATATTACCTACATATCCAGTTTAAGGGTTTGGAATAAGCCCGGCTCATGTAGGTAATAGATAGGAGGATAGCACCGTGTATTGTGACGATGCTGCCCGGTCTGCCCCGAGGACAACCTCCCACTGGTTGTCGGCGTGCCTACCCGTGGACTCTGAAGTCGGAACGTCGCCGAACCCGCCTGCAAATGGGAAGGGGCGGAGGGAGCGAGTCGGTTACTGACGCTGTTCCCTCCTTCCTCTCCTTTTTCCGTTGCCCTTCCCCCTATATTTCCTCTTCTCCTTCTCCTCCTCCTTCTCCCTCTCCCTCTCTCTCTCTTCTTGCCCTCGGTCTTCTCTCACACCTCCGTCTCTCCCCCCTTGATACCCAAGATACCGCACGTTAGATTCGCCTGTCAGGTTCATCGATAAGTATTATACGATGGCTACTACGGAGCCAGATCATACGATAGTTCCTACCCAGTGCGCTGCTCCGTCCAACCTCTTCCCTCCTCCGTTAGACTTTCTCGGTCAGAAAGCGTGATTCTCGTGTTAATTAGCATCTAGGGGATCGGCCAACAAGCAAGACAGTCGTCCCTGGACGACTTTCGATCCCGCTAGCGAACCCATCCACCCTCGCCTTGAAGACTTCCTTCGTGAACCCCTCGCCGACGGTAACAGAAACGTCATGCTTCCTGACGGGCCCAAGAGTGGTGACGCCGTCGCCCAGCTGGCCCAAGAACGGGCCAAAGAGGCGATTGAGTCCGTCGAGAAGGTGCTCCATTAATCGAAACGCAAGTAACTCGAGTCTCCTATATTAATACACTAGGCAGTATACTAACTCACTGTGGAGAAATGTAGCTAAAAACGCCCACCCGATATCCGTGCCCTCGTAATCCCTCTTGCAAGGCAAGAACAGACGCGTATCGGTGTTGATTTCGAGTCACCACCCATCACTTATGGGGACCCCCATTTGCACCAATCTAATATCACCCGCTCATATTATCTCAGATGAACACTCTACATTCACTAAGTCGTTTTGGTAGTCTTTTCTTATAGGAGAGCAACGGCGTATCATCGCCTGAATAAATTCATGACAGAGGACACTCTCTCGCTATCTTGTATTAACTCATACGCAAGGCTCTACTCTCCAGCGTCATTCTTCACGTGACTTTATATATACAACTGCCCTTACCATCTTCAAACCGGGAGATATAAGGCACACGGTGGCGACTCGGTCTAGTGGCCCCCTCGTCCCGCACCTGGTCTGCCCGCCGTGCCCGCTCGCTCCTAATATATAGTAATGACCACCATCGCTGGCTATTTACAGAAAGCTTGTCTTGCTACAATAGACATCCTATCTATCTCCTCGACGTCTTCAACAGCACCCACAAACGGGGGGTTTTTTTGGCGTATGAATGTGCTCAGTCTTCAGGAGTCCTTCCGCCTTACTCCTCCACTCCTCCACCTTCACCCTTCTTATCGCTCCTCGGCGTAAGCCCTCTAGCCTCACTATTATCACCTACCTACCTGTTCGGGGATAGCTGCGTCCTCTAAGCGGCTGGGACGTGTATGGGGTAGGTGAGGCAGAGCTTCTGGCGAACGTGCTCGCCGGCGGTGACCGGAGCGTAGCGGGCGGGCGGCGCGGCGCTGACGCAGTTAGGTGGCGCCTCCGTGACGGCGTCGTAGTCGGCGCCGAAGAAGGGCACCGAGTACCACCTACGGCCCTCGCGGTTGTACGCGCGGTGGATCACCGATAGGAACGTGTTGCTGGTCCTGCCGCGAACACGTCAGCGGGTGGGGCAGGAGGATGCAGATTGGCCGCGCGGACGCCGGGGTGCGGCGGAGCGCCGGGGCCGGGCGGGTGATGGAGCAGAGCGGGGGCGCGCGGTGGAGTGGAGGGGAGGGGAGGCGTGGGAAAAGGGAACGGGGAAGAGGGGCTTACCACATGCTCATCGCGTCCCCGATGGTGACGACGAGAATCCCCGGGTGGGGTCGGCTGGAACCCAGCCGCCGTCCTTGGAGAGGACCCCGAGCGATTTGACGTCGTCTTGGCACAGGATGGTGAATCCTGAGAGTCGAAAAAGCGTCAGCTACCCTCGCCGTAGGGGGGGAAGGGTGACGAGTTATCTCACTCTCAAGGTCGCTGTGTGCGTGGATGCCGGCGCTGCCGGGTAGTTCCGGGAGAGCGGCGGGGTAGTGGTTAAGCTTAAGTAGGACGCCGGGGCGCTTGCAGAATTAGCCGAAGAAGTGCTCCTTATGGTCGAGGCCGAGCGCGAACATGCGCAGCAGCATCCGCGACAATACCATCGGGCTTGAGTAGTACTTGCCGATGTGTGCCTTGAAGCCCAGCAGCTTGGCCTCCTCAGGCCAGAAGCTGGGCCCGTTGTCCCGCGTCCCGGTCGTCCCCGGGCCCATCGACGGCTCGCACCCGAAGTTGATGCTCTCGAAGAGACCTGGGCCTCGTAAGCGGTTACCCGGTGCCTAGCATTAACCGGTCACCTCCCTCCGGCTTGTCATCGACAGCGACAGTGCTTGAGGTGCGATTGACTCCAAGTCCCCGCCGTCGCTCCGATTCTTATTCTTCATAAATGGGGTGTTCGAGGTTACTGTCTATATTAACTGTTGTGCCGTAAATTGTTGGGTTGGGTAGCGTGAGGCCTTGAAGCGTTCACCATCGTCTATAGTAACCTCACGAATTCATCATCAGTTAAGCGAAGCGCGTTTCCACGGAGCGCTCCGTCAGACGAATGTACTCAATGTCCTGGGAACTAAGCAAAGATGCCGAGTTGGGAAAAGAAGGGCCCCCTCAACTGCCCTCGGCAAACAGCGATTCGAGCGGCAACAGCATCAACAATGGCTCCACCGAGCTCTACGTTCGCCCCGTTGCCGAAAGGCGTTATGTCCAGAAGATCGACATGTATCTCTTGCCTGTCTCCTCGATCCTGTACTTTTGCCGTTATACTACCGGAAGCAACGTCAGAAACGCCAAGGTGCGCTAACATCGGCGCCGATCCTTGGTCAAACGTCCCGGGACGCTGTGCTAACTCTCCGTAGACGGAGGGCATGAACAAAGACCTCGGCCTCGTCGGCGAGCAATATAACTTGACGATGACCCTCATCAGGGCACCGTTTGTCCTCCTTGAGCCGGTCCAGATCATGATGGTAAAACGTTACGGTGGGAGGATTGTGATGTCCAGTCTGTTGTTCGGCTGGGGGATTGTATCGATGTGTCAAGCCGCCATGAAGGACTACGCTGGAATCCTTGTCTGCCGACTTCTGATTGCCTGCTTTCAGTCCAGGTTCTTCGGCGGGTGCATCTTCTACCTCACGCTACTTTATAAGCGTGACGAGCTCACTTTCCGGTGGCTTACACCCGAGGAGGAAGCCGCGGCGATGGCCGGACTGAGGCGCGATTCCACCGCCGAGGTCGACACCTCGTACAACCTCGTGACCAGCTTGGAGGCGCTCGCAAAACCGAAGATGTGGGCGTTTATGATGCTGGGTGTCAGCACCGTAGCTAGGTATGCGGGTGAATGATTTCCCTAATTATTATTATTATTGCTCTCTCTCCAGTGCGACTTGGTCGGCAGAGACCAGGATATTCGATTCAGGTACTGGACGTGTGGCGGGGCTGGGCCTGGCTTACGCCGAAGATGACTTTCGAACTTATGGATTCACGATTGTTAGCTGCCGACACGAATTTGGATATTTTCCGGGGTGGAGCTTTAGTATGCTCTGACTCTTTAATACGACTAATTACGCAGTTTATTTCCATCGAGGTTGACAATTAACGCCAGATTGAATGTTACATCCTATTGGCTCTTTTGCGTATGACGATATTTATGTTTTAGTACATACTTTTAAGGGGTTTCTCCGCTTACACGTTTATGCGACTACTGAAAGTCGAAGAAGTTGTAGGTACCTATTGCTATGGCGTTCCATATCGACCACCACAATTGATGAGAAAATTATCTGCCCCCCATCACCCGAATCTCATTCGCTCCCTGGCACTGATGACTGGGTCTGGGATGAGGAGCTGCCTTGAGGCTGGTTCCGTATAAGACCTTTGCTCCGTAGGGTCGGAATTGCATACTGCTCAATCCACTCCGTGCACTTCCACAGTGGACGGTGCTCTTCTCCGGATTCGTAAAAGACGTATTCGTAGTCGCTGATTTTTTGCTTGAACGGTTCGACCCGGCCGTGCCTCGCAGGATTGGGTGCCTTCTGCTGAGGCGGGGTCGGCAGCGAGCCGAGGACGGAATCCCACTCGTCGGGGTGGGTGTCGCTAGGAGTGTAACCTAGTAGCTCCCGCGAGTGGAAAGACTCCGAGCCTAGGGGGTTGGCAGCCTTCTTGCTCGCGTAAACCATGCCACCTCTCGAGGTGATGTCGCCGACAACGGTGTACAGGTGACCAGTGCCTTCAGGGTCGGTTTCGACGAATATATCGTGGTGCAGGCGGCCGGGTGGCATGTGGGGATCAGGGAAGGCGATCTTGGATCTAACCTTGTATACGGGATGGAATTTCGGAGCCATCGACAGCATTAGCCCGTCCTATCGAGAGGCTAGTACCATCTTAACGTAGCCTCTCTAACTCTCTCCTTCACAACGAAAGGGTCCTTCTCAACCCTTGCGAATGACCGTGAGCTATTAAGACTACTAATCTAGGATGATCTTGAGGAGACTAACCGCATCGATGAGCTCTCCCAACCTACCTTGGCTAGTCGGATCCAATCTTCCGGCACGCAGTCGGCACTTTGCTGTTCGTCTCCATCTAAGCCCGCTACCTATATGCAAACTAATAAACGTCTCCAACCGTTCCCAATCTTGCCAGACGGACATCCTCTCCCCCACTCCCCACACAAGAGATTCTCAGTAGTACTCGATGTATCGAAATGCTCCGTCTCCTAGCAAGGTTGCGTTTTCCGATTAGGGGGGAATGTGGCTGCCACCTCCCTTAGTTGCCGTGGAATGTAGCTGTCACTGGTGCTTTTATTACTATGGAGACTTAGACACAATTAAACTCGCTACAAGCAATCGGGTTCCATGGCTCATTCAAGCGTGGGCGAGCGGCTGTGTATGGGTAAGGGAACGAGGCACGAGGTGGTCCTGTTGGTCTGTCGTAATCAATACTATCTGTTAGAGTGGCAACTTAACCAAGCTTTCGCCATCTTAATATGAATCCTGACTCGCCTCGTGGTAGGCTGCCACGTGCATGCTGGCGCCAGATCTATAAGCACCTTATCAGACGGGGCGTCAGCCTCTGCTTGTTTTGTAACCCTCATGCAGCCCTACCTGTCAACCTCAATCCTTTCTGAGGCTAATAACAGTGATGGAACTAAGCTCAGGCTACTAGGCAACAATTTTCTGCCCCTTCTATATTCGTTAAATCTATCTAGACCTATATCATTGCCTATTAGTACCTACTAGTCCCTCTTAGATCTTATGAGACTGCCTATGGACCAGGTGGGAAATTGCTATCGTATTATATTCAAGGCGTTCGTAGAATTTATGTGTCATCAAATACTATAACATTAGTAGCCAACTTTCTCTTGCTGTACTAAACCGCTTTCTTGACACGTTCATATTGTTTTGGTATGAATGCAAGGAGTTACCACCATCTCTTCAATCTAACCCTCGCTTTCAGTCCTGGTAAACAAGCTGAACATAGATAGCACATGCCGCCTGATCTCTCACATGCCATCAGCCAGCATAGCGTTGACCAGCTGTACGTGGCGGTTCCCGTTCGTCTCGCTCCATTCGCTCTCGTAGTTGAGGCCGTAGGGCCAGAAGTGGCCGCCGCCGCAGTTGATCTTGGCGCTGGGGCCGTCCCACGACTGGAGCAGCGGCGTGGCCGTCGGCCAGTTGTTGGCGGCGCAGCGCTGGTCGAAGGCGGCCGTCTGGCCGACGCCGAGCGTGTGCGCGATCTCGTGCATCGCCGTGCGCTCCGTCATGTAGGACCGGTCCGCGCCGAAGCGGAGGTCGCCGTTGTAGTTCGCCTCCGCCGTCGGCACCCCCGGCGAGTAGTAGACCCGGATCGTCTTGCGCGCGTCCGTGAACCGGTGGTACCTCGCCACCGCCTTCGTCATCGCCGCCTCGATCTTGGCGTACGCGTCCGCCTGGTCCGCCGTCGGGCTCGACGCCTTCTGCAGCGACCACGTCAGCGCCCCCGACGCGGCGGAGGCGTACGTCGCGAGGGCAGCGGCAAGGACCGAGAGACGCATGGTGCTATATATGGGGACCGGGAACGATGGTGTGGTTGATATTGGGCACCGGTAGGTCTAAAGTAAGTTCGGTTTAGAAAGGATCGACGATAATCTACGGGGAAGCGTGCATCTATATAACCATCTGGTAATATGGTATTGCCCTCTACCTATATAGTCTTAGTTAATATCAGCCCAGTATGGGGTTTCCATTTGCGTCTTATCACACCCTCTCGGTCTAATACCGCCGACCGAACTCCAGTAGGCTCCAAGTAACTGTACACCGCTAATAGGCTAAGGGAGTATTTCGCTCGGATTCATCCGCCTTATATACCCACCCTTCTCCCGGATAATTTGCTTCCAATGCTACGTTCGTTGCGAAAGGCTACCAAAAGGTCTTGGCAGCCATGGGTGGTTGCAAGATATCCCTTTGGCCGTGTTTCAATCAAGCATCTAGCTATCGGAGATAATGACCACAACGCGGCAAGTAAATTTCGGATAAGCACCGTAATAGGAGGGTGCTTAGAAAGATCGGACAATAATTGTACGTTTAATCGATCTGTCACAGCTGCGCTAAGCAAGGAACGATATGATACCCTGCCTCAAGTCTCGATCGGTATTCACTCAGCGGGTGCCCCCCACAAGCCCAGGGATGTCATTTTCTTCGGCTGGGTATGCCGCTAGCTTGACCGCTAAAAAGACAACTAGGTGCGTCTAAATGGTACTGTCGTTCACTTCCGCTGTTGATATACAGGAGTTGGCCGTTCTCTACTACTCTCTGTGATGCCAAACCCGATGCGAAACCCTCAATGCTGTATCACGGATCGATCGGCGACCTACTGCTTTGGAATATTATGGCTAATGGAATGGCAATGTTTATGTCTTTCTGAAGAGCTACTGACTTTCGGAACTTTGCAGGAATGAGTTACGAATTCTCTGCTTGGTAGGGGTATCCGATTAAGAAGTCACTACAAATAGAGGAGAGGGGGTTTTATTGGCATTAGCGACCTTCAGTTGATTTTTGGTTAAGTTGTGATGACTACGATAGCCATTATAATTGGGTTTGAACCGTTCCAGCTCATGTATGCGAAGCTGTGGCACACTCATGATGACTCCTAAGGCCACACTTTGGTGTCGTAGTTGATGTTGCCAAGTCCTAACAAAGACTTGTGCCCAGAACAATCGGACCAATCGTAAGGCGCAGGGGTTCAGCAAAATACCAACTCGGTTCCCGTCAGTCTTTTTCCATATTAACCGTCGTCAGGCTCTTCGAGGCTCGAACGATGTGCTGTGGAAATGCCCTGTTTCCGCATGACAAAGTGAACTCGCTAACATCGTGTTACGTAGCTAGCGAGAGCTAAGCTTAGGTTAATAGGTTATTCGTAAAGAGAGTAATGGAATGAGGGTAAGAAGGTATATATTAACTAACTAGAAAAGAAGGAAAGCTACTAGAGAGTATGGAGCGATCTATAGGTATATATAGTAGTACTTAGCTAGCTTAGGTAAGCTAGGTAGTTCCTACTAGGGGTATATACTTACGTAATATATTCCTTAGTTAAGCTTACGATAATAAGGTTAACTATAGTCCTTTGCTTACGATAATAACCCAAGGGGTTATTCCTTAGTTTCGTTATGCCTCGTTAAGGTTAATCGATTATTAGGTGCCTTATTTCGGGCTTCCTTATATTCCTTTATTCGTATATACTCCGGTTTATTACTAATGGTATTTTCTCCTAAGTTATATATTCTTCGTATCCCTTACTTAATACTTTATAATTTATTATAAATAAAAATAATTACTCGTATAATTATTCGTATAATTATTTACTTTCGATTAAGCGGTAGTTAGTTATATAAGTAATGTAATAGTAGTAGTAGTAGTAGTTCTAGTATTAATACTAGGATTTAATCTCTTTTATTATTATCGCGCGCGCTCGCGCGCGTTACTTATATTAATCGATTTTATCGTTTCTCTTACGAAGGCGGTTAAGTATAAATATATTTAGGATTTCTCGCTCTCGAATTAAGCGTACCTTTTTCTTTTCCTTTCTTTCCTAGGTTATTTATTATAGGTATATATTCCTAACTATAATTAAATAATTCCATTAATTACGCGATCGTAAGCTAATATAACTAATAAAGTTTCGTTAATTTATTATCGTAAGGTAAGTCCGCTTTCTTTATAATTTACGTAGAGCGTAACTCGCGTATTATACGAGTCGTAATATACTTTTATTAAGCGACCGTAAGATAGTAACTTAGCTTATTACGGTAAGGATTATTATTTACGATTAATATATTACTTTTAATATTAAAGTATTCTAAAATAATAAAGCGACCGTTAGTTATTTTATATTAATAAATAAGAGGTTATTCGAGATAATTTATTTATTACTTGCTTATTATTTACCGGTAGTAATATAATACCGTAATTAACGATCTCTTAATATATTTAATACTTAAGAACTTCGTAAGATAGTACTAACGCTTTAAGGTACCGTAGCCTCGTTAAAGTAAAAGGTATTCGGCTTTTCCGCCGCGAGCTTTTAGCCTATCTTCCGTATTCGTACGAGGGATAACGTTAGAGCTTCGGCCGGTAGCCTTACTCGCCGCGGAAGGGTATTCTTTACTCCTAGGTCCGGGGCCTTAATTATCGCTTAGCCTCTTAAGGATTCCTTTATCGACGAAAGCGACGTCGATATAATCGTATCTAGCGCTTTAATATAACGTACCTAGGCTTTAGTTACTCGCGTTCTTTAAAATACCGTATCCCGAGTTATTAAGGTCTTTACCGACGAATCTTTTAAAGAAAAGTCTTCCGAGGAAAACTCCTCCTTCTTATACGAGGAAATAATCGAGGAAAGCGACCGCCCGGTTATATTAATTATTCGTAAGGTTTCCTCGCGTAAAACCTAAGCTTAAACTCGCGTATATTAAGTTACGTTCTTTAATAATATCGCCGTTATTCGCGTAACCTAAGCGGCCGTTATTATTATTACTTTAATTCGTAATAATATCGTAAAACGAAAACGGAAATAAGAACGAAGCCGTAGCGTTCCTTCGGCTTCCGGAGTTACTACCGCTTTCGTTATTTCCTTTAACCCGGCCGTTCCGGCGGTTCCGTTTAATATCCCCGTCGTACCGGCCGCTTCCGCTTTTATTACCGTCGTCTTAAGAATTACCTCGGTTATTCGTAATCGAAAGTACGGAATTCGCCGTATAATTCCTTACTTAAGTTACGTACGTAATACGGTTTAAAATAAGTTTATTAAAGAATACTTCGATTTTTTTTAAAGTACCGGCCGTTATTACCGCTACTTATTTAGTTACGCTTACGTATTTCTATAGGTCTTCTTACCTCCGTACGTCGAGGTTTAAAGTTAATATTATATAAAACCGACGCTTTAATTCTACCGGCTACCTATTTTATCGTCGCTTATATCGAGTCCTCGGTTAATATATAAGCTTTATTCTACGTTAATTAATACTCGCTAACGCTAGTTATAAGTCCTTAAGCTTATTACGATAATAAAAAAGCTCCTAATCTTTTATTAAAATAAGGAGTAAATATCCGCGGTTTCCGAGACCGTAGAATCGCGACGAAGCGTAACTAATTCCGGTTAGTTTACCTAGTTAGGCGTAAGCCTTTCGGCTACCGGATTATCGACCGTTCTTACCGTACCCGTCCTTAGCTTTATACTTATTAGCCCTTTTATTATTTTAACCGGCGTAAGTAACGCTTCCGCCGGCTTATCGACCGTAGTACCTAGCGTAGCCTCGCCTGTTATTACCCCCGAGTAAGAGTTAGATATAAAGATAAAGGACGTTAGAAAAGGAAAAGGAGGAAAAGAGATTTCTAAAAACGAAGAGTAATCTTTTAAGGAAATAATATCTAAGATCGCTCGCGCTTACGCGCCTATTTCTTTCGAATAATATCTATATAAAGTACTATACCGATAGACTAACCGCTTATACGAGGAAATTATCGAATATTAAAACGAACCCGCCGGTATTCGTATCTCTTATTAATCCGGCCTTACTTATTATTTCCGTAGTTAAGTTCTTTATCTTAAAGTAGTCTTCCTATATTAAGATCTAAGAGTAATACGAGTTCGGTATTTAACGATAAGAAGAGCTATTTTTATATAGCGGTAATACTTTATACCTATATATTAGCTAATTAAGGGAAGAATTTACGTACCGTTAGTACTTACGGCGACTCTTTAAGTATTATTATAACTATTTCTCCGCGAGCGTTCTATAGGTTAAATAATATTTTAAAGTATTCGAACGATTAACGTAATAAAGCTTTCGTAAGTCCGTTTACTAGTATTTAATTAATAAGGAGGTAAATTACTTCGAAGGTATCCTTTTAATACTCCTAACGTAGCTATATATTCTATATATCTATATAACGTAACCTAGTATTAATCCTTTCTTTCTTCCTTATTATTAGTTTTATCGTTTATTAATTATCGTTATATATCCTTTAAGGTTCTCCTAGCTCTAGGGTAATATCCCTAAAGAAACGTTTAAAAGCTATCGTTTCCTTAGCTATATACTTTAGTACGAATAGTTTAGCTTTAGTCGTCGATATCGATACTATGTCCTAGCGAGCGGCTTTCCATATAATTAAACCTTTAAATAAGGATATTACGTATCCTTAAAACGACTTTTTTAACTTAAAATCGTTTATAAACGAAGCGTTATTATTAATTAAGAGTACTTAAGCGTTATTACTTTTATCCCTATACCTTATACTAAGGAAGCGGGTAATATATAGGTATCTAATTATTTAATTAATCGCTTTAAAGTATTAAGGTCTTAGATTAATTAGGAAATAGGATAGTTAGGACGCTACGAAAGCGACGTTTAGGCGTATTATAATTACGCTATAAAGTAATAACCCTACTTTTTTCTAGTATTCCTTAACTTATTATTTCGAAGTAACGCTTATATACTTTACTAGCTCGGTAATTAATAATAGTATTATCGGAAATTAACTATTATCCGTTAGTTTA